CATTCGGCTCATGACTTCAGACTACAATTGTATACCCTAAATTCTTAGACCAGTGCGTAGCCCACGGCATGTAGTCAGTTTACTATGCCATTATGACAAGAACTAAGGGCCCCGCGATCTTTTGAGACCCCACAGTGTCCGCCCCACATGTTTCCGTTTGTTGGCAAGGAAACATATTAAAATCAGTTTCTGTAGTTGAAGCTGAAAGCGAAGACCGCATTTATCTCCTTGTAGAAAAGCTGAGGCACACCACTTTCGAGCAACTTTCACTCAACTCTAACTTGTTGCTTATGCGTAAGTACAACACATAGAAATTAAAATCAGATGAATTATAACCTTTAGCTAAATTACGCAACATTTTTTATATATACAAAGTAGTAAACATTCTCAGTCACTCAAGTGAACTCATTTTGTTATATCTTATAGAATAAAATTGGCTCGTAGCAAGCACACAATTTTCTTACTATAGTTTTAAATCTTAGCATCAAATGTGGTATAACAACTGCCTAAATAGACAAAACACTTCTCGACGTTTCGACCTGAGTGCCTTCGTCAATATTTAATGTTAAGTTGTTTGAAGACGCTGCAACGCTGCTCCTTGGTTATATTAGTTTTAAATCTATCTGATTTTGGTAGGTCCAGATGGGTAAAACCCGTGACCTGATGTATCTATTCACTTGACTCATATTTTCACTGAAATACTTTTTTATGGTTTCACTTTTGATCACATGCATGCCGGAAATGGAGTATGTATAATTCCATGTAATAATCACTTTATCGTGTTCGTCATTTAAAATTTAGCTGTCTTGATGTAGGAAAATCTTTACAATGAAAATTAAAGCATAAAATGTGAACTAAGCTGTCGAAAACTTGTACGGTTTACTTTCAAATGTATTTTATAAACTTTAAAGTTTGCCGCTTACGTTAGCGTCTATTTTAAGGTCTGTATAACAAATTTGTTTTGGGTTTATATGTGTTCAATGTTTAGACATTCGGCTCATGACTTCAGACTACAATTGTATACCCTAAATTCTTAGACCAGTGCGTAGCCCACGGCATGTAGTCAGTTTACTATGCCATTATGACAAGAACTAAGGGCCCCGCGATCTTTTGAGACCCCACAGTGTCCGCCCCACATGTTTTTTTGGTTGGCAAGGAAACATATTAAAATCAGTTTCTGTAGTTGAAGCTGAAAGCGAAGACCGCATTATCTCCTTGTAGAAAAGCTGAGGCACACCACTTTCGAGCAACTTTCACTCAACTCTAACTTGTTGCTTATGCGTAAGTACAACACATAAATTGTAAAATCAGATGAATTATAACCTTTAAGCTAAATTACGCAACATTTTTTTATATACAAAGTAGTAAACATTCTCAGTCACTCAAGTGAACTCATTTTGTTATATCTTATAGAATAAAATTGGCTCGTAGCAAGCACACAATTTTCTTACTATAGTTTTAAATCTTAGCATCAAATGTGGTATATACAACTGCCTAAATAGACAAAACACTTCTCGACGTTTCGACCTGAGGCCTTCGTCAATATTTAATGTTAGTTTGTTTGAAGACGCTGCACGCTGCTCCTTGGTTATATTAGTTTTAAATCTATCTGATTTTGGTAGGTTCAGATGGGTAAAACCGTGACCTGATGTATCTATTCACTTGACTCATATTTTCACTGAAATACTTTTTTATGGTTTCACTTTTGATCACATGCATGCCGGAAATGGAGTATGTATAATTCCATGTAATAATCACTTTATCGTGTTCGTCATTTAAAATTTAGCTGTCTTGATGTAGGAAAATCTTTACAATGAAAATTAAAGCATAAAATGTGAACTAAGCTGTCGAAAACTTGTACGGTTTACTTTCAAATGTATTTTATAAACTTTAAAGTTTGCCGCTTACGTTAGCGTCTATTTTAAGGTCTGTATAACAAATTTGTTTTGGGTTTATATGTGTTCAATGTTTAGACATTCGGCTCATGACTTCAGACTACAATTGTATACCCTAAATTCTTAGACCAGTGCGTAGCCCACGGCATGTAGTCAGTTTACTATGCCATTATGACAAGAACTAAGGGCCCCGCGATCTTTTGAGACCCCACAGTGTCCGCCCCACATGTTTTTGGTTGGCAAGGAAACATATTAAAATCAGTTTCTGTAGTTGAAGCTGAAAGCGAAGACCGCATTTATCTCCTTGTAGAAAAGCTGAGGCACACCACTTTCGAGCAACTTTCACTCAACTCTAACTTTATACTTCTCGCTTATGCGTAAGTACAACACATATAAATTATAAAATCAGATGAATTATAACCTTTAAGCTAAATTACGCAACATTTTTTATATATACAAAGTAGTAAACATTCTCAGTCACTCAAGTGAACTCATTTTGTTATATCTTATAGAATAAAATTGGCTCGTAGCAAGCACACAATTTTCTTACTATAGTTTTAAATCTTAGCATCAAATGTGGTATAACAACTGCCTAAATAGACAAAACACTTCTCGACGTTTCGACCTGAGTGCCTTCGTCAATATTTAATGTTAAGTTGTTTGAAGACGCTGCAACGCTGCTCCTTGGTTATATTAGTTTTAAATCTATCTGATTTTGGTAGGTCCATGCAGATGGGTAAAACCCGTGACCTGATGTATCTATTCACTTGACTCATATTTTCACTGAAATACTTTTTTATGGTTTCACTTTTGATCACATGCATGCCGGAAATGGAGTATGTATAATTCCATGTAATAATCACTTTATCGTGTTCGTCATTTAAAATTTAGCTGTCTTGATGTAGGAAAATCTTTACAATGAAAATTAAAGCATAAAATGTGAACTAAGCTGTCGAAAACTTGTACGGTTTACTTTCAAATGTATTTTATAAACTTTAAAGTTTGCCGCTTACGTTAGCGTCTATTTTAAGGTCTGTATAACAAATTTGTTTTGGGTTTATATGTGTTCAATGTTTAGACATTCGGCTCATGACTTCAGACTACAATTGAATACCCTAAATTCTTAGACCAGTGCGTAGCCCACGGCATGTAGTCAGTTTACTATGCCATTATGACAAGAACTAAGGGCCCCGCGATCTTTTGAGACCCCACAGTGTCCGCCCCACATGTTTTTGGTTGGCAAGGAAACATATTAAAATCAGTTTCTGTAGTTGAAGCTGAAAGCGAAGACCGCATTTATCTCCTTGTAGAAAAGCTGAGGCACACCACTTTCGAGCAACTTTCACTCAACTCTAACTTGTTGCTTATGCGTAAGTACAACACATATAAATTTAAAATCAGATGAATTATAACCTTTAGCTAAATTACGCAACATTTTTTATATATACAAAGTAGTAAACATTCTCAGTCACTCAAGTGAACTCATTTTGTTATATCTTATAGAATAAAATTGGCTCGTAGCAAGCACACAATTTTCTTACTATAGTTTAAATCTTAGCATCAAATGTGGTATATACAACTGCCTAAATAGACAAAACACTTCTCGACGTTTCGACCTGAGGCCTTCGTCAATATTTAATGTTAAGTAAGTTTTTGAAGACGCTGCACGCTGCTCCTTGGTTATATTAGTTTTAAATCTATCTGATTTTGGTAGGTCCAGATGGGTAAAACCGTGACCTGATGTATCTATTCACTTGACTCATATTTTCAAAATACTTTTTATGGTTTCACTTTTGATCACATGCATGCCGGAAATGGAGTATGTAATATGATCCATGTAATAATCACTTTATCGTGTTCGTCATTTAAAATTTAGCTGTCTTGATGTAGGAAAATCTTTACAATGAAAATTAAAGCATAAAATGTGAACTAAGCTGTCGAAAACTTGTACGGTTTACTTTCAAATGTATTTTATAAACTTTAAAGTTTGCCGCTTACGTTAGCGTCTATTTTAAGGTCTGTATATAACAAATTTGTTTTGGGTTTATATGTGTTCAATGTTTAGACATTCGGCTCATGACTTCAGACTACAATTGTATACCCTAAATTCTTAGACCAGTGCGTAGCCCACGGCATGTAGTCAGTTTACTATGCCATTATGACAAGAACTAAGGGCCCCGCGATCTTTTGAGACCCCACAGTGTCCGCCCCACATGTCCGCATTTTGTTGGCAAGGAAACATATTAAAATCAGTTTCTGTAGTTGAAGCTGAAAGCGAAGACCGCATTATCTCCTTGTAGAAAAGCTGAGGCACACCACTTTCGAGCAACTTTCACTCAACTCTAACTTGTTGCTTATGCGTAAGTACAACACATAGAAATTGTAAAATCAGATGAATTATAACCTTTAGGCTAAATTACGCAACATTTTTTATATATATACAAAGTAGTAAACATTCTCAGTCACTCAAGTGAACTCATTTTGTTATATCTTATAGAATAAAATTGGCTCGTAGCAAGCACACAATTTTCTTACTATAGTTTTAAATCTTAGCATCAAATGTGGTATAACAACTGCCTAAATAGACAAAACACTTCTCGACGTTTCGACCTGAGTGCCTTCGTCAATATTTAATGTTAAGTTGTTTGAAGACGCTGCAACGCTGCTCCTTGGTTATATTAGTTTTAAATCTATCTGATTTTGGTAGGTCCATGGGTAAAACCCGTGACCTGATGTATCTATTCACTTGACTCATATTTTCACTGAAATACTTTTTTATGGTTTCACTTTTGATCACATGCATGCCGGAAATGGAGTATGTATAACTCCATGTAATAATCACTTTATCGTGTTCGTCATTTAAAATTTAGCTGTCTTGATGTAGGAAAATCTGGACAATGAAAATTAAAGCATAAAATGTGAACTAAGCTGTCGAAAACTTGTACGGTTTACTTTCAAATGTATTTTATAAACTTTAAAGTTTGCCGCTTACGTTAGCGTCTATTTTAAGGTCTGTATAACAAATTTGTTTTGGGTTCATGTGTTCAATGTTTAGACATTCGGCTCATGACTTCAGACTACAATTGTATACCCTAAATTCTTAGACCAGTGCGTAGCCCACGGCATGTAGTGAGTTTACTATGCCATTATGACAAGAACTAAGGGCCCCGCGATCTTTTGAGACCCCACAGTGTCCGCCCCACATGTTTCCGCATAACTTTAGTTGGCAAGGAAACATATTAAAATCAGTTTCTGTAGTTGAAGCCGAAAGCCAAGACCGCAGTTATCTCCTTGTAGAAAAGCTGAGGCACACCACTTACGAGCAACTTTCACTCAACTCTAACTTGTTGCTTATGCGTAAGTACAACACATAGAAATTGTAAAATCAGATGAATTATAACCTTTAGGCTAAATTACGCAACATTTTTTATATATACAAAGTAGTAAACATTCTCAGTCACTCAAGTGAACTGATTTTGTTATATCTTATAGAATAAAATTGGCTCGTAGCAAACACACAATTTTCTTACTATAGTTTAAAATCTTAGCATCAAATGTGCTATTATAGCAACTGCCCAAATAGACAAAACACTTCTCGACGTTTCGACCTTAGGGCCTTCGTCAATATTTTATGTTAGCTAAGTTGTTTGAAGACGCTGCCACGCTGCTCCTTGGTTATATTAGTTTTAAATCTCTCTGATTTTGGTAGGTTCAAATGGGTAAAAACCGTGACCTGATGTATCTATTCACTTGACTCATATTTTCAAATACTTTTTTATGGTTTCACTTTTGATCACATGCATGCCGGAAATGGAGTATGTATAATTCCATGTAATAATCACTTTATCGTGTTCGTCATTTAAAATTTAGCTGTCTTGATGTAGGAAAATCTTTACAATGAAAATTAAAGCATAAAATGTGAACTAAGCTGTCGAAAACTTGTACGGTTTACTTTCAAATGTATTTTATAAACTTTAAAGTTTGCCGCTTACGTTAGCGTCTATTTTAAGGTCTGTATAACAAATTTGTTTTGGGTTTATATGTGTTCAATGTTTAGACATTCGGCTCATGACTTCAGACTACAATTGTATACCCTAAATTCTTAGACCAGTGCGTAGCCCACGGCATGTAGTCAGTTTACTATGCCATTATGACAAGAACTAAGGGCCCCGCGATCTTTTGAGACCCCACAGTGTCCGCCCCACATGTTTCCGCCTACCTTTGGTTGGCAAGGAAACATATTAAAATCAGTTTCTGTAGTTGAAGCTGAAAGCGAAGACCGCATTTATCTCCTTGTAGAAAAGCTGAGGCACACCACTTTCGAGCAACTTTCACTCAACTCTAACTCTATACTTCTCGCTTATGCGTAAGTACAACACATATAAATTATAAAATCAGATGAATTATAACCTTTAAGCTAAATTACGCAACATTTTTTATATATATACAAAGTAGTAAACATTCTCAGTCACTCAAGTGAACTCATTTTGTTATATCTTATAGAATAAAATTGGCTCGTAGCAAGCACACAATTTTCTTACTATAGTTTTAAATCTTAGCATCAAATGTGGTATAACAACTGCCTAAATAGACAAAACACTTCTCGACGTTTCGACCTGAGTGCCTTCGTCAATATTTAATGTTAAGTTGTTTGAAGACGCTGCAACGCTGCTCCTTGGTTATATTAGTTTTAAATCTATCTGATTTGGTAGGTCCATGCAGATGGGTAAAACCCGTGACCTGATGTATCTATTCACTTGACTCATATTTTCACTGAAATACTTTTTATGGTTTCACTTTTGATCACATGCATGCCGGAAATGGAGTATGTATATTCCATGTAATAATCACTTTATGGTTCGTCATTTAAAATTTAGCTGTCTTGATGTAGGAAATCTTTACAATGAAAATTAAAGCATAAAATGTGAACTAAGCTGTCGAAAACTTGTACGGTTTACTTTCAAATGTATTTTATAAACTTTAAAGTTTGCCGCTTACGTTAGCGTCTATTTTAAGGTCTGTATAACAAATTTGTTTTGGGTATATGTGTTCAATGTTAGACATTCGGCTCATGACTTCAGACTACAATTGAATACCCTAAATTCTTAGACCAGTGCGTAGCCCACGGCATGTAGTCAGTTTACTATGCCATTATGACAAGAACTAAGGGCCCCGCGATCTTTTGAGACCCCACAGTGTCCGCCCCACATGTTTCCGCCTACCTTTGGTTGGCAAGGAAACATATTAAAATCAGTTTCTGTAGTTGAAGCTGAAAGCGAAGACCGCATTTATCTCCTTGTAGAAAAGCTGAGGCACACCACTTTCGAGCAACTTTCACTCAACTCTAACTTGTCGCTTATGCGTAAGTATACAACACATAGAAATTGTAAAATCAGATGAATTATAACCTTTAGGCTAAATTACGCAACATTTTTTATATATATACAAAGTAGTAAACATTCTCAGTCACTCAAGTGAACTGATTTTGTTATATCTTATAGAATAAAATTGGCTCGTAGCAAACACACAATTTTCTTACTATAGTTTAAAATCTTAGCATCAAATGTGCTATTATAGCAACTGCCCAAATAGACAAAACACTTCTCGACGTTTCGACCTTAGGGCCTTCGTCAATATTTTATGTTAGCTAAGTTGTTTGAAGACGCTGCCACGCTGCTCCTTGGTTATATTAGTTTTAAATCTATCTGATTTTGGTAGGTCCAGATGGGTAAAAACTGTGACCTGATGTATCTATTCACTTGACTCATATTTTCAAATACTTTTTTTATGGTTTCACTTTTGATTACATGCCGGAAATGGAGTATGCAATTCCATGACTATACAATAGGCACTTTATCGTGTTCGTCATGTAAAATTTAGCTGTCTTGATGTTGGAAAATCTTGACAATGAAAATTAAAGCATAAAATGGCTAAGCTGTCGAAAACTTGTACGGTTTACTTTCAAATGTATTTTATAAACTTTAAAGTTTGCCGCTTACGTTAACGTCTATTTTAAGGTCTGTAACAAATTTTGTTTGGGTGTATGTGTTGAATGTTTAGACATTCGGCTCATAACTTCAGACTACAATTGAATACCCTAAATACTTAGACCAGTGCGTAACGCACGTCATGCATGTAGTCAGTCTACTATGTCATTATGACAAGAACTAAGGGCCCCGCGATCTTTTGGCCGTTTTGGGACCCCACAGTGTCCGCCCCACAGGTTTCCGCCTAACTTTGGTTGGCAGCAAGGAAACATATTAAAATCAGTTTTTGTAGTTGAAGCCGAAAGCCAAGGGCAAGGCCGCAGTTATTTGCTTGTAGAAAAGCTGAGGCACACCACTTACGAGCAACTTTCACTCAACTCTAACTTGTCGCTTATGCGTAAGTACAACACATATAAATTGTAAAATTAGATGAATTATAACCTTTAGGCTAAATTACGCAACATTTTTTATATATACAAAGTAGTAAACATTCTCAGTCACTCAAGTCAACTGATTTTGTTATATCTTATAGAATAAAATTGGCTCGTAGCATATATAGGCACAATTTTCTTACTAATTTTAAATCTTAGCATCAAATGTGGTATAACAACTGCCTAAATAGACAAAACACTTCTCGACGTTTCGACCTGAAGGCCTTCGTCAATATTTGATGCTAAGTTGTTTGAAGACCGGCTGCCACGCTGCTCCTTGGTTATATTAGTTTTAAATCTATTTAATTTCGGTAGGTCTAGATGAGTAAAAACCGTGACCTGATGTATCTATTCACTTGACTCATATTTTCAAATACTTTTTTATGGTTTCACTTTTGATCACATGCCGGAAATGGAGTATGTATAATTCCATGTAATAGGCACTTTATCCTGTTCGGCATTTAAAATTTAGCTGTCTTGATGTAGGAAAATCTTGACAATGAAAATTAAAGCATAAAATGTGAACTAAGCTGTCGAAAACTTGTACGGTTTGCTTTCAAATGTATTTTATAAACTTTAAAGTTTGCCGCTTACGTTACGTCTATTTTAAGGTCTGTAACAAATTTTGTTTGGGTGTATGTGTTGAATGTTTAGACATTCGGCTCATGACTTCAGACTACAATTGAATACCCTAAATACTTACGCCTGTATTCAAAAAGCTCACTCACACTCACACTCATTGAGTGTGACATATAAATTTTGTTAATGCTGATCAATGAGAAAGTTTTCTCTGAATAGATGGAAAGATATAAGGTAAGTAACTGAAAATCAAGCTCCTATTCGGCTTGAAATACCGCCATTGAAACGTTATGAGAAGATTAAGATCTCCCACTCAATGAGTTTGAGTGTGAGTGAGCTTTTAGAATACAGGCGTTAGTCTTACTATCAAGCTATAGAAAAAATAGAGAAAATACTGCCGAGCTATGCCCCGTCTGAACTGACTGAACACTCATAAAATTGGGCACGGATACCCATTTGTTGGCCTTGCCCTCCAATTGGTCCAACCCCCCCCCCCCACCCCGCTCAATTAGCTGTAACATCGAAATAAAAAAGTTCAACTGAAACTATTTGACCATAAATATCTGCGTTTACAGAAAATGTCGTATAGCAAGGCTGGATGTAAGTTTTGCACTGGGGTTTCTGAAAGTCAACAGTCACATCAGCGTGATAAATGCCCCGAATTTAAGGAACTGAAAGAGAATACCTCGTACAAACCTTACGTAAAAGCAAAATTAAACGACGAAGATGAGCGTGGTTTCGCTGCTGCTGGTTTTTTGTTGTGGAAGAAAGGAAATAAGAAAAATTTGGAAATCTTAATGGCTCGCGAAGATCGACAACACAAGGATCGCCTCAACTTTCTTGGTGGAAAACGGTTGCAAAAAGCAAAAAGTGCAATAGAAGTAGCGGTGAAAAAAGTCGGCATGGAATGTGGACGACAACTCTCGCCCGAGGCGTTGGAAGGAATGAAAGGTGCACCATTGGTACTTTGGAGCGGCAACGCTTCAAAGTACGCGCTTTTCCTTTATGAACTCACTTTATGGCGAGATTGGGAAGTTCATGTTTCGGCTGCTAGCTTGCGAGATGGTGGGGTTAAAAAATTGGAGTGGGTTTCTTGTAAAGATTTGAAATCTACTCGATTTATAAAGAATCAACTACACGGTTTTGCAAGAGATATGGTTCATGCATTATCTGATCATGAGAATACTCAAGAAGAAGTTCAATTCGACTCTGAAGTTATTGCAGGTCTAACGTCATCCCCAACTTTGGGGTGCACTGGTGTCACTGGTGACGAAGATACAATTGCTGCAGCTATCACAGCTAAACTTTCTGAAATACGCCTAAAATAGAGTGACGCAAGTGTTTAATTGTACATTTGTACTAATGTTTGTTCATCCTTTATTTCATTCTAAAAATATAACTGCATCGTGTAGCATTCCATATAATCAATATGAAAGTTATTCAATAACTTCAACCATATACATTTTGAAACATTTTAAAGAGGGATCACTTTTATTTCTACCTCTGTACGTAAAGGAAACTGATTGAAATTTTAGTCATGTCGGCGTTTCGGTGATTAGTTTACCGGTACCTGTCCAGTAAACACGACATTATTATTATCATACTATCCATATTGTATGTACCCTGCTCCTGCTCCGAACTTAGCAATATAATTACTACGAGTACGAGCCAAATTGTACCAGGTGACAGATCATATATTCGTATTCTAGTTCTTTTTCCTTTTCAAATTGAGTGTTTTTACGGTCACTGAGCAGCGAACAAAATTCACATGAATATACGAATATGTCCCACTTCTACGCCACTGCTAGGTTTGGGCTGAAATGCTTTGAAGTTTGAACAACTGAACTTCATAATCATTCATGCAACATGATTCGTCACAATAACGTCATTTGGTACCATATATTGCTGGTACATGTCTCATTAAACTTCAGAACAGGATTGGTTAAACGTTTTTTTCTGAAAAGAAAATCATTTTGCAGTAAAGAAAAATGAGAAAAACCAGAGGAGATTTTTGGCATTCCTTCCTTTTCTTGAATAAAAATTCCTGACTTTCAAATCATGATACAAGGCTGAAAAATAGTGAGAGAAGAAATTTTCTGCAACCTGGGACATTCTATTAGGACACTCCAAATTACTGGCAAAGACATTCCAAACTACAAAGGGCCCAGCCTTGGAAAAACCAGAGCCTCCCTGTGACCTAAAGGGGCCCCATGTCTAGAATGTACTACCGTACTAGAAAAGTTTTCAGGGATTTATAAATTGTAAGGTTATTTAGTATATATAATAGTAATGAAGGGGCCCTTCAATATTTTTACCAGGGGCCCACAGATGTGGGGTTACATCACTGCTCGAAATGTTTGACTTTAGTCTTTTAAAACACATACTACAAGTTTTACATTAACAATGGAAGCAATTTTTTATTCCATTTATTACATGTGTACATCGTTTGACCCCTTTTTCATTATATTTTGTTTTAAATTTATGTCCACACCTCACACAAAACATTAATATTACCACTGCACCATTTTCTACAAATAACACTTTCATAAAATAAATAATTTAGTTTCATATTTGTTTCTCTATAAACAAAGTGTAATTTTACTGCCCTGCAGATTTTGCTACTACCTGTAGCTAAATGTTTAAATGTTACTATTCTTACAAATTGTTGCAAGTTTCCACAAGATTGATATCTAAAATTCCCATTCAAGCAACCCAATATTAAGAATGCTTTCCATGTAGGCAAGCCAAGCTAGGATGACATGATAAAAACAACAATATATAAATATACTTATGTTTTAAAAATAAATGTAATAAGATGACCGAATGCAAATAATAGACTGTACTATTATGGTATCACTCCCTAACCTTTTACAATTCAGGCTTTTTTGGGCACAAATAAATTCAATCTCCATAAATGCTATTATATAGTTAATTTAAATTATGTATTTCAATCAAATATTGCTAGCATAGTCATCCTAGCTTACCCTGAAATTGGGTCATTAAATAGACCAGTTGGCCAAATATTTAAGGGGTTACCCTTCTTCCAACTACACCATGGCAAACTGTCTAAAAACAATTCAGGAAACATCCCTACACAGTAATATTCTAATCTTGCTTTAAAACCTTGTCGCATGGATTATCAAGAGTCACCCAAAAGAACCTTAATATTTTTTTAGATTTGCAAGTTGTTACATATTCATATCCCATATTAATCAGTCCTTGGTGTTCAATATCACTCCTATTTTTTTAGCAAATAGACCTCATTATCATGTTGGTGCTCAGAAATTTGCACTTTGGTTGAAAACTTGAAATATGAAAACTCCAAGAATATACAAAGCAAGGAAAACTGAAACTATATGTAGCAATTCCTTATTCCTAATGCACCAAATTAAATAAATCACTGAGCAGGGAGGGAGGGAGGTCTTTATCATGATTAGGACTAAAGCTTTTACCATGGTTACAATATAAGCATTAGGTTAGATACAATCAGTCCCCCACATTCAATGCATACAAGATGAAGTAAAATAATATGCAATGTCTGACAATGAAAGGTTGCTAAATGACAAGGCACAAAATGTATTATAACTTATAACTTACTGTGCCAAGGTCATATGTCAATTTGATGCCCATGGGCATTCCAATATCATATCATATAATATTCATGCATTTAAAGATGTACTGTACAAGTGTTTATATCAACCATAGTCATTCATACCTAATTTTTGTCTTCATGGTCAAAGCATGTAACATCACTCTGGTTGCATTGAGTGGGGGCCATTTGCTGTGCTATTGACAAAACTCATATCCCTCTTCCTAATGATACGAGTAGACAAGAAAGCCGCCAAACCCCGCCATTTGAGATATTGGTTTCGCGGCGCCAGCGAACAGTGAAGACTGAAGAGCACACATTTTCATGTGCCCTTTGTGCTCCATCAAACAGCATTGACGCACTATGTTATCAAGTGAAAGTCACGATGAGATACAACATTTCCGTGCCACAGTGCCAGCGATAAAACAAATATATATATATACATACATAGGTATATAGACAATCATATATTGATATGACAACAGGCTGCAGCTGGCTGTCTTGTACATCTTAAATAATTCAACAAGGTATCACGTTTTCCAGCTGCTACCGGCGGGATACATCACAATGCTAGAAATCCGCAGTAAAAAACCCTTTGATATTTCACGCATTTTGTTACACATATACCTCGATCCCATTCCCATGTGCTTCTGTGATGTTCTGAGGGTGTATTGTGGAATGTCGTGTAGCAATGTGATGTCGCAGTCCACTCTGATTTTTATAACTTTTGCCGCAATGACATTTATGTGGTTTCTTCGTCTTTCCGTCCTTAGAATGGCCATTTTTAGCATGATATTTAATCCCGTTTGCATTCTTGTACTTTTTGCCACATCCTTTGACTGGACAAATATATCGCTTCGAATCGCCGTCTTCCATGGTGACTGAATTTAGAATGAGTTCGCTAGTTAGCCCATCAGAGGTTGTCCATGAATCATCACTATTATCACTCGTATTTCCATCATCGTCGCCGTTCTCCGAGGCATCTGGTGTTGCCATACATGAGCTTACACTATAAGCTGATATGGCTTTCTTTTTCTTAGGTGTATAGTCAAAATCATAGCTATTATCACCGTCTGCACCTATCTCTTTCATCTTCCTGTGAGCAGATCTAGTAGCTTCAGAGAAAAAGCAGTTCACATACGATAGTGGGACGGCAGCAGGTTGAGCGGCTTCTTGTTTCTCAAGTATTCGTGGATCTTTCTCAATATGAACAGCCTCAATATGATCTATAAGATCAAGCAAAGATGAACAATTCTTACCACAGTGGTTCCATAAACAAGAATATCTGAAGAACGCAGCCATGTTTCAGGGATATATCTTTCTTCGGTGACATGTAATGTTGAAATGACGTCAAATGATCATATGTTGTTAGCTATTCAATGCGTCGGGAAAACCCGCGAACATTCTCAGCCAACCGAGAGGCAAACCTGTTGTTGCTAGGTCGCCCACATTTCAGTCATTTCGCTTCCGCTCTCGCGAGGCTCTTGATGTTTTAAAATAATATACATATGAGTGTTCAAATACTATGATTTATAGTATACTCTCTATAGCTCCCACAGAGAGAACAACGCGTAAATATGTTTAGTTTTTTCGCGCGAAAGTCCGTAACTGAGGAACTTTATAACGTAGCCTAGGACAATAAATGTTTGCCAGTAATTAAGAGGGCATATAATTAGGGGTCACACAAATTTGAACTTTACAATTAGTGTCATCCTAAATATCTCGTCTAGTGGGACGGTTGCCAAAGTGACGTCAGCTATGTCTTGGCTATTGACAATGACACATCATCTACATGTCATGGTTGATACCATAGTACTTAGGTAGATACATATAATACTCCGTCTCGTGTTTATCGTTCACAACGGCTTACCTCATTCGTGCCTTTCGTGGCCGAATACGCAATCATGACAGTTATAATATACGTAAATTCCTAAGAGTGCCAAGAGTGTTTCCTGTATCAGTTTTATGCGCGTAGTTACGCCTTGGTGAGACCACTTGATCATGCTCTTTAACTTTTTTCACCCGTCGTCATAATGATACCAATAATTATTATTATCGTGGGCTTTCTGGTGATTTAACAAATATATATTTTACGCGCAATGTAAGTATGCATTACTACTCAAGTCGAAACCTATTAACGTTCTGGTCGAATGCTAATTTGTTCTTCCACCATATTTCTCAAGATGTTTTGCAAACATTCTTTTATATGCGCCGCTACGAAAGTACCTTTTTACGAAAATCTGCCCCCGTGTGAATGTGTTCTGACATCACGCTACTAATACTAATTAAGCTCTTCTAGTTTAGATACTGAAATTCCATTTTAGGAAATATATTAAAAATACTATGGCAAGCCAGTGGGTCTACAAAAATTACAGATATTTAAAAAATGCATGTTTCTATTTTTTTGTAAAATGAAAGAATAAGTCAGCAGGAATCTCTACAATGCTAAATAAAATTAGCTCTTACATATTTATAATTGTATATATATATACAAGAACTTTTTCTACTCAAAGTATATAACTTTCAAAATAAAATATTTGTCACTTTATTATTATCATTAAAAATGAAGAGACCAAAAAACGGAGTACGTGACCTCTCGTATCGCATACTTTCCACAAAAAATTTCAAAATATAAGACAGGAATTATGAAAGAGAATATTTATTGTTATAGTCATGGTAAAGGCTGTTTTCCAGTACGCGTTTTTCTTACGCACGTACACGCACGTAAAAGTCTATAAGTGAATAAATCGAAGGAACTTAGTTTTCTGCATTTTTAAGTATGCATTAATTGACCTCGATGTTAAATAATAAAAAGTTAAATGCATTTAAAATTTTCCGTACGTGTACGTGCGTATAAAAAACCACAAAAAAACCGTGAAAGTGGAAAGCAGCCTTAACGCCCAACTATAGAGGTTCTGCGCAGGCATTATAATACGCGTGTTTTTGACACACTTTGTGTCCTTGTAAAAGGCAAATGTGTCCTTGTAAATGAAAAAGTGTGTAGTTAAAAATCATGCCTCATGGACAAAAATGTCTAATATAATTTTAATTTGACTATTTAAAATAATTATTGTTTCTATTATAAATTTGACATTATTGAATATATTATATATTAAAAAAGGCTAGAGACTGACGGACCGTGCTTTGCATGGCTATGCTCTTTTTTATATGCTTGCGTTGTAATTTCACGTTGTAATTTCTAAGACTGAGTGATTATTGAACCTAAAGACAATCGGCTGTATTCTAAAAGCTCACTCACACTCACACTCAAGTTAAACTCGAGTGAGCTGCTCCCAAGTGTGATTGAAGTGTGAGAATAAGTGGAGTGTGAGTATAACGTTGCACTTTGAAAGGGCGTACTCATTTGTTAAGCAAACTGGTCAAATTGCATTCAAAAAGCTTACTCAAGTTTGACTAACAGGAGTGCAGTTCAGTAAACAATCATGTATATAATAATTGATTTTCTCGGCTGTGAAGTCCAAAGACAACGTGCAGTGAGATGTCCCAAGGTAGGCAGTATTTTTCACAACTAGAAAAGTCACTTCTTACTCAATATTTAGAATTTCCAAATGTGCTCCGCAAACAACTTGCACGTTAATGGAAAAATACCCTTTTCGCCGATCTCGATACAGTTCCGCATTTTGACCCGCGGGAGATGTAATTTTAACGTGGGAACAGTCTATTGCTCCAACAACGTTGGGAAATCCACCAACGCGCCAGAAATTAAGCTTGCTTTGCTGTAGCATATTGTCATTAGGGAATGTTATGTGATTATTCTTTAGACGAGCGATAGCTTCCGACACGCGTTTTATAATGCGACTTGCTGATGGCTGGGATATTTCACATAAGTCCGCACATGCTAACTGGAACGTACCAGTCGCATAAAATCCGAGAGTTATCAGCAGTTGAATATCAGCGGGACTGATAGGTCTTCCCCTGTCGTTATGTGCACGTATATGTGGTCGAATAATTCGCAGCAACTCCTGAAAAGCATCTTTTTTAACCTATATCTCCTCCTAAATTGCTCATCGTCATACGTGTCTATATTGAACGTGTATGTCTTGAATATAATATTATCGACGGCATTCAGTCTATTTAGCCATCTGCCAGCCATGTTTTTATGACATACACACTCGTGAGTGCAGGTCAAGGGAGGTATACATTTCACTCACACTTCACTCCACTTTTAGGCCTCATTGGAGGGTGAGTAACGTCTTTGAAAGACTGGAGTGTGAGTATAACAATCAACTCAATGAGTTCGAGGGGGATCTCATTGAGTTGTAAGTTTTACTCATTGAGCAAAAGCCTCCACTCGTTAAGTGTGAGTGTGAGTGAGCTTTTAGAATACAGGCGAATGTGTGTCCTTGTAAAAATTCCGTATTATAATGCCTGGTTCTGCGGCAATATTAAAAAAAAATGCAGTAAGAGGAAAATACAAAATATATATCTATCAAATTTTATTCAACAACTAGTGCTTTACAAGTGTTAGTATATTCATAATATGTATAAATATTCGTCAAAATATCAGAAGATTTTCCGATATAACATTAGTCGCAGGTTTGTTAAACTCTGTCTATAGACGTAAGTTCATTGCAACATTGTCATCTAATGGCGTGCAACCTATGCAGGATGTGCCCAAATTTTTGCCTAATGCAAAATCTTTAATTTTCAAAGAAAAATTTTACAATATTCTCTCTTAAGTTTTATCAAAACCTGGCAAAGGAAATTCTTTAGCGAAATTTTCCACTTTTTGTTTCAATGAACCAATTTTCTTGCTGAAGTTTTCATCCAAAATCAATTCCCGGAAATCTTGTAGCGATGCTCCTGGAAAATTAACCGAGTAAACTTTTTTTACAACCACTGCAGTAAAGACTCCAATGTTTGTTGACTTACCAGTATTTTCTTGAGCCTCAACAGCTATCTTAACGCCCTGATCCAAATAATCTACAACTTGAACGAAGTCACTCTCCTTGGAATCTCTCGACGTCAACGCTGGAGCACCTAGGTTAAGCGATGATAAATTGCGTTAATAGTTTGTAAAGGTTTCAAATGGTGAGCTTGCGTGTTAGGCAGCAGTTAATTGTAAGGGTTTTGTTTTCCTTCTAGGATATGTTCATCACGAAGCAATTTTTTTGAATTTATGAATTCTATTGGTTAGGATTACACGAAATTTTGACCGCTGAACATTACATGAAGCTGACCTGTTGTTGTACAACAGGCAACTCAACAAGGTGTAGTAAGGGACAGCAGATGTTAAACGAAACCTGTGAAATGAAAATAAGATATTATTTTAGAGTTCACTGACCGAAACCTACCTAAACGCAGTCCTCCTGGCACCAGTGCGCTCTTATCACCAGGACAAGTATTTTTGTTCGTGGTGATTGAGGCAAGTTCTAACACGCGCTCTACACGTGCTCCATCAATACCCTAAAACATGCAAAATGATACGACTGTGTGAAGTTTATAAGGAGTTTTAATTTTTACATTTGCTGGCAACGTCAAAGGCCATAGTTGAGTGTTATGTCCAAACACCTATATGTGTCGGGCAACCTCGCAAGCCAAGCTTTTCTAGCGTGGGCCGTGAAAAGCGTAAGGTGGAAAAGCCTGGCTTGCGAGGGTGATACGTCGGGTATTTGTGAATTTACCTTTGATTTCAGGTCAACAAGAACAAGATGATTGTCAGTCCCACCTTAAGCAAAAACAACAAATGTCCATACCGTAAAATATTTAGTCAACATAAATACGTATTTTTGAGCATATTTTACCCGAGACTAAATCATATCCACGATCCAACAAGGCCTGTGCCATTGCTTTGGAATTTTTCAACACTTGTGTTTGGTAATCCCGAAATGCTGGTTCTAACGCCTAGTATATGCAACAGTTTAAAAAGAGTTTGCATACAGTGTGAGGTATAAAATTAACAATATATTTCCCAGCTGGACCAATTAAGAATTTCACTAGGTTTTACCTGTTTCAATGCGACTCCAACACCTGCTATAGCATGATTATGGGGTCCTCCCTGTAAGGACGGAAAGACTGCAAAATCAATCTTTTCCTTGAAGTTATACATGATTTCTTTGATTATAGTTAAAGGAAAATAAGATGTATGCAAAGTTATCATTTCAAGCAGAAACAGTATTGAACTTCAGTTGAAAAGGATACTTTTCCCGGTCTTTTTATTCGTAGCTTTCTCGCCCACACGATAAAAGATAATACCAGATCTGAAAAGAAAAGTGGGAACAATGAGTGAAGATTCAGGAAGTTTGGACTCAAGATCAGAAAATATTTTGCTTTGCTTTTATACCATCCAGCCTAGTTGAGTGTCATGGAATTACATACCTTGCACCTCGTAGAGTCTTATGAGTTGTAGAGGAGATAATATGCGAATGTTCAAACGGACTGGGAATTACCTAGGGGCAAGTGCAGAGTTAAAATCCTATCTCCAGGAAGGTTGAACTCTTCTCAACACTGGGCAAATGCAGACAACTACATTATTTATGATTTAGAGACTTCTTTTGTCTGAAGTATACAGCTAGATTGACAATTGATTGACATGCAAATATTAAACAATTATTGAATTATCAAGGCAGAGAATTACAGAATACCAGGAATTGTTTGTAAATTTGATGTCATGATTACAAATACCAGAAATTATTTTTAAATGGCTAACCATCAAAATGGAGATTGTGTATCTATTAAAAAATAATTAATATCACCTGTGCTGCGATTAGCCCACTGATATGTGCGATATCTGCCATGAGCACTGCATTAACTTCGTCACAAATCTATAAGCACAATGATGTTTTTGCAATGTATGTTTTAAAAGTAAAATTTGAGATACTGTTCATACCTTTCTCATCCTCTCATAATCAATAAGTCTAGAATAAGCACTTGCTCCAGCAATGATTATCTTGGGACGAAATAGTTTGGCAGTTTCTTCCAGTTTGTCATAATCAATGTAACCTGTTTCTACCTTAAAAACAACATTTATAGCCTGTATAGGTTAAAAACATTCTGGACAGTAGAATTTTACACAAAAGAATTATTCATTCTCTATAACTTACATTCAGGCGATAAGGCATTGATTCAAAATATATGGATGTTGCAGATATCCTTTTCTTATCAGTCATAAAACCATGAGTCAAGCTGAAATTGTATATAAAACCAATCTATTTGAATTTTGCAATGACTGTGCTATTAAAATATGAACACATGTTTATCATTAATATTTTGGTCTTCTTGGTAGTTCAGAGTGTTACATGGGGCTCTGAATAGTCTAAATAGCACTTCGTTAATAGCATCTAATTTTTCTACTCCAGCCAATGCCTGGCTTGCACACCATCTACAAAACTTAACACAGGGTTCATCACCGCAAACATAAAAAGACATATCTGTAACTTACTGTCCACCATGTGGGAGATCTTGGCCCATGATACGCTCATGAGGTTTAAGTAAGCCAGTATATACTGCAAAATTTGCTGGTGAACCTGAAATAAACAATTTTACACATTGATTAAATGTTCAACAGTTATTTTAAAATTTTTATGGTTCCCTATTAAAATGTCTTTTACCAGAATATGGTTGTACATTAACTCCCCATTTTTCTGGATCCAAGTTAAATGCTTTAAGAGCTCTCTCCTGTACCAGTAATTCAATCTTATCAATATATTTATTGCCACCATAGTACCTAAAATTCAAGTTGGTATATATGGTATATAAGTTACAAATGGTTTGATGTATACAAGCTCTAATTTAGCATCTGTAACTAATTCACTTGTTCATATCTATCAAAACAAGTGTTTATAAACCATAAATTAGCAGAAGTTCTAAACAAACATAGTTAAATAGTATATTACCTTTGACCTGGGTATCCCTCAGAATATTTGTTATTTAGGCAAGATCCCAAAGCCTCTAAGGCAGCTCTGCTGCAAAAATTCTAAAAGTAGTTTGATTCAAATCAATTACATATCTGACAGAATTGACCCATCAAAAGAGTAGCTTATCAGTAAATGCTGCTTTTGTTAAAATGTAAACCATGGTGCATCTGTATACATTTGTTGTTCACAGTTGTATGTGTACTACAGTTGTAAAAGCGAAACATAGATTTTAGTGTCTTTTTTGCTGTTGTTTTATTACAGAATCTATATTTAATACTCTCGAAAAAACGTTGTTTCAGTTGAAAAATGCAGATTTATATACCACCGAGAAGTTGTTCGTATAAACCTACGTTATGTAATTTGACCTCCTATAAATTCCTCACTCACAAATTGTAAACAAAGTACTAGTCACGTTAAAACTTTAACTTCTGGTAAAGGAGAATAAATAACGGTTCGTAAATTCTATATTGAACACTTCGCGCTACACAGAAGATAGGCAAATCAAGGAAGTAATCAATCTGTTTTTTTAAATAAATATATCCATTGTTTACTTTATATACAGCTCTCAAAGGTGCTTTATGTTTTTTAAAGAATAAATTTGCGCGTCATCAAGTAAAATCTGAAATCAAATATTCTTTAATTAAAAACAAATGGTAAATGTACAAACATTTTACCTCCGAAGCTATAAGTTCAAGGCCACTTCTCTGCCGCTCTTTTTCTTGTCGAATAAGAGCATACATTTCTGGATCGTCGTTTTCCAGCGATTCATTTCCATGCCAGTGATGGTCGTGTCGGATAGACGAAATGGCCCAATAAAGGCCTTTGCGGCCACGTATTGTTGTGAAAGAACGTTTTAGGAGACCCTAAATTTGAACAATCATTAAAAGGATCGGAAAAGATATTAAATAAAAAAAATTGATGAATTTTAAACTAATTTTTAAAAGCCATTCATACTTACCTTTCCGATTGTTCCACTGATCATTTTGCATTGGCACTGGTGTTGAACAGTGGACTACACATATAATAGGATACTGCATGTTATAGTTGTATAACTAGGGACAAAGTGGGATAGCTGTTAGCTGCATTGTCTGCCCACGCGCTTGAATTCCAACGGGGACTTGCGCGGAAAAATAAAAATTTTGCGCAGAATTTGTATAGCGCTCATTTTACTATTTTCAAATTTACGGCAATAAACTGTTAGTGTGAATTTCGTTCTGTTTCCCAATTTTTTCAATGTAATCAATGTAACCTGATTCCTACACAATTTAACCAAGATTCCAACACATTCGTGGGTTATTGCATTTTAGAAGAGTTTACATTAATGAGCTTGTGTTTGTTAAAAATGACCCGACATGATCGAGGCGTGCGATGCTTCCCCCGCCTATGTGCGTGTTGGGTAGAGAGAGAGAGAGAGTAAATGCGGTCCCTAAACGATATATGCCAACACCCTTTTCGCAAGTCACCACACCATACTATGAAAGGCTAAACAAATTCAACAAAACAGAAGGTTTTATTTTATTTTACTGCCTAGGCAATCAGCAATTTGAAACAGCAAGCATGTGAGCAGAGATATTAATCTATTTTTAAGGGAAAGCTCGTACTATGTATTATGTCTGTTTTGAGGCTATGTGCACACGAGCATCGTTTTCGAGCGTCTTCAAAATCGTTTTTGCCTAGTGTATCGTTTTGACGTCCTGTCCACACGATCCAAGAAAAATAGCTTTAACTTCTATTGTAAATTGACGGTGTTTGAAACCGTTTTGGTATGAAAACGAAAATGAAAACACTCGAAATCGTCACCGTCACATAGTCAAGAGTATCCCCTCAAGACTGTAACCCTCTAACAACAGTTTCGTAACACTACTCTATACAGGGTGTATAAAAAGTACGCCTTATTGAAATGAAGCTTCTGTTCGAATTTCAATGCACTTTTAATGCACCGGTGTGTAAAAAGCAGATTAGTTAAGGTTGAAGCATTCAAATCGAGGGTCTCGTTTTAGCATCCGTGAGTTTAGTTAGCATAATAATAAGGCATCCAAATTAAAGCTTGATTGTAACAGGGGCTACTTTTTATACACCCTGTATAACCTAGCAAACTAATTGATTTCGATAGGATATTTTTGCAGGAGGTCCATAAAAAGCTAGAAAATTCATTTTAGTATTATTGCAGTTCGTTGCGGTCAGGAATGTACTTACGCATATGAAACGCGTTACTTTTACTGAATTCATCGAATAAACAAACCAGCTACATCATCCCTCCCATTCCCCCCATGCCACCCATTCCCCCCATGCCACCAGGCATTGGCATATCCTTCTCCTCTTTTGGAGCTTCAACGATCGTGACTTCAGCGGTCGTTAATAATGATGCAACACCAGAAGCATCAGTAATGGCAGTACGGACTACTTTGGTTGGATCAATAATACCAGTCTGCATCATATCCACATACTCATCGTTCGCAGCATCATAACCCATGTTATGATCCAGAGATAATACCTGAAAACACACACACATGCAGTGTCAACACCTGTGTAGACATTCTCAACAGAGCTAGGGCTGAGTGAACTATCGCACCGAAGAAAGGGAATAGATTATTGAAGCAGGGGAAGGATAGGCAATCGAATTGTTTATCAGCTAAAAATTAAGTCGACGTTGAAAAGCAATTTAGAGACTGTCAATTTTTAATATTTCAAAATCAATGATATGTATATACCTTTTCAACAACTAACGTGGCCTCAACTCCAGCATTTTCAGCAATAGTTTGACATGGCACACGCAACGCTCGCCTCACAATTTCGACTCCAATTTTTTGATCTTCATTCTTCGCTTCAACATTATCTAACTGTTTGATACTTCTCAAAAGAGCCACTCCACCACCAGGAACAATTCCTTCTTCCACTGCTGCTCGAGTTGCGTTCAAAGCATCAGTAACTCTATCCTTTTTTTCATTTACTTCCACCTCACTGGAGCCTCCAACCTAAAAATCACACAAAAAAGTAACCGTTCAGGGAGAAACCGAGTCCTCGTAACTCTGGTTTACAAGATGTTGTTTTTCGGTGCATGTTTTTCTAATAAACATAATAAAGTTTTCAATTATTGTGTAAAATATGAATGATACTTACTTTTAATATAGCAACACCATCCGACAGTTTCGCCAATCGTTCATTCAACTTTTCTTTTTCATATTCCGAAGTTGTGTCTTCAATTTCATCTCTGATCTGCTGGCATCTTGCCTCAATATCATCTTGATGACCTTTCCCTTTTAGTAAAAGGCAATCGTCCTTCGTTATTGAAATTTCACCAACCTCACCAAAATCTTGAAGTTTAATGTCTTCAATTTTCGTATCTAAGGCGTCGTCGCCAAACACCTAGTGAAATTTAAAAAAACAGAAAATTGGAGGTTTACAACACAACCAAGCCTCCACCCCCAAATTTCCTAAAACTAAGTCGTACCATTCCCCCCGTAGAGATTGCCATATCTTGAAGCATGTTCTTTCTGTTATCACCAAATCCTGGAGCTTTTACAGCAGCAATTTGTAATCCAATTTTTAACCTGGAATGTACCCAATAAAAATTTACGTTTTAGTTTTCACACTATTTAATTTAAAAAGCTGTTAACGTTGATTAGTGAATTGGCTTACTGTATGATTACAGAACAACTTTGCAATAGAACTTATTCAACAGAACTTAAAAAAACTTGTGGAAAATCTTGGCAATATACTTTTGCTGTCATCTGCCTCCATCACAGACTATTTACCAATTAACTGTTATTTAACTAGTGTGAATTACAATTATAGTTCGAAGAAAGAATCCTAATGCATAATAATATAATAAAACACAAAATAGATTTTCTATATTTCACCTATTTATGACCAGAGTACTTAACGCTTCTCCTTCGATATCTTCAGCAATTATAATAAGAGGTTTTCGTGAAGTGTTCGCTAACTCCAAAGCAGGGACGATTTGTTGGATAGTTGAAATCTTTTTTTGACACAAAAGTAACAAAGCATCTTGATATTCTACTTTTTGTCCTAAAACAGAAGCAAGTTGGCAAGAGTCTATCACTTGCTTTTGTAGATAGAAAACTAAACAGACTGGTCAGGACTAAACAGACTGGAGATAATTTCTAAACCTTGAGTCACTCAAATGCGATTTACTGTTTTACTGAGGGGGGGGGGGGGGGCAGGAGTTGTACTGTTCACACAACTTGCATACTGCAGTTGATCCATTTCGTTGCACAGTGGTGCACGCCTAGTTTATTTGTTGGCTGAGAGAGCGTTGGCGCCCCAGGGTCTGTGTTCAAAGACTTGGAGGTCAGGCACGTACTCAGTAATTGTCTGTTAGCAAGCAAAGTTTCTACGCAACACTATGTTCATAGATACTGTACTTTTATTGCCTCAAAGAAGATACTGTACTTTTATTGCCTCAAAGAAGATACTGTACTTTTATTGCCTCAAAGAAGATACTGTACTTTTATTGCCTCAAAGACTGAAGTTGAACCAAACCTTTTGCAGTGTTGATAAAGTATGGTGATATGTAACCACGGTCAAACTTTAAACCTTCAATCAGTTCTAATTCATCTTGAAGAGTTTTACCATCCTGTTTGAAAAGGCAAAAATAAATTATTAACATATTCTTAAACTTTGCATTTTTGCATGCAGTACTGGTAAACAAGGTCAGTTTCTATATCCCTGATCAAGAAGTAAAAAAAAATGCAAAAAGAAATACCTTGACTGTGATTACTCCATTTTTACCAACTTTCTTCATTGCAGATGAAATAAGATCTCCAACACTTCTATCACCATTAGCTGATATGGTAGCAACCTGACATTTCAAGAATAAAATTTTCTCTTTCAAAAAACAATGCAATATTGTGCTGAAATGTTTAAATTTTGATTGGATTTGGATATGTAGCTGCTTCATGTTAACTTTTGTCAAGTTTTTAGTTTTTCAAAACTGCAGAAGATCTAGAGCAAATGCGAATGTTTTAAAAATAAGTCCCAATACAAAGGATTACAGACCTGAGCTATCTCTTCTGGTGTGGTTACTTGCTTTGACATTTCTTTTAAATGATTTACAACATGTTCATTTGCTGTAAGTACACCTAAATTATGATAGCAGTTGTTAAAATATAATTGAAACTTATACTTGGTAAAAGTGAACTATGAGTGTGCATGAATAGAGTGTTAACCTCGTCGAACTTCTTGCGGATTTGCCCCTCTGGAAACTTTCTCAAAACCTTCTTTTGCAATATGTCTAGCCAGGATAGTAGCTGTCGTTGTGCCATCACCAGCTTCTTCATTTGTATTATTTGCAACGTCTTGAACTAAGCGAGCCCCAAGATTTTGAAATTTGTCTGCTAAATCAACTGCTTTTGCAACAGTTACACCATCTTTTGTAATCTTAGGCCCACCAAAAGACTGTTCGATAATGACATTTCGTCCCTGAGAAAATATTACACAACAATATATGGTTAATCCACAAACCTAAAATATTTCTGTACAGTATGTTACATATGTATGATAAAAGGTCGGAAAATAAAAATGATTCAAGATTCAGTAATTTAGCAGATGTTATACATATTTGCAAAGTGTATAAAAAAGGTGATCTAAAGATGGGTCTAGTTTCTAGCTGTTGATAGCATTTTTGTTGAAAAATCCTAGTAAATTTAGTTGATGTATAATAATTTTTAAGAATCATTCATTTGATAAAATGAATTACTTTTTAGTGCATCATGTGGTAAAAATAAATACCTTTGGGCCAAGTGTAGCAGCAACCGCTTCTGCTAAAATATCAACACCTTTCAGCATTGCTGATCTTCCATCACGTCCAATTTTCAACTCCTTAGCATTGCATGTACTTGAAGTATTTAGGCAAGCAGCAAATTGTGGGGATAACACTCGTTTTGTAACGTGGACTGAACGTAAAAGACTGGGAAGGCGATACATTCTGCGAAAAACAGACAAGTCCTTGATGGGTGTATGTGTCAAAAGTTATGCAGCTTTCATCAGTTGGAATGGTTGATAAATATGCACATATTTATTGTTTATATATATATATATATAATTAAATTGTTATGTTTCAATCAAATGTTTGAATACATCTGGCATTTCAGCTATATAGGTACCCATGGGTATTTTGACCATAGCTTGCCAAGAATTTGGAATAAAAAATTTCATTGGAAAGCAGGCAGTGCTCTTTGCTCTGTCAACCTTATCAAAACTCAAGACTTAAGGAACACTTTTTAAGTGGTTTCCAGTTGGCAGCTTCATGGGATTCCTTTTAAATATTTTCATATTTAATTAATACGAGATGAGTGCTGAGATATTGTTCAATTCGTGGTCATTAGCTCATATACTGTACAATCCGTACAATCCTAGAGATTGTATAGAACAATAAATCTACATAGCTGCATATTATACTCAGAAAAATATACAAACACAGCCAAATTTATTTAGAATTGATTGTGATATTATGTGATATTAATTTTTGAGCGAATTATTAAATGATCGCGCACACGCCACATGGCACTTCAAGAACCCATAAGTCAGAAATTGACCCTTATAAAAAAGTGTGACTTCAAAACCTATCAATGATAATGCTTTCAATTAAGACTATACAGTATATATATATGTCAATACCTGAATATGAAGAAATTCAAAGTGAATTTGAAATAAAGAAGTGAACTAGCTCTGCACCAGAAAGAGACAGCACGTGTTGCAACCTTCGGTCAACGTCTTGCATAAGACAGAACCACTCATGCGCACAACAATTTGTGCGGAGCATTTAATATTCCATACATCAAACGATCATCCTTACCAGCGATTAGCACTTTTCTCCATTTGTTTTTATTTTCTACTACTTTCGCTTTCCTAAATTGACTATTCACTAAATTAGTTAATCACATGTGCGTTGGAAAATTTAAATCTAACACTTGAAAAGTAGAATACACATTAGGTGATTTTTTCGCCAATCCTTTTCAAAACAGTAATTTTTCTGTTCTTGTATTTTTATTTTACCTTTTACATTATCCGTCCTTTTATAAGACTTAAATTGCAATTGATCGATAAACAATTTTTTTATTTTATCGTATCTTAGCTTCTACTTTTGAACGATGCTACTTTACCTTTCATTAAAGAATAATTACGCAAGATTTTTTTCATACTGATAGGGCATATTCGTGGCGAGCGTGCACGTGTGTTGGTCGGAGAGAAAGATTTTTACGAAAATGGTGAGAAATTCCTACTTAACATAATTATTTTTGAACTTTCCAAGTAAACTGTCGACAGACAATCTTTGGTGGGCAAAAAAATTAAAATTGCACGAAATGAAGAGACAGTTTTAGCGGTTCGACGTGTTCTATATAATTAATATAAAAGGGTGAAGCTAGTTAATACCGTGTTCTTGTCTTATTTAGTTGCGGTTTTTCGTGGTAGTGAAATTATTTGAAAATATATAATTGTGTCTATCGAAGGAACTATGTACTAGCGCTGCCTAATAAATGAATTTGTACAAACAATGGTGGCATGGTGGTAGAAGTGTTGGGTTCAGTGGGTTGAGGCAGCACGAATTTTTTTGACATGCGCATTAGAAAAAATCATAAGTTGCATGAAAAAGTACCAGAATAAGTTCAGACCACAATGAGATATTTTTTAATATGAATCCCAAATCTGCAGTAGTTTGGAGTACAAAGTTCATTCAGATAGCCAATGTCTCCATCCAAAAAAAGGCATCCCTCAACATTTTGACATCATGTACACAGTGTTGGTTAATATGTGTATTCTATTTTTAGGCTGCTGTTATTAGAAACTTAAGACCATTACTTGATAGGATCATTGTAGAAAAACTCTCCCAACAGTGAGTTTATATGATTATTGGTTCCTTGCTCACAAACACTGATAGGAATGTTATAACAGCATGGCTTCTTATTAGTGATTAAGTTCATTTGGAAATTAGTGATTACACTGAACTCTAAATGAACATTTTAGAATCATGGTAAGTAACTATAATTTCCTCAATTTTAGCAATAATAGTGGGTCCAAAATATAAATTAATTGCACAAATTAATATTGTAGACAACAAAAGGTGGAGTTATTCTGCCTGAACAAGGGTTGGGAAAAGTGCTTAGAGGAACCGTCATATCTGCTGGTCCTGGTAACAGGGATAATGTGAGTATAAAAAAAATTTAACCTTTTGAAAAGTGCTATAATTGGGTATGATTATACATTGTGTTAAAATTCCAAGTAATGCTTTGTCAGTAGTTTGCACTTACTGACTTAATTAGACTACTACTAACATCATTCAATGGCTCCTTGAGATACTTAAGTGATTGGTTGGTCTTGTATTTCTTACTAGAGTGGTAACATTATACCTGTCAGTGTCAAAGAAGGTGACCAAGTGTTGCTTCCAGAATATGGTGGCACTAAAATAAAACTGGAGGATAAGGTATTAAAATATGGCATTAAAAATCTTTGGTCAAAATCATGATGGTTACGAGTAAACCTTTTGCTCCTTTCTAGGAATATCATATATATCGTGATTCCGAAATCCTAGGAATATTCTCAGAATAAATATAGACAGAATTTTGTGCGAGAAAGAGCAGAAACTGAAGTACATACAAAGATGATGCATAACAAGGATTGAAGCAAGTCTCTCCTGCGACTGACATTTTATGTGTTTCAAGATTAGAATTTTCTTAATCGCTAAGAACAAGCTAAAACCTATTCTGCAGTAGTGTTGTTGTTAAAAAATGAACATTATTTTTCTTCTTTACACTTGCTTTTTTAGTTGTGCTTTTCTGTAATAAGATGACATGTAGAACTTAATAAAAATGGTTTCATTATGTGTGGAAACTGGACCAGGATGAATTCCAGGGTTCCTTGGGAGCTGTACCAGCAGAACCATAATAAGTTGGGAAATTTATATTCTAAATTCTTCTGGGAAATTCTTACCTGGAACACCAGGCTGTAAGAAATATCAGTCTATGTACACCTAAGCCTGTACTGCAATTGCAGTAAGCAATGACAGAAATGAAACTGATTACGTTACATCTCGGAATAAAAAATTGCCAAAAATCAGAAACTGTCAAGCCAAGGATGGGTTTTAGATTTTGCTCTGTGTAAATAAATGAACAGCACGCGTTGTTGGGAATAGATGCTGTACTATTGTCATTGGTACTGTACAAAAGATTGCCAGAATATCAATACCAGCATAAACTTTTAATTGTGTGAAAATCTGGACATGCTATAAAAATCTATTTCTTTTATCTGTCGCTAACCAATTCTTTCAAAGCTGCTGTTGTAATGCTTTTGGGTCTTTCAATTGGTAAGCCTAGTGCTCTGTCCCACACCAGAGATGCCATCACGCCGACCGCACGTGAAATAGCAACCAAAGCAGGAAAGTAATTTGTTTCTGTCAAGCCGTAGTGCTATAGATGGATAAGCAAAATTTAACTTTAAACTACACGTTAATACTGACACAGTAGTAATATGAATATAACAACGATAATAGATCGGTTTGTGTAAGATGAGGCACAAAACATTACATATCAACCCATGGCCTAAGAAAGAGTGCGTTTCGAAGTATTTCTATACCCGCCTTTAAACCTCGTTCTGTGACCAATCTGGTTATGGTGGTATGGACTATTATAGGGTTCCACACAAGGGTTCCGGTCTGATGTAAACGGGGTTAATCTGTTTAGCTAAACATATACCACTCGAACCTAGCTCTTCATACAGAGTACTAACCCTCCGATGAGAGCCCTTCGGTGGAACATCGAGAATTTTTTCCCTTTTCAATGCAGTTTGTATGCCACATTTGTTTCGAAGACATTGCATTGTACTGGAGAAAAAGTAAAAAATATGCAACTGACGAGGATTGAGGATCTCTGTATTTCTATTTCTTATTCTTTTCAGCCATTAAAATCTCAACGAGCATAGTGTAACTGGGGTGAAGTTACATGGTATAACCTCTCTATAATATGTATATTTTGCCTAGATAGCGATATTCCATTCAGACGACTATTAATTTATGCCAGTCGAAAACCATGTTTTGTTAGCATGTTACGTCTTTTGTTAAGTACCCCTCAGCTTGACTTTTTTATTGTGTTCCAGTTTTGAAAAAGATTTATTTTCTTAGGCAGTCTATTTTCTGTTGGTCATCTCTTTTAAAGCTTCCGTAGTTATACTCTTGGGTCTTTCAATTGGTAAACCGAATGCTCTGTCCCACACAAGGGATGCCATCACACCGATGGCACGGGAAACGCCGAATAGAACAGTGTAGTAATTCATTTCTGTTAAGCCATAGTGCTGTAGGTGAGGAACAAATATAGTGAAAGGTATTAGTATTATTATTATTTGGATATAATTATTCCAAAGAGCATACTTTGCGATATGAAAGTTAGTCAGATTAGTTTTTTTACTAACAAAGCGCTGAAGACGGAAGGAAACACGGAAAAACTATAATTTTTGGTGTAACGAGATTGGTAATAACTACAATACTCGAGGTATTAATGTTTTTTTAATTTCCCCCCAACCAAAATTTTTACTTCATCAGATAAAGTGATCGGTATAGATGGAATCAATTTGACACTAATGTTCTGAGCAAGCTTAAATTAATGAACCTTATGTACACACATTTACACCTGAAGATATCCAAACCTCTCTGATGTACTCATAACCAAGGGCTCGTATAGAAACAAAAAATAAACGGAGTAAAACGCTGGGTTATGTTATGACTGAGGTCGAAATAGCCTGGAATAATACACCTTTTTCATAATGACTTCAAACGCAAAAGGCCGATCATGAGCTAGTCATTGTGTCATTGTGAGATCTGATCAAGCGAAAGTAAATAAAGAGGAACCCACCGTTAGAAGAACTCCACTATGTGCATCCACATTGGGCCAAGGATTTTTTGCTTTTCCTTGCTGAAGAAGAACATCGGGTACGATATCGTAGAGTTTACTGACCACCTTGAACAGCGGATCATCCGGCATGTATTTAAGACAAAACTCCCGCTGACATGTGTATCGTGGATCGGTCTTGCGAAGAACAGCATGTCCAAAGCCAGGGATGACCTGTAATGGAGATATTACAATTGATAAAAAACATTTACAATCAAATTACACTATAGGATTGGGACTATGATTTTTTCAAACCGGTACGCTGTACGCAGTCTTTTAGGACTCCAGTGAAACAATTGCTTAAAACGTTATTTATGGTACTTACAGCAGTTTTGAGAGATTCAAGGCAATATTCTTTTACTTCTTCCGCAGTGGGATCTTGGCCTAGACTTTCCACCAACTTAGTCAGCCAAATCAATACTTCCTGATAGTAAAACAAAAAATTCAATGTTGAATGTTTGAATGTATTTCTCCAAAATATTCAGAAATACGCTGTTGTGCGTATGCGTATATTGTATACAGGGGCGGATTACCGCGGGTCACCTCCCCTTTATATGGGGCCCTACAGTGACACACTGTATATGGTGGGGCCATCGAAAGAAGCACTTACAATGCCTCATTTATGTCCCAGAGATCACAAACCTGATTAGCAAGGCCATGTAGAGGTCCAGCCAGTCCATTCATTCCAGCAGCAAAGCACAGATAGGGATCAGATAGAGCACTACCAACTAGATGTGTACAATGAGCGCTCACATTACCACCTTCATGATCAACATGGATAGCCAGGTACATACGCAACATCTCTGCAAAGTTGGGACTGTCAAACCCAAGCATTGTTGCAAGATTTTTCGACCAATCTTGTTGTGGATCTATAGGAGCAACTTTGCCATCTCGATAAACATTGCGATATATTACAGCAGCTACTGTTGGCAGTTTTGCAATCAAATCCATGGCGTCCTCGAATGCATACTAAATGATAAAGGAATACGATCGCTAGACAGTCATACAGTGATGCAGACACGTGCTATTAATAACGAAGACTGAGCTGTGTCTAGCTCAACACGCTTACAATAGTTGAGGTGTAGTTATTAAAAAGTAATATTAGCTACCTCCCAAAACTCGCTTTTCTTAATTCCGTTGCTGTATCCTTTAGCAAAATGACTCTCGCTGTTCATCGCTGTGACTGCTGCGCTCAACTGACTCATGGGATGAAGTTCACTGGGAAAGTCGTTTAACAATTGAACAACGTGAGGTGGAAGGTCAGCACGAGCAGCCCATTCTTGAGATAATGATTTCGCCTGAACAGTATGACATAATGAATACGCTGGTAACATCATAACATGCACCTGCATTACTTTACTCATTACTTGACTAATATTACATAATCACTGTAATGAACACATTGAACAAAACTAAGAATGCAAGTCAAAAAATTCAATGTACCACTGCTCAACAAATAATTTTTTGTACCAGATCTATTTATAATATGAAAACGTTCAGGTCATGCAAAAGTTGGAAAATTATACACCTTAGAAAAAATTCCTTATCTATGAAATTAGTTGTTGTAAGTAATTAATGTATGACCTGTTCAGCAGTTGGTACTTCTCCAGTAATCAACAACCAAAACATGGCCTCGGGCAATATCTGCTCACCACCTTCAGCTGTTGGCAAAAGCTAATAAAAGGTTTAAAACAAACAGCTAAATGGTTGTGTAATGACAACTACAGAGTATTCTTGGTATTGTAATGCTTTTTGCCAAATCCATGAATTAGAAATCACAAATGGAAATAGACAAGATGTTGTATGGACAAATTGATACATTTTGATCAAGTGCTGTAATCTTGGTAAAACATACCTTTTGGCATTCAGGAATCGAGTATCCCCTAAAACGAATTCCCTGCAAAAATTTATACAAAATATGAAATGCATGTACAAGTGTTATTTGCAAGAAGGGACTGAAATATATCAAACAACCATTAGAGCAAATAATCAAATAATGAATAACTAAACCTCTTCAGGATCCAACAATGATGTTTCAGTGACCAGCCCTATTATTCCACGCATACCTCCATAGACCTTGAATCAAAACACAACATTTTAACTACAAGACATACTAAAGGTGAAGTAGTTGTTTTAATGATCAAACATTTCCAAACATTACAAAATATGGCATATACAGTACAATATCTTAAGATCTGCAAAATGTTTTTTTTCTATATAAACATAAATGACTGGGAGGACTAGCTGCAGCTATAACTGTGGTATTTTTATTTGCTTCTGCATTTTGCAGGCAAACACACATTGCATGTTATATATACCAAAACTTACTAAAATTAAGAAATAAGACATTTTGTCATAAAAATAATTTTGGTTGTACTTGTCACTCATTCTGAATGCTTTTCACTTCCAATTTGGCTGACCTGATCTACAGTGTATTGTCCAATAACTTTATCTGCATATTCCTTCCGAAACTCTGCAACTTCTTTTTGTTTCTCAGGAACAATACTCTTCATGACATCTTTCAGACTCTAAACATGTAGGAAGAAGAGAATAACTAAATGTAGAATAAAATAGCCACATATATAATCCTATTGTAAAGTTTTTTTTCCACAAGGAAAAACATAAGCACAACAATGTGCCAACTCAATTTCATTTGTGCATGGTCTTATGTCTAATTTCTAAAAATGTCTAAAGTGAAACCTATAAATTTGAATGTTTTAAATAATATATTTTGTATTTCCTTATTATTAAATTAAACTACAAGCATTTCTCTCAATCGGGTTGACACAATTATTCCTTTGTGACTTCACTGTGCTGCTGACATTAGCATTATTTTAAAACACTGCGCTGTGCTTTAGAAATAGGTCACATGACTGTGCAAAACCTTCTATAGATTTGAAAGTTAAAGTTTCAATTTTGCTATTAATCCTGCATTTTTTTTGTACTATATTCTTATATTCTTAAAATTTAATATTCTTATATTCTTAAAAATTGCATCCTGATTTGCAAGTCACAAAAGATTAATTTGTAAAATATAAAAAGTTCTCTATTTTAAAAGATTTATTTTACAATATGCTAGTGTGTAATTTCACTACTTTGAGTGATATGTTTTGCATTTATTGCTGACTATTTAATAAAACGATTGTGGAAAGTATGTTGCATGGTCAATAATTCTGATGTGTAATTTGTATGGCTTATAAATACATACTCTTTACATTTTTGAAATCTTTCACATGCATGCAATTTTCATCCTGTCAGATGTATTTCAATACTTCACTGCTACGTACTGACAAGTCTGGAAACTGGTCCAGAGCTTCATTCATACGTATAACTAAACATCACTAGCTCCTGAGGGGATTATTCTTTAACAGATATATGACAAGTACATAAACTACAACAGCGAACATGCAACATCACATGTTTTTAGCTATTTCATCATTTTCTGACTTCCACCCTTTCACGTTTAGCCAAGACTTCAAAAAACGAAAATAGTAATTTCAAATATCTTACCGATGCAGCTGAAGATTGGGATCGCACAGAAATTGAAGCGAACTGCTTGGCAGAAAACTACAAAACAAAACTTGTCTAAATCTATATGTAATTATGTACTGTATATAGCAAATTATTAATAAAGAATTGTATACGGTGTCGTACTGTCGTCTCATGTAGAAATTATAGTTTGACATACCTTAGGAGCATGACGACAACCCCGTAATATGAGCGCTACACTGGCCATTATTCAATAGAGTATTTGCAAAAAAAAGGAATGATTACAGCAATAATTTGCTTTCCTCCTTGGTCAGTTTATTCAGGGCTGGTTATTTGGCTAGAGGAACTTCGAACTCTCGCGTCTTGTAAATTATATTGGTCCCAGGCCAAAGTACGCGGGAATCGAGTTAAAGCTAGCTATGACGCAACATAATTTTAATTAAAGCTGCCACTTTTCCGGCGTTTGGCGAACACCGGTTGTTTGTAAAATAGAATAGACGAGAGACACATGACTGTTCTGGTTGCCAACTTATCCTTGACCCTCTGGATATCCTTAAACTTCTTTAGGTGAGTTTACGCTCAAGTAAACGCAAAGGTCTAAGCAAGAACCGATGAGGTTCAAGCTAGGGTCCAAGGTCTATTTTTTGACAACGTCCGGCACTGTTTTAGTTCCCTCGAAAACCCTCGAATACTTTTATTCATTCCTTTGAAACTTACCATTTGCTTTTTGATCCCCGACGTGACCACAGAGACATTTTGGGGGGAATATGGGGATGCAAGCCTAAGGCTAAGGAAGAATTAGCATGTCGCCCCGAGCCCCTGGCAGGCTGGCGATAGAGATAGATAAGTAAAATAACACATGTGTTATTTATAATCTCTAGCCCCTGCCCTGGGTAAAGCCTGGTAAAAGGTGAAATAAAATTATGATTCTTTCGCTGGTTAAAAAGTACACTTTAAGTACACGTTAAATACACTGAAAGAATTAAAGAGTTTGTATGTGTTATGTATTATTCAGATTCGAAGTCTTTTATGCTTGGTCTACATTTTATTTAGCCTATATATACAAAACAGGTAACTCGGCTATAATTTACAGCTTATAATTTATTTAGTATTATAGACACTACAAACCCACGAAATATGTCCATGCCAACAGATAAAGGAATAATGATATATTTAATACTAAAGTCTAGTACTGCGACCATACCGGTACCGCAACGGCGGGCGAGAATACGACCTATTTTTTTATCTTCAATATGTCACAACAAAAAGAAAAAAAACGAGAGTTCGCTTTTACAATAGATCTTTCCCCTTTTAGCTTTCAAGCGCGCAAAGCGTGACGGTAGTTGATTATCAAGGTCAATTTGAGTTGTGATTTCGCCATGTTCAGGAGCGATTTAGTTTAAAGACGCAAAAGAATCGGGAAGGTCTTACAAACAAAATCGCCTCGAAGCAGAGCGATATCGCAACTCAAAGTTGCTTGATAAACAACTACCGTCACGCATTGCGCGCTAGGAAGCTAAAAGGGGAAAGGTCTATTGCTATAGAAATTGTTTGAATATCTCAAACATTTACATCGCTCCGCCAGAAATTGGCGAACACAGTTCAAAACATCTGCCTCGCTAGCAGTCAATTGCATGTAATTTTTACGTACTTTATAAAAGGAAAATTGGCATTCAGATTCGAAAAGATGATCGAAAATGGACATATGTTTTCTTTGGCGCAGATTTACAAAAATGCAGTCCAGGATGCACAACGAATGCCTCTTCACTGAAAGCTCCATAGTTAACAGAAATTCATCATATTTTATTACATGATTCTGCTCAAAACTATTTACAGTTAGTGCTATCATCAGAAGAAGAACATAATAATAATACATTTATACTGCATGGACATCTTGTTCCTATTCCTATAAATAATGCATCAGTGAAATCCATTCTTCTCCCCAGGCTACCATTAAAACTCCCCGCCCCAACCAAATAATTGGCTGGCCAGATAATTTGTCTATGAATAATACTTCTCACTTGCTCGTTTCGTTACTATATTTTTACAAAACTTTTCTTGTCAGGGCAATTGACATTGGATTTGATGCGAATTAACTGATGCATGAAAGGGAACGCTAGAAGAGCACCATCCTGCTGCAGTAATAAATATTGACATACTGCAAACATCACTTGCCTTCAATGATGCAAGATAGACTGTTATAACCTTCGTTTCTTCGCTTTAGGACCTGAAGAAAGTGTGATAAAATTAGGATATATGTGTATTTTATATAGCAGCAGGACATACAGTAATTGCTATATCCACTGGGAGGATTTCTTTTTTCCCTATGCATAATTCTGAGAAGGTCAGCTTTGCGAGTTAAATCATTATCGTGTGGAGAAAAAGCGACTAAATGATATTTCATGTAGTAATAGTTTACACACCTTGCCTAGACCTTAGTCTTTCTCGCTAGAAAAAATAAAAAAGTACAGGAACAACTTAACAAAAAGTGTCACTACAACAAATCTAAATTACAGGGAATGCGAATGACTACATACTAAAAATTATATGATACCCTGACACTCATATACACCCATGAAGGGTGAAAGAAAAATATCGAGAATCGAATCTGAACTATGATGATACCGTCATTGTCTTATCAAGGATAATAAAATAAACTGGAATCAAAATATATTTATTTCATTATTCATCATGGCCTTGTAGAATGGAGTTGAAATGACTTCAACTTCAGTAACTTAGACTCTGCCGAGTGGGAGTGACCTAGAATAGAAACATACCTGATCCAGTTCCTCTAGAGCCTCGCTTATCGCTTGCTCCAATCCTACCCTTGTCCTCTTGCCTCTATAAATAAACAAAAGCTAGATGTAGTTAAAGAGCCACATGCACGCAAACCAAACACTAGGCAAGCCATACGTATCATCATGCATGGATAGTTAAAAGACAGTGATTTTATTATCCATGTGGTATCATACTATAGTTTGATATATATAGAATATAGAACTATAGTATACAACTTTTCAAATCAAACCTCTGAGGTAACTCGGAGCATCTCCTGGTATTTGAATGTTAAAGAACTGAGGTTTACCTATATTTTCTTTTTTTGCCTTTATCATCCAACGTTTTCAAACCATCGGTCAACGTCTTTAGTTTCTCGACTTCTACTTGACTAAAATTATGATCTCCAAACCACATAACCCATTTCTACATGAAGTACGGCAAGAAGAGATTTTCGCATTGAAGTAATTCTGAGATATTAACCTCGTACTCATGCAGGCGCTAAAGGTAGAGCTAACTAAAAATAGGCACACTACAAGTTCAGTAGCTAAGCTTAGCGAGCGCCTAGATACGAGGCTGTGTTACAGAGAAACCACATTAGCAACGTATGGAGAGAAGTAGAGCATTAATGTGAGTATATAATCACCTTTCCAATATCAGCAGCAGCTTTGCCATTTCCCACATCACGTTCGTGAACAATCTTACCAGGCCAAGATGGTAAACCTCTCGCTTGGGCCCACACTATATCACCAATCGTAAACTCCACGGGAGCTTCTGAGGCTACCATCTCTTGATTCACTTCTTTAGTGATTTTAGCATCTTTAAAAGTTGGAACCATGTCCCATGTTAATTGCAGTTCGTTCTCAAATACAACACTGGACACATGCATACTGCATACATATATAACAGCAGGTGTTTATAGGGAGATGGACAACTCGAACAATTTAGATCCGAAGGTAACAACTTATCTCGAAATAAGGATCCTATACCTTTATAAGCTACATGTTAAACCATACAACAGAAAACTTACCATTTAACACACTCTCAGTTTTGCAATTCTGAACATCCTGCTTTTTTATCTCCTTCTTATTTATGACCTTGCACTCTTCATCACATTTCCGTTTTTTCGACATACTGCTTGAAGCTTCATCTTCTGTTTCCATCTTTGGTTCGTTTGGCACACTATCTTCAGGTGCACCTGTCTTCACATTTGTATCCGTAACTAAGTCCGCTCCAATATCATTGTTTCCAAGTGTCTCTGTTTTAACATCACAATCGCTTTCTTTGTCCACTTCAGAGACTTCGACGTGTCTCTCCTCATTCGTACTTGATTCCAGGGTAAGATTTGAACATTCATGGCTAGTATCATTATCTAAGTCTAATGTAGTATTATTACATTCGCTGTTAACATTCTCTGAGTCAGATTTTACAGTTGAACTTTCAGTATGAGCGTCGGGAGACTTCACAACTTCACACTCCGATGTTGATTTACCTTCAGCGGTGACAATACTTTGACTCTCCGATGTACTAGAGTCAATTAACTGTTCGCTTTCTATCGTGATAGAGTCTTTACTAACTGTAACGCTGGTCACACTAACTTCTTCCGTCTCTGAATTCAAACTATCGTTTGTGATTTCATCTGTTGAAATGACTTCCGACAATTCATTCGGTGGTGTCACAATATCTTTTTTCATGTCACCACACACTTCCTGACCGGAATTCTGAGTGATAGTATCAATTAAATCGGGATTAACCGGGTTGTCTTTATTTTCACAAGACATACCATCATCCACTTCGCTAGTAATGCAATCACTTTTTTCTTCTGTGTTGCTATCTTCAATTGCTTCGTTACTAGTGCATTCTTTCGTTGCCGCAGAATCGTCATGTATTGAAGCAGCCATATCACTATCAACTATCTCGCATTTTTCTGCTGAATCGTTATTCGTTAACTTAACTGCCTCGTTACTAACACAATCCATTTTCTCCACTGAATCGTCAGGTGTCGAAACAACTATCTCGCTTGCAGAGGAACCTTCTTTCTCTTCTGATGTGTCATTTTTGAGATCATCTTTCTCATTATTCTGCAGTGAATTGTCATTTGCTGCAGCATTTGTCTCGCTGCTTGCGCATTCTATTTCCTCTGCAGACTTGTCCTTTGTACAAATATCTTTTTCACTATTGGTAAAAACACAATTTTCCGTTAAACTTTCATTGCTACCAGTCTCTGTATCTGTGCGAGCAGTTTTCTCAGCTGAGGTCTCATGTGTTGAACTAGACTCGACACTATTAAAATCATCTTTTTCCATTGAACTAGAATTCATCGGAGTGCTTATCTCAGTGGTAGTAGTGGTGGACGTATGTTCCTGTTTCATATTGTTGTCCTTTGTTGAAGCAACTGTCGCACTGCAAGAAGTAACCGTGCTCGAAGTACAGGATTTGCTTATCATGGACATGCTAGTAGAGTCTGATACTTTTCTCCTTTCTCCTTCATCAACTGTAGACACAATCGTATTTGTAATAACAACACTGGACGTACTTCCAACAGCAACAACACCGGATGTTGTTACAGCATTGGTCGTGACAGGAACTGGTATAGGTGTATTCTTCGCAACAATTTTTGGTTTACTTTCCTGAGAACTAGATCCGGAAGATTTAGAAGTCGACGCGGTCATTTTAGTTTGGCCATAAGATGGAGTCGTGTTTTTGCCATTAAATGTTTTTGTGTTTTGACTTGGCAAACCAGGACGTGTACTTGCATACTGACTGATTTGCATAAGCTGATACGCTAACGTGTTTGAACTCGCCCCTTGAGTTAATAATTGTTGCCAATATGGATTATTATAGTTACTTACTAGGTTAACCAACTGTTGTGAAAAACTCGATGTAGTAACTGAAGCGGGCGCTATCGAAACAAAGGCACTATACGCAGCAGCAATAGCGGATGTACTCACAGGAGCTGCGTAAGTGGTTGGCGAAGACTCTTTCGTTGTAGTCGTTGCCGTGGTTGCTGGTACAATGGGTTTTGGTGTACCTGGTTGTGTGATACCAAGGAAATATGGTATTACAGTGTTGGGTGTCACACCGAGGACTGTGGGGTTTGCAACATTATTTCCATACGGTAATCCCTGTAATGTGTACAGATTACTATAGGGATTTTGTTCTTGACTTTTACATGCGCCTGCACTAGGCCGGGGGGTTGCACCGGCCAGCTGTACGCCTGGTACAACACCTGGTTGTAATATTATGCCACAATATTGAAGTGGTTGGTTTAACGGATCCACCGGGTTGGTTGGAGGTCTGATGTTGTTGGGCTTATCCGAGTTTGAGGATATAGCAATTGGATGCACTTTCGTTGGCAATGCTGGTTCAGATCTACCTGGGACTGTTGTATTAACAGGTAGTTGTTTCTGTACAACTTGTGGTAAATCATGTTTCAGTTGTGCTTTGGATGTGACGTGAGATGCACTGCTAGAAGTCATCGTTGCTGGATTTTGTGCCTGATTTGGATAGGGAAACACCAGCTTTGGCGCATTTTCCTGAACTTTCATTGTAAAACCTCCTTTAGGTTTCTCCAGGGAAGTTTTATCTGGACTGGCTTGAGGCAGTCTGGAGAGCGGAATACCAGGAGCTTGTGGCCAATTAACGTTTGAATTTTGGTTGGCTATGGTATGCAAACCACTACTTGATAAATACACAACATTATTTGATTGGCTTGGAACACCTGGAAAAGCTGCAATTTTTTGACCAAATTGTGCTTGCTCTGCAGTCGACTTGGTGGAAAATGGATGCAAGGGGTGGACATAGCTAACTTCACCTGCACGTGTGGATGTTGTTCTCCCTGAAATAGTGGAGGGAGCCGAGGACAGGGCAGCTAAAAAACTTGAAGCATTTAATTGTGTTGACGGAAATGCCAACAGAGAACCAACATTTTGAGAATGAACTTGATGATCTGAACCACCAAAAACAGCCCCAGTTGAGACAGTGGGTTGTTGTTGTTGTGCCATTGGAACAGCATCGACACTTGGGGATTTCGGAATCATGAAAGAACTGTGAAGTACCGGTGACATATTTGAATGAACTGTTTGGTAATTTGGGACCATTGCAGCAGTGGTCACAGGCATAGGTATAACTGATGTAACTGTTAAGTTTGATTTTTTCTGATGCAATACAGGCTTTCTTGGTTTCTTTGGTTTCAGTTCCTCTTCTGAAAAAACAAATGCCTAACACTGCAGCAAACTGCACATTGAAAAGATGCTAGCTAAAGTTTCATTCAGATCCTACTTCAGATCTAATTGTTTGCTAATCAGATCTTTTTCTAAAATTGATCAACTACTAAACTGTTGTAAAATGCAGTATATAGGTTTGAAATTTATTTAATTACTTTCATTTCTCAAAAAAAGAAAAACACCTTAGGGTGTATAGAATATAAGCTAGAATGCACTGAACTCCTCACAGAAATGAATCACAATAGTTTCTTAGTGGTCCTTTTGAAAATTTCCTCAACTGCACACAGTGTGGCAAGGAAACAATGACAGTTAATCTAAAAAAAGACTGTAACTAAAAATGATCTCAATACCTTGTAGAGTTTGGTTTGGTTTTGCATCTGCCAAACTGACAAGTGTATCAAATGATGGTGATTTTGATGCTTCATTTTTCTTCTTCGGCACAGATACTTCAGACTTTCTCTTAATCACCACAGGCTTGCCAACATTCACTTCTGGCTTAATAACTGTTTGTGACTGGGCAAGGGTAGCAAACCTTGCTTTGATGGTTTCTTTACACAACGTTTTATGATCATTTTCCAACTTTAAGAGCCTGAAGTGACGGCTTGGTAAGGATGCATCAAAGTCAAAAACTTTATCAATATAGAGAGGGCAATCCAATCCACATTTACAAGTCCTGTCTGAGATCAAGTATCTTGCAATGTCTTCCTTTGATCTCAAGCATATCTGAGTTGGACTAAAAATATATCAACACAATAATGTAACTTTAAATATATACTATAGTCTAGGAGTAGATGAATACTGGTATCATAACTGTAACACAAAAACAGACCAAAGCTATGTATGGCAGTTTTGGCAAGAATGTGTAGAGATTTCTCAAAATCAGTCACTGGTATATAATATATAATAGATGAAAACCTTTAGAAGTCTATGGTTATGCATATCGACATTAATCTGTAATTCCCTAAATGCAATGTGAAGTTTAGAGATTAGGCATTATATTAAACATATTGTATTAAAAGAACTGTATTACAAATAATTATGAAATTCATTGAATATGGATAAACTTTAAAGGATATATATTTTTACAGATGTGTACAATGTGGGTTGTATTTGGACAAACTGGTTTTCTTTAGCATTAAATGAGACTAAGACACAAGATTTGGTTTGAGTTATGAGAAAAAACATATGTAATTCAACTTGTCAGCCATTTTACAACAATGCAACATTGAAATCAAGCACAATAAATAAACTAATAGATTTTCCTCACTAAATCCTAGTTTTACAATTCATTAACTCTTTCCTGGAAAAGTTATCAAATTGATGACATATTGGTATGAAATCTCTTAAAATGAGAGATGAGGTAGAAGAGTAACCAAATTTGTATTAATTAATTTTCTTTGAGAAATACACATGAAACATTTTGGAAATTGATATTTATGATTTGAATTACATAAAAACCATACCGGATTAGCTATTCTTACATGGATAGAAAACCCCAAAATATAAAATCTCCACGGCAATAACATGTAGGGTTTTAAATATTGTTGTATATATGGGATGCATCCCTGGCCTGGCCTACATCACATCAATCAACAGTTGAAACATTTAAAAACATAAAACAAAAATACATAACACAAAAAAATTTCTGAATAGTGAGCTGGTTTTCAATAATTATTAAAATAGATTACCAGAATCTACCATATTTATATAATATAAAGTCATAATAGAGCCCACTGTCTAAACAGGAAATTACTTCTCTGTAATTCATATAAACTAGCTTTGTAATTGTTTCCAGATGTTGAAGTTAAAATTATTTCAAAAGTATACATGGCAAAAAATCAAACAAGTGTGTAATACATATATTTTTCTAAACAGGAATGGTTCTGATGGCTCATAAGGTTTCAATTATTATAATTATTTTGTCTCACTTTCTAACTTTTAACATTGTAGCAAATTATACAAACCTGAAATATACTATGTTGCCATTTTCCAAACATCGATTCCAACCTCTGGGTACTTCAATATACCGTTCATTATTTACTATGTTTTCACTTTTGACTACTGGCTCTTCGTTGTTTGCTATATTCATCACCAAATAATATACATGTATGAACAAGCCGCCCTGAGATCACTGATCACATAACAACGACAGTGAACAACCAAGGATTAATGCCGCTTTATTCCATAATATTCATCCAGACCAGAAATAATCAAAGTTATCTTTCTGTGGCGAAATATCGTCTCTCATTGCATTCACAAAAGCATTTCTATTCCATTATTATACAATACAAAATACAACCGCCGCCAGACACCAAAGCGGGAGAAAATGCACTGTTAAAAGAGCTTACACAACGACAGTCGCGGCAAGAAATGTATAAAATATATCCCTTTCTCGATTCTTGTCACCAGAAACGAAATAAATATGCGGAATTTTTATTATTTTCCTTTGAAAATTTTACTATTCTATTCACGAGTTGCAATGCAGTGCAGTTTGTGCAAGCTACGTCGTGTCCGTGGGGAGATTGGAACTAGTCTTCTTCAAACTGTCTTCGACACTGTTACCAATATCAAATGCAGACTATTCGGTAATTTGCTTCGAAAAATTTATCGTAAAATGAAGATAAAAACGAAAAATGGTGCAAGGGCTTTTCATAAAATGAATATTTCAACTTTGCGTTTCGAAAATAAACAAGCTATACAATTTTATTGTATATAACATCAATACATGATATGTACCCTGTGTGATGAAACGTTACAAAATAAATTTTAATATGAGTTTCTTCCGTATTATTTGCTGGGCTTTGGAAACCTTTAATCTTTTTAACTAGAATAGTTTTCTTTGTTTAAAAGATTGGATCTTTGCATTTAAAATAAATACACAAATTTAGGAGTACTCGCCAGTTGAGCCTCATTAGCTCAGGGGTTAGAGCACTGGTCTTGTAAACCAGGGGTCGAGAGTTCAAATCTCTCATGGGGCTGACGCATTTTTATTTTCTTTTTAATTCTAAAAATCCATCATTATCTATTTAAAACAACACTACCTACTTCTCTGTAAGACAAAAAATACATCTTAAAAATTTTAAATGGCATCCAGAAATAAAATTTGACTTTGCAGCCTGAAAATAAATGACTTCCCGGGCCGGCGGGCATCTCGTCAATGCTGGCTGACCACAGCCAAAACTCTTCCTGCCTTCGCGGAAATGAAAGATTTTTCAAGCATATTTTATTTTTATAGCTATTTACATTCAAACATGAGATTCAAATAGTTGGACAAAGGCCTTCTGTCGTTCTGAAATTAAAAGCTTAAATGCGACAAAATCGGCTTTGAAAAGGAGTGGTACAGAACAGAGTCGTCGCCACTGAGGCATGTATCAACCGCTCATCCAAAGACAATACAACGCATATCACGTTTTTGGAAAGGTAAAAGGAGGACACAGCTGCCCGACGGTCACATTGAAAAGACACTTTCATGGGAAAAACGCGGCACGTGCCCCAAGGGCCTCCTCCACCAGTTCCATCGTACCTGTACCGATAGACATGGACGGGATATAATAGCATAAACCTAACGATTCGTTGGTATAAGCTCATATTACACATCACCAAAATACCCAGGGACGCCAGAGTTGGAGATACTCTCTTGCCTTTCAAAAGCATAGCCATGGGAAAGACGAGCATGCCAATATCCGATGCAATGGTCCTTGCGTATGGAGAAGGCTCGACAACAAGAGGCAAAATAAGAGAGACATCAATTGTTAAAACATGTTTATAATTCGTGGCTGGTATCACAATTACGACATGAATTTTTTACAAAACACCTAGATAGAACAACGTATGAGCTGCTGTACAAATATTCAAACATTTCCTACATATTTACATATAATTCAATATAGACAATCAAATCTACACAAAATTTAACCGTTCTACTTGATAGTTCTAGTTACTCTATACCTATAAGACTTTCAAGATAATTGCGCATTCTTCAGACTCAGTTCAGTTTTGCATGAAGGCGTTTCCTCACAATTATAGCTAAAATTACATTTTGTTTTTAGACAAATAATGAAATAACACAGAAAGAGCATATTAGAACGAGTACAATTGCTATAATTGTTGCTGCGAAATGTTGTAAATTGTAGAAAGAGTGGTTATAACTCCATATTTTAAGTTCACTTATTTTAAGATTCCCTTGACGCTACGACTATGTAGTTGTTTATTTCGTTCTGGCTTAATCAGAATTTTTTCTATAGGGATAGCTAGAACCCTCTTCACCTGACACAGTGGTTCGTAATCACTTTAAGATTGGGAGAACGTGTTTTCCCTTTCGCGAAACAAGCGAAGATCTCTGCATGGTAGTTAATATTTATAAGCATTGCCATTGTAAGGAAACGCCATCATATTGATACAATGTCTATTGATCTGTCATTGCGAAAAATATTATAGCAGAATTAATGTTGTCACGCTAAAATCGTTTAGAAAAATAAATACTGCAGTCGTCATATACTGGCTTTACGTAAAACGTATTATTCCGAGCGACTCTGTTTTTACTTCGAATAAATATGAAGAGTTTTACAATTACATAGATTATACGATATAACAAGCAAATCTTAAAATACTCTCTGATTGGATTTTACAAGAACACTATCGTGTCTTCAACCGACAAATACATCCAGGCTCGTTTAGGTCAACACTGTCAAACAATGTTGGATGAAAAAATTTAACCAACAATATTGGCTTACTTTAAACAGGTTATTTTGGAGAAATCGCGTTTGTCAAAATGTCTTATATATAGAATTAAAATCCTTATCACATGCATGTCAACAATCTAAAAAGTCGAGTCTGGATCTGTTTGCATGTTATATTCAAGTACTAGTACAGGTCTTATAATCTTTTCACTAGCTCTTTTGTAGCTAAATATTAGTTAATCTAAATTGGATGGTTGTGCGTGATTGCAGCTCTTTCATCCTAACTAAAAGCTGCTCATTAGAGACCGCAATCAAGGTGACATCTGAAATTTACTTTCCGATTTTGTACTTACGTATAGATAAATATTTATTTATAGTAGCCATATCTGGTTTTCTAGTTTGCAGTGGACCCGAAGTAACTTGAGGTCAATGATAATCCCAAGAAAATGTGCTCACCATGATGCATTATTGCTCTCCCAATATATAAAAGCTTCAAAGCAACTGTAGACTGTAGTGAAATGTCAACCACCATCACGCAGAAGTGTCTTGTGATCAACGGATAAATATAGAGATAAATGTACAGCAAGAGACATTCGGCAGTCAGTGCAAATGACGACTACATGTATAGGTCAGAGATGCGGGCTTTCCTTCATCTTGTTATCTTTGACAGTGATGTATAGCTTGTGTTCCATGGAGAGAACTTAGAAACAGAGATTAGGATTGGTAAAAGTTGAAAGAATCCAAATACTTCATCCACTTTAACGTAAAATGAAACGTTCATTTAAAAATACCCCATCTGAAAGACAATGTTCACTTCAGGTAAAATACGACATTGATTTCAATTAAGATCATCAACTCTGCCTTGTTCTCTTGCTTACGGCAAGGCAACACGAAGTGATTACACGATATCACAAGAGAGCCACCTCGAAGTTAGACTGCTGATGTTTCTGGGCCAATATCTAAAGCTCTGGACAGTTCTGCTCTACCATCATACATCGATTCATCATACATAGACATTTGGGTAAATATAGGATGGTTATAACTAGAGGTTTAACGCCAGTCAAATTTGTAGGTATAAACTTTAAGTGTGTGGTATTGAATGAAAATATGGGACCAGATTGCATTGATCTTGTAGACTTGAGAAGTTATGGTTCTACGACTGGGAAGTTACTTCGGACATTTCGCAATATACTTGTATGCGGGTAATGGATGGTATCATGTACATTATATTTATCAGAATTGCAATGTGTTGATGTCACGTGATATCTTGACCTTTTACCCCAGCACCGTTGACCATGGCCGTGGTTACCAGCATCGTTGGTTGTTGTACTATATTTACCAACGTGTCGTCCATAGAATTACTAGGGAAAAAAAGCAACAATTGGTACGGTACATGGTCCCGTCTGGGGATGGGCGGATAGCTATTATTTCGCGCCTGAAGACTCTTTGTTAGGACGTTAATGAAGACACTAAAAAACCCAATCTGGGGCCGGTTGTTCGAAAGGCGTTTAGCTTAAACGGTGGATAAGTCAAAAATAGAAAACCAAATTATCTATTTATTGAACAACTGAGCTGAAATATTTCGATGTAAATAGTTTAATTGTCAATGGAAGTACACATTGAATGCGTAAGATGCAGGCTCAGTCACTCACAAGAGAATTCCTTTAAACTTTGGCTTATCCACCGTTAAAGCTAAACGCTTTTCGAACAACCCGGTAAAACTTGCTATTCGGCCACCTCACAACCACTGTAGCTGACACACATTATACCCATGCAACGTATTTTCTTAAAATTTACCTTCTACTAAGAGGGGTATTTGGTTGACTAAGACGATGAATAGATGAATGCCGTGATGTAACAGGATGACGAGATGCGGTAATAGAGCCATATTTATTGTTTCCTTTAAGTAGATTATTTGAGAAGTTACTGTTTGTAGACGGCAATGGAAAGTTAAGTGCGTAAACTGCCTTCATAGGAGCCGTAGAAAATGTATTCCTGTTCGTCGAGACATTAGTTGTTCCATTCCAAAGTTGAGTAGAATTATTATTATTAACCGTAGGTCCATTTGTAATTCCATCGCTTTTATCACGTTCAACAGGTGTTAAAGGGTTCGTGAGTTTAGAGTTCTGAGAAGATGTCACACCATTTGATAGACCAGAATTTAGCGTAAATTTTGAAGTCGGTTGTGTAGAGAATGTCCGTCTAACTTTGGCCCTTGGTCTATAGTCTTGTGCATCATGCATAATATCGTGTTGTGATTCTCCTTTTTCTATTTCATGTATCCCCTCATCCGTTGCGCTTGTGATTCCTAACGCACTGTCCAAAGACGTAGGCACAAGTCGGAGATTGCGTGGTCGATAATGTCTCCTATATAAGTAATAAAGCCGCGTTATGCCATAGTAGTATATTCAATATTATAAATGGAGATTTGCTAATAGCTTTGTTGATAAATTGTTCATCGTTACATAACGTAACGGCCGTAGGAGAGCCTGCGTTACCATACGCCAATTCCATATGTCATTACTATACGCAATTTAGGTTTGGTACAAACCCTGTAGAAATATTACTACAAGACATAATTTAACCACTGTATGATGACATGGCAAATTTTATAGGTATAAGATTATCATGATTATACTAGTTATAGCAATATGACCATGCATGATATGAATATAAGTGAACGATGTTTAACTAACCAACTTGTTGGTTTCAGTTCATCTTTATAATGATCTGACTCATGAAAACTGTTCCTTAAAGACATCGATGAATCAAGAAATGAACCAAGTTCTTCCAGTCGACTATCTAATGAAGAACTTGCTCGGTCAATTAGCACTCTATAATAAAAGTTTAAAGATCGTGATAAAAAATAAGATTATGTATCACAGGTTTCAATTCGAGTCGTCAACGGTGGCGGCGACAGTCCGAATTATTCTAATAATACAAAGACTGTTAAAAATTTAGATGCGACGTTAGGTCGAAAACATGAAAAGAGGATGTTAGGAAAAAATGAACAGAAGATAAAATTCCATGATTCTGACCTGCCACCTCTCCCCACTCTCCTTCTTGCGTAGCCGAGTAATCTGGATGGTCTTGACAACGACGTTAAGGAATATCTGTATCGAGGATGACCAGGATACTCCCAAGGCCAGTTATTTTCAAGTTTGGGCTAAACGGAAAAAACATCACGTTTACGTGAGAACATAGCTACTTGAACCCAAACCTGGGTTCTCAGGAAGAATACTATAGTTACACCGTCTAAAATGGTTTGCCAGTATTTTTTGGCCTCCTTTTTGTTACAGTATTCACAAGATTGAGTACCATAAAAAGCCTCTGTACTAGCAGCACATGTGGTTGCAGTAGCAATAGCAGGTCCAGTGTCACGGCACTTTCAAATTCTAAGAAGCGTGTTGGTGTACTTGACTTCATATAAAACACATTCAGTCTGCGTAAACATACCGCTAAATATCGACAACCACGTCTTCTTTTAAACGCATAAATACCGTCCAATTCATCAACATCGTCCTCGGGTTCCGAAGGAAGGTCGGGCTGTAAGAACGCGATTAACAACCGTACATATAATTTACACATTAATATGCATTTAAAAAAATACTTGTTTGAAATAGGACTTAGACTCGGCTAACCTGGTTGTAAGGACTGCCAATATTTTGGGGTCCAAGTCTTTGTTTTCGCCTATAAGTGAATGCATGTTAATTACGGAGTAAAATTGAGTCATAGAAATTTAAGAGATACAGTATGTATATGAGGGATTTTTTTGAAAGCACGCACGCACGATGAATAAAGTAGGTAAAGAATATCATCTGGGGTACTATATTCTAACGATCGTCCATATAAATATTTTATAAACCTGTTTTCCTCCGAAAAATACGTGCATTACTTACTTCAACTCAGCCAAAATATCGCCTCTTCTGAATACTTTAGCATCTTCCGTCTTATTAAAAATAGAAATACAATTAAGGTGATATACAAAATAATTCTCAGTAAAACCCCTGCACAGCAAAAAATTCGGGGTGAAAACGTGGGTTACCAATATACAAGCATCTAATCAGAAAAGTGCATAAATCGACGGGTATTACCCGTTCATCCTTGTCGTGTGTTTCCGATCCTGGTGTAACTCGACTGCCAGTGGCAGTTGTAGCTGCCCCAAACATTGGAACGTTATTGCTTTCTTGAATCTTCAACAATTCTAGACATTGAGTCATCAACTGTCCCGTAAAGTCTCCTGATTTATACCTACGTGGGAAGAATTTGATCAGTTCAACACTTGCTGCGGCAAAATACTTGCAGTTTGTCAAGTAAAGGAATGAAAATGGCAAGTAAGAAATCATGGCTGGCTTACATACCGGAAATCAAAAACATCCACTGTAATTTTCAAGACATCCTTCTTATTTTGTTCCCGTCGTTTCACCATGTCAAGGATAGTGCTAAAGGTAAGGCAAACGTAAAAAAACATCACAAACCATTCAAATTCCACAACATTGCAGTACACCTTCAAAAGTATCCTAAGACAGTACAGGATTCTTTAGAGTTGTTATCCTGCTGTGAAAGATGTTTGAGGAAACGCATACCACGCTGTATTTAAATCTCTCCGTAGCTTCAACATTTTCTCATATGACAATTCTTCATTCTTCCGGTTCTAAAACATGATGATAGAATACACTACAATGTCAAGCTCTGCAGAGAATGATTGCTTTCAGTATGTTCTAAAGAAAACACCATAAAGCTATCTAATGAGTTATGATTATAACATACAGGCTAATACAGTTATTTAAATGGGTATTTCACTACAATCAAGTAATGTGCAGTCACTCTTCCCTTTGACTGATATCCCACATTTGTTAGAGGGTGTTAGGGTATAATAACAATGTTATATTGCATTAGGATAAGACCTGAGTGAACTTCATACCTTCCTTGTTTGCATCTTCTCAATCCTTCTCCTGAATGCTATGTATGGATCATTTGGCGATTGTGCATCCTTTTTCTCTGATCTGAGTGTAAGAATTAAACCATTCATACAACTTCTGCCATGTTTTTTCACCCAATAGTTGTAAACAGGTTCTAAATATTCTTCATCCTTTATCAGAGCTTTTGCAGCAGTTAACGACAACACCTACACGGAAGAATCAACTGACATTGTAAAATTCGTCACCTTAGACTATAACCCCTTGCATGGTAAAAATACAGTCTGAAATCACCATACCTCATTTCCAGAACCTTTCTCCAGTTTATCAATTAATTGTTCAAACTTTTCACTTGACACCTTCTCCTAAAACAACAAACCAGAAATTCTGTTATATAGAATAATTCATAGAAATAAATGACTATGTACAGTAATATCACCCTACACGTATGCGCGTCATTATGTTAGCAATGGGACTATTGAGAGACACATCATGGAAATTTATACACAACATGCCTTGTCATTGTTGAAGTTAGCCAACCATTCCGAGTCCTCTTCATCCATGTCATACTCAGGCTGTTCATCTTCAACACCAAGGGCTTCAAGAATTCATATAAGCATTTTTACACAAAATTACTTTGTTTGTAATGGAATATTCTATCATTGCTTAGAGGAAATTTCCTATTACTATGGACAGCCAAGTTTGTAATAATGGGCAAAGCCCAAGACATCCAATATATTTAGACATCCTATATTTATCTTTCTACATTTAGAAACTCTATACAGTATATGGTAACAACATTTAATGGCACAAACATATTTATTCAAAGGTGGGGTACAGTCGGCAATGCATTGTTTACATTTTTAATCCATATATTTCAAAAAAATATCATGAAAATGAGAGGGGGTTTATGTTCAGAGATATGAAACATGTGAAAATTGAGCGATTTTGAAACAAGTACCATAAACTATCCATTGTCAAGAGTATGACCATGCATAGAAGCAACTGTAATCCCCCTTTTAAACAGAATAGCCTGAACAAAAAGTGGCTCCTCTCCTATATCAATAAAGGGGATAATAGAGCACTAATATTGAAATTATGACATTGCAAGTTCCTAACCTTGTATATGGATATACTGCTTTGGCATTTTGAAATCGCCTTCATTGTCATCAATGAGCGAGGTATCAACATCAACTGGCTTTGTTTCAGGAGTAGGAATGACAAGTTGTTGTTTGTCACCATACACCTGCTGTGCTGATATAGCTCGTTGAAGATGGTGCTCCTAAAAAATTCACATAGCTTAGCATAACAATATGTAAAACACTAACTCTGCATTAACCTCGAACCCATGTATTGCTGCAGGGCAACTAAAATCTGAAATCTAAAGTTTTGTAGAATTAACATTCAAACCGGTGACATAAACCAATGTCACAAGGCAAAAAGGCTTAACAAGACAACCAAGATGAAATTATGATCTTGTGTCTATCAACCCAAGGTAACTACACCTCCCAGTACATATGTACCCCTGTCAATCTTGTAGTTAAAGCATTGGTGTGGAGCAAATGCATATTATATGATTGCATATGTTAGTTGCACTCAAGTCACGTTGCAAGTTATTAACATAGGGGAATCTGCAGTTGCAATCAGGCACAATTTGCAGATTATGCCTTGACAACACATTTTCAATCACTTGCCTTTAATCCATTGAAGGATATTTGGTGGGAAGTTAGATAGAATAGTTAACCCAGATCTTTCTCTTGCTATTTACATAGATCATTTAGTTTTCAAGCATAGAAAGACTAGATGAATTTTAGTTTTTGCCTTCATGAAAAATGGTTTAATTTCTTTGCTGATAACTTCAACATCAATTAATTTAACTAATGATATAAAATCAACAAATATTCAAAAGCAATTTCTTGTAATTATACAATATTAGGTATGTAAATTTATTACAAAATATATAGCAAAATGTTATGATATAAACTGTTATGATATAAACAAAGTTTTCCTCTGGTAAAAATCAATTATTTTATTCCAATGCACATTCTTAACAAAAATATCCCAAGATTAATTTAGAATTTTCGGCGCGAGATTTTAATTCATAGATAAACCAATTCCGACGCAAGTGAGTAAGGTCACGTGACTTACAAATTCAAAATAGTGGAAATTTCCTTGGAAAAAATACTTAAAAATTCAGAAATAATATTTAAAATGGCGCATTGCAAAATATATGCATCTGATTATTATAAAACATTTTTACTCATAATTTTATCAATGTCGACCTGAAATATACAAAAATTACTTACGGTTTCCTCTTCTTTCTCCATTCCCGTCGGCATCTGAGGCACTGCGCGATTAATTGTAGACAATTCAGTCAAATCTGGCAGCTCCTCGACCCGATAAACGGGCAACGGTTTGTTAGAATCCAGCTGGCGAGCTCGAAACGACTTACTCATCCTGACCCTGTTTGCTTCCAACTTCCAAGATGAGGTAAAGTTCGAATCGAGTTTCCCGTCACCACTCCTACAGAGCCTCACAAGTAACACAATGATGTTGATAAATAGTAGTTTTTCTAACGCATGTCGTACATTTTGTCGGATATTTTCATCGTTTTTCAATCATTCTGAAAGGATTTTGTTTTTGAATGCGTATTTTGAAAATCCATCATGGCGGCAAAATTCTGTTGCTGTTGTTTCCTTCCCATGATTCATCTGGAAGATGCGGACGCATGCTCAGTTCGTTTCCCAGTACAATCTAAAGAGGAGTGACAAAGAAACGGAAAAATAAATTGTTCTTTTGCAGCTGTGTATGAATTTTTTGTTGCATTTTACTTAATTTGTCGTTCTTTTGTTGATATACTGATATATTAAGCGGTGTATTGTGTGTGGAAAAAATATGGAAGGCATTTGATTGTTTTATAAAGCTGCTGCGCGATTATTGCTTGGAATTTCAATACTGCAGTATATATAGCAATAGTACGGTAGAACCTATATGTTATGTGTTATAAAATATAATCTACACTATAGATATACAATATATAGGTTTTACTGTTTATCGGACTTATGCCAGATTGCCAGTAACCTTATGTTTTTTTATATATTATTATGTTTATCAAATTATAATATCAATATCACTAGAATGGCAGAGGACTACATCAAAGAATAAATATCCAGTGTTTAACTGTTGGCAGAAAGTGCCAGTGTACCCCCATGCTTCATTTCGTTCTATGCAGTGCATATGAGTCTGTGCAGTTTACTCAATTACTGATGGTAGTAAAGTTTACACTCTCCATCACATTGGCTTATTTTTGGCAAAACTAATAACAGGAGTAGGATGTGTGTTTCTTCAATTCCCTCCCATACACTGTCTACTCACTGCTATATTTATTATTAGAATGGCAAAAAGTCTATGTGAAGGAAAGTGGTACATGAGATTCAGTAAATAAGTGTTCAGTTTTATGATCTTGCTTAAATTCACATCAACTACTTCTATTCTTCTGTAAACAAGTTGCTCAACTTTAATCCAGTTGAACTAAAAATTCATCCTTATGAGCAAACTTTTTAAAGTGCTTTTTACATCTCAAAACATTGTGTTTCACAAAGTCACCTTGTTGCATACTCGATAAATAACAGCATCTTGACCAACTTTTTAGGATTGGGGGTGTCACCAGGGCCATCTGAGCTAGAAGCTTAATTAACAAGACGCCGTTCTGGCGTTAACTCCGGCGCACGTGCCAGTCTTCAATATAGAGCTTCTGAACATAAACAATACAGTTCGCGTATTGTTTCGCATACATATTCGCATTTAGATGCCTTGCGAACCTAAATGTTCGATCGCGAAATTCAGAAGAACATCGCAGTATAGAAGTTCAATTGTTCAAAAATGTAAATAAACCGCATGATACATTCGCTTCGTCTTACACTTTGCCTTTGGAATTCGCGCTTATATAGTTGTATTAAATCTTCGATCCTGTGCAAACTACGCGACGTGTCAACGCGCCCATACACGACCACATCATCTTGTTAAACGGCAAAATAGCAGCGATATTATTAAAATAGGACCGGGTCTACATGTATTAAATATATTCTTACCCCAATTCAATCTAAACTTAATCGAACAGCATGAAAAGAACGGTTTATTTGTTCCTCTTGGAGGAATTGCCGTATCATGCGAGCGAAATCGAATCGCGCATTGGAAAATTAGCCAAAGCTGTGCACCACAAGTCTTGGGAGATAAGACTGGGACGTAGATAAATACGGTCACATACATGTTTGAAACACTAGTATATTTCGCGCCATTACAGACTTGCGACGACGAAAAATAATAAAAAAAAAAATAAAAAAAAAAAAAACAAAAACAAAACAAAACCGGGGCGAATTTTCAACTCCGTCGCTGACGCCGGAGTAATTAAGGGCAGGACATATTCATTTATTCATCTTATGCCAGACTGATTTCTTTGAAATTTATTGTTCCTAAACATGAATATATGAATATACACCCTCCAAATTAAGCTATGGGGAAAATATAAATATTGTATACTTCGATTTAGAATGTGCATGAAATGCAAGTGAGCTGCTAACTTGATTTTTATTTTTGCTTCCGTATTTCATTTCAGAACGAACTAGGGCGCAAAAAAAGATGGGGAATGCCGAATGCGGAATACAAACGCTGGCTTGCAGCGAATAATACTGAGCCGTATTGTTGTATTTCGCATTTGTGACTTAAAATAACCCGTTTGAACACGGTGGGCGATTCTATCCTAAACTTTCCCAAAAATTGCATGGTTAAAACTTTCCCGTCAGGCCCCAATGGCAATGCGTTTTCCGTACACGTACCAGTGAGCTGTATATATAATATAGTATATAGAGCTCACTGACACGTACATGGCATTTTGTATTCGCGTACGCAATACGAAGGCGTTGCCGTTGGGCGACAGGCGTTATACATAAGTGACATTTCTCTTGGTAGTGAAAAAATGTAATTAGAAATGTTTAGAAATCTCCCTATAATAATTAAATACCCTAAAATATCCTAATATTAGTCAATTATTCTGGTAAACCTAGGCTAAGGCGCTTTCCTTCATACGATAAAAACGGTCAGACGGGTCGTGTCCAGTTTTACAGATTAGTGCGATGTTAAAATGTTTCAAGAACTCTGCATTCAAGTTTATCGTTACTTTCATCTACCGCTACATTTCTGTAACGAATACTCCATTTCAATTAAAATATGACCGCGGTTTGACCATTTTGGCCAGCTAAAAAAAGCGCCTCTAGACTAGTTACCAAGGATCCAAGCACAATCACCCCTCTAAAAAAATTCAATTGCTATCATTGAATAGACCTTTGAAGTGCTTACGTCATGTCGGTCTCGAACAATGAATCGCAATGCAATCTGGGAAACAAGTGGGACAAAATTGTATAGATAGAAAACTGTGTGACGTAAGCACTTCAGAAGGCTATTAGTCCAGTTGCACGGTGTAAGTTTTGCTGCAAGGCGAAACTCGCGGGGTTGAGTATAGATATATGCATTTATGTGGGCAAAAAAAATCATTCATCGAATGTAATGAATTGCATTGCAAGAAAAATTTCAACGTGCAACATGGCCTTTATCAGATTTCCAAGCAAATACGAGTGAATTAAGTATTCAGCTACGTGAACTGAAATAATTACATCAAGGACTTGTTTACATGGAGCGAGTTATCCTGGCTAGGTGAGGTGAAAAGTGCATATAATGAAAGAGTAATCAGTTTGAGCCTTTGATGTGATGCGCTTTTTACCTCGCCTAGGCGGGATAACTCGCTCCATGTAAACAGACCCTAAATCAAGACATCTTATTTTAAAATATTTCAGTATAATACATAAAAGTAATTTTTATTTTTCCCGTCATGCCCGGACATCCACAGCATCTTCTGTTTGAATTTTTCCATCGGTTTGTTCTTCCGTTGTTCTTTCATCTTTTCCTTCATATCGTTCTGACGGGTCAACATGGGGCTCATTTTTGCAGATTTCTAATGTCCCGGCGTGGCTATCATTCGCATTTATTTCAGTGTCGTCCGTGTTTTCATCGTTCGTTGTTTCATCGTTCGTTGATTCCACTAATATGTGTTTTTCGCTTTGCTTTTCAAAATGTCCGAAATCCGCGAGAAGTGGAACAGGTAATGATCCAGGCAGTGTATTTTCAGTTGAAGTGTTCGGTGTTAATGAAGAAATGGCCGTATCAATATGACTGAATTCTGTGTCTTGTTCTATCGTTGAACTCTGGAAAGATAACGTTCCTTTCAAAATATCTCGCACCTGAAACCGTCAAAAACATTGAAAGAAGTCAAAGTTAATTCACACGGTCGTGTTAACACGAATGCGGCAAATATCTCTCTTTAAAATGTCAAAACCCCCCCTGATATTTTAGCAATGTCAAACCTGTTTTAGACCAGCTAAAGATAGGTAAACTACGTCCATACATTTCTCATCATGGGTTATTTGATCTTGCAGAGAATCTAAGAATAAATACTCAATCACTTTTCAATCGTTACAATAGTGAATAACTGAACAAGTGTATATTCACAGCTGTGCAATTCTGCAGAAATTAATATACTCTTTACTTATATAAGAATCCATCTTTGTTCCACAGTAAATAGATATAGACTGAAGTTTGTCGATTTCGGCTTTAAAATGAGATATTTGTTCTTGGAGACGCTCATGATCCTAATGAACAATAATCAAAGAATACAGTTCAGGTTAAATACAGGCAAGGCTTCTCTCACACTTCCTGCTAGCTCTTTGCATATGATACACATACACAGGTACTCGCGCGGTACACGAAATGGTGAAAAATAAAGACGCAGCTATATACAACCATGCAGCAATACGGACCATATATACTTACTTGTTGTAAGGTTGTAAGATCTGTCCTGGTTGGGTGGCGAACCTTTGAAGATAATTTTGATAAGAATGTGGAACTAGGGGATCGCACTGATCGTTGTGACGTGGTAAATAAGTCTTCATCATCTTCATTGTGTGGAAACATGTGCGATGAAGGTGCTGACTTGCTATTTGCTGAAATTGTACGAATGCTTTTGTTATGTGATGACGTCTAGTCACATTATATTACTATTCTGTAATGTAGAGATATTGGTTTACTCCATGTATTAGTTGACAGATACAATTTCGTACTGTGCAGAGTACAATTTTAGGGTAGGCCCAGGCTTTTAGGGGCACTTCTTACAGATGAAATGGCTCTTGAAATATAAAATTGTCGGGGAAGCGCGCTTTTTAATCACTTTGTTAGTGTTTGTAGGTTGGAGGAAAGTTCTTCCTGTCACATGTGGACAGACGTACGTCGGAATATAATATTGTAGGTATTTAAGAAATAGTGCACGGAAAAGCTCATGCAGAAAACCCACCTTTCAACTCAACGGGTCGCTTTCTTTCCTCGCCAATACGTTCTTTGGTTTTCTCAGATCTCTTTGCTTGTGCGATTTTGCGAGTGTTCGGCTCAGGAGCTTTTTTAGATGCTATTTGTTTTGCACCTCGCAACAAGTTCTGTCGTGCACTGCTAAATTTGGTTGATGTTGGTTCTCCTGTCTAAACATGTATATATGAATGAAATAAATGCATGAAAGCTTAAATAATATGCGTTAAAGTGTCTAAAAAATTCGAGTATTAATTGTCTAATCGGGAGGTTTTATTAGTTTAATGAGGCAAAAGGTAAATACCAGTCTACTTAAAACATTGTGATATCTGTGCAGTGCTCTGTGTTCCGAGCAGTGTTGATTGAAAACAATCAACACTGCTCGAAAACCATTAAGTTTTCATTAAAACCAATGATAGAAAGCCATGCATCAAGTTTTCTTGAAATAAATAGTGCAAATATACCGGGAACTCATTCGTAGCCATGACTTTTGATTCTGTCAACGGTTGATAAAATCCCTGTAATTTTTTCCTAGGGTCTAGCTAAAAAACAATATAATTCAAAACGTGAAAATTAAAGTTAAGTAGTAAGTAGTTCACTAGTTTGATTGGGTCCTTGTAAGGTCACTATGTTAAAAAGCGAACTTAGTTCGGTCAACATGTTTAATACTTACTCTAGGTAACCTGTATGGATATATGCATTGTGTACTTACTTTAGTGTCTCTCATATGTTTAGCCTCTTGAACGACAATCTTAGCGTCTCTTTTACAATATGGCGTCTTCATCAATACAGTCAGACATCCGGAATGGTCTGATGCTAATACTATATACAGACAAAAATAATTAGCAATCTGTAATAATGTGCAGCAGTTGCAAAATTTCGCGTTTCAATTTTGAGTTGTATAACAATAAACTTGGTTATAATTATTACGTTTCTTTCTTTTGCTGCATATCAAAGATAAATAAACATATTCAACTAAATCAAGAGTGGCTCCATCAGCAAATAACCCATCCCAAAGTGTCAATATATCTTCCATTGTGGCGAATTCACGACCATAAAGTAATCTAACCCACCGTCTGAAATAAGGAAATAATGAGATTGAACACATGCAGCATTTGGCCCAAACATCACAAATTTTTATGTGTGTGTTATAGTCACGAGATACTCACAAACCATAGAATTGAGGCTCAATCTGCATTTCTCGTAAATGATTATACAGAACTAAATCATATCTCTTCAACATACTCTCTTGAATCTTATTTAGTTTACGAATAATCGCAGTTGGCTGTATAAAAGGAAATCAAAAACAATATTATTCTATATAGCGAGGCGATGAATTTATAGCAATTTATTTTAACCGTTAGAGACGAACACCTAAATTTTTTTAACAAACCGGTGAAGATGCATATGATTGTGTTTCCATAAACGGCTTCCCGTGTGGATCGAATGCCTGTAAAAGTGACGATATATTATTGCAATTATTTAAATATGTCTACAAGAATAAAAGCCTTTCATCTCATGATTTCAAAGAATCGTATTCCTTTAAAAAGTGAAAATCGCTCACTCTTGAAAAGTTCTGAAAAGCAACGTATGGTGATTGAACACGATACCTTTTTTTGAAAATGTGCAGGTGATTCAGCACGAACATACCAAGGTTCAATAATCTCCATCAAATGTTCAAATAAACAACTAGGAATACGTGTTTTTAGGTTTTTTAAAGGCAAGCATATTTTGATGAGAATTTATAAGGATGATTAATTAAAAGTATAGCTTCAGTGGACGTTGGCATACAAAACAATCATATATACTTACAATGCATCACTCTCTAGAAACTCAGGGTTAATTAAATCTCTCATCACTTCACTGAAAGGAAACGAAATGACTGATGTAAACAATTCTTTTTGTCCGGCCACGAGGTTACGCATTGGTAATTATTTAACTTTTTACAGCGATAGTGCATGACAGAAAATGGACTTTAGCTGATCGTCAGTGACAATATATTCAACTTACTTATCTGAGTTTTCCAGAAACTGAAATAATTCTGATTCATTTTCCAATACAAAAAGCAGAGGAGCCAAAACCTCGTGCATTCCCTAGAAAGTCAAGCAACAATTCCTGTTTCGCAAACTTAGCGAAAATATTTTCTCCCACAGCCGGGCAAGGCAATCTATAGTTAGAAACGTACCTGTTTATAACCCACGTTAGGATTCATTTTTGCGTAGCAAAACAGTATATGTAACAAGACATCTCTAAAAAATATATACAATGTATAGGCTAGCTAGGCCCAGTATCGCCGTATGAGTATGATTGTATCCAGATTTGTGTTAAAAAGTCGACCCTTAGCATGTAGTACATGCTGACCGCAGAAATCTTGAGATTCGTAGCTTCGCGTTCAAAAAAAGACGCAAAAATCTTATACTTTTACTAAGCAACTTACTTTATTTTCTTTGATTGGAAATAATGCATGCCAGGAAAGCTGGAAATTAAAGTCAAACAACATTCAAAATGTAACATGAAGTAAGACAATAATCCTTAGATTACCAGATCAACTACGTTAATATAGAAACCTACAGTCTATTTAGATCTTGATATATTAAATCAGTCAGCTTCTTGTCTTCAAAATACTGACTCCATGGACTCTAAAATAATTCACCAGATTGTTACTAATTCACGAGCCCAAAATTGTCAACACTGCAGGGCCACTCAGTGTTACTGTACTTACATCAATTTCTTGAGACAAAGGGTCAAAAACTTGAACATTATCTTCATCAACTTTAGAAGAATATGGATCTATAAAAAACTGAATAAAGAATGCTCTCAAAAGCGAAATCCTGAAAGAATGAAAAGAAAAACAAAATGATAAGAAATACTGATAAGAAAAACAAACGAAAGAAGACTCAATCGTATTGAAGTATTATTGATCTTGAAAATCAATAATAAAACGACCCTGATACCTTAAGCACCCTGGGACAAGGTGATAAACCTGAGTCTTAAAGGCAAACATTCAGCAACAGTGAAAATCCTTTATTCATGCACAGTCTCCATATACATGAGTACATACCATAGATTTAAGATTCTCATATCTAGTTCGTGATTCACATACAGTCTCGGACCAGTGACCTACATCGTCTGATAGGCAACCCAAGAATAACTAAAGAAAGTATTAATGAAAGGGATCTTCATGTGTTCCACCTGCATAAGTGACTTTGATGAAGATGTTCAACTACAGTTAGAGAAATTTTTATATTCGTAAAATTTTTAGCTCAACGAAAATAGTGCCTCATCGAATTTGAACGTGCAAAACATGAACCATAAGCACAACAACAATCATGCTTGATCCGAATCAGGGACTAGATTTTCGGGAATGACGTTTCAATGCTACAGCCATCCCGACTCCCGACAGCTTATTGAACATTATTATTATACTTACTCGCCAACAAACACCACGAAACCTTCTATCTCTTAATCGGCCAGTCAGAGCAAGATTTTGCAACTGAAATAAAAACTGGTATCAGCACATCAAAAACGTTTTCATCGCTCTTCCTGTCAATAATGAACAGTCAAATCTACTGCACCAAATTTGATAACCTGCCGTATGCCTAAGACTTCACGTTTATATTACGATCCTGACTAAATAACTCTGTCAAAACTTACATCCTTTTTGTAGTTCTCAGTGCCAAACATTTGCTGCCATTCAGACCTGGATAGAAAATATATGAGATTTCCAGATAATATTCCTAGTGCATGAATTAACTTAGCTATGAACTTGAAGTTTCCCTAAAAAGGTCAAGTGGCTTAATATTTTTTTGCAAAAATCCTATTAATTATCTGTTACTCCATAAGTACATTTAAATTCAGAGTTAAATCTAAATTCATTTGTTGATTGTTTTATAGTGAAAATATTGCACACAGGGAATTCCCTAGCTAGCCTGTGCCACAGACCCAATTTCGTTCATGTATAAACTAGGAACTTCTATACATATTTGAAAATTATATATTAATTAATAATATAATAAAGAACACCTTTTAATTCATTCAACTGTCAGGTCTAATAAGAAGTTTGGGATTATATGCAGTGTAGATCACAAAGCACAACAAAGTTGGTTCTGACTGAATCACCAGCTCCTACTTACTCTAGACTTTCCTTTGTTACAGCAGGTATATAAATGTTTTCATTGCTGGATTCACCCTGTTCATTAAAGTCTCCATTGGGTGTCCTTGTTGCATTTGCTGGATCATTGATATCAAACTCCCCAAGTTTCGCACTTAAAGGGTCAACCATGTTGTCATCTACATTGCAATGCATCAAAAGGAGGTATCAAGGTTACAATGTGCAAGATGTTGTTGAAAAACATGTGGAAAAAATATCTAGACTGATTGAAAAAGGTTCATGGCCAAAAATTGATCAAGTTGTCACATCAGGAGTAAACAATGTTGTGTTGCACCCTATGAACAGTATTATTAACAATGTTATTAAACCTTGTTAAATCATCAATGTTAATGCAATGTTGTTGCAACAAGTTGGAACAGTATTGATAGTTTAACATTAGGTTAAAAATGTTGTTCGTTAACAGTACTGTTCACTGCAGCACAACGTTGCTGGAAATTAAATAATAGCTTTTGGCATTAAATTATTTGACATGTGCCATACAGCAGAACTGGAAATTGAAAGTGAAAAATCACTGCTGCACTGCGAACTGTAATAAATGGATGAATATTTAGATATAGGTACAATGTGTTGCTAAATATTTATTAACTGGGTTGAAATCTAGCTATTACCCTTAGCCCATGGAATGCCTGATTTGGTAAAATATATTGTGAAAAATTATGTTGACTGCCACAAACTGTTTTTCCTGGTACATGCACTAACACAACACTATAAATAGCACTACTTCTTGGCAGTTCTATATCTATTAGAAGTTCAACCTTGTGGCAGTAATCTTGGTGAAATAAAGTAAACATGTATTATATAAATACGTTGTTTGGCTTACGAAATACTAGAGAGTGCTCATTATAATATAAATAGACCATATGCAGAAGTTTTCCTTACCAAACATTGTCCACTACAGTCTGATTCACCTTATAGGAATCATGAGGTGGTGATTCTGATGATTCCTGTACGGATAAAACAGTCTGTAGTTGACGGTCGATTTTTGGTATAATTACTAATATTGTTAATAGATAGATAGATACTTTGATATGTATTAAATAATAAATTATCGTGCTTATTACTACATCATTCAATATACCTTTAAGCTGTTTCTCATCGTTTACACTGTGGTTGGCCAAACAAAAATCAGTTTATATGAATTATATCAAACGTCAATATGTAAATGCACTACCTACCCCGACGTCTACTTGCTCTTGTTTGAAATTCTTCATATGTACCCCCAGAACCGAATTTGTCTAGAGTTTTACTTATTTCTTCGGCGGATATTTCCTCTCGCCTTGATTTTAATGAATATTCATCTTTCGAATTCCAGACATATTGCTCGCTGCTCGAGTTTCCTGCATTTCTTGTGACGGGGGGGGGGAGCTCCATTGTAAACGGCAGTTTGAAATTATTAGTGTTGTAACTACAGGTAGTTATGCAACCCCAGAGATGGTCCAGCCGTCCAGACCAGACTCCAAAATGTTTTTGCTAAGCTCCTTAAGCCTCTTTTTATCCCCAAGTAATATTAAATTAATAATTATGTTATATACCATTTTTTGAAAAAGGCAAGTCCTAACAATCCCCCAAAAACGACTTCGCCCACTTCACCTAGCGTTCCAAATTCCAATACCTGACGTTTATAAAGGAAGAAGTTGAATGTGATGATTTTAAATTTACAACGGATTGTGTACACAAAGGAACAATTCCCCCAGTCCTGACTCCTGATTCTACATCGCTACGCTGGTCTTGTAAAGTTTTACGGCTTTAAACTGATGCACAGAGCCATAGAACGAAGGTTTTGAACATTGCAACGGACAATAAGTCTGTTTGAAACGTCGTGCTTCTAATATGCCGAACGCATTAACAACAACAGATGCATCTCAATTGATATACTATTGTTTTAAAAATGCACGAGAAGCACGACGTTTAAAACAATCAAACAAACATACAGTCTCAGGGCAATACGTTTTGCATATTTCTACTGTCCATTGCGAGTGATTAAAAAATGCCGGTGTCAGTGTTGCCAGATTTGTGAATATTTGGGGCTAAATTGTCACCAGTACCGTCAAGAGAGCAAAGAAAACAAAAGACCAAGACAAAGAAATATTTTCTGATCAATTATTTCTTCCTCTAGCCTAGGGAAACGCATGTAAAAAGTACTTTTCTTTTTATGATTTTTCAAGTTGTTGCACGAATTGTATTGGATAATTGATACAAGGTGAACAAAATGCGATTTTTTGATGTAATATTTTTTTTAATATTTACATCTACAAAAAGTTTACTATAAAAAGTCACAAAAACAAAATATAAAGAGGTAATTCTACACGACATTTTTGTTCACTAGCATACCATTAAAGCATATATATATTTTACTTTGAGCGGGCATATAATTCAAGCATGCACAGTTTTGAGCATGCATATAATTATGAGCATATATAATTTTGAGAACGCATAATTCTGCATGACTACAAAAGTGACAAGAAATTATGGAGGAGACCTTAATGCTTGTTGGACTTGCTCAATTCACCAGGTTTGACGACTTGCACGCAAGTAACATCAAGATTAACAATCTCCTATTTTAGATATTATAAATACGCAAATTCACGCATTATTGAACCACATTATAAAAAGGTAAAGCTGTAAAATTATACTGCACTTGCAATCAACATTTTCTCCGGTTTACAGCAATTTTCACCTGCATCTCCATGCTACTATTTACCATTTAGTAAATTAACGTCTAATCTTAGAATGTATAGTTTTGGATTATCACACCATCATTATAACAATCCATCATCATCAGTTAGCTAATAATAATTTCTAAGTGGCCACAACAGGGACTTCGTCAGTTTGTGGGGACGATATATCTTGCGGTGGTCGATTTCTTTTAAAGAAACCAAGCTGAAAGGAAAAGAAAGTGATAGTGAAGCAACAGCTACCATTGGCACCAGACCTAAATATTATAGAGTTTTTTTATAACTAGGCTACTGTAACCGCAAAATCACATCGGTTCATAGCCTTCAGCGAAAAAACACCATAATGGACTACCATTGTACCATCCTCTCACCGTAGTACTAGTAATTCTCATGACATGTATACCTCTGAAGCGCAGAGTAGGCCACACACCCACACCGCATCATTACAGGAAATATTACAGTGTGAATTTTCATAAATCTCTTACATATGTCGTGAACATCCGAAAACGTAGAAAATCGAGATTGTGGCCTAGTACAAACTCAAAGACAAAAGGGAAACATGCATGTCAACAGTCAACTGATCCCATCAGGAGCATACGCATGGTACATTAATCAATACGAACGCCACAATTTTTTATATACATGTTACCCACCTTGAATAAAGCTAAGATAGCAAGAGCTAGCAACAGTACACCACCTAGAACAGCGACTATTATAATCCAAACAGGGGTTGATTTGGATTTTCCCGGAACATTCTCTGGAGAAACTTGAATTTCAACCTGGAAAACATCAACAGGTATACATGACTTCGGACTTGTGAGACAGCGGTGTTTATTAGCATGCAATGTTTAGCACTTTTTCCCTACCAGAAATAACTGGTTATACTCTATGCCAAATCGTTTACGAAAATTATTCATTCACTCTTACGTTGTGAAACATATTCATACTTTAGCAGTTTAGGAAAATAAACAACCTAATTATTGTGCTAACTATTATTGGGACAACTATTTATAATTTCAGTGATTTGACGATAAACCTATGTAGTATACCTACCTCCCCAAGTTCATTCACTGTCCTTGCAGGAATTGTTAGACGGTCCTCATAGGATGCAGAGGCTAGAATTTCTACCACAAGATCATTGGAATAGTACTAGAAATAGAGAAACAAGAAAAACATGTCCCGGCAAAATATATAATTTTAATTTTAGGTATCAGGTATAAGACAAGCGTTTGTCTATAGTAGCTATTTGTCGGGATGAGCATACGATAAGATTACGTTTTTTACTCATTTCAATACCATGCAAAGTTACTTCCCGTTCAATATCGAGCTACCGAGATCCTATACACAGCAACAAAAAACTCATTCTCACTTAAGGCCATGTTATACACGGTGCAATTTTTCTTGCAACTTGGAATGCAAGTCTACTTTTAAGAGATGTAAATTAGCGAAGAGACTTAAAAATGCAAGTGTAAGAAAAGCCATGAATTGTAATAAAGACAAAAGTTCGGTAGTTGCCAAATTTACATCTCTCAAGTCTGAAAAGAAGAATTGCATTGCAAGTTGCAAGAAAAATTGCACCGTGTAACAGGGCCTTTAGGCTGCACGAGCTTGTCTATTCTATGACAGTAGCCCACAGTACACTCGAAAGAATCGATACGAGGTAAAAACCATTCTGTTGTGAATTTCATTAAAATATTTCACACTCAGTGGATATTTATTCTTACCTCAACAAGGGTTCGACTCCAGAGACGTATCTCGAAGGCAACGGTAAAACGTTTACCAACTCCCAAATTAGTAATATTACACTCAATTGAAGAGCTAGTTGAAGTACGAGGTTTCTTGGAAAAAAATAATCAGACTTAGAAGTATAGAGCAAAAACCTCCGCGTGCGTGAATCATTTTGCATGGACCAGCAAACCAATGCTTTTATCAGAAAAGAAAGGCCATCATGATTTTTAAGGGGGAGGACTTTTACTCCCGAATTAGCAAGTTCAGTTTCCTAATACACGTATATCATTAAGATGTTCATCTCAGATGAATCAGCTGATGACCAACTTACACTCCTACATCTTAGATCTGGGTATAGTTAACTACAAAATAAAAACCTACCAGATTTACCACCGCCCTTTTCTGCCTTCCGCTGACTTCATCGCTCGTGGGTCTATTACTCTGTTAAAAAGAGACACTATTGTTGTTGACAAATAAATTAATAAAACCATCAACAACTGCAAAAGAAATTTTATGTATCGGAATTTTTCAAGGGTTTTCCAACGCAGACCTAGATAATACCCCAACGACTATAAATATACTAACTGAGGGTAACTTCAAACCCAAAGGATTCTCATGGCTTTTTTTATCAGTGCATTGTCCGCCTTCTTCCTACAAAAATAAACACATCAATTGTAAAAACGTTCAACTCTATTAGACTTTTCCCTTTTTTGCTTTCAAGCGCGCAATGCGTGGCGGTAATTGATTATCAAGCAACTTTGAGTTGCGATATCGCTCTGCTTGTAAGCGATTTTGTTTGTAAGAAAACCTTGCCGATTCTTTTTGCTTCTTTGTTAAAAAATCGTTCCTGAACACGGCGAAATCACAACTCAAATTGGCATTGATAATCAACTACCGTCACGCATTGCGCGCTTGAAAGCTAAAAGGGGAAAGGTCTCTTGCTTTTTGATAAGGACCACGTGCATGTGTAGTAATAGTATAATAATTGCTTACTTGATCTATAACCCCAGCTTACTTGGAGTTAATTTTTTTAATATATTGAACCATTTTACCCTTTGAATCGTGTGACGAGGGCGGGATAAAAGGCTGAGCTAGCTCATGTGATGCGGCTGCATCGTGGAAGCGAAAACAATATTTACAAAACACTAACCACCAGAAGATACATTGGTATAAAACGGAAAATGTGAAGCTTACCCTGATACTGATTGGATACACAATATATTCGTTTTCTTTGGCATCGTACTTCTTCACAGGATACGTGATAACAAAATTAATTAATTCCAGGTCACTTTTTCCTTCATTGGTCAGCTATATATAAGGTGTACAAGGAATTAACGGTGAAAAATCTTAGCTTCACCTTAATTTGTACTATAATGCGCAGGAATAATAAAATGAGTGGTATATTGATGTAGCTTGTCAATGATTATTATTGTATTATCACAGTGAAACATTTTTTTAGTTAAAGGTATTTACTTTCTGGAAATTAAAAGGTCATTTTCTGGGATTCGGCTTCCATTTTTTGATTACTTGCCTCAAAGTTAACTTTAACAGATGGTCCAACATTAGACACATTCACAGCAGAATAATCGTTACCCTTTATGATATTTAAAGAAGGTGCGGTTTTTGGATAGTTAACCAATTTCGGAACCGAGTTGCTGAAGAAAAAAAGGTTAAAATAAGCAACACAATTTTGTTCTGCGTCACAAAGGCCTTGTCATCAAAGATGGTGAAACAATGGCGGATCTAGGGGAGTGCAGAATAAATTACACAGCTTAAAATCGGAATCGCATTGGTAGATTTTAATGTAAAAATATTCTTTTCAAATCTATAACTAATAGCGTTGTTATTAAGGTGTTTTGAATATAAAATTAAGATGTGTAATTTATTCTGCACACCCCTAGATCCGCCACTGAATTTATTCAAACATCTTATTTACACGCAACTTTTTCTCAATCATACAAAATATATATTTTACAAAAATAGACCAGTACAGTACCCTTTAATAACCATGTTCACATTACGTTTCACAGTAAATGTAATCGTATCATTGTTGTCTTTTTCGTTCTTTTCTTTACCAGTAATTCTAGGGAAAAAAGGAATTGTCAAATTTCAAGCCAGGGCCGCACCAAGAAGCATATATGAATATACCCCCTCCCACCCCCTTTATTTAGCGGTCTAGCTATACTGCCCTGATTAAATCTATTTTGTTTGTGCGTGCGTGAATCATGTTTTCAAATCGGAAAGGGGATTGCTTTATACCCTTTTGCTTTCACATCAATGGATAATTTAGGTTCGTCCCCAGACACCGTTTTAGTGGAGTATTGCAGCTCAAATACAACCTAAAAAGTAGAGAGTAAATTTAGACGGTGCATATATTTGATTACAAGAATTTATATTTTGAGGAAATATCGTTCGATCAACGGTTAATTAAAAACTTAAGGTGGAGAAACTCACCTTATCATTTTTATTAAGCGGTCCTATAGGTATAAATTTCTCCGTGTTTATTGAAATATCATTATTATTAGCGACTTCACGTTCTTCAACTCTGACTCCGGTCTGTCAAAGAAAATGACTTATCTCATACCGATGGCAGATTAAAATGACTGATCAAATTTATCAGTATATAAGAATTTTTAAGAATCCAAAATTTGGGATTTTTAACACAATACCCCCCTACATATATTATTTTACTTACCGTAAGTACGTTCTTTTTCTCATACTGCAGTGATGAGTGATGGGTGATAAAAATTTCAGGATTGTACACGACCTCATCTTGGTTTTTTAGTTCAATTCTTATTTTGATGTTCTCCGTTTCACCGATTGTTATGTTTTCTGTCGGGGAACTATAAAATACCACAGGTAACGACGGGAATACAAATTGAACCATGCATGTACGAGTCAGTATAAACTTTTTAAAATATAAATTTAAATTACCTTATCTTGACGTTAAGATCGTAGTCGCATGTATTATCGGAACAATTCAACACCAGCGTCGCCTAAAATGAAAAAATGCTAAATATGAGGCATGACTCAGACCTTATCTTAACGCTGGCCTATTGCAGTAAGGATATGGCAATGGTAACACTCATGCAATGAATTTCCCTTTCACAAAATATCTTGTTTTACATCAGATGTCTCCCTCGTATCATGAAGAGTCGATGGAAAGTACAGTTTATTTTTTCGCCCTCATAGGGTTTCTCAAATAAAAATTAGGTGGAAACATTACGATGTTTAAATGCATAGCCAGGCAGGCTGGCTTTCTACTTGCAGCGAAATAGTTCGCTAGCGAAATATTTGCTTGTTTTCATTTCAATTCGTACTGCACAAACAAAACTGGTTTAACTTGACTATACTCTCTAATCAAAACGAAAAGAACGTTAACTATTTATTTACAAGTGGAAATCCGGTCTTACAAAGAGAAAAGAATCTACCATTAAGGTAATTGAGACTCCATACCTTTTCACTCACGGATGGCTTTTCTTCAGGAAGAACCGGACAGAGTCTTTTGGTTTGACATATATCTGGTGGGACCAGTTCATATGACACTTTAAAGACAATATCTGTCTTTCCTCTGCTTAGAGCATCAGATAACCTGTTTTTACCCTGTAATAACACGAAAAAAGTTACAAAAGATTTTTCATGCACAATGGGGGGAGTGGTACTACATCATTATACTCTGAAAAGCAGGTCCAATTTATACGTCGCATTTTAGTCGCGTCGAATGCAATTCAAACAATCGATAATGAGATGATAAATAAAGTCAACATCTATCTCATTTTCTATTGTTTAAATTGCATTCGTCTATTGTTTAAATTGCATTCGACGCGACCAAAATGCGACGTATAGCCTGGGCTGCAGTATGACCACAAATGCAAATTTTTTAGATGCTCAAAACTAGTTGGACTGTCCCCTTCTCAAAACTAGTTGGGCTTTCCTCTCCTGGTATGAATTTGGTAATTATTAAAGGCGGGGCTGTTGTCTATGTGCGAATACCTAATCTTGTAATAAAATTATTAGATCTCACACTGCCGGGGATAAGTGATTTGTTTTATATATACACACCTCCACACGGATCTCAGAGAAATTCCTGCACACAGTTACGTTCTTGCCATAAAGAGTCAAACTTCCTTTACGTTGATATACTTTCTTTCCATCATAAAGATATACTCGCTTTACCACCAATTCTTCATCCAAATCAAACGTGTATCTTATCGCTATAGCAAAATATAAATACATACAATTCTAAGTTACCATCATCACCTACGATAATGAAATTACGATTGCGAAAAGATGATTAATATAAGGGACTGGTCATAATTTAGCAGGGGGGGTGGGGAGGTGGAAATAGTGGGGGGGTCACATATTTTTTAGCCAGAAAAAAGGGGGGTTCATAAAATGTTAGACAGTTATAAGGGGGGGGGGGTTGCTTATTTCTGGTTGTAATTATTTCTTTTATACATGCTTAGACTTTGAGTTGCACTGCATAAGCTTTGCTTAGAACATTAAACAAAATTAGTTATAGAATTTAAAATGAAAAGTTATATAAGTCACTGTGTTAAAATATTTATATTTTAAATAGCAGGGTCTTTCACTAGAAATAACTAACATATTATGTTTAAAACCAAATTTTAACATATGAATATGTCAAGGGTGGGTAGTATCGGAGTTGTTGGAGTTTGCAACTGTAGCGAACTACAATTTGCGAGTAACTGTATAGACTACTTTTTAAAACTGGTAGTTTGAAGTTGTCGCGAACTATATTTTCTATATTAAAAGTAGCGAAGTAGTTGATTACTTTTTCAACAACAATCGCTATTCGCCACTTTTCGATTTTTTATCCCTCGACTATATACTCTATAGTTCATACACTATAATACAAAACTAGTCATTTAATATACCATGTCAAATCTCGTTTGGACCCACATTTTGTTCTAGAATTCTTTGGCTCATCCGCCATTAATCCATAGTATCAGAATATATGAGCATATTATGCTTAACATTTCATATGTTTAAAACATGTGAAATCAATATAAATTACAAACACGGATACCAGGAATTTTGTTGTAGCGAAGTAGCGAATACTTCGCTACATTTTTCTAGCGATATAGCTGTACACGTAGTCAAAAGAACCAAACTACATATTTTTGACAATAGCAGTAGTTGTAGGTGACTACATTATTTTAAAATAGCAGTAGTTGTAGCGAACTACACAAAACTTGTAGTCTACCCACCCTTGGAATATATATAAGTGGACGTATATAAATTAATTTTATTACTTTATATAAACGTTGTCAGAAAAATTTTTGAAGGTGTAATTACTATTTTGAATTGACGGTGCAGATTACAGTAGTTTCTCATTTTGAAGCAGTGTTTATCAAAACGTTGACGGATGGGGGGGGGGGCATTTTTACCGTCTCGAACAAGGGGAGGGGGCATGATTTTTTGTGGATAAGGCAAGACAGGGTTGCAAAATATCATTCCTTAAAATATTGAATTACACCTCCCCACCCCCCCTGCTAAATTATGACCAGTCCCTAATCAACCGAATGACGTAAAATTCGTACATAGGCAACGAAGCGAACAGCTTCGTGTTTCATATTTGTCGTAAGAAGACGTAGGTACATTCGCTTTTGTACTAATTTCCGTTCAAAGATACACCTGCTATCTTTAGCCGCAATTGACGATCTCCTGTGATTGTAGAGACCCACTCAATTATAGAGACCCACTCCCATTTTAATTATGTAATTTTTTACAGAAATATACCTCGCAAAATAACCGTCAGTTATCCGACGCTCGTTCGTATCTATAAGTTTCGTTCTAGACGTTCATGAGATCTTATACTGCTTTGCAGCAGTGTGAAGCAACGTTGCAAATCTGACTTACTATGGTTTCCAGTAACACTCTTGCCGAGATATGAAAAGCATACTTCCGCGTCCAAGCTAATAAAGAACAAGTCACAAAACAACAGTAATAATTTAAAAAACTTCAAACATAGTAAACGTTTAATCGCACCTCAATTGTACAACTATACGTTTAATCGCACCATGTACAACTATCGTGGGTATAGGTAACCCATGTACAACTATAGTAGGTATAGGCAACCCATGTACAACTATAGTGGGTATAGGCAACCCATGTACAACTATAGTGGGTATAGGCAACCCATGTACAACTATAGTGGGTATAGGCAACCCATGTACAACTATGGTGGGTATAGAGGCAACCCATGTACAACTATAGTGGGTATAGGCAACCCATGTACAACTATGGTGGGTATAGAGGCAACCCATGTACAACTATAGTGGGTATAGGCAACCCATGTACAACTATAGTGGGTATAGGCAACCCATGTACAACTATGGTGGGTATAGAGGCAACTCATGTACAACTATAGTGGGTTGTGATTTGTACAGAGTGGTTGTGTGGTACTCTATCTCGGTTCTCCACTAAAAACCGAGCTAAATTTTGACCAGCCATTAATAAATCCTACCATTGTTTGTTTGGATCATTTGGACAGTCTGCAGTAAAATTGTCCACCGGAATTTGTTTTTTGCTCAGCGTCAAAGTCGCCATGACATTTATTATCGGCCGAGTCCTATAAGAAAAAAGGAACAGGATTGCATATTGAATTCCGATGGTTATATTTGTGGCAGTGGTACTATATATTTTCCTTATATCACGTAATATCGGTTATTATGGTAAGACCGCTGGCGGGAAGGGCAACAGGGATTTAAATATAGCGGTTAGAGAATTGTAAGACAATTTAAGTTGATCGTGTAGGAGACGAGTTTCAGAATAAATTTCAGAGGCTAATAACAACTCGATGCCATTTACGACGTGAGTTGTGAACCAAAATTTCATTAAAGGAAAATTATGATCCTCTCGATATAATACTGTACCTTAGCAGCATAACCCTGTCGCTATCCCAGGCACCGATAGCAATATCTAAAACAATAGGGGAAATATTTATAAGGTGAGTAAAAGGCAAATTTCTCATCTTTGTCCTCAGTCTCTGAACTGAATTACTAGTATAGAGATCTTATTATCCATACAGCAACTGCATGTGTAGAATTTACCCACACTTGATTTACCATGCAATAAAATAATTAATCCAGAAGAACATTTACCTGGATATTGATCACCGTTCGTGTCGACATTTCCTGCTATAGCATACCCGAATTGTCGGAAATTAGGGTAAAATTTCCTCACCGTCTCCGCAGTTATTCTCTACAAACGAATAAAAACGCAGCGTTCATTACATTCAGGCATTCGACAATTTTGAACGCTCCCACCCACAGGCACACAAAGAAAAACAGCCCCCCCCTGCCCGCCATCCTTCTGTCACCCTCTTCTCCCCCCGCTATCCTCCTGCCACCCTCTTTCCCTGCTCCCGGCTGCTTGGAAAATTTACAATTTACTGTTGTTTACTGTTAAAGAATATATACGCAAAAATTACGGGAACCACTGTCCACTGAGCATTTTAATAAAAAATAAAACAATAGAAACTCCGTAAAAAGTAAACATTTTGAAAAATATAATTTTCGACGTTTCGACTAAAATATAGTCATCATCAGATGTAATATCATCCTCATTCTTTCCCTGATGATGACTATATTTAAGTCTAAACGTCAAAAATTATATTTTTCAAGTGTACTTTTTACGGAGTTTCTATTATACGCGAACCTGTTGATAATCTCTGAATTTCCCATCTTCTCTTCCATAATAAATGTAAATTGCCCCATTTCCAAAACCATCATTATCCAAATCTGGTTGATCTTGTGGTGCTCCAATTATAAAATCTACAAAATGAAAAACATGCTAGACCACGATTGATGAAAGCAATATCTCACGGATATTATGAACGACCGTTGTATGCCATGCGTGGTACACGCGTGGTACCCCCAAAATTTCGATTTTTCAGTTGGTATGAAGAAATTTGTTCGACGGTGTGGAAGACGAGTTGGGATCCCGCCCCAAATTCTCTGCTAAAGGCCCGCATTCCCTAAACACAATAGTTTTCTCAAAGAAATTCATCAACAAACATGATCCACCTCTCAATGGGGAATAAACTGCTTATAATTCTCATTCCTATGATGAACCTGGGAATTGCATATCTTCAATAAAGGCAGGTACTGATTTCACCTCAAGAGCCTGTTTGCAGGCATAGTTGTTTTATAACAGTATTAATTTCTCGTTATGACTGCAATAGTCAATCATAAGCTTACATACCTTCGATGTCATCATTATTAAGATCTCCTGCTTTAGCAATCGACCAGCCAAATCTAGCTCCTTTATTATTACTGCCACGTAATCCCGTGTTAGATGACAATTTTAACGACCGGGGCTACAGGACAAAAAAAACTCAAAATTAATAACAGCGCAAAAATAAATCAATAATAGCCAATGTAGTTGCTGTTGATCCTGTTATCAGTCACCCCCCCCGAATATTGTCTTGCCTTGCTTGCGTTTTTATCACAACTATCACAACTTATCATCTCTCGAAACATACTTCATTTCGAAATTTAAGTCAGAGCTACGGTTCTTACAACAAAACACAATCACAAAATTTCGACTAGTTACATAAAGAATAGCAAGATTAACAAGATTTCATTGATTGAATACTGTAGAATGGATTTATATTTCGACACACTTTCTGATCGCCTTATCGCTTACTCCTGATTTATCTTTGGTACTGAGGAATACATAGGCACGTCCTTCGTCCCCATTCTCGCTAAAGAATGGAGCACCGACAATCAGATCTGCATATCTATAAAAAATATTACAAAAAACATTTTGTTTATTTCAGTGGTCATTTTGTTTATTTCAGCGGTTTCCATTGCCAGTGGTTGACACGACGGACTTTAATCACGTTAGGATGTCCAATCCAACATGGGCAAATTGTTTTGTACGTGCAAACTTTCGCTTAAACGGTGGATAAGTCGAAATTAAATAACACTCTCTCTTGAATGAGTCAACTTGAATTTTATGTACTGAATATACAGTTGTAAACGTATCTTTGTATTAAGGTTAAAAACATTTACTTTGCTTCTTGAATAAAACGATAGACTTGCTTTCTATTTTGAACTTAACCACTGTTTAAGCTAAACGGGCTTGATACAACCGGCCCCAGGGGTCGTTGGCTAAGGCTGGAGAGCGCTATCCACCGGATAGTGACTGTTTCAAAAGCATATGCTTGGAAGGCAAAAAAATTTTAGCTTTGGAACGAAAAATGATTAAAGAGAATCCTCAATTTAGGAATACTAAGATTAAATCAAAGTTATACCAAACAATGGGCAACTTTAAAGCGAGTGAAAAAAGTACCATCCGGCTTTCATACAACCGGCCCCAGAGCACTGATTGTGTAAAATATGAGCGCGAAATCACGTGGTACCTACCCATCCTTATTAACATCAACTCCACACACAGACGCTCCAAAGTACATATGTTGTCTTTTCTAAAATACAAACACAATAACCGATCTTATTTTTTTATATATTAATTGTATAATCGCTCTATGTATACGCTGTATGCGTTTTGATTGGCTCTTATAGCAGAGAAATACAATAACGAAGTAATACAATTCAAATTGGAATTTTGAATCTATCGCATTGTCTGATATAGTCTCGTAAGGTATACATACCAGTTTGTCCTCTTCTGGTGGGGCAAGCGATCCATGTGATGTAAGTGTTGCATCTGCGCTGTAGAGATACACCTGAATAATACGAAACGTAATGTACTCATGTACAAAATACCCTAAAAATACTGGCAAGGATTTCTTTTCCATTATAAATTTAATTATATTATGATAATTCCATTGGCAGGGTCGAAACCTTTCGGTCTAATAGTTGGTTGAATACCGCAGTCAACGTCTGAAAAGTTTTTTTTCAATGCAAAATGAAACATTCATATACATACCCTTCCACTTATATCAATTCTTGGAGCTCCGGCAGCAACGGCTTTATGAATAAATAAACGAGACTTTTTAGCTTAGGACAGGACAGGAAAGTAAAGAGGTTACACATTAACTCCATGCAAGAATATGTGCAACTCAGTGCACTGAAAAAATCCAGGATATTTGAAAAAAAAAGCAACAAAGACGTAGTGTATTCATCAATACCTTCTTCGCTACGAGATAATTTAAAAAAATTTCCATAGGTGACTGAATAGCCTAAAGAAAAAGTATAACTACGGGTCAAAGGTTTCGATGAAATTGGTATTAAAATATAAGCAAAGTATTTCAGGACCCAAATTTCACATAGAAAAAGTTTCAAGTACAAAGAGCTCAGTACGAACCAAGATAAAATCCACGAAAGTCACCATTATTTGTTATAGAAAACTGCTTTGTTCCAGCATCACCAGATTGTTGCTGAACAGCCATACCTAGTCACATACAAAACAATTAAAGTTTGCGTCGTTGCATAAGACTTAAACAATCTTGCCTTTTAGAAAACGGCAAACCTTCGATATTACCCATAATTAAGGATTACTGTGATACTACCAAACGTACTGGGGCCAGTTGTATAAAACTCATTTTGCGTAGTTAAATCGTAGTTAACCTAGAAATTCTGGACTCTGATTGGCCAATTCTATCACTAACTATAGTTAAAAGTTGACTACCTCTTTATACAACTGACCCCTGTATTATCAAAAAGTCATAGCAGCTTTAGCAGTACTTTACTGATGCCAGAAAATTGCCAAAAAGAATTTGGATTATCAATATTCATACTAGGACTGCATACGTGAAATAAACAAAAATTGAACTTAAAACTTCAAATACATATTAAATGTACATATTGGGACGATTAAATATTAAATAGTGCCCCCATTTCACCAACTGAGCGAGTACCATTCCTTTTTTGCAAAAGTGCAATATTGCAAGGAAGTAATGTAATTGGGTAATCGTTTGTTAGCACACTGATGCACACCCTAGGAAAATCTGCACCCCTCCTGTCAGATGAGTATTCATCCACCCCTGAGTCGTTAAAGTAAAAACTTTTTGCGTTTGGAGCGAGTTTGCACAGTAGTTTGCACGTCACGAGTTGATTGAATAACTATGATTGAATACAACTTAGCATCATATGTGGTATAACAACTGCCAAAAATAGACAAAACACTTCTCGACGTTTCGACCTGTGGGCCTTTTCCCTGGTTATATTGATGAACGTCTACGCAGCGACCATAGTTCACGCTGCTCCCTGGTTATATGATTGAATATAGCTTATTTTTTGTAAATACCTCGCTGATCAAACCCCATGACAGCACCCATCAGCGTGGACTTCGAATTTTCTTTAAATGCTGCTGAAAATCCAGCTTGACAAAATCCATGTTCATGTCTCGCTGGAAAGCAAAAATCATGAATTACTAACTCGTCCTAACCCCGTTCATACTTTTAGGTTTTCATTTTAATTTAAATAGTCTCATCAAAACTTATTTTTCACATTAACAGCAAACTTGACAGACTTTCACAGTATTGCAAAAACTACCAATCACAAGTATATTTATTGATTGACTCACACAATTGGTCGTAACCACTCCGTTGCCTAGTGCATGGATACAATTCGTATAAATGTCTGGGCGTTTCATATCTGAAACATTTTCCTATCATATAATAAAAGTCTTTCGCCGCAGAATCCTTTTCACTATATCTTGGTGCACAAACCTAAGAAAAATTACACATCAGATTAATTGCATATCTTGCCTTATTAGACTTTGCCAAGAAGAAGTACCCCCCTTTTGATGACATCGACCTTTCGATTAACCTTGTGTTACCTTACTTATGTATACTTCGTATTACATAAACTTTAAGCAAACTTGTGTGAAAAATAGAGAATAAAGAATGAGTGGTTCTAGCTGCATTAGTATTTCTTATGCTGTGTTCAAGGATTTTTTTGCCTTTTGCTACATGAGTGTTGCATACAATTCAGGCTCTGTTTACACTATATCCAGTTTGTTTGTCACAACATCTTTGTTTCCCTGGTTTGGATAATGGTTAGTAAGCAAATGTTTATTTGTGTCATTAATTTGGTATATTGCTTTAGACCTCTGACATCCTTGAAATTTGACACACTTCCAAAGCAATCCTTTAAAGTGTAAACAGGATCTTATTCTTATGTATACTTACAACTATAGGGCCAAAGCCATTGGAAGTCACAGTGGCTCCTAGCCATTGGTTTTCTCTAATGTCATAATCTAGATTGACCGCTGTTAAGACAAAATAATTGAAACTCTTAATGAAAGGAGGATTTCACATGAAGATATGCAGTGTCAATATCACTTTGACCCTCAGAAGGCCTCCAGAGGCCTGTGGTATGAAGGCTAAATAGCACTATCCACTGTTCAGCTCCCACACAGTTTAATTTGGAATAGGCAAAAAGGTTTTAGCATCATATTAAAAAATGTGAAAAAAACTAAATGATATGAAGAAATTAAAAATGATATGAAGGAATTATTGTTATCATATCTAGTGTCAAAATGAAAATAAACCGGAGGCCAAAGAGCCAATTCCTAGACATTACCTGTATAGATTAGAATAACAAACAATATTTAATTAACTTCAAGCGTTGCTAGGGAAAGCATAGCAACGGCCATCAAATTTCATAATTTGCCCTAGGGAAAATTATGAAATTTGATGCAGCTCGTGTTGATCATGTGATCACACATAATCATGAAGATTTGAGGCCCTCCACGAATGGACCTCTTGTCCAATAGGAAAGCAGAAAAGATGAATTTTGACACTAGGTATATAACAATTTAATTCAATGCCACCAAAATGCCATGTATGAACCAGGCCTTAATAATCAACATTTGCATTTGACATTTAAAAAATGGCTAAAGGAAGAAGAAATAAGCAAATAAGTGCATGCTTGAGTCCGAAGGACACTGACTTATTATACTGAAACTTACTTGGATTATCAAGTTTCTCGGTGTTGCAGGTTTTTGACTCAATAACACATTGGTGTAGACTTCCTGCACCTTTTGAAAGACCATCTCCTTTTGGTGCACCAACAAATATCCTATACCAAAAAAATATGGTCAGTCATTTGTATTTTTATGTATGAAAATCTCATAAGAAACAAAATTTACTGACTACCTAACATGAAAGTGGTTTATATTTTCATCAAATTTAGTAGAACAACTGCCTAAAGTTGACAGGTTTTTTTTGTCTATTTAAGGCAGTTGTTATACCACATGTGATGAAGACTGACATCTGAGAAATGTATATAATTTATTTGTTAAGTATCATACATGGGGAAAGCAAAATCCCTTTTTCTCAAAATGTTTTTTTTGAGGGTAATATTTTAGGTTGTATGGAACTTATTAACTTGTCAGGGTTATACTTTCTACATATTACAAAATCTTGCAAACAAACTTTGCATCTTTACTTATTTTACATAATGTGGATTTTGAATCTTCCATTTAGAATCATCCAAATATTTTCATACTGAATATTACAAATTCCCACACATGTGATGAAAACATATGTTTTTTCATTCTATGTAGTGTCAGGTTAATATGAATTTGGCCTTTACTTTCACAGAATTAAGTAGATGCTAGTGCAAAAACCATTCTGGTTACTTTGTTTTTTTAATTGACATGATGGTGAGTGTATTATTTCTTTTGATGGAAATTAAGATGTAAAGTCCTCATAAGCTTTTAGATGATTAATTATTGACATAGATGTAGTGAGATATTTACATTGGATCTGAAAAAGCCCTTTAAGATAGAAAAATTGTTTTAGTACACAGGAACTTTGTTGCATCCTGCACAGTGCCTAATAAAGACAACTATTGGACCATTTACCTGCCAGTAAAGAAAAATTCAAATCACTATATTAATTAAATAGTCATTTGAGTATTGGTAACCCAATTAAAATAAATTCTGACTGATTCCTAATCATTTTTTGAAATTCATTAAATTCAAAATGTCATGTTCAAAACAATAACTCAATAACAAAAATTCCTTTTGATTGCTTCGTATGTGACGTCTATTTAAACCGTAAATCCATCCGTTAGAACTCTAAATCCATACTCTTTATACCCTGTTTTTCGGCAAACTCAACAATAATAAATACAGACAATGACAATGAGATAAAGATTTCAGTAAAGGCATTTTATAATTAAAGACTGTTCTTCATGATAAATGTTAAACCGATTTACAGATAATACATCAACATTCATTCTACAGTTAGGGGAGATATTGTTAAAAATAAATTGTACTTACGACGGTTTGTCCCCAAAATATTGTCCTGTGTGTAGAGTGAGACTGTAACCAAACAGTGTTTTGTCTTTGCCTTTGAAGACGAGGTTTGAATCTATGTTCACATCAATCTGATCGATTTTATCACTATTAATAAGGCTAGCCCAGTAAGTCAGGAACGAAAATAGGACGAACGCCTTGCCACAAGACATTCGTATATTTTTCAAAACGACGGACTGATTGATTTTGACAATTTAGGCACAGCCCTGCGTGTTTATACTATAAAATGGAATGTTACTGCTTTTAAAATGTGCCTCTGAGGATGTTGGCCTTGAATATACTGTCACAACGATATTGAGCGTAAGGATAGGGCGGGGCTGTTCGGGACGTCATCGGAAATGCCGATAGCCATATAAGCGATTAGAATTTGGTCTTCAGGTAAATCTGGGCTGTCAACTGTGTCAAGCTGTGTACAACGCTGTATTAAACCAAACATAATCTGTTGACGATCTCGTCTAGACGCCTAACTTTATGTTTTATAGCCATGAACTAAAGGTACTATTTAGTTTATTAGTAACCGTAGTTTTTCTCTTATACTTAAGTTACAGGAAATTCAAATATCGTAATAACCTACGACCAAATAGTTTATATAATTGTGACAAGCTGAAACAAAAACATATTCGGCATATTGTAACTAAAATTACTCAATATTTATGGTTTAGTGGGATGGATTGTTATTACCCTAAACATGTTTAAACTGAAGTAAATTAGCTTGTAGGTACACCACGTAAGTATCTAATACTGCAGACTTACCATGCAAACTTACAAGAATATGTTTAAACTTGTTTATACACTTTTGTGACCAAGCACAATAGCCTATGACCTATGTTGGTTGCGGAGTACAAACGGGGGCAACTATAGATTGAATTGAATACCATGCTGTATAGTATTGAACTACCCTCTTTTTTAGTAACAAATCCCATTTTATGTTGATGAGATAACTTTAACACATAAATTGGACTACTCAGAACAAACAAGAATGAACAATGATTTTTTTAGAACAAGGCAGCTTCACTGCTCCAGTATTCTATAATTATGCAATTGCAATAACAAATTATCAAAAATGTCATAATAGTAGGCTCTGATATATTTACTAAACCGACAGTCTTTTTTATTCCAAAATGACATTGGGAATGGTTAGGTATCATTTCCACTGTTGCAGTATAAATATGACAGAGCCAAAAAGATTGTGCCTCATGACCTATGACCTTTGTGGACTTTATTCCTTGGGATATAATGAAAAAATGTACTTTATTCAATATTTTATATATGAGTGTAACTTGCATGTAAACATCCTTTACTATACCTTCTTTGTGTATTTTGATCTTCACTAATCAAAAATCATCATGCCCAATTTTGTCTTATCATGCAGTCTTTATAATTGTTGTACATTTTGCTGTTGTCATAGTTTATATATCCTCCACTTTGAACATGAAAATTTTTGAAATTTCATAGTTATAGAGATCTCAGGAAACATGCTGTTTTCCAGTTTTGTTAGTGAACTAATATAATTTTTTTAGGCAAGAAGATCATTGTGAGCAATGTCTGAAATTGTCGACTGCATTTCCTGGGTTGTTCAAAAGACATGTTGGACATTTTACGTCTTTTGCGAGTTCCTTTTTCTTCGCTTTCTTGATCTTTTAGGTCTGCTCTTCAATATTTTAGCTTGTCTAACGATCATACGGCTGCCATGCATGATAAAACAATTTGCAATAATGAAGTCTATGTCAGATTGGCGTTTGATTGGTTTCATTCAATGCCTGATTTTCATAATGGACATTCCAATCATACTAATGGCTTTTGGTGCCTTAATAATCTCATTTGGGTTGGTATATTTTCCCATGAAACGAGAAATTGAAGAGAAACGAATAAAATGCGACTACACGTATAAAAACGATAGTAACATATATTTTGGAGGATTCAAACTACGAAAGTTGGTTGTTCGTTATTTTTTCAAACATTTGACAGGAATGTTGTGTATCCCTTTGCTTCTGTTAACATTGTTATCTTGGCGCTCTGTGATTTTGGCACGGAAACTTCGTTCACACAATTATTTTAAATGGAAATGGCGTAAAGTTATTCTCGTGCAGTTTCTTCAATTGTTTGTTGATATTCCTTGCGTTTTTGTCGCTTTTTTTGTTGTCATAAGTTGGAGATTACCGTTCTACATTCGCGACGTCAATAAAGTACGAGAAGATCATAGTTGGAGTACATGGCGTTTTGTTGCCTTTGCACATTTCGCCCTTTTATTTGTTGATCTGTTTTGTTTCTTGCTGTTCATCCTCACAGTCATTACATGGCGTTTACCACTTCTGATTAAGGAGCTTCGTGGTGACTCCTGCACGAGCCAATGGGATGTCAGAACTATTGTAGTCAAACAATTCTTGCTAATCTTTGTTGACATCCCATGTATTTTTTGTTTCTTTCTTGTTTTGATAACCGTATGGAGACTACCCAGATTTATCAAGAACTTGAAGAAGGACGAGTGGGAAATTCGAAGTAATTGTGTCTACCAGGCATTAATGATGATGGTGGACTTTGTCTGTTTCCTAATCTTTGGGATGGTTCTGCTTACTTTATGGAGATTGTATCCATTAATCAGGGACATTCGAAAGTACAAGAAACAGGGGTTCGTCTCAAATCCACCAGATACAGCAGAGACTTCGCATCATGAACCAGAGTCTGACGTTGTCTCACGCAGATCTTCGTGGAAAATCAGAAAAGCAATTTGTAAACATTTCATATTTTTATTGATTGATATACCAGCAATTTTGCTTTCCACGCTGGTGTTAGTCACAATATTTAGGCTTCCGTCATTCCTCGCGAAGCTTATTCAATCTGGGGATTTTTACTCGGAGTTTGCAATGATTGCTTTCATGGAAGTTGCTAAACTTCTTATTGACATCGTGTTTTTGTTTTTCTTCATATTCCTGATGATACTACGTCCATTTGCATCGTGGGTTCACTTACTGGAAGACGAGGAACATATGCAATATCGCCATATTCGTTTTCATATGAAAGGAATTTCTCATATGGTAAAAGAAATTAGAGAAAATTTGCAGATTGCGTTAGAGGAAGAGTTTTCGTTGTGTTTGAAAGACAGAGTGGATGTCATACAAGCTCGCACACGTTTATCACAAATATGTGAATTTTACTTGAAGCCGTGGGAATTATTGCACGTCAAAGTGCTGGAGAATGATGCTTATCCCGATCTTGCTCATTTGATAGCGACGGTAATCTGGTATGAAAGACGTAGACCTTACAAGGTGATACGTCGGTATGCTTGTGAACTGTCGTATCTTGAAAAACCAGTGCCAAGTGTTCACGATGAAAATATCGCCAGCCACCAGCAGGAAATGATTGAATATGAGGAAAAACTAATTGCACTGTACAACTTACTTCGGGAATACAGTCCTCCTAAAGTACCATTATGGCAAACCAAATGCGGACTTTTCACTAGGAGTCGTCGGGAAACTCAGAAGGTGCTGTTAGGCTTACCTGGTGGAAACATTGTAAATTTCATTTTAATACTGATCAATTTGATTTTCGTATATCGTGGCCCAAGGCTTCTTATTGATCTTTACCATCGCTGGTACGACCGTCGCTCTATCATATTACGTTCACTTAAAGAGTATCTTTTAGATGCAGTGACATTTCTCAGAATTTTGATCGTCCTGATATTTGTTTATCGCGCTCCTGCTCTCATTCTTGACATAACAATTGATATATTTCAGAAGCATAGCTGGACAGCAGTCAGGGTAACTGCCAAACGGTATCCACTTATGATAATTGACGATATAACTGGCATTATAACGACGATATTTGGTTGGCGGACTGTACGTTTTCTGTTTACCGCTGTGCTCTTCGGTATTTTAATTCCTGCTGATGTCCTGTTAACAGTATTTAAGCTTTCGTTTGATAAATGCACGGCATATTTGCTTTCAGCATTCTTATTTCTCGTCTACATGGGATTCCCGTTTGCATTTGCTTTTTATTTTGGTGAACAACTCTTGAACGATGGCTTTGGAATAATAATATCGTATATTATTGGAGGATATGGTTTATCGTTCGTTGTCGTCCTCGTGCTTTTAATATTGATATTACTAAAAAATCGAGGAACTAAGTTTTCAGTGGCTCCAGAACCGTATGACTATGTTCGCTTGAATTGGGAAAATGTGCACGTGGTGGTGTTCGAGATTGTTGAAGTACTGCAATTAATAGCACTTGTTTTCAGCTTGAATGAGTTGCCAATGGCTGGCAGTGAAGTCCTCAACGAATTTTCCAACTACCTTCTCTTCAATTTTGCCTCATTCGAAGTTAAGCTGTCACTTACCGTTGCAGGATTTCTTGTTTGGTTTGTCGTATGCGGTGCGCCGATCATATTCGAGAATATCTTAGAAGAATTCAACGAAGGAGAGTGTGCGTCAAATCCAGGATGGAGACTGCTTATGTCCCTGTTCTCCAATACGCTATTTCTCTCAATTGTTGAAGGATTGTGTGGCCTAGCAGCGTGCGATTACTCTGACAATGTTTGCAACAACAATGGGACTATCACCAACAGCACGTGTTATACATCTTCTCTTCTTGACGATCCAAACACAATGTGTTGGGTTGGAAAGCATCGGGGTTTCGCATTATTTGGTCTCTGGGGGTTATTTTGGTACACCACAACCGCTATAATATACGGTACAGAATATGGTGAAGTCGATAGTGCCAATGTGGACATCAAGTTTTCGCCAGTATATAATACGGTAATGAATTTTCTAAAAGCTGTTATGATTGGAGCAGTTGTGTTGATTTCAGCAAACCATTACACGACATTGGGAATTCTTCTTGTACTGTCTTTGGTTGCAGTATTATTTACAATTTTCTTCAAGCGGTTGGTCGGATTCGTATTTTGTAACTCCGTTGTTGTGAGTTACTTTCGTGTGGCATCATTTGTTATCCTAGGATTTTCCGTGGCATCTGCCTTAGTCGCAAAACGTTTGGATGACAGAGATTCGTACATACCACTAGCAGTGTTTCTTGTATCAAGTTTTGGAACATTACTTGTCGCCTGCATTGCATCAATATTTCGTAAAAAGCAAACTGCTACAGAAAAACTGCGAAAACAATTTAGGGCGTATATTTTGACGCTTGAAAAACGTTTAACTAAAGAGGATTTAATGTCAGCTTCGTGGAAAGATAAACGAATGCAATGGAGACGGCTTGTTCGAAATGTTTATCAAGCTCAACGGTACGATCGAAATGTTGCCCCTGAAGTCTGGGAAAGATTAGGACAGTCGGAAACAACAGATGATTATACAGCCCCTCCAGCACCTCCACCGGACTTTGCTGTACATTTGTCATCCAACACACCCACTTCAGAAACAACCAAAGATTATACAGCACCTCCCAACATTCCTCCGCCTAAATTTGTTACACAACACCCTGGCTCTTCTCCAGCCCATCCAAAGGATCTATCCTTGCCTGATTCAACAGTAGGGGAAATTTCATCCAATGCAGAAGTTAATTCTGCAGGAATCCAAATCCAGCTTGAAGATACCGAGGGCGTCACTACTGCTAATGCTGCTTTACCTTCAACTGAAATTATATCTGTGATGCCTGAACACTATACAGGAAAGTATGACTTGAATGACTTTTTAGAAAGCAGAGTACGAAATTTGTCGCGCCTTCAAAACAGAGGTGACGATGCAGAAGAAAGCGAGGCTGCAACGATTCGTCACTTGCAATGTAATGGCAAAAATATTCTCCTGTTCTTGGAACGCTTTATTCGTTTTAGTGCATTCTCGTTCTCTTTTGTTTCTCAAATACCATTTTGGCGTCAAGCAGTGTCTGGTAGTAACTGGACAGGTTTATTCCACTGTGTTCAGATATTGGATAAAGCTCTGACAGGAGAATTCAACAAACCTACGGAACTCGACATATCTTTGGGTAATCCAAACATGCTTCCAGGTGTTCTCGGTCCTGACCCTGACAACGAAATGCCCCCTTCCTTTACTCCAGAACCACGAGATCCTGAAAGTATCAAAGGCATATCTGATGCTGAAAGAGAACGGGCGTTGCGTGATGTTCAACGACTGTGTCCTGAAGAACCTACTTGGTTAGCGGTGTTTGAAAAGGTCCTCCCAACAATCCCTATTATCCGCAAGTGGAGTCTGCCGGAAAACTCCAATAATTTTGAACTCATTTTACGGCGACCTTGCCAGGCTACAGTTGTTGATGTTGGTCCCAAAGGTGTAAAACTTGCAAAAGGAGCCGTCATTGTCCTTCCTAAACGTCTCAAAGGTGTTTTGTTTGATAATCTTCTAACTTTTGAGAAACGTTGTGAACCGGTTGGAAAGAAAGGCCCTGTGTCCGTTGCTGTTTCTGAAATCAAAATTCTAAATGTTGGAGAGAAAATTTATCTCAGTTCTAATGGGAAAAAAATCAACGTTGAGAAAGCAATTGATTCCTTGAAATCACTCAAGTGGAACTAGTTTACTTGGTAATCAGTATAATAATAATGAGAACATATTTACTTTTAAGTAAAGATCAGGGAGGGGGCTAATATTCATACATCCATGTTCAGCTTAAATCGATTGTTTTTACGATCTGTTAACATAAATATTTGAATATTTGCGCCCTCCCCCACTTAACGAGCTTCCGTTGCTACTGTTTTGATTTGGTAAATGTTTGATATCTGCAATTTCCTTGAAATCTGGTGTTTTCTGTCTTAAGTCCCACTCACTGTACCTCACTCGCTAACTATTTAAACTCACGTAAGATGGTGAAGCCGAAAAAACTGGTTTTAATGATATACAATTTATAAGTTTCCGACGAAAATATTTCCGAAAACACTTCAAAAATGGCGCCTGAAAACGCTTTAAAAATTTGCACAACCTCGTACCTAGGACACAGCTTCGTAGAGTTCCAAAGCCGATCTATATCATTGACCTACCTACCCTACCTAACCACTTTAACGAGTCTGGCCTTGGCTTACCTAGAATTTGGTGATAGATGTATAATTAATTGTATAGCTAAAATATTCTGTAAAGACTAAGTAATAGTATTAATAATTCGCACCGTTTTTTGAAACACACCCGCTCTCAGAGTGTCACGTATTTTGTGAGCGGCCCCGAAAATCTATCTGAAGTGTTTCCGCACATTAATAAAGATGTCTCACTTGTGACTTGTGGATGTGAATTGTAAGTACACCTTATTGAATCAATTTGAATGCAGCGGGTAGCGGAGGTCTTCTCACCGACTCACCCTTACTCAATTAGGTACTAGCTTCACCAGAGACCGAGAGGGGAAAGCTTTAAATATATTATAAGTTTCTGCTTCGCCACTGCTTCCATCCCGCCTGTTGCCAAGATCTCGCTTTTAATAGGGTAATAAAAATTTCGATATTAAAAAAACTCCCAAAAAAGCTGACCTTTTGCATTTTACGCATTCGGACTTGAACATGATATGATTATGAAGAACCTCAGGAACTTAACGCAATGTTTTTGGGTCACGTCGAATGAACCCCGCCTTTCGCCTAATCGAGTGTTCTCTGGTTAGAAGTAATTTAAAACTCGGAAGCACATAAAAGCTATAAAACAAGGTGTCTTATAGGATTATAGCGCCCTGGAAGCACTGATCATGAAGAGCGGAAGTGCGAGACATCAGGGTGACACCGGAAGTGGTTCAAATATTGAAATCGAGGCTGTTAATGTTTAGAGTTTCAGACACATGGACCGGGGCTAAAAATGTTCAGTGGCGCCTGATGAGTTTAGTTTTTAGCTGGAGAAAAACGTTCGGTGGAGCGTTTAAAAATACATTTTTCCCGATGGTTATGGCTGCAGAGCCTGGTAAATCTGGTGGTGAACAGGAAAAAAACAGTAATTTATCTCTACAGAACAGGAAAAGCGTGCCGAACATAAAAATATGTACGAAGTCATTACCTGCCGAGAGCAGGAACGGTGTGATGGCTCATCCAAAACAGGTCAATTCAGTTGAAAATAATGAACATGAAGATAATTTAGGAATGGGGATTGATTTAGTAAGTCAAAATGGACAATCATATTGTCATGGTAGGGATGAAATGATCTCTGAGGGTGATAGTTCGAACAATAATTTGAAGTCTGACGTTTCGCCATCAAAGGCATCAGTAGCATCGCACCGTGATCAATTATTGTTGCTGCATTTGGATCTTATTGAACGCCAGCAACAATTAATTCAAGAAAAAGACCGGGAAATTTTGGATTTGAAGAATGAAAAGGAACAGGTTTGCCCTTACGTCGTTATTTCTTTGTATTTAGGATGATAATGGCACAGAAGTATGAAAAGATCCCGAACACCTTTCGGAGATTTTTATAAGGGCATATTTATTTTTACGTCACCCTTTGTTTTGTGAGTCAGCGCCGTGTTTTGAACTACTTCATCTTATAAAATGTGAAATTACCACAGCCCATCTTTGTGTTTGAAAAGTTGAAAACTTTTTCAGTTATACCACAAACTACTTAATTGCAACAGTTACAACCTCAGTAGGGTTTTAACCAATTCTACAGGGCTTTTGCCTTGCACTATTTTGCTACTTGATCTTTTTTCACTAATGTAAATATACCCAGGGCCAATAAGGGGTACTACAGCGCATAGGCATAGAGGGGAGGGAATGCATTCCCCAGATGAGTTAGTGATAATAGAGGGGAATAAGTAGCTCAATGGAGAAACATTCAGCTCCAATGTGCATTCTTTAAGGGGATATGATGTCCCTTCCTGCAACATTTTTTGGCCTGTAGGCCCTCAACTGACAAAGAAAAATGTCCACACAAATCTAAAACCAAGTAAGATTGCAACTTTAGTTGTAACAATTAACTGGGAGCATTTACCCTTAAATGCAGTATTGCATTATGTAAAACCCATTTTCAAGGTCACACTAGGTAGTGTATGTATGTTCATGATCAATTTTGTTTTTCTTAAGTTGGAAGGAAGAATTAAACGTATGGAAAGAAGAATGGCAATAAAGATGCATAATAATCATTATGAAGATAATGAAATTGACATTTTATCATTACCAGCATCATCTAGGAATAGAAAGATCTTGCAAAAGAGGTTAGCACTTATATTATGTGTTACTTTACAGGTTAGCATACAGTATTTAGCATGTTTCTTAGTGTATGATTGCCCAGCATTTATTCATATGATTTTGTTTTGTACTTTAGAATGAATAGAAAACCATCATTGACAGAATTAATGCGTAGGAAAAGTATTCCAGCTGCTGCACCAGTGCTAATGTCCTCAAAAATAGACAGTTGTATCAATATTGATATGTGTTTAAGAACTGAAATGTTGTACATGGATCATGAAAACAGTATGATGGCAAAAGAGCCTGAACAAAGCATTAAAGAATTCACTTATCAGTCACATTGCTGTGATGATGTACCAAGTACGTGGCCAAAAACTTTGAATAAGTTTTATCCAAGGAAGGGGCTGGTGTCTCAAAATATCAAATGGTTTCACTAGCTTGCTTGTTTTCAGTCTGTTTGCTTGCTATAAACCAGAATCCAATTTCGGTTCATAATTAAATTCATTGCAATCATAAGAGATATTCAGCAACTTCAATATGAACTGTTCTTACCCTAGTCTTTTCTATTTGCCGTAGATTACCTTGAATATTATTGTACTCTGGCATCATACAATTTTTGTTTATCATGCTTTTGTTTGCTAAAGTTCCTCAGTTTAGGATAGTTGAAAACTACTCATCTCCACTTCAAACATGTGGGACAACCACAAGATCCAGTGTCTCAGGAAGTGAAGATATGGAAACAGCATGTGAGGTAAGCTAGAAGTTGGTACTGTGGTACAGTAGAATTTGAATATGTTATTAGCCAGGTTCAGTCAATGTTAAAGCAGGTGTTACATTATCTGGAATGTGTTTAATTAAATCGATGTTCAAAATGCTGAGATAATGTCACCCTTTGTTTCAATCTTAAAGAATCTAGATGACGAAACATTTGGTAAAAGACATGCACGTCCTGAGGCTGATGAAAAAAGACGGAAAAGGTAGATGCTTTTTTACCAGATTTTTGTAGCCAGGTCCATTCAATGAAAAGACTTCCTAGTTTCAATTTTCTTACCATACATGTACATGACACTAACCTGCTTTACCCAATGGTGTTTCATCAGAACACATTGCCCTGGTTTTTTAAATAGGTTAACAGAGCCCAGTTGTTAAGTATGTTTTGCTTCTTAAGGTGGGATCTTCAACATTATCGGGCAAAAATACAGCGTGAAGAACTGCAAGAAAAGTACAAGCAACGAGAAGAAGCGAGGTTAAAAGGAAGGAAAGTAGTGGAACAAGAACCAAAGTCGTGCGATGAGACCTTATTACCAGATTGTTTTCACAGTGAGTTATTGTAGAAACAAACGATAGCCTTGTTACAAAAATCTTGTGTTTCCCACATTTGAACGTTTATTCAATTGCCACCGACGAAATTCAGGGGGAAGGTGAAAAAGAAGTCGTCGACAATGTTACGGGGTTTTCAGGAGTGCTGGTGCATCCGAGACTAAAAGCGGGTTAATTTTTTTCATTTTTAGTTCGAACGGTAGAAATGTCAGATACCGTTCCCGTATCTGCATTTGGTGCACCAGTTCAGTCATTCCAGCAAAGGTATGGACTATGTCTATGTTTACACAGGGCAGACCGAATTTGGACCAGGCGAAATTCGTCCGTATTCCCCTGTTATAGTTCGGTGCCAGTGGGTCTCGAATTTGTCCTTTTTCGGGATTCTCCTCAAACTGGAACTCTGGGCCAATGACCATTATTTTAGGGTTTATTTTAGCAGTTGCTCTGCTAAATGTGTCTTCTCATACACAGTTTAACCAAGAGATATTGGCGAGTCCTGGATACTATATTGAGTAAACACTTTTTCATCTACTTTGTAGCGAATTCGACTTGCCATGGTTTAACGTCGATAAACGCGAGCTACAAGAACGAGAAAAACTGATCCGTAGCAAAGCAAGGAACAGACGAAAATCTGGGCGACGATTCTGTAAGTTTACATCTTTATATTAGCTGTGTGTAATATATAAGCCGTAATTTCCTTCTTTTGAAAGAAGCGAACAAGTGACAGTTGTAATGTTCATAAAGCCTTAAGGCATGCATAAATCGTGGGTCGCTTGTACGGATGCTTAAAAACACAATCCGGGCTGTACTTTCGTACAAAAGTTTTAATAATCAACACTGTGTCATAATTGTTTTTCCAGAGATTGAAAAATCTTGCCTGAGGCAAGTTGGACGAAAGGAAATCATCGAAGACGTGAAAATGATGCCATTCTGGGTAATTTCGGGAACAATATCCAAATATCGCGGTGTTTAGAAATATGAATCGTTCCATTACCAAGTTGACGATAGTCGTCTACTTTTTACAATATTTATCATCCAGAAATTTTCGCAAATATCATGGAATAGTTTGTAATTTAGCAAAACATTGTCCTCGGTTTCACACATTAACAAACTTCAAAATGCTGTTATATTGCCTGTGCGATCAGGTCATCTGTGAGAATTCCGCTGATGTACCAATCCCTAGGCCGGGGGGACGTTATTTACAAGAGAATAGGTGTGAGAGGGCTTAAACAAAGCTTCGCTTGGAGCAAGTAGTCCTTTCCTAAGGCCTAGTTCTCGAATATCGCAAGTTATGTCCAAACTAAGTCAACCTTCACTCATTTTGCAACTCTGGTTCAAATACTGAAGAAACTACCACACAAAAATTACATTTATAGCCATAGATGAACTACAAACTCATTTCATAGGTTTAACCCTCTCTAAATTCAGCAATTAGCAAGTAATGTAGAAGGCTTCCATTAAGGAAAAACACTGTTTGGTAGGTCACTGTTTTTCAAAAAAAAAAATTAAAAAGATTCTAATGCTATTCGTAATCCTAGCTAAGTTAATACGGGGGTTGAAAATAGGCAACAAAAATCCATTCAATGCCTACAAAGAATATACACGACCCATGTAATAATAAGAATTGCTAAATAATAACAGCTTATATCCTTATTACGTGGTTAATATTTCTGAATAAGTCAACCTTGATATTCTACAACGACTGTACACATGACGAAATAAAATGTTGAGTTCACTGGCCACTGTAAAAATTACTTCTCCCGCCTGTATGTTGAATGGTAGCAAGACGTCCTGTTTCTATTTAATAATATTTCAACTGCAGCCCCCAGTTTGTTCTTGGTACACCTCAATCACATCATCATCCTCCATTTCAAGCTGAAAGAAAGTCAGTTTTTTAAGCATGTCTATACCATATGAAAACCCAAAATTGAACTGGGTGTTATTAGATGTATGAAATGGGGTGCTACACAAACCGACTTTGAAAGTGTATTATAGCCATTTCACAACAGTTCACAAACAATATACCGATACTCACATCTTTTGGTGTCTGGTCATCTGTAATCCTCTGGCCATCAAACAAAAATCGTAGTGAATTTAGAGCGACACCCTGTAAAGGACAATTTTAAATATATATGGTACTTAAATGATTGAAAGCCATTTTTACAATGCTCACTATATATTTGGCATTGCATTCACCCATCTATTACAGATAAATAATATTCTGACATCGTGATGTGGTGAAGTTTTTAATTTTAATGGTCTTGTTAACTTACTTGTCTGTCACAGAAAGCTTGCTTTAACTTTTTAAGTTGCGTTGTACGTTTAATTTTGAAATGGACTTCAGTATTATCCTACAATACCAAAATACAATATAAAAATTACAATATATACTGTTTTTAGGGTTGTTTCCTAGGAACTAAATCAACAAAAGTAATTTTTTATATTCACCATGAAAAACTAATTGAATGTTGTAAAAAAAGCTAATTGTTAAAATTTGTTACTGCTATATACATTTTTGTTGAGAAGGCCCACAACAATGCCATTGGGGTTGCATACTGTATCAATCACTTTGTTATGTATAGTTCTAATGTCAAGAGTTTTTATTTGATTACTTTTATTTCCTTGGTGTTTCCTTAAAAAGCCAGTTTCGTACACTGCAACCTGCAAATTTGTTGCTACAGTATATACGACTCCATTGGCATAGAGGGGTTGGTAACATATCGCCCAGTAAACTTGCGAGACAACTTAACAACAGTGCCAGTTAGCCAATAGTTTATACCAAAAATTAAAGGTGGTTTTATGTCAAATTTGGTTAATCTGCTAAATTGCTTGCTGGATCCAGTGCATCATACAAACTCGCCACCATGCTCATATAGCCTTAGAATACCTATCTTTCATAGGTGTTTATAGCCACAGAAGGAAGATCATTTACAAGTTCATGTAAAAATATAAATCTTGCAAGATTAGTTTAGGAAAAACTAATAACCCCCTTATTAGGACTCAATGTAAGGATTTCGATTAATTTTAGATCTTATTGAATGTTTTAAACATATTACATTCACATTGTAAACACGTGCCAATTTATATTTTATACTAAGCCAAATTGAATATTCATCACACCACAACCAGAATTGTGCAATGTAAATTACTTTAGACAGTCGACATCAGTTTTTTGTAAGATATGTAACATATTATATGGTCCTTTATAAGAGAAATAGTTGATTTTGGCAGAAATACTGCAATTTCAGGAAAACCTCACCTGGGCTATGACTTTCAGATTGATATGTTCTGACTCCGGTTTGACTTCCTGTAAAATAACGGCAGTATAAGATATACATCAGTGCTCACGATTTATGGTAGTCTTTCTAAATAGCTAAACTACCCTTTACCTTATTTTCTTCGGACATTTTGTACTTCCTTTCAAATCAATGGAGAAAAATCTTCGCAAGGCTGAAAGGTTTCCAAACACCAACGATGGCTTGAGAATTATGGGATAGCAAGGAGCCCGCGCTTTTGCGCCCACGCAAACAACCACAGGCGCCCCATTTGAATAATACTTATTTTGAATACATTTATAGAATAGTTGAGAAGATCAGTAAATGTATAATGTAGGTATCAATTTATCTAATTGTTATTTATATCAAACAATTACAACGGAATGATGATGAATTATTTCTTTCACTTGCTATATTTCAATATTTCCATTAGCAGAGAGGGGAATGTTTTGGTAAAAGTAGTTAGGACTTAGGAATTTGCTTGTATTCTTAGTTGTACATTAGGTGGGGGGGTCTGTAAAAACAGTCAATTTGAAATAAAATTAATAATGTAGAAAACTAAAATATGAACTCCCCCCTTATCATCAATATATTCTTCATATCTATGATTGTTAAATAGAAAACTGAAGAGAATGGCAGAACAATTTCAAGAGTACCAACACAATCTGCGGGAACTGACAGATGATGAAAGAGTGCGATTACAGGATGATTCTGTTCCTGTGTCAGAGTTTAAGAAGAATAAGTTAGAAAAAGATGCTCAACGTAATTGGGACTTGTTTTATAAACGGAATTCAACAAATTTTTTCAAAGATAGGCACTGGACATGTAGAGAATTTCAAGAATTGTGTTCTGATGAAGGTACTATTTGCTGATTATCTTGTCACTTGGTATTAAATGATCATTATATATCTTTGTTGCTTTTTCAATGCAATTTAATTTGCTCTGTGGAGGATGAGTATCAATTAACCGTAATTGATGGCTTGTTAACTTGTTTGTATGCTGTATGCTGTAATCTTTACAATTTCTACTTTCTCTGCAGTTCTTGTTGGAAAGACATTACTTGAGGTTGGTTGTGGGGTTGGCAACACTATATTTCCACTGTTAGAAGACATCCCCTCAATATTCATTCATGCTTGTGACTTTTCAAAGAGAGCTGTTGCTTTTGTTCAGGTGAGCTTGTGGAGTTTTAGATCAGATAGGTGTAATCATCTAAAGATCAGCTGTAGTAATGAGAGTGGTTCTTTTCTAATTTACAAGAGAGGTCTTTAAAAAGGTTGCCATGGTTAGCCATTACCATGGAGAGGGGGTAGACTAGCTTGCTTGCCCAACAAAGGAGTGTGGAGGAAACTAACTGCCACTTTATTGAGAGATATCTAGAGTCACTCATACCTAAGGTTTTATGTATCTTTGGTATGGTATACATTATTGGACCACAAACTAGGGGAAAGTCGAGAGAGGAATCATGAAAATTGATTTGCAATTATTTCCAAGAGGCATTAGTAATAAACCTTGAAAGTTTTTTTTCATGTTTTCAAGGAAAATTCTCAGTATGATCCTTTGAGGATAAATGCATTCCATTGCGATGTCACACAAGACAAACTTACGACACATGTGCATCAAGAATCTGTTGACATTGTGACTATTATTTTTGTAATGTCAAGCATATCACCAGACAAAATGCAGGCAGTTCTACAAAACATTTCTTGTGTAAGTTTTTAAAATAGATTTATATTATGAAATATGACTTATTTGGAAGTAATTAGAATTTTTGAGAAGTATTATTGTATGAGTAGTATGAGTGTCGAGTGACTGATTGCAACAGAGTGTTCAGTGTTGCAATGTTCTTCGAAAGGGTGTGAGTACGAACGACATAAGGATTAAATAACGTTGACGATGGTAGGTCACTTACTTCTAATCCCTGTCGTTTAGATTCTCAAAACTGGAGGAATTGTTCTATTTCGTGATTATGGTATGTACGACCATGCTATGTTGAGGTTCTCGAAAGGTCATAAGATATCGGATAATTTTTACGTTCGTCAAGATGGTACGAGAGCATATTATTTTACAGTTGGTGAGTGTAGATTTTGTTAATTAATGACTTAATGATTGATAACAAGCACTGAAAGAAGTGGCTTGCAGTCTATATAACATTCATATTTCCCGAAACTGAAGACCTTGAACACTCCTTCGTTCCTTAGTACTTCATGCAGTATAGGAAATACTATTTCTCTTTCGGGGAAATTTCTGACCATTTACTATTGATTGCAATGTTGCAATCCTAAAGCTGGCATTTGACGCGATAAACTTGGAATAAAGTTGGATTTGACGTGTACTGTCTCAGTCTGTCTGGAAGGACCACACTGGGTATAGCCTGCGCCGCAGACCCATGCCCGAAATCCGTAGACTACACTGGGTATGACCTTTGCTTTTAATTTCTCTTAGAATATCTTACAAAATTATTCACTGACGCTGGCTATGACGTCGTTTATTGTCATTATGTACAACGGAGAACTGTAAATAAAAAAGAAGGGATTGATGTTCCAAGGATATTCGTTCAGGGAAAATTTGTGAAGAGAATAACAAACGATTTCGCGTACGCAGACACTGAAGAACCGCGTACAAATGTCTTACTCACTGAAAGAACTTCCTCACCGAAATAATATTTGATATTTTTTTTAATTTTTCGTACTGCTTTTTCTTAATACGGAGTTTGAATAGCTCGGAGTATTTTTTGAAATTTATACAATTATTACAGAATAATTTTCTTGTTTTCGATGAGGATGAACATTCGATGTTGTGTTTGTGCATTATTATTCACGTAACTTCCCGCGTTTTTGTGCTATTCAGTTTTTAAACCGTAGAATCATCGTCATTGGTATCTTCATCCTTTCCTGAAACACGGTGAACGATCAACTGATTGTCTGCTCCTCCACTGATAACAAACTAGAACAAAAAAGATGTCGAGTCGTTAACCTCGTAGTCGTAAGTAAAACACGTTGTTCAACTTTAGATGAAGTAATAACTGCGTGGATAAGACAACTGGGGTTAAGCAATTTAAGAGTCGAGTCCATATAATCGTTAACAAACTCGATAGAGCTCACCTGTTCTGTGGACCAATCAACACACATCACTTTATCATTATGTCCGCGTAGAACATGCAGGGGTGTGGTGGCACTAAAATAATTTGACACTTTAATGTAATAAACATTTATTTTACATTAGTGGTGATTGAAACATTTATTGTGGAACGAACCTTCTCGTATCCCATAAAATAAGAGTCTGATCATAAGATCCGGACACCAACATAAATTGATTTCTTGGTGACCAGGCTACAGAAGATAGCCAACCATCATGAGAGGTTAGAGTTTTCTGAAAAACAGCACCATCTACAAGAGAACGCAGAATAGCTGATGATAGGCAGGATTTCGCATTTAAGTCAGATTCAACATTTGACTTGCATGTATGCGGTTATTTTGTAATAGATTTACATATTTGGCCGTTCATCTAATTTGTCCATTTTTCGAGCATTCTCAGAATTTTAGATTTTTAACATTAGATTTATCCAAATTTGTTGATGTGTGATACAGCAATTAGTTACTGTATAATTGCGGGTTCTTTCGTTTTTATTATTTCATTATATTTAATATTTTTCATCACTATTTTTTGCCCGGATTCGGCGATTTTGCATGGTAGTTGCAACACGTGAGAAATATGTTTTGTACCTCTTATCCTGTGATCCCATAATCTAACATGTCTATCTGCACCAGCTGAAGCAATCAGCTTGGAATGAGGTGAATAAGAGATACAATTAAATGCTTTTCCACCAGTCTAAATAAAGAAAGATAATTGCTGAATACCGCGTGCAATATCTCGGGAGAAATAATTACAATGCTATCTTTCTATTTCACAACAATATACGTACAGAAATATTTTAAATTCATAACATACTATACCATTGTCAACGGAATGTTTCAGTACAGGCATTATATATAGGGTTGGGCTTGCCCGTTGTGAAATGCGGGATATATTTCAGCTGGATCGATAAAATACCATTTTGCGCAAGAAATGAACTTTACCAAAGTATGTTTATTAATTCCAGAGCCAGCATCCCAAACTCTTATTGTATGGTCCCAACCACAACTGAGAACTTCACGATCTTCGGACCAGATCACTGAAGACACGGCTTCTGTGTGGCCAGTCATTGTCATTAACGGGGTCTAACAAAAAGACAACGTCATATCGATATTATATGGATATTAATATATTAAATATAATGTCAATTATTCAATGAGATTAAGCACGACGCGAAGCTCGAGGTTTGTTATCACACGAAGGCTGATGCGGTTAACGGTAAATTGAGGGATTGATAATTCTTCATATCTTGCAAAAACTTATTTCAGTAATTGTTTTATAAATGAATAATAGTTTCTGTACTTGGCTGTTTTGATAAACCTGTTTAGAAAAGTCCTTAGTCTTAGTTCTTACAAGTGAGTTCATATGATATGATTTACTGATCGCTGATTCGCTGTACATAACACGAGCTATACATTCTCGCTACCTACATCGGTCATCGCATGATGAAGAAAATGAAACAAACTATAGAAATCATGGACCCACTCTAGTTATGTTTCTTTTATGTTCTTGCTCAGTTTTAGATTTCTTCTGTATATTTTCATCATCACCGTCATCAGGGTTTGTTGACAAATCTATTTGGAATAGTACCATAAATTATTAATCGTTACTCAAAAAGTTCTTCTTAGCGTCGGAAAATCTGAATAAAGATTGTTCTTTCTGTATATGCCAAAAGCTCAGAGCAAGTGTACATAAAACTGCATGTAATATAGCTTTGCTAGTCAATTACACATCACATAGCCAAACCAACACAACACGTTATTTTATTATGATTGAAACCAAAAATAGAGTAGCACACCTGATGACCATAATTTAAGTGTTTTATCCCACGAACCACTGCAAAACTAAAGCAGCAATAATTATTACGTTTTCAAATGCGTAAAAACGACGTTATATATATATTTGCAATTTAATACTGGCATGTATACCTTCATTTCATTTGGGTGAACAGCTAGACAGTCTACACTTTTCGTATGTCCTTTACAGACATACAGACAAGATGACCGACCTTCGTTCAATGGGCACTATACAAAAAGATATAGGCCTCTTCAATATACGGGGAAATTAGGTGTGTTTGTTTCAATGGATGGTTTGTTTATGGCAATACCAGGATAGCGGTGCAGTGATTGATCAACCCTGTGATCAACCAGGCCTGCTTGTTAATTGATAAGGCCGCGAGTATAAATTTTAAGCCATCCAGGATCTTGCATATAAAATAGAATGAAAGTGTTGGTCAAATGCTCATGTAAATTACCTCACATATTTTGATAGTCTGATCAAGCGATGAGGATAAAAAAATAGCTTTTTCTTTATCTATATTATAAACAGAACAGTTTTCTCATTTTAGCCCATTCAAACATAATATTTATATATGGTAAATTAATTTTTTAAAAATCTCATTTAATTTGAATTAAAATTTTAAGGCTATTAAAAAAAGTAGGATGTAAAAAAGTTGATTTATAAATGTGTCTTGAAGTGACACTAGCAGTTTGTGGGCTCAATTCCCACCTGGGTCAAACTTATTTTTCAGCTTACCTGGTTGGCAACTCAGGCATGATTGAGCCTAACTGAAAATTTCGATTTTACTTTTATTTCACTTTTCAAAAAATGATTCGTTATGATTTTTAACATCCTATGACCTGTGATATAATTGAAGCTGAGAAAAATACTGTACAGTACTAGTACAAAGGATATGCAAAAAAACCTTTTCTTATCCAGTTAACAGCCTTCACTGCTTGTGTGTGTTCATTTATAGAGTTTAAACAGTTCCCTGTGGTACAAAAACAAAAATCACCTTGTCATTAACCTTGTATCTTTAATGTGTTTTAACATGCTTACATGGACTTATGTGCTAACTATAAAAGACATGTGAAGATAACATGACTAGTTTACCTTGCATATCCCAGACATACACCATATTATCATAGCTTCCAGATAAAATACTAGAAAATTTGAAAACGATTAAGCTAAGTAAACTTTTTTCTTCCCTATTTTCAATCCCACTGGCCAGCAAAGTTTCAGTCAATGCAGTGGTGTACTGCATGCCGGTAAACTGTGGTGGACTTGACTTAAAAATCAGTGCATTTAACTCAATGTCAAGTAGATAAACACTTGTGTCACACTTTCCCTCCATAACTAATAATGGTAAATTGGTAAAACTTACCAATCACTTGAAACAGCAATTGAGCTAACCCAGTCATTTTGAAGCATCATTTTTTCTGGCCATGGTGCAGCCTTTTTCTCTATATATTCTATTTTGACCACATCTTCCTACAATGACAAATTAGTATTTTTAATAATTTGGGGAAGTGGCATCCAATGAATTGAATTAAGAAGTACCAAAACAAAATGTATTTCATGTTTCCAGGCAAGGCAAAACCTTTTATACCAAATTATTCTTCTGTACTTACCGTTTCTACATCTTGCTTTGTTATATGTTTTTGTAAAGATTCTGTGATGTACTGATCAGAGATGAGGAAATCGAATTCCACTTTTTTATCCTCATTCAATATGTTCTCTTTAAAATGCAAAACGTAAAACATTATGCAATTATTTCAATTACAGAAATAATAGATAACAAATACAGAGAATTAGTTGCCTCTGTGTTGTTCCAGGGTTTAAAAACAAGGAAATGGTGTGTTTGATGTAGAAAAAGCGTAAAAGATAAATATTCACACAATACTTATAAACAGTGACTGCTACCTTGTTGCAAGAGGCTGTTTATCAATGCACTCAGATCATCACAACTCACAGTAACAGGTATAGAGAACGGTGTTTGTGGCACAGAATACCTTGAAATACATGTGTACAATGTATTTAATATTTTATAATTTTATCAACACCATCAGTCAATATATTTACATTACAAACCATGTTTTATTAAAAACCTATTATTTGGAGGTCACTTCATCTTGTGAAATAGTGCGCAGTGACTCTATGGTATAATATATTATATATGTATTAATACTTACGCCTTGTGTTTTGTAAAGAAATTTACTTGGATTTGGCTGCAACTATCATTCTCCATCTTCGAAACTGAAAAACGTATTCACAAGTCTACAAAATATAATGCAAGATTCCACCAACTTATTTAAACCAAGACATCAACCGTTTTTTTTTTCGTTCCTTATGTTTCCCTTTTCCCTTCCACTTTTCATTAATCAGTGCTTCCACTACGTATGACATGAAGTACAACTTGTTTGCTCTGGGTGCTCTGCGGGCTCGTATTATTACATTTATTACATTTACTATTACATGTGCAGAACATGTACAGTAACAAAAGAAATTTTTTCCTCATGTTTTTGATAAACAAAAGTGAGGTATGTATAATTTTATGGTTGTTGGCCACGTGGTATGAACCTTAATTGTTTAATGATTTAATTGGTGTAAATGTTTTTTGAAGTGAATATTATTATTTATTAAGAGTATTATTGTTTTGGCACATTATTATTGCTTGTACACACGAACAAAAGAAATTTGCCTGCCCAATTTTGTCCTGGAGTTACTTTTCTGAAATTGTTGGTGTTGGAGAGCCATAGATATTGTTAATATAGGTATGAATTAATTTGTGGTGAACAGAAATTTAAGAAATAAGCTTTGACCTCATTTGAGAGTCTGAATTTATGGCAAGCTAGGCTAGCCTGTTTTGCCTCCATGCAATTGTTTTGTCCTAGTGTAAGGATAGTGCCCCCCCCCCCCCCTCAATCCAGACGCTGGCAGGGAGTGTCCAGTCCTGTAATTTCCTTGTCATGAATAATGTCCTCCTATAGCCATGTAGAAGTTCAAATATTGAAGAACACAAAATCACAAACCACAGGGGTCTGGGCAGGACCACTGATAAGCAAGTATTCCTGTTGAGATGGAAGCAAGAATTAATAAACATTCAAAGCCTCAATTAAAAAAAATTCATAATAAATCATGCAAAGCCAAGTACGAGCCCACGTACAATTCCAATAATTCAGTCAGTTAGGTAGGTTATCTAGGTTCTAAACTGAATCTTGATTGTGCGTTGATTCTGATGTCTCGTAGAGGACGGTTCGTCCTTCAATACAAACTTGTATAGATGCAAACGTGAATAGTCATGAATGCTCCGTTAAAAGCCTCTTTATCTAAACACCCATGTCTAATGTCTTATTCACTCGTTCAAATCAATCTAAAGAAGAAAATCGCATCGAAAATCGTCTGTGTGAACTCGCCATAAGTAGTTCTATTCTCGCTTCTGGGTCTCCGGAAGGTTTTCTGGTTTTCGCAGGTATAGTTGCTATATATCCAGTGTATTATAAGATCAATGGGTAGAACACTCTGTGAGAAACTACTGCGGGTGGGGAGGACACTATCTGGGCACTATCCGCGTGGAGGATCACGATCGTGCATTTGGGGTGTAATTTACTAGATTTTAGATGGTAAAGGAAATGGTTTACACGCGTTCGCGTGAAAAGAAAAAAGAAAACGCTCTAAAATTTTGTCTTAGTCAATTTACTTATAAATTGAACGTCTTTGCCTTTAGTTGATTGTAAATGCCGCCAACACCTCAGATTCAGAATTAGTGCGCGATGTTTGTGACCCATCTTTTACAAATGAGATCCACGTTGTCATGGAGAAGAAGGTAATTAATTGTCATTAACGTTTAATTGAACTTATTTTGAATACCATTTCGAGGCGTGGACAGTGCACTATACTATAGTGATTAAAAATACCAAATACGAATATCGGTATTGGACAAGTATGCAAAATTGCCTCATATGAGCGCAACTAATTTGGACTGAGAAAATGTGTGGTGTGCAAGTATTATGAAAAAACGCAATATTTAGTAGGTATACCTCTTGTGTATTGAGAACTAAGACAGAAAAGGAGTGCCGTATTCAAATCAGTGGTTTTCGATATTGTTGATTCCACATTCTATCGCTATTGTGAAAATCAATGACGATGTATAAAAATTATACATTTTTATGTATCGCTAAGTAAAGACCTGGGCCGCAAATCTCAAAAAACTGACTCCGTATCTGAGCTAACAAAACGTACAATCTTGGTCGAATGTTCGTTGAGCCGATGAGAAGATGGCATATAAAAGTTGTTAACAAGCAGTTAATATTTTTTCATCAGCTTATGCAATGTGAGATAATATTAACCGTAGACGGGCTATAAGCCGTTCCATTTATAGCTTATTGCCCCAAGAACTCACTATGTGAACAGTTATATTGCTTTGAAGCGGCTCGGCGTCGAGACGGTCGAGTTATTATAACTCGGTCTCTGTGTTGCCTGTGCATTCGTGATTGATATTTGATCAGATAACAGTTGATTATAATCACGCTAAAACATTGAGCGGTGACTAAACATGTGTTTGAAGCGTATGTGTTTGAGTTAAAATGTCGAGGACGTTCAGCTGATACGAAACTCTCAAGAAATTTGTGTTATGTAATTCCTATGAATTTTCAGGTAGATATTTTCGTTCAATTTATTTATTGTATTTCCAACTATGCAGCAGAAATGATATATAGTAGGCATTTAATTTTGTTTTGTAATCTTATAGTTAGCTACATAACCGATATTCGCATTTCTTTTGTCATCACGTTGGATGAGATATTAAGCTTTATCAGTCTCGCAACGATTCTATGAACATATTATACAATTTGATTTTGTACGTATGTTGGTTTTTTATGTTTTTACTTTTGAAAACTGTGGAGCAGATTGTTTCCGGTGTACTAATGTTCATCACCGCCTATATATTTACCTAATAGAATATCTACTGATCAGGAATTACCTCTCTGCGGCCTGTACGAATATAGCGTGACTCTACATGAACACGTTAACTTTAGCAAATGTCATGATGTTCAAAAACGTGATCAAATTCAACTTTTACTAAAGAATTATAACGTTAAAACATGCACGTCGACTCTATTTTAACATCGCAATATCTTTCGATTCTGGAGTGTGCTTGAAACAAGTGGTTATGGCTTCCAGTAATATATAAAAACATATATTCATATCAGACTAGTCAGTCCGTTGACGGCAGGAAGAATGCGCCAATAGTTCTATAAACTTTTCTCTGACGTTTGTGTATTGAAGGTCCGTGCATTTTTATAAAGGAGTAGGAGTTTTAATGCAACTAGCTTAGCTTGGTTGAGTTGGTTCCTGTCAACAGTCAAATTTTCTGCTGAATCTGATTAATTTTCCACTTGATGTCAACATCATTCATCAAGCTCTCAATGAAAATCACGCATCTTGCTTTCTGGCTCAAAATATTCTTAATCTGAAAAGAAAGTTGCAAACGAATGCTACAAAGTATTCAAGGCATCCATCTTACTTTTTATGCAATTTTAGAGTATAATGTTGTTACATATTATCCTGCAGCAAGAACTGCATGAAAATACTGCTCGCGTGCAGTGCTCATAGCAATTAGATAACTACCTTATCTTATTTCATGTAAACTTCAGTTCCATATATAGCGAGAACTTCTCAAAATATCAGCTCTCTGTCAATCTTTTACGAATTCTTGTTCGTAGAAACTATAGAAGTCTGAGTTGTTCTTACTTAAAACACAACAGAATATCCTCCTACAGTATATATATCCAAGAAATCGCCTTGCAGGCTTGCCCATTATTACAATACAAGTTGACAAAGAGTAGTACGGCAAGCCAAAGACGAGAATAAGGTTTGCGAATTTTATACCTTAAACCACTTCCGTAATTGAGACGAATTTTATTATTCTTTTATGTGCATCCTAATTAATAATTCTTTTATGTGCATCTTAATTTTTAACTAAAACTACGCGAACCAGGCAGGTTATGCTTAATACACGTTTCAACATAACCAGAGAGCAGCGGGCATGGCAGTGTGTTCAAACAACTCCGCAACAAATGTGGTATAAAAGCTGTCTATAGTAGGCAAAAACACTTCTTAACGCTCCGATATAAGGTCTCTCCTGACGAAGGCCCTTACCTTAAGTCGAAACGTCGAGATTTTTTTTGGCAGTTGTTATACTATTACCTTAAAACAGACTAATTTCCGAAGAAAGCGACGACAGCTCGAAAACGTTAACAAATTGAGCATAATCCCTGTTTCTAAAGTTAAGCTTGTCTATCTGTCACTCAAAACTGTGAATAAAAGTTTCATATATGCATAAAAATAGCAATATGTGACACATGTGCATCAATCAGTTTAATCAGTACCCGCGTGTCCACAAAGGCCAGCTGATCTTAAGTAACTGGAATTATTGGCACATAACAATAATATATTCTCATCGATCTACGTCTGCCAGAGTCTATCCGCTATCGATTGTGCCTTTATTGATGAATGGGTAAAACTTTAGACAGATGTAAACGATGCATTTCGTATAATTTTGTTTATACATTGCTCTGGGGTCGGTTGTATATGAACAACATGACTACTTTTAGTATAAACATTTGTGATTAATTAACTCTCCCAACCTTTCTAAGTCTTGCAAAACTTTTTTACACAACTGTTTACTATCCTTCAGATTAATTAAAATATTTGAGTCAATATGTCCACGCCTCTTAAAAGTTAACGAGCGAGAAACATCCTTTTTTTCTTAGGTCCATAGCGGGCATCAGAGTCAATTGATTCCATGCATATATATACGAATTCCACATAGAGTCTTGTCAAAAATGTTAAAATGGGGATGTAGAAGCAGGTGTTTCTGAAACTTATTAACTTTTATATGAGAATCTTCATAATATAAGATAAGAGTTTTCTAGTTGGTTCAGCTTTATTCAATATAAGTACTGCATTCATGTGCATATAGCAATACTGATTAACACATGCATGCATAAGACCGTTATACTTCTATGAACGATAAAAACACTGTGTACATTTAATTATGCCGAAAAGTTATATATTACTATAAGATAAATACCACGGTGAGGTTTCATTGCATAAAATATCCTTTGTTTCTGTCAATTTCTGTTGTTGTATCAAAAGGGCGTCTGAAAATGGGAATTTCGGTTAATAAAGCCGTTAATAAGTTTCGTTATCAGTACATGGAAATCTTGTATTATAATATATATGCATTTCTTATCGTTGAATTCACACTAAAGTGATTTCATTGGACGTTTCAGTCAATTTTTTTTATCTGACAAATATAGTAGCATTATAAATCTAGCCCATCACGCCGCTTTACCACGCATAGCAAGTCACCCCATGCATCGATTATTAAGTCAGAATTATGTTCGACAGGTCTGTATTATAACATGGCGTGAAAATTTGTAAATATTTAAAAGGTATTTTATAAAACATTTATTTATTAGGTAAATATTTTGATAGGGGGGATGGGAAAAACTGGCTTGTCAATTTCATCTCATGATCATCAATAATATAATACTAGATTCTAGAGACTGCTTTATATATACCTCGGGCGAATATGGCGGGCGGTGATATTTTGCGGGTAGAAATCGCCCGAAATGCTCCTTATGACCTTAACGCCTGCGGAGGAGATAGTCTTTATTTTAGGATTTAAATATAGATAAAATTCAATCAAGGGCAATCCTTTGCGCTTGTGTAATCGAAGTGGTTAAATTCTTCAAAAAGTAGAACCAGTTTTGGGCGAAATCTGTGTATTACTGCTCCAAAGACGCAGTTCGAGTTCTCCCGGGGAGGTTGCATTTTTCGCCCCTTGATTTCTAGATCTCAATTATCGTGTGTTTTTGCCTTCGTCCTCCAAAACCATAAACCAAAACTCTGATTTAAAATCCGAATAGAGATGATTTTAAACAGAAAATGCAGTTATTAATTCATTATTTGACTTCATGCAACAAATGTCATAAAGAACATTGACAGCAACATAAATAATAATGTGTAGTAGCTAATAAAATACGAACATGTATCAATTAAGGTACAATCATTGGTACAATCAGTGCTTAACATCAGCTATTGCAGATTGAGCTAGCTTATTTAGCAATATTTGTTTTCAAATTCAGATAAGAAAGAATTTCCCTATATATAAGGGCCAAATAAGAGTGTGTGTGTTGGGGGGGGGGGTTCGACGACAGAGGGGGTCCTGGAGGGGAATCGGTACACATTTATATCTATTCTCAGTAATCAGTATTCTGATCATAGTTGGGAGTGTAAGGTCTTATCTGAGACTCTGACAATCTAGGCAATTTAGGCAGCACGTTAACACTTTCTCCGATTTCTCGAAATTTTTTTCCCGAAATTATTTAGTTTAACAACTAAAAGCTATTCTACTAAATGATGCAACATTCATTTCATCGACTCACGTACGGCTTCCTGTTGTGAATTTTTTAGCACGAAAAGCAAACTGAATTGAATCCTTTTAAGTTATTTAATTTAACAACTAAAAGGTATTCTACTAAATGATGCAACATTCATTTCATTATAAGCAAGGTAAATAACTCGTCAAAAGCGATAAAATAAGATGCTACCGCCCTACGTTTCTTGAAAATTATAACAATCTCTTTTTACATTGTTTGGGTAAATGTAATTATTTGCTATAACAACTTTTCTCCTGCATATATGCATTGCCAAGGCGGGATGTTTTTTAAATGAAATGCGGTCTTGAAGGCGAAGCCAAAGGTAAAATGAAGAGTTGTATTAATATGGTCGAGTAGTGTTGCAAATGCCGTATTCTGATTGGCTACGCTACCTGTTGCAGTTAAATAGATAGCAAGTAGTGAAAATTGTATCTTTCGTCGCGAAGAGAAATATATTTAGAAAATATTTTTTCACTAACTTATACTAAAACAATTATAGATTACTCACTCTCGATTTCTATGATTTCTCTCTCGTTTCATGAAATCTCCAGCTGCAAATGCAGACGGTTGCATCCGCCGCTACATATATACACTCTGAAGTCTCTGATCCAGATTGTGATGCTGTGAAAAGCCTTCATTACATAGTTAGCCATAAGATATAGTGTTCATTGCATAACCTGTGGCTGTAAATTAAACCACGGACAAACTTTTTTTCTTGTACGTGGCGTCTGCGTGACCTACGGCTATTTTCACGCGGCTACGCCAATAACAATATCGCGAAGACTAGACATAGAGATTAAGGGAATGTGAAATTTTCTTATAGTTCAAGGCATTTACTCAGATAAGAATAATTCCCTGCAAATAGAAAACTGATATTTGAAGTAAAGACATGCAGTCCCACGGTATGATGTGTTTGGCTTTGTAACGCTATGATGCTTACAACTAGAACTACAGGAGGTCGACCACGAGTTCAAAACATCTATACCTCTTATTTATTAAAGACTGATTTCAATTGTATTAATGCTATTGAACAACAGACCTGCTTTATACCTTCTAAGCTCAACAACGATATATGCCATTTGAAATTTTTTCTTGATCATCAGCAAAATCCTGGCGTATATGTGACAGTGGATTTGAGACTTAAACTCTTGAGGTTTGTTGGCAGATTTCTAAGAGTCATTACACGACGGTCTGATCAAATCTGATAGCCCTATCGCGTATTCATGTCTGACCCGTATTCCGTCGTAGATCAAGAGACAACATCTCGGACAAGACAACATGACATAAATAATACATCCGTTTATCCATGGAACTTTGTTAAGGTCTCGTGTACATGACGTCTGTATGTGTCGTATTTTTAATTTACTGTCTATATATGTCTATGCATGATTCATTGTGCGGTGTTTTATAACGCGGGTAGAACGTATACATGCATTTAGGCGGCTGCACCTTTTAACGAAGTTGCAAAATATAGAAAAGTGAGTTGTTACGAGCTGTTGGGACACCGTGTTTTGAACGATGCTCTCTTATCACAAAGAACAGCTGAGATGTAGATTATTGAGGAAATCTCGAGCGGTAATACGCTGTTTGAATGCACCATACTGTCGCAATTAGCAGGTCACAGTGCTCTAAATATTGCAAACAAAAAAACAACGCTGGCTTTCGAATAGTCGGTAGTGAGTTTTAAGAAAGATTACTACGATCAATTTTGTGGTCGAGTAATTTGTTGAGTCGGGTGCGTCGACCAATCAATAGTCATTAAAACACTGTAAAATCGTCAAATTGTCCTTTTATAATGCTTGACGGTTAAGGCAGCATATGCTAATGACGTGTACGATAAAGTTCATCTACTCTTCTTCTAGGAGTTCAACTTGGGTATGTCGTAGTGGAGAATTCTGATTGACATGCCCGTGAAGAAAGGTTTTATGTCACCTCAAAATGTTTTTATCGAGAATATCATAAGAAAGTTCGACGGGTCGCGTGAGTACTCTCTGTCCTGTTTGTTCAAGTATTAAATAACTGTATGTGTAGTACACTTTAATGTTTATCTACTATTTGTCTAGCTGAACGAAACTTCATATTGGGTAATGCTCAGTTGCTTGACATACCGATCGTGTATTCAAATGACGGATTTTGTTCTTTGACTGGCTACAAACGGACAGAACTGTTGCAAAATTCTACAAACTGTGATTTCTTATGCGGCCAAGGAACAGACCCGGTTGCCGTACAAACGATCCGAGATGCATTACGTGGAAGTGACGAAACCAAAGTACAAGTATTATACTACAAGAAAAACGGTGAGTTTCATCAAAAAATGATTTGTTTTGTTCTCTTTAGCCGAACAAGACGTTTTGCTTTCTAATTCTGTATTTATGTTGTATTTTAAATGCTTCGAATCATTGACGGCTAACGGTAACGAATAAACAGAGGCATGTTAATTTAAATCTTATGTCCCATTGTGACATTGCCGCTGTGTCGACACAAATACAAATTGCAAAGCACAATGTCCGTTGCGCGACCCTACATGAAGGACAACAAAATTAGACGACTGAAGATACAAATGTCAAGAAATTTTTTTTTCTCAGATACTTCACGAGTCTTAATCTTCGGCTATAGATGAAATAATACTGCAATATAATAATTTTAATTTTGCTATATAATGCTTTTAATAAGACTGTGCAACATGACGAAATTGCTGATATTTGTGCATAAATATTAAATATTTGATAAAAATCTTTTATAACCTTCATGGACCTTGCACACCACATTTTCGTATATGTACACATGCATATAATTTATATATAAATAGATTGTGATTTTTTCTAACAGTCATTGCACTGCTTGAGCGTTGTCTAAAATATGTATATGAATATTGTTGTTTGTGGCAGTACAATGTACAATGTACAATGTAAAATACCAAGCAGTGATTCTGTACAAGTTTGATGCGAGACATGCATCAATCAATCATCTTCAGTCTTAGTATACTACGACTATGAGGTCCTTGAAAAGCCACCTGAATTTTTTTACCGGACTGATTTCATAAATTACATGACCCCATTTTTTAAAACCGCAGTGTTAAAACTAAAAGGGCTAAAAATACGGAAGAAACATACCACTCTTGTTCATTTGCCTGTGCGTGAATGATGATATATACGTGACATATACACATATAGAATCTGGACCATGCACCAAGCATCGCTCACACTCTTTTTCTATCATATATATTCAGTCATAATTAAGTACAAAGGTCATTTAAAAACAGGTAATCGAAACATGTTACGCAAGAAGGGTAGCGAGTCTCCACGTGATATGGGCAGTGGTGTATTACAGTGCATAGAGGAAATCAGCTGTGGAAGTTTCGAGAATAGCAATCTAAAAAAAATAATAACTGACAGAAAAGAGCGATTCCAGTTCCAAAAAAAATTACTAAGAAAAAGACAAAAATATTACGAAAAAAAACTTAGAAAAAAAAACAAGACAAAAATACTAAGTCTAAGAGAAAAAATACTAATATAAAATACTAAAAATAGTAGATAAAAATACTAAGAGAAAATTACTAGAGAAAAATACTGAGAGAAAGTATATTGATGATGCTACTGAAGCGAAGTTTGGTCAAGTTGAATTGCGTGCAGTCAACATATATGTTTACGCAAATTTTGACTTGAGTTTTACAGAGTAATTACAGATTTTTATATAAATCCCTTTTTAATCATAAGATAAAGAGGGTTATGACTGCTTATATTCTTTAAAACTGTCTCGCAAAATTAACACACGGCCCTTAGCATTTGATGACTTTTGATGTTAAGTTTCAATGGTTAGTTGATAGTTGGATCAGTGACATCAGCTATACATGCATGCATGCATGCATACAATGTGTGGTTTGGCATTGGCAAGGTTTTCTATTTTTGTGTCATTATAGTCGGCCTATATTGATACCGGTCATCATGAGTATGTATTGATGATTGGTCTGTCAACCGTTCTTTCATCTGTGAAAATATGATTAATACCAAAAACAGTGATTTTCATAGCAGCCTCAATGGTTTCAAGGTGCTGGAGAAATCTAACGGTTAATCCAGTGAACGTTTTTATCAGTATACACTTATAGCTACGTCTTGGTTTTAAAATTTTATTTTATATTAGTCGACTGCATGATTCAGTAGTCCTAAAAGTATATATATATATGCGTGTCCTTTTCTATGAAATTATGAACTGTTCATCACATAACGTAATTATATGAAAGAATAAATTCAGCCTGAAATTTAAATTTAAATCAACTATATCTCTAATCTTTTATATCAGAGATGACAGAAGGCAAATTATTTAGACACCCCATGCATGCATGATGCAACTTTGATGATGCAGCTGTTTTACTAAGCAAGATCAGGTTGGCATGCGAGGAAATTACACGTTCATTCGGACCCTGTCAATGTTTTTACATTTCATCTTCACTAGTCTCTTCTCTTTTCAATGTAATCCGACGGGAGAGCTGGTACAAATTTTTTATACACTTTTAAAATTTCAATTGTTCTGAAGACAGTCATGCCGTCAGTATGCATGTAGCTGCTATTGCCTATTGTCAGTAATTATATAATGTTGAAAAACTAGCAGCTAGCCAACGATATAGTCCGAGTGTTGGATTTCCTGATTCCTATGCCCCAAATCATCTGCCGTTTTAGTCCTAGACAGGCATCGAAGGATAATTATATAGCAAGAGTCACAGCTGCTGATATTCTAACCAAGCGCGGTGTATGAGGGCGATTACAGGACGGCTAAACATTACTTTTCAAAAGATAATGCAGATTTTGATATAATACTAAAAGATAATACCCGCGGGTAGCATGACATTTTTTTAACTATATTGGGGCATTTAGACACAGTGCATTAATTAGGCCCTTTGCTTAACCCTCGATTTTCATGTATAATGGGCCCTTTTGTCACTATGGTAAACCTAAAATCTGTTTCATTAAAAATTGTGTGGCTGGCTTTGTTGTAAAATCATTTTTGATCCTTAAGATATATAAAGCCAACTGCATGTATGTAACCTGCTTACACACTAATTTATGCGCAAAAGCCTTAATACTGCACCGGTGGTCAAAACTCTTTAAAAAATTACCCTAATGGATGGGCACAAATAACTTAACCTTAACAAATAACGTAACCGTGGTAACTATTCAAAAGCGTTTTAAACCATTTTTTTACATTTCAGGAACGGCATTTCTGTGCTCCGTTTTGATAGCTCCGATCAAGAATGAAAATGGTTCAATTATTATGTATATTGTCAACTTGGAGGACGTCACGAGTTCACCAGATCTTGTGGACGTCAATGTGGGTATGTAATCTTTTGATCTTCATGTTCTCGTATTATACGTTTGATGCCATAAGATTAATCAATGTCTTCTGCATCATTTCCTGATCCAGACACCGTCTTCCATTTTGTTTGTTGATGTATTTATTGTAGATGCATTAGGTTTGCAGATCATTCATATGCAAGCATGCATGTATACTTTAGTCCATCGATCGAAAATAAATATTTAATGATAATCGCGCCAAGGATATCTGGATTGCATGGGAATACGATCAGCTTAGAAAGTTTAAATCATTGAAGACATTGTAAATATCTTCCATTGACACAATATTTAGGCTCAACTGCCTCCATGCACAGGTTTTCAAGGTTTGACGTTACAACGTTTTGAATGAATTACAAATTATGTGCCTTCGGACCCTGATTTCCCTGTAAATTTTTGTAATATTTTGAAATTTATTTGTGGGGGTAGGTTTTGGCCATCATTATATATGCGTATCAATAAATGTGTGCACGCCTTTTAGCGATTTCAAGAACAACTGCATGAGATGTAGATTTTGTCATATGCATCGATAACTGCTAAATTTGTGCATCATATGTGATCACTATCTAACCGTGAGCCAATGTTATACCATACATTTCAATGATTTCATGGCAAGAAACCTTTGTACGTTTATTGCATGTAGCTACATTTCAAGAGATATAATCATGCATTCATAAGTTCATCTCCCAATGGTACCCGGACGACATTTTCAGGCTCAAAAAACGGATTTCTTTCACTCCGTAATATGTTAATATTGCGGTTTCTAGGAACAACAGGTGTTTCGTTGAAATATTTCATTATGATATGTATCACATTCACGTTTGCGAGGATATGTATTACAGAAAACTGAGCAAAAAAAGGGGAAATAATTTTCGCGAAATGCAATTTCTTATGCTCGTGATAATTATAAAGTTCAAACGCTGTGTTTGTACAATCCGCGCCTTGTGTACCGTTATTTCATTAACCGCGAGTATGCAAAATATTTTCATGTCTTGTTTTGTTGACTTTTCTCGTATGAGCAGTCGATGAACATTATTATCTATTTACAATAAAAATGCAGCGTGTTTTGTAGTTCAGGCGTTGCGAGGTTCAAACTATTAACTTTAAACATTTGGAAAACAGGAATCAGTGAGTGTTGTCATCGTATAAGTTGTAAAAATACGTGGGTGACTTCACAAACCAGGTTTGTTAACATGTGGATCGCGCGTATTGTATATTTCATAATATTGCATGAGCATGTTTAAAAGCTATTTAGAAATGTATGTATTACAGGCTGAAGGCGACGTGAAAAAGGAGAATCGGTACTGAATACAGTGCCGTATCTAAGTTTAAATTAATGAATATATGAATTTGATTGCATACATCGTCTATGTATAAATGGAAGTAGTAGACATATACGGGTATATTCTAGTCCCAAAATGAAAGAATCGCTCTACTTTTTCAGCGTTTCAGTCACATGACCATGCAGTAACATTGTTCTTAAAGCAATATGGTCGAAGTGGGCATGCAACTATATCCAAAACGAAATGAAACTTTGAATTTCTAGTATTGTCATCCTGTTGTAGTTTGTTGCATTAAAGATCTTATTTTCACTGAGATCTTTGAAACAGTAAAAAAAACTCAGTCCGCGTGTTATCTCTTCGCAGTCAAATGCATTTGTTTTGAGCAACATGTTAACATGTACTCGTATCTTTCCCAGCCAAACGCCCTCTGAAAGCAAGTAAGTCTATGCGAAGAACATTCCCGAAAAACAATTTGATGATGTTAGTTTGCAGCTCACCTTAATTTCCGGCTTCTATTATACATGTATGTATTCGATGCATGTCATATTATTGTGTATACCCTATGCATGCATGCGTTACCACACATTCCGTCTGACGTAACTCATTGAAAGATAACTGAAAGACGTTAAATAACAGAGAAAAATTTTAGCGGACAATTTGTTTAGTTTCATGCAATCTTTCCGGTCAAAACGCGGTTGTTTTTGCAAAATACGGAGTTATTGCCGCTCTTCCGATTAAACGGCCCGATGCGGATCGTGTATACATGTATGTATAGAGTTTTTCCACAAAACGTTTTTCCTTTGCAAAACACCGAAAGTCGGTACATTTAATTTTATCTAAGACATGACTCTGACCCTATATATTTCATCAACATATTTCCCCATTGTTGATGATAAAACAACAAAAAGCTTGTCAATAATGCGTGCGATTTTAATTAAAAACACATACGAGTTTAGAAGTATAGATCTGTTATGTTGTGTCTGTATAGCTCTAGAAATACTTCAAAGCTTTGTGATGTTATGTCGTTCCGTTCCGTGCTATGGTAAACCTGTGAAACAATAATCCTCCGTAAGGCTCCGTTAAGAAAGCTCGGGTGCTTGGCCGATATTGTGAGTAATTTGATGAGAGTTTTTCAACTTTCATCATCTTTCATTAATTTTAGACTGCAATAAGTGTATTCTACGAGGATATAAGCGCGTAAATGCATTTTATTACTTTTATATGAATTGTATTGTCGTGAAGCCGGGTGGTTGAAGTGTTCGAGTCGAATCGACGCATTCGTAATTAATGTTAACGATTTAATTAAAATTCATTTATGTGGTCGTTTATTGAGGAAAATATGAGCCGGTGAAGATGGCTGATTTTTTCATTAGGGGTTGTGCTTTACCAGTATGATGCCATATCGTGCAGTGGGTTTTCTTTGTCAAAGAGTGTAACATTCTGCATATATATTATACACATTTTTCATTTGTTCCGAGACATTTATTTGATTGATTAACTCGCAAAGTTATTATTTTTTCACAAAATATAAGGTAGAGAGCTTTATTGTATTTGTATGATAGCCCAGTTTGAGTCAAATTAGCGTCGCAGTCATCCTTGCCATGATTGATCAATATTAATACAAGGCTTGATTGCTGACATTGTTTTTAAGTATTTAATACTATCAGCCATTCTAGTTACTAGAAGGCTTGTAGAAGCTATGTTAGAGGCTGTGACGTGCAAAGCGACCCCGACGTTCAATACCGACGCAAAAAATACTCGCATAATTTCCCTGAGAAAAACCCAAAGATACCATTTACCAGACTGGCTCTGCCAGAATGATGTTGTTATCAGTTGTTTTCTGAAATCAAGAACAAATTACTTATCTCACGTTTTGTGTGATCTCAAGTTACCGCGGGTTCAGATAAACAGCCTCAAAGTCGAGAACTCCACATTATCATGTTCATGTTATTGATCGAAACATCTTTGTGATTGTCTAGCTCAGAAAGAGAATGCCTGGCACGTAATAAGACGTAGGCTGTCAAAAGGAAATTTGAAGTTTACAACGAGCGAGAATGGAATGTCTGAGACTGACACGACGGATATTGAGCTTCAGGAATCATTCCTTCATTCTGATACCCTTCCAAAGACAATGAATAACGATGTCTGTGCGGGTTTCATCGACGATAATTGTCTTGATGTTCGCAAAAACTCCATTGAACAGGAAGCATTGATGTTTAATTATAATCGACGTCGAGCCACGTCATGTGTTGAGATATCACCGAGAATGGTGGAGGAGCTGCGGAGGGAGAATAAATCACAGGAGAAGGCTGATTCATTGGACAACTTCTTGAGTAAACTCACAGCTAAAAACTCGAACCACGTAACGGATTCGATGGTCTTAAACGCAAAGCAAAAACAACCGTCTCTGACAAGTTTGCAAAGTATTACAAAGCTGACTGTAAACTCTAAGATGCAATCATCACCAGATCTTAAGCCGAAGAAAACAGAGAAATTTGCGCAGGTAATGACATGAATTGCACCCAGGTATATCGAAGGAACCCTTGTGTTGGTTTCTGTAAAGCCAACTCTTGTACACAGGGGGTGGGGTACCTTTTACCTCTGGTCCAAACCCAGGCTACGCAGGTAAATACCTGGACACTAGGTTGCTGTAAAGCTTTTTTTTTCTCTAGTTTTCTATATGAAAATATTCCTGTTTTGATTTTCAGGTGTTATCTCTCGGAACTGATGTCTTGCCTGAATATAAATTGCAGTCGCCACCAATGCATCCATGGACAATACTCCATTACTCGCCATTCAAAGCAATCTGGGATTGGTTTGTTTTAGCCTTAGTTACATATACTGCGGTGGTAACTCCTTATATGGCATCATTCGTCTTAGCAATGGATCCGGAGCAAAACGAATTAGACGAACGTGTTAGTAATGCCACCAGCGAAACAAGCAGTTCCTATCGTTATTCTGATCCCTTGGTTATTGTTGATTATGTTGTTGATATTATGTTTGTTATTGATATTTTCATTAACTTTCGTACAACGTACGTTGATGGTAATAACGACGTCGTCAGTATTCCATGTCGTATAGCTGTACATTATATGAAGACGTGGTTTATTATTGATATGGTGGCTGCTATCCCTTTTGAATTGCTATTTATGATTGGCGACACAGAACAGGTTAGGGTTGCTACAGTTACTTTTATAAAGACGTAAGAATATTTTCTTGTTTTAGCTATATTTATAAACAAATGGAGATAACCTCGTTCCTGCACCATTTGCTATGTTTACCATGTTGCACAAGCCAATTTTGAACACAATTTCAATGCGACTTTGTTATTCAAAACATATTTAGGTAACCGGTGCCTAAAATCTGTAGAGATCATAATGGTTTGCCTCAATGAAGTCAAAGTGAAGTGAACATTTTCATGGAATTTTTGATAGAAATCAGCTACAACTGTATCTGAATATTTTTTTGAAACGTCAACATTGCATAGGACACCAGAGTTTTTGATCTACGTATATAAATCGTCATCTTTCATTGCAGACAACTACCCTGATTGGTTTGCTGAAGACTGCTCGTTTACTGCGTTTGGTGCGAGTTGTGAGAAAGCTGGATTATTATTCCGAATACGGAGCGGCAGTCTTATGTCTTCTGATGCTAGCTTTTGCCTTGATTGCGCATTGGTTGGCCTGTATTTGGTATGCTATTGGTAGCATTGAACAAAAAGATCCTACAGTACATGGATGGCTGGATTCACTTGCTGAAGACACTAGACAACCTTTCAACAGTTCCTATCACGATAGCGGACCTAGCCAACAATCAAGATATGTTACTGCTTTGTATTTTACACTAAGCAGTTTAACGAGTGTTGGTTTTGGCAACGTCTCACCAAATACAAATGCTGAGAAAATATTCAGTATCTGTGTTATGCTCATTGGATGTAAGTATTTTATACACGTCGGTCATTTCGTTAATCTATCGGTCAGTTGGACGAAGTTTGTCTTATTCGTTGATGAGATGAACTCTTTATTGTGTGATGATTTGGCCGCTATTTTGATTATAATCTGCCGAATATTGTAACGTTGGTTAAACAACTATCACTTCTGATTCATTGGTTCGTGATTTGACCAGTTGTCCCAAGGCTTCTGCCACCGGAAGTGTTTTTGACTTTGGTAGTTAATTCGTTCTTTGATGGGCGCGTCGCTCAGTTTGTACGTCGGATTATTCAGAGCTGTCCTCTGATATTTTCCGTTGTTAACCACTCTCCTCGCTGATACACCACGGAGATTTTTAACTTTCATTTACATTTCGTTTTAGCGTTGTTTTATGCCGCTGTATTTGGCAATGTTGCTGCAATAATCGCACGGCTTTACTCCAGTACAGCGCGTTTTCACGAACAGATGCAGAAAGTGCGAGAATTTATTCGGTTTTATCAATTGCCAAAACACCTCCGACACAGAATTGAAGATTACGCTCATCATCAGTGGTCGTACACAAATGGTATTGATATGAACGAGGTAAGTCTCGACAAATAAGTAATATATATGCCTTGGTTATCCACGACTTTATCCACGACGCACGACTCTTTATCCACGACATAAAGTGACAATTCTACTGTTGTCAGCAGATGAGAAAGAGGTACACATTCCGTCATCAGTTGTTAATGCTATCGATAAACTTAGGTGATGCGATGTCTACCTGATTGCCTTCAAGCCGATATCTGTGTCCATATGCATCGTCATTTGATCTCTGAAAAGAAGGTGTTCACATCAGCCAGTCGGGGTTTTTTAAGGGAATTTTCATTAAAATTGAAGACGATCCACCTTCCACCTGGTGACTATATTCTTTACAATGGCGACGAGGTGGATATATTATGTTTTATATCTCGTGGTACTATTGAGATCGTGGACGATCGAGATTTCATTTTAGCTATTTTAGGTAAGTATTTATTGAAGACTTGTGCATGTTAATCCCTGACCTATTCGACTAACTTCGAAGCGTCGAAGTTTTCTTCCAAGACAGTCAATCTAATAGACCTTTCTTATAATGACGTCAAACGCGGAAAGTCTGATGTTACACGAAATTTGATTTGCTCTACAAAACTGTCGAGCCAATCACACTTCGTGTAACATCATACTTTCCGCGTTTGACGTCATTATGAAAAAGGTCTATTAGAGCTCGCTATTCCACATTGTTGATTATCGCAGGCATAAATCAAGGTCTTTCACTCGACTAACCCGCAAATCGTAAACAAAGTAAAAATACATTTATTCCGAAATAAAATGAAGTACATTTCAACTCTACGACTTTTCCCTTCACCTCGTCAAGTCTCACTTTATTTTTAGGTCATGGCGACACATTTGGTGATGATTTTGGTCTCAACCCCGAGGTACCAGCGAAGAAGGCCAGCGCTAATGTTCGAGCACTGACACATTGTGATCTTCATAAAATATCGCGTGATGATTTGCTCGAAATTCTTAGAAAGTATCCAAAATTCTGGGAAATATTTAATCGAGAATTTGATGTAACCTACAATCTTACGTGTGAACACGAGAAGGTGAGTTGATGATTAAATTGATTCATGATTTGATTTAGACATCGTTCAAAGTGTGCATGATATGCACCTCGCCCTGCATGCATGTGAAACAATTCGTGTTTTTGCTCGGTCTAAATCTGCTAGGAGGATAGCGTGGGATTTTTCTGTGTCGTTCAGTAATTTTATCACAGCTTATATATATTGGAAATGTTTATTGAGTGCATGCAACTACGGAGTCATGATCCGGCAATTCGACGGTAAGATTTTGGTTAAAATACTGAAAGTCATTCGGATGAAGATACTGTCATGGAATAGCTGAGATAATTTAAAGCTCTCGTTCCGATAAGGAGCGATGAGTGTACACTGAGGGTACAAGACAGGAACAAATATTTTGTTTTTGTTCAGGCAAAATCCGATGGTGAAAGTAGGACATCTTCATTTTGTGTAAATCATGAAAATGAGGGACAACAAAAATGTCGTCATGTTGACATTCCTATAATTATCGAAACATCACCTGAAGGTCAAGCAAATATGCCATTCCCATGTGCCCAAGGTCAGAACCGCACCGCAAATGAAACTGAAAACCCTGTGAATTTTGCATCGAGTGAACACAACAGTAGCTCACTGTGGGCTACAGCGGAGAAAAAGGATGCCTTTGAAAATTTAAGTGGTTTAGCATTAGGACTAAAACGAAGAAATGTTAACAACACACAACCTCCACCGGATTCGTCTTGTACATGTTCAGGATTTGAAAATATCCAAGAACAACTAAAAGACCTTTCCTTACGAATGCAGAGACTTGAAGATAAGTTTGGCAACGATCTTGAAAGAATTTATAAGATTCTTAAATCTTCGAGAGCAACAAATAGGGATAAAGACATGCGAGATTCATTCGTGTGAGTGTGACAGAGTCGTTTTCACATTTCTCCATGTAAGAAGTCTACTCCGTGACTGATATTTAATATACCAAATAGGAAATATCGATTATATATCGACCTCTACGTTTTCGGAGCGATATAGTGTACAAGAAATGAAATTATTTATAAACGTTGAAGAGAATATCTATGCGGCGAGGTTTAAAGTTTTGAATCGTGAAACCGAGGATTCAGCAGCGTGTCAAATGATGTCAGACTTCCCAAGTTCTGATCTCTCCAAAAAAGTAAGAAAGTTTCTGGGCGTGATTTGTGCGACTCTCAGCATGCAGCAAACAGAAATGACAGGAAACATATTTGAGTCGAGACGACTGTCCAATGCTGAGGCACAAGAAGGCAAAGGAAGAAAAACTTGGAGGCCCAATATGGTTTATCGAAGGATAACTGCTTATAACTGGATTACGACGATTGATCACGTGCTTTATGCACGGCTTTAACAAGTCAGTCTTGCTTGCTGATATCATCAATTCGGACAGGAAAAGTTACAAACAGAGCAGTGAATTAGGTCATTTGAAAACATTGACTGTGTTGAGGTTATTAAAAATGGTTTAAACATTAAATCTCTTATTTGAAACAAATTTATATATAAATTATCACAAAATTAAAAGGTTTACTGATAATGTTAACGTATTATATGAAGAGCGTATTTTAATGTCGACTGTATTTAAATCGGGAGAAATAAATATTTACAATAAAATGATTAACAAATTTCACCGATCATAATTTTACCGATTCATCCTCTTCATTCCAGTTATTTAGCTTCTATTAGTTTTTTATTAGTTTCTTAGAATTTTAATTGCACCCGCATGCACATACTGTCAGCAAAGGCGTTCAATCAATCAAGTGATCCATGTCCATCTTCCTCGTCTTTGTTGTCAAGCTAAAGTCAATTCACATCGGTTACATCAGATAATCTTTCAACATGAGTATTAACACGATCGAGGATTCTGCAACCTCACGCGCGTGGTGGCCTACTGACAATAATCAATGCAACCATAGACAATCCAGAAGACATTGTCTTTTGGATTGTCTATGATGCAACATACCTGAGATATCTCTTCAAAGGTGAATAATCTTCCCAAAAGACCTCGAAGGGGAATCATGAGTAAAACAACAAGAGGAAACATTGGTGAAGTAACATTGAAGCTTTTCACTATCCATAATGCGGTGACACAGAAGAATTGAATGATGGTGAACATGTACACTTTATGCAATGGCACCTGCAATAATAAAAAAGTGCACAAACCATAGTTTTTTCTTTGAGTCTTCATAGAGTCTTCGGCCTTATGTAGAGTCTTGATATTTTAGACTGCGTCGTGGCATACGGAAAGGGTATAACCGTAGGGAAATTAAATATTGCTCCACCAGAAATAGTTTCATGTATTATTTCTATAGTTTTACTTACATTTTTTAAGTAAGGTATATCTGGATGCTGCCCTGGCGCCATAAACATGAGGAAAAACCTTTCAATCATTTGAACTCCAAATAATGCAACGACACCCATGTATAAAACCATACCAGAAAATACTGCTTCAGGAATGTTGTTTAAATAAGAGTTTAGGAAAACTGATAAACCTATAAAGATAATGCATCATTTTACAGACTCGTTTTGTACGGATAACTGAACTGAATTATGTCAACTTAGTCTTCCTTTGGATCTTTATATTGCATATACCACCATCAAAGTCACATATTATTTAGACCAAAGGTGGACTCCTTTGGATCTGCTGATTGCTAATAGAGCCGTTATAATATTTCAAGTCTTCAGCCTGCATGTGAAGCCCAAGTTATTCATGCAAGCTTTCTATTTGTCGCGTATAAACATAGAGTGGTTGGAACTTCCTTTACACAATTATTTCAAATAAAAAATTGTTATAAAATTAAATTGAAACTCACCAACTAAAATTCCGGTAAAAAACAACGTTAATCTTTGTTCTCGTATTTTAACCACGTGACTTTTAACTCCCGGTGCATCGAAACTGCTCCAAACTTTCAAACTGTCCAAGTGGACAGACGTCTCAACAGCGGCCAAACACATCCAGGGTAACCCAAGAAATGAAGAAATTAAAACCATGATGGCGACCAGTAGAAGATTAACATGAAAGCCGGAACCTTTTCTTCCTCGTGTTTGCTGTAGCGTAGTACAAAAATGATAAACAATTGGAACTATTTTACAGTCAAAAAAATTTCTTAAATGAAAAAAGTGAAGCTAACGACATCGTCCGCATACCTTGTTACAGGCAGCGCTATAGTACCTTCCGTACGATTGATATTGGTAAATTTATAAACTGCCCTTTTCAATTTTGTTTCTGTGTAAAGTGACGCAATCTATAGGTACACATGCAATAGGATTGAAAAGCTTGTTTACCTTGTAACACTCAAGCAATGTAATTTCACTTTCAATGAACAGAAGAATAACTGTCAGTAAAGCAGGGATTGCAGCCAGTGGTATAATGCCAAACGACGAGAATCCATTGAATATCACGTTAAAATCAGGTGTAATGAGACGACTTCTTCTTGGTGCCGTAAGTTGAAAACCATCAGGAATGTTTATTGTGTTTAGATAAACACCAAGAAAATATGTGACTCCATTCATTATGTTGACGGCAAAAGGAATGCTGAAGAAATTCAGTAAACGTCGAATCTAAATAAGTATTTTAGATGGATATATTTTATAGAATAATGTTGCTTTAGTGTCTTAGGTTATTTGAACACAAAAAAACTAACAAACGCGTTCTTACCGGAGGTGAAAAAAATCTCGTTTTCTCGAATAGTCTGAAACCAAGCGCGATACCGAATGTGGCAAACATGAATATTGTGTATAACAAAGCTGTATTTGGTTTTTCATTACTGCCTTCATATCCGCCTGTATTTACTGTGGAGTTTATGACCCGAAACTGATATTCCTTGCGTAAGGGATGTTGTTCATAAACCTATATATAAATAACGATAAAAGTATTATACTTAAGTTTATATATTTTAATGAGCCTCCTCCATGGCTTCCATGTAGCTAGTAACCATTGTTAAGGAAACATTTAGGGATTTTTTGTCCTCCAAATGTTCTCCAGTTTTCCACTTAAAAATGGAATTCTAAATCCAATTCTGGCAGTGGAAGTTCACATGACGAGAAAACTAAAGGTGGTTTGCGAGCTGCGGATAACTTTCTGTATTTTTCTAGCTCTATTGGAAAATACATGGAACGCGTAATCTTGCCGAAATCCGTGGTTCTGGATATTACTGCTGTAATGAGAACTGAATTGGGCAGATTCACCTCTTCAAGGAATCATAGGAGGATTATTTTGGCAAGGAAACTATAGATGTGAATGTCGCTACGTTATACAGAATGCCGAGTTTGTCAGTCAAATTGACTAACATTGTTTAGAACAAGATTCTAAAATTGGAATTTCCCAAAAATTTTCCGTAACGACACACACCTTTATTAGGTTTTTAATTCCTTCGTACATAAACAACAAGGCGACAAGAACGTGAAGAATTTCCTCAGTGAATCTTGTACAATAATGTATCCAGTGAGTTTTATCAAAAGCCAAGATCAAAAGTAGAAATATAAAAATCCACATTCCGGTCAAAAAACGCAATTGAAGGAAGTCTATCTCCATTATTTTGGATGCCTGAAAAACATAAAGGATTGATTGGACTTAACATACGTGCTCGCTGATCGCTACTGTATAGTTAGTTTGTTTGATTTTATCAATGACATTCTATTAATTTTTGAAAATAATTCTTGTGGCTTTTTAAAGAATGCATGAACATGCATTATGCCAGCATTATGCCTTAAAGGATTACCTATATTTGTTGTGTACCAGATATTTTTTGTGTACCAGAAGTCACCTTCCCTGAGTTCCCTTTTAAGAATTTTGTATGCTTTCGCCTGCTCTAAGCGAAATTCTTCAAATCACCTGCATCATAGACAATTCAATTGGATTGTCTATGCCTGCATGCATTGTAGCTACTCACTCATAAAACCGTGTTGTGAAAATAACACTGAAATAATCATTCGAATCCATCCATTTCTTAGTGGTATTTTCTTTTATATATAAACCTACCTGATAGGTCGACGCTTCTACAAGAAGCATTGCCGCGGTTCCAGCAATCACAGACAATGGTTCTGTTGCAAAGGCCGCTATCAATATACAAGAAAGTGACGTTGCTAAGAGCATTTCTACTGGTCCAAGATTTCCACTTGTGTACTTGCACATCATTTGACCATATGTTAGACACATCGCAGTCAAACTGATCGCTAAATAGAAAAGGGAAGCAAGACACTGGATATGAAAACCATCCTTGATATCTGACCAGTACTGTGAACAACGAGGTCTAAATTCTCGTCGTAAACCACCAAACCACTTCCCATTTGCGTGAAGAGGATGAATTTCTCGTGTGTCTTCGTCATCTTTAGCATCACCGTCATTATTATTAATCACAATATCACAGCTATCCGGAGTAACGTCCACGTATTTGTCATTTTCATTTTCGTTTCTTGCTATCAAAGAAAAAATGTACTTAATTACAGGTCAGATCCTTAGTGCGCTAAAAATAATTGGCCTTACAAGGGGGTTGTTGGTGAATGCAACAAATGAAAATATTTATCATTAGGCGCTAATATTTATCATTAAAATGCTTATGTTATATATTCGATGCGATACTTACAAACTTTTCCAAATCTTGTTTTAACAGGACAGTCTCCTCTTCTTGGTAGAGACATTGCTCCAGATCTTGTTACTAGTTCTTCCGTATTTTCTAAATCTTTTACTCCATTGTGATACACCAAACCCTTCATCATTGAGACTACGACTAGTTTTGCCCTGAGCTTCCGCCATAAATCTTTTCCCTCGCGATGTTTAAACTTCTTTAAGGTATGTTTCTTGCGACTAATGGCTGAAATCGCTCCGGCAACAGGAATGAGTAGCTCTGGCTTCCAATTTCCAGGAGGAAGCATGACACTTCCATTTACGAACATATTCGCAGCTTGTATCAAATCGTTGCTCGTTTTTGCACGTAGCGCGTATCTAGCAAATGTCTAGTAAAAAAGAGATAACTTTCAAATGTATTAAACTGTACAATAAGATTGGTTTATCAATGACCTAGTGAGCTAAGATAAATTTGGGTAAACACTTTGAGTCATGGCAATAATTTTCTCAGTCTTAGAATTGTACAAGATATAAGACCGCGTATGGTTTCTTCAAGAGATGTTCTCTTACCCTATCTTTAAAGAGTGTTGCGACTGCTCGACATATTTGATATCCATCGACGTGTATCGCATGTTGTGAAGTGAACAGGATATACAAAAACCGAATTGGAATTGCAATCTCCATGAAGTCTGATATTGGTTTCTCGTTCTGAAATCTGATGAATACTGGAAGACACTGATCTCGTTTCAAAAAATCAACTGCTGCATGGAATATTACAACGCCGATAGATTCAGGGTGAATTATTTTTCTCAACTTGATTTCCTCTTTACGTCTTCGTAGGTTATGACTTTCAGCAGAACTCTCAGTCAACCCAGACGAACTGATGTTTTCTATGCTTGGACTTTTAGCGTTTAAATATTCAACACGGTGTTCGTCTTGGTCAAGCTGTTTGAGGACATCATTAACTGCACATCTGTTTTCAATAAGTAAATTTTCCTAAACAAGAAATAAGAACAAAAATAAATGGCATAACCATTATCCTTTCTTTCCCTATTATAATTTAGAAGTCTATTCTCTTTATTCATTGCAACATCAAGGAGTATGTTAAGTGTTGCGTCCTTGAACCTACCCAAATAATTGTCTTTCCCTTCTCCCGACGTTGTTGATCCAGTGCTTTCCTCGCTAACTTAACCCAACGATTCCTCACGGTATTCTCTGACATGTCCCACGCATGCGTCATTGCTTCCTCTCTTTTCATGTATGCAACTCTTAATGCTTCTCGACTTAGCTGAACTTTCTTCCGAAAACGAGAACTGGACTCACCCTGATGCATACGTGGAAGTGTCATTATTTGTTGTATTCGTACACGATGTCGAGGTTCTGCATGACCACCAAGTACCAACATGTTGGATATGGTGTAAGATATATCAATTTCACCATCATTTACACTGCCAAGTAACACCAAACCTTTAAAGGTAACAAAGTGTTTTCTACTTCATAGAAAATGCAGATTCCAATCAAGATTATACATCCATAGTGGACAGATGTTTTGACTATAAACGTTATTGTCATATTTACTGACCATCATCTAATGACTGTTTAAAGGCCAGCAAACACTCAGCCTCGATATAAGAAAGAAATGGTCGTCCCCAATTCCCACTCGGTTCAACATTTTCTTCATATTTGATCCAACGAGCTTTTTCCTTCCAAAACCGACTCGAACTCTCAAACTCATTCAACTGCACAAAAAACTGTAAAAAAACGCATTAATCAAAGCGATATTTATTGGAAAAACGTTTTTACGAATTTCCTTGTACAATATTTATGATGGTTATTGTAATTTATCGGAATGTTATAATATCGTTATCTATATTGCACTTCCTTAGTTGTATGCGACCATGAAGTAACTGTTGATGGTTTAAGGGAACGAAAGGCAGAAACAAACGATTATTAAGACCTAGAACCAGCTAGGAACGTTGCGAAAAATGCAACTTGGACCTCCGGCAAAACCTAAACGATTCCGGAGCCGAGTGTTCGCATGCTACTCGAAAATCGATAATCGCGTCACAGCGATTTTTTTCACATCTCGCTTGACTTTCCCATTGCCTTCTCTATCATTGCTATCAGCCTATCACTCCATTCCTCGCTATTCCATTATTACGTATATCAGTAACAAAACATAAACATACATCTATAGCATCGCGTGTACACAACTCATGAACTGAAGAAGATCTTTCCACCATTCTTTGTCTTGAGTGAACCAGTCTACCGCTATCTGAACATCCTAAGATGTTTTCTAAAAAAACAAATAATTTTGTAATCAAGTTTCGGAAGAAAGCAGTTCAACCACAATTCTTCAACAATATGCTAAAAAGGATGAGATACTATATGTAATATCGATAAATGCCTTATGCAATATTATTAAATAGTAATTAAATGTTTTTTAGTCGTGGTGTTTCGTTCCGGCTTTTTTTCATTACCTCTTTCTTCTCACTCTTCACAAAATCTCTTACAAATACATGAATAATATTTCAACGCGCAAATCGCTTAAATGGGATTATGTCAACAAGAAGGATGCACGCAGACTGTAGTAAACTGATTTTATCAAAATATCGTGGGCGTATAAAATGGTAAATTATGATCTTTGAAGTTTGAAACGCATAGAATAGGTTCATATACTGAATAAAAATATTCACAACAAATAAGTCAACAATTTAATTAAGGCCGAAGCCAAAATTTCTATTCTGACCTGATGTAAATAATTGTAATACAGAATCAATATTCGTGACCACGCAGTCGCTCACTCAAAATTCTTTGATTATCGAATCTTCAAGTTTTAATTTAAACCTGTTTATAAAATGCACGACAAAATCTTTTAAGGACCTCTATAGAATTTTGAAGGATTCTTCGACTGAGAACATAAGAGAACCATACAGAAGTAGAAAGTAGAAACTATAGTTCAAAAACGTTTAAAACATTACTTGACGCAAGCATGCATGTTTATAAATCAAAACTGTAATTCACCGCAATGCCAATGAACAGATATTGCTGGATTTTTTAAATCAGATTAATGATTACCGCATGTACGGCTATGGGCTGCATGAGGTTGACAGTGCTGCGACTCTGACAGAGTCGTATGAAGGATATTATTTGCTCGTATCATGTATGTGTTTTGAGATGATTGCATGCATGCATGCACTGTATATAGATTATGTAATACACACATCCATCCATATAGATATCGTTAAAATAAAATACTTATGTTAGTATAATATGCTAGGTTTAAAAAAACGACAATCAAAGCCCCATATATTCATCACTAGACATCTGCAGCTGATAATTAATCAATTTAGTAAATTATCGCAAATTTAATCCTGCATATAATGAACTGATCCAATTAGAAGCTTAGAAGCTTGAATTAGAAGGTTGCTTCTTGCTGGGTTTCTTGTGATAAATAGTACATGCACGCACGTATAAATAGCAAGGAGTCAAGGACATTTAAAACAATTAAAATCAATAAAGACCCAGGAAAAACAACGTATTCTATCAATTCTAACCGGTTTCTTGGGCCCTGGCACGAAAAGTGAATCAATTGCTGCATAAAGGAAACCAATGCTTATAAAAGACAAACGACGTAAAATTTTCGAAACATGTTGATGCATGTGGATACAAACTCGAACCACAACTCGTCAACACAATGTCAATGACATTTTTAGATAGTATGTTCTCTCATTAAACACCGAATTAGTGAAAATATTCTTGAAGATTCAGTTTCAGTGCAATTAAAGGTATAATCTCCGTTATAAAAATAGAATAATAACACTTTATTAGGAAAGTTCAGAGTCGGTCAAATGTTTATTAATTAAATACAAATTGTGATAAGGAAATACTTCATGCATGAATGCAAATGTAAAGTCCCCGTTTTGCCCCATATAAATAAATAATTGGCAATAATGAAAAGTTGGCGGTATGTACATTTACCATAATGCATTGCGAACACAAATTTTAACGAATTAAGAAAAACTTCGAATACATGACTTTCAAATAATTAAACCTCAACTAGCGCTTCCTAAAGTTTCACGACAGCAAAAACTAAGAACTGCGTAGTGGAATATATGAATCCTTTTCGTTTAGATAAATTAATGTACGTTGTTGAGTCGTCTGTGTATTTTGCTTTACCCATATTATGATATAAATATACGAATTCACATTGTTATGATTACCAAATGAATTTTTGGCATCTTTTTCGGAATCATATATAAACAAAATATATCCGTAATTTGACGGTGAAATTTTAAGCATGATTCATTAGCTCATGCAATTCAGGCGCATTCACTCGGGTATAGAAAAATATAGAAAGGCATAAAAAATTTTAAAAATTATTTCGTCATTGACTTCCACTATATACCACTACCTTTAGTTGATTGGTTGAGCTGAGAGAGTTTCATTTCATTGGTTCATCTTCAGGGCACCAAATCTGAACCTCGCTATTTTACTAACTACAGGAGGACGATGATTTTAGCAAAATGCAAATTGTAGCTGCCTGTAAATCATAAATATTATTGGATTAAACGATTTATTTAATTAGTACAATTTCAAGCTGAGTGAACACAGAGTTTATCAAATTATATGTCCACGCCTTACGGTCCGAATGACTTTTGAAAATATAATTATATCATTTATATTTTGCGGCCCGATCTTTGTATAGTGTGGGGGAAGTCTGATCTTTATCTCATAGATTAAAATTATTGAACGGGATATGTTTGGAACTGATGTACGAGCCAAATTCAGCTGCGATAAGTTTTAAGCGCAGCGAGCCGTGCACCTCCTCGTCCCTGCATGTCTCCTACTTGGCTCCAATCTCCTTCTAGGCTCTCCCATACTTGGCTCCAATCTCCTACTTGTATTAGTTAACCTGAAGAGATAATGCATGCATGGTCTAGTGGCAAAGACTATTGCCTTGTATGTCGATGGTTTTTTAATATGTTAAAATGTTTTCCATGCATTATGACCTGAAAGAAGTGATTTGGATAGAATAAAAGCCGGACGTAGTTCTTTCCCTCAAGAATTAATGGTTCATTTAGTGGTGAAGACAATGTAAATGGTTACGCAACTAGTGCGTCGATATAGTTCGAATCCTGTTTTCCTGTATTTTCGCTCATTAGGATATAAGAGGGGCCAAAGGGTTTGAGGCCATATATATACTTACTGCCCTGCGCTTCAAGAACTCCTCCAAAAACGTGTATACATGCACGCAAAATGTAAACTTCTAAATTTGAATCTTTATTTTTATGTAGATACGTACGTGTGTCAAATATTTTTTCATGTCTGTTTGTAAATGCATGTGCGTAAATTAGTATATATGCTTCTATTAAAGTTAAAATTTTTTTATCAACAGTAAAAATATAATGATGGTTCTTGATAGTCTACTAGAGTTTTTACATGCTGCCTTCAGTCAAGTGGACCATGACCTTCTTCGTCTTCCTCGTTATCAAGCTGAAAAATTCAGAAAAAGTATCCGCATGAGAATATTATTGTTAAGTGTTCAAACAGATAGTTAAGTCCGGAAGGATATGCAGGCTAGCACGAAAAATATCGAGCAACAAAAGTTAAATGTACAAAGGATAGGAAATATCTGATCGGAAAGAGTCCAGAAATCATCCAACTGCATTTCGCCACTATAAGAGGTTTGGTTATAGATAACACTAAGGTTCTAAGGTGTTCATTACCAGGATACAGAAAGGATTAAAGTAAAAACCTGCTCAATATGCTCTATGCTGAAAACTCTCCCAAGTAAAGCCCGCAGTGGAATCATTAATAAAACCACCAAAGGGAAAATTGCCGCCACATCTTTAATACTCTTCACGATCCAAAGAATAACCACACAACCCACTTGAATGATGGTGAATAAATAAACTTTGGATAATGGTACCTAAATGGCAGCGTAGATTATTACGTTAAACCTACGCGTGCTAAATTTAAAAGGGGTGACATCAGCGTACTAATCAGGCATTCAAATACAAACAAAATCTGGATTTCAAAGGGAGTATATTTTGAAAACCATGTAGAGGAATCCTCTTCTTTCAGGCCGCTCCTACAGAACCTACACAGTTTCAAAGCTGTTTTTTGTCAGGTCTGAATAAATCTTTGAAAATTCTACCAGCTTGAAATCATCATGCACCAACATAAGCGTTTAAAATTAGTTTACACAATTGTACGACTCACGCTAGACCGGTAATGCGATAGAAGAGAGAGAAGACTGTCTACATGCTGCATAAGTACTCAATACTTACATTTTTCAAGTAAGGTATATCTGGATGCTGCCCTGGCGCCATAAACATGAGGAAAAACCTTTCGATCATTTGAACTCCAAATAATGCAACGACACCCATGTATAAAACCACGCCAGATAATACTGCTTCAGGAATTTGATCCAAATAGAAACTCAGGAATGATGATAAACCTGAGACAATTATGTTTAAAGGCTTAGTGAATTTATCATAATTATTGAATATAGATAAAACTGTAGGAAATATTAATCCAGGCCAGGCAACTCTAATTTTCGTATAATATTATTTCATAAAACATGAAATCTGTTGCCTTTACGTCACAATACAACATCAGTAACTAGTTTCAAAAAATTAATATTAAAATACGCCTCATCAGATTTCCAATATCATATCAATAATTTACTCACCAATCAAAATTCCAGTAAAAAACAACGTTAATCTTTGTTCTCGTATTTTAACCACGTGACTTTTAACTCCCGGTGCATCGAAACTGCTCCAAACTTTCAAACTGTCCAAGTGGACAGACGTCTCGACAGCGGCCAAACACATCCAGGGTAACCCAAGAAATGAAGAAATTAAAACCATGATCGCAACAACAAGAAGGTTTGTGTGAAATCCTGATCCTTTTCTGCCACGAGTTTCCTGCATTACGAATGTTTATGTTAACTTCTGATAAAATGATGGACCGCAGGCCAGGGGAGGGGGACACTTTCCTCGGACACAAAATTATTGGATAAGATCCCACATGTGCAGTTGCGCAGGAACCACATTTTAATAGAAGGTAAAAAGGTATGAATGGTGCCTTCAAAAAATCAAATTACACAATACCCCAATCTAATACTATGTATTCTCGAGCTATTGGTTTGGTTTAAGTATTACTGTACGTTTAGAATGGATCCTTAATACCTTAAAACAATCCAGCAGAGTAACTTCACTCTCAATAAACAATAGTATGACAGTGAGCACAGCAGGAGCAATAGAAATTGGAATAATCCAGTATGAAATACTTCCTTGGAACATCTTATCTCCATCTGGTAAAACGAAACGGCCTCTCTTGTCGGGCGAGGTCAGTTTCAGCCTTTCAGGAATATGGATTGTATTAAGATAAACATCAACAGCGTAAACAATGCCATTCATCACATTTACAGCCACAGGGATACTGAAGAAATTCAATAAACGACGAACCTATATATAAGTGCAAGATATAACAATAAATGTCAGTTGGACGACCTCTTAGTCTTAATCTTGGAATTTTGGTCTGTATCATGCATACAGCAAAAGGACGACAACTGAATAAAAACGAGTGTAACGTAATATATATATTAAGCATTTAAGCTTAGTTTTAATATAATTTCATAATTCATCATTCGTATCGGTATACGGATTCTCATTGGCGATATCTGACTGTCGGTGATCACTAGAGAATAAAGTGCTTCATAAATTTTCTTGTCAGTAGTTAATGTGAACCAGGCTTCAAGGCACTCACCCTCGGAGAGAAGAAGCGTGTTTTCTCAAACAAGCGAAATCCTAAAGCCAAACCAAACGTAGCGAACATTATGATGGTATACAGAAGCGCTGTGTTTGGTTTATCAGCAGTGAAACCACCGGAAACATTAGCATTAATTACGTATTCTTCGCGCAATGGATGTTTTTCATAAACCTAAACAATCAGAAAGAAAACGAAAAGTCAAGAAAACGAAAAGTGAAGTAGAAGTATGACAGTCTCTCTTTTTAAAAACGATATATAGCGATTACATGTAGTCAAACAAACTATCTTCCAGGTTTTAGAAAAACCTATCTATCCACTGTATCTATACGTTCGACAATATTCTGTTAGAACGTGAGGTTTATTTGATAGCAGAGAATTTGCAGGAACCACATGCACATTTTAATTTTTATAATCAACTGAGTTCGCGCGAACGAATTATTTTTGCTATCAAAAGTATAATTAACACATTATCACACTATATTACTGCCCTGCCTATACATCTATAAGCCTTAGGATGTAAGAATTGGCATTTCCCGAATTCAAACAATTGCTTCGTGTCCATTTCAGCAGATTCGGGTAGAGACTGGAAATTAAGATGGGGCGCAAACCTTAATTAGATTTTTAATTCCTTCGTACATAAACAGCAAAGCGACAAGGACATGAAGAATTTCCTCCGTAAATCTAGTGCAGTAATGAATCCAGTGCGCTTTATCAAAAGCCAGGATGATAATAAGAAATAGAAATATCCACATGCCGGTCAACCAGCGAACTTGCATGAAGTCCAACTTCATCGAACTCGAAACCTTGAAAACAAAAAAAAACGGATTAAGCAAAAACTCGCCAAAATGCCGTTCTACACTGCAGCTAGTATTATACCTGGTAGGTCGAACTTTCAAAAATCATCATTGCTGCTGTTCCTGCTATTACAGCTAAAGGCTCTGTACCAAGGGCGGCCATTAATACACATGATATAGCTGTACCAAATAGCATCTCTGAAGCGCCAATATAACCTTTAGTGTACTTAGAAATAACCTGGCCATATGTTAAACACATCGCGATCAAACTGATTGCTAAGTATAATATCGTAGCCAAACATTGTATATGCAGTCCGTCTTTGATATCAGAGACGTAGATCGGATAACGTTTAGTAATTTCACGTCGTAAACCACCAAACCATCGACCATCTGGGTGTAATGGATGAACCTCGATCTTTTCAATTTCCTCACTTTCACTGCTACTGGAATTCGAATCGCTTAAACTTTCGTCAACTTTCTTTTTACGTTTCGAACAGTGTTTGCGTGTTATCCTCCGACCTGTTGAGATAAATTAAGAAGTTATATATCATTGTAGTTTGAACATTATATGTAGCGCATGACGACACTCGGTATGGACCCAACAGCACAAGTAAAATTTCTGCATTTGATTGGTTCCACTCTCAGTTACATAAACATATTTTCCTTGCGTGGACTCACCATAACAAACAAAATTTCAACTTTTTGTAGATCAGTAAAAGTTTTATTATGAAAGTGTCATGGGGTTAATACGTATACTGATTCTAGACTGGTGGTAGACATGCAATTACAAGAATCATTCGGTTACACATGGAATTTATAAACGTACAATAATTTGTGCCCCCAAACTATGAAAGCATAAGGCAAGATAGGTCAGGTTTGGGCAGCAGTGGGTTGAGGCGTGTATAGAAATTCACCATCATCACTTACGTATCGCACAAAATTTATTCATCAATGGACAGTCTCCTCTCCTGGGAAATAATCCTTGCGTGCTGGATACTTCATGTTCCTTTTCAATATGGTCATCGTTGTTTTCTAACAGCGCATGTTTGCTCTGAACCATATTTTTCATCATAGCAATAACACGGATTTTTGTACGGACAATTCTCCAAAGTTGTTTTCCATCTCGATGTTTAAACTTTCTTAACGCATTTTTTTTACGAGTAATGCCGGAAATAGCCTCAGCAATTGGAGTCAGCAGGTCAGGTCTCCAGTCTCCCGGAGGCAACATTACACTCCCATCAATAAACGTGAAGAAAGCTTTTGTTATGTCTTGGCACGTTTTGGCTTCGTAGGCACAACGTCTGAAGGCCTAAGAGTATTCAAGAGCATTAATGGTACAATTATACCATACCATATCATACCATACCATACCACACAACACCAGAGCATACCATCACCATCCGACTACACCACGCAAAACCATACCAGCTATAACACCATATCATATTAAACCACACAAGCTTACCTTGTCATGAAATAAAGTGCCCATCGTACGACACATTTGATAGCCATCTGTCCGAACTGCATGTTTAGATGAAAACAATATAAACATAAACTTCACAGGCAAGTTAAGTTCCAAGGAGTCCACTATAGGTTTATCGTTGGGATAGCGAACGAATGCCGAAATAAACTCATCTCTTTTTAAGAAGTCGACGGGTGCATGAAGTATTAATATACCTTTAGTGTTCGGATGAAGGATTTTCTTCAGTTTTATTTGATCACTTGTCATAGGTAGACCTCGCTCTCGTGTTGTCTCATAATCCATGTTTATCAGATAAGAAACATTTGAAAATTCTGAGGCAACACTGAGACGATCAGCATGGGTTTCTGTTTTTAACAGGTTACGAGTGCTAGTACTAGTACTGTTTACGCGCATAGCACCATTTTCATCGAATAGATATTTTTCTGGACACCATTCCCTTGCCACTTCTTCTGCCTTTTGTGTAAAAGATACAGAATCAATTAAGATTTAAAGTAATTATTCCATCATTTTTCTAAAAAAAACGCGTCTCGATCAATTCACTTACCCTAACTTTTACAGGATTAGGATTTTGCTTCCGATGTTGATCTAAGGCCATTCGAGCCAGCCTCACCCAACGATTACGTACTTCATTATCTGACATCTCCCATGCACGAGCAAACATTTGCTCTCTTTTTTCAAGGAAAATTCGTAGAAATTTTCGTCTATAGTGGACCTTCTTCCGAAATCGCGACTGAGATTCACCTTGATGCATGCGTGGAAGTGTCATGATTTGTCGTAAGCGTACACGATGTCGAGCTTCTGCATGACCACCAAGTACCAACATGTTGGATATGGTGTAAGATATGGTGAATCCACCATCGCTGACACTGCCAAGTGATACCAAACCTAGAAAGATAACGATATTTGCAACGTATATAATCTCTATTAAAGATCAAAGAATATTTGAAGCGTATCAATATATATAATTTTCATTTTGAATTAAGACAAATGGTGGTCAATTAGCAGGCTCATTTTAGTCCACAGTTATTTTATCTAATTTTTTATGTCCAAAAGATTAGTATTTTCATTATATGCATGAAAAAATTACGAATTTATTATCACGGATTTATTATTACGGATTTACCCTGTTCTACAGTGTGTCTCAGGTGTCGTAAACTTTCACAATCAATATAAGAAAGAAACGGTCGTCCCCAATTTCCACTTGGTTCAACATTTTCTTCATATCTTATCCATCTGGCTTTCTCCTGCCAGTACAGACCACTAGAGTCCAGTTGCAATAATTCAATAAAAACCTACAAAAAGTTTTGGCATACGGAGTCAGAGAACAAATTATGCTTAAGTTGTTGTGTTTGCCCTCCCCTGGTCGTGTGAATGTTCAAGATGTAAATATAAATATGGAATGGGAATGAGTAATATACAACTACATCATGATTTGATTTTCAGAGCTCACTTGTTCATTTTCTGACTTGAAGGATATCCGAGGAGCTTGAACAGATTTTTTCATCTTTTCTGGAATTTTGTGAGGTGGTTCTTTGGAAGGATGCACAATTATCTCAGGAACTTCTATCCATAGAGTAAAATAAGCAATTAATATATGGTTAACATCACAAGTCTCTGAGGGGTAGAGTGTTTTCTCTGAGTTTTACAGGGAGTGAGGGGATTACAAGGATTACAATTAATTGATATAATTATATGATGGGATAGGTATGTGGTTCATATATCATCATACAACATCACAGAGGATTGAAAAAAATTGTCAAATGGGCGTCACATATATTTTGCGAATGGTTGATATTTTGTGAATGGTCTTATTCCTATGCTAATAACACTAAATGAAATAAAATATATATACCTTGTATAACGCCTCCTGGTTCAGCTTGCAACTCAGCCATGTGTGACATATTAGAATCTTCTCCATTACTTTCTGGTTTTAATTCAGAAGTGGAATATGATGATAACTCAACATTTTCAGGCTCAACAGCCCTCTTTGTATGCGACATGGTCCCAAGCAGTAAACCTCTTTTTACATATATCTATATATATTTGTGCATCTATCGAAAGGATAGCATATTTTGTAATTAAGTTTGTCATTTATAAATACCACACTAGATGTACAACTATTCTACAACCTGGAATATACAAAATAGAGAAATAATTTCTGCATTATTTGAATTTGCAGAATAGGAGACATTCTTTTTTGAATGTACTAGTAGAGTTACTCGATCTGTGAAGAATGAAAGACAAACTAATCATTCATTGCAGATGCACTGTTTCCATGTTTCACAAAACATTTATGTTTTACAATTAAAATATGTCAATATAACTAATCGTTTTTTAATCAATGACCATCTAAAATTAATTAAAAGTGGTTGATATTGACAATATAGGATGTGAAGACTAAGAACAAAGTAATGAAGATTATAATGAAAATTAGACTGGTAACCATACTAAATATATATAGTCTATAGGCATATACCTAGGAGTGATACTACATCATGTATAAACACTCAACCAATGTTATATACTTGACAAAATAATCGAAACCACGAGAGAATTAAACAAGATTCTCAAGTCACCCAGTAAAATTCAGTGTGGAAATGGAACTGTCGCAATATAAATTCTAATTAAGTTGTAACAATTACTTTCATATTGCAAAATAATTTGCTACAAAAACAACACATTTAGTTCAAGTGCTAAATCAACAATATATCATCGAACCTCACGCCTAATTTGAATTCGTAGGCCTATATATGTACTATGCTTGAAAATATCAAAATGGTTGAAACAAAGAGAAGAATAAAACAATAACATAGAGGATTAGAAATCTGGCGTTCGATCTGAATGAACAAAATCTGGGAAAATACGAAATATGTTTTATGCACGTCAATATAATATATTCATTGTATTATATATATAACCCATTCTCTTGATGTCATCAGAACTATTAACACACGTTTACAATATACGGTACGTAAATACATAAATTTTTATCTTACCCGCAATATTGTCTGTACCTCTATGTGACTATATGAGTGAATGCCGCTAGTTCAGTTTGACTTTTTTTTGAAAGGATTTTTATTTCAAATCCTTGATAAATAAACCATGTACATAGTACAGAATTATGTAGAGAGGCTATGCAGCTTGCACGCGTTTATGCCCATATATTTTGCAACGTCATGCCGCCTTTACAAGTCATAATAGTAAAAATGAAAATGTGAATCTATAATCTTGTTTACACTAATATTTATTTAGTTAACTCAGAAATACACAACTCTGATTGGCCAATTCTGCCCTTAACTACAGTTACAGTTAATAACTAGAATCTCCCAATGTAGCAATGCCGCCCCTTCGACTATCACTCAAAGAGAACGAGAGGGAGATAGGCCCGTCAAACTTTTCATGTGCCAAACCTAATGAGCTAAAGTCTTTGTTTAATTTGCATTTGATTCGGCACATGAAAAGTTCGAAGTCTGAAACGGTCCTATAAAGGGAGGAGTAAAACTTCAATTCCGGAAGGTTTCTAGCCATTTACTCCAACAAAAAATTCAAATATTTCGGTTATTTAATTTTTGAAGTATAGCAATTATATTTACACATATATACAAACATTGTTCAGGTTAACCGTGTTCCCCAACGGCCAACACCTGCGTTGGGTTAGCTCTAAAAGAAGTCGATGTTGGTTGTTGCCACAATTCCTTCATCGGTTAATCCCAGGTTCATCCAGTTCACTTCTAACGTATGAAATAAAGTCTGTTGATAAAGCAGCACTGGAGTGCATTGGTTTCCTATGTACATTGTTGGTGAACAAACTGTAAAACATTCATCAGAAGTGAATTGGATCCGATAAAATTTGCACGTGAGAACAGACCTTTATCGGGTTTTTTTTACTGAACTGGTAACACATATCGACCAACAGACTAACGAAACCGTGGCAACGATAGAATATCAACCTTACCTACAACGACCTCAACTCATACGAGAAGATTCTGGCACTTTTTTTCAACACAAATGCGATATTAAAAATGTAGGTAAAATCATGGTATGAGGTGTATTATAGCTGTTAGACTGTCTGCTTGCTAAGGGAGCGGGTGGTTTACAAAACGATAAAACTAAATGTGAAATTACCATCACCGTAATAATAGTCTAACAGTCCTGGACTAGACCACGCGAACAACAGGACTCACTACACTAAAAAAGTGCTCCTGTTGTCCATAGTCCTATGTCTAGTCCTTTTAATATTATTGCAAATTTTTTAGATCAAATTGACAAGGGAATTTTGAATATCAACTGCTGGCAATTTGAAATCTAATTTGGACGCTGTACCAACAGATTATTTTATAATCAGTTGTCACCAGAACTATCCTCGGAAGCTTTAGGAGAGGTATTAGGAGGTTGTTTACTGTGCAAATCCGACTTTATTTTCTCCAGTTTTGTCAAGATACTTTCATAATCGAATTTTCCTCTTTTATCACCAAACGGATCCTAAAATATGATGGATTCATTAAGACGAATTACTTGTCGCCGTTGTACAGTATAAAGACTGTTCACGTAGGTACAGTTGTTGGAAAAAACACAAAGGCAAAGGACGCCTGAAGCCCCCATTTGAAATGGCTCTTTTAGTAACTATCTAAGGAGCTAATAACGGAGCTTGCCATAGGAAGTACATATACAATTAAAGGCCAAACTAGGGAGAAACCTAGCACGTACGGTAGTACAAATATATTTTCCTCCTGTCTAGCTAGGTTGAAAATTGATAACTATTGGATTGCATCACGTTCGATCATTACCTGCATCGGTCTCCCATTTAGATAGGACTTTTCTTTCACAACAGAGACGTAATAACAATAAAAATCAGGGAACGAACGAATCATCACTTCTCTGGAAAGAAAGATTTTGTTGTTAGCACAAGTTGCTGAATCTGCCAGAACGCCGGGAGCGGCGGAGAGCCCCGGGAATATGCAACAGGGAATGAATCCATGTGTGTACCATCTTGGAGTTCTTTTCACACGATCCGGGAAGCTCGTCCCCTATTGAAAAAATTCTGCAGCAACCCATTCTGATAGGATTCAACAATAATGATTTACCTTAGTGGTGGACAACAGAATGATTCATCTTCAAGCATATCACAGACAGCCACCCTTAATGTTTCATGTTGTATACAGTCATTATATTTATCACTGTCTCCTGCTCGTCTTTCCTATGTTAAAAAAAAGAACCGTACGTACTATTTCTTTTCAGAATTTTAATACTCAACTGACAGTTGTACAAAGAGTATTTGGCACCTGCTCAAATCCAGGTTCATTATGGTAAGGTTTCTCATTTAGTAGTGACTGGATGGAGATAAGGAGACTTGACAAAGTTTGTGCTGGACTCCAAGCTGGTCCACTCCACGTTCTTATGAAAAACAACAATAATTCATAGCCTTATTTGGTTAGTATAACATTACTATCTAGTCTACAGCACATAGTTATTAAAATACTAATAATAGGTGAGTTAGGAATTGGGAAATATGTCAAGTTTAGAACTAACTGGCAATAACATTCATATGTACCCATGTACCCGCATTGACTCATATAATATTTGATAAATCTACTGTTGGGGAAGAATCAATGGAAGTACTAATCCACCTGCCGGGGCTGGTTTAACTACCCAGAATGCAAATGTTTTGTAGTATACCATAGTATACAACTGGACACAGAGCAGATGCATAAGCTAGATCTGGAGTTATGAATTGTTTTAAATGAATAAATGGTAAATGGGTCATGGGGGACTAGTATAGTATTGATATAGGAATACTAAACACCAAACATCTAAAACATACATACCCAAGTGTACTCAAGCACACTTTTCCATTTTTGTATAAATTTGGATTAAACCTCACAAGTCCCTGACCAGTTGTCATTAATTTGACACGTGGTGGATGAATGGGATAATCTGGTGGACAACGAATTATGAAGTAAAAAAATCCACCCTCATATGGTGTATCAAATGGCCCAGTTATCAAAGCATGAATCTAAATTTGAAAACAAAAGCATGTAGTTTATGACTTATACTGTTGTTAACAATAATGAATTATTTTGCAGTAAATAATAGTTTTGCAGCACAATTCCCCACTATACCTTTGTGACATCCTGATCATCAGCAACAACACACATTCCTGGTGGTGGGTCTTTAAAAATACCCATTATATCCCTACATTACATGCATACAGAAAATACAATAAATACTTTTTCACTTGCATTTAAAATTTCAAACGACAGGTATATAAAAATAAATTCAGATATTGTGTATATTCAAGCCTAATGTAGTCATTAGAAATTGTCAGCAGTTAAATGGTAATAATAAAATACACCATTCTGTTTGGCCAATCCTGCTACTAACTAGTTGGATGGCATTCTTTTCAATTGACCCAGGATTCAGGAATGCAAGAAACGTACGGTACCCTTGTGACGTACTCTGGGTTTCGCTTTTATCCCCCTCTTGGAAAAAAATGCTCTCCTGTGCTATTGGACGAGTATCTGTGTATCTTAACCCCTTCTTAAAACAGCAATTTCTCACATTTTCTTTAATGAACGGCTAAAAACTGGGTAGCTGATCCCCATATTTAAAAAATAAGCATGATTGATATATACACATAAATGACATAATGTACCCAACGTTCCAATATGCAATTAAATCAAGTTATACCGCTTAATGCGTAAAATACACTCAGGACTAGCTTTCTCCTTATCCCAATCTTTTGAATTTAAAGGATCCCAAGTGACCGAAGTCACGGTCAAAAACACTTCCATTGAAGACAATGAAGAATTCGAAACACCGTTCGAATCCGCCATCCAGTTTTAATTTTTTTAAAAGCATTTCAAAAGGGGGAGCGGGAATCAAGGAATTGGGGAAACGGAGAACCAGGAAACCGGAGAACTGGGTTTTAACAGTGGTTTCAACCCTAAATTGAGTAAATTCCTAAAATGTATTCGTCAATATTTGATATATTGTTATGCAGAAATTTTAGTCTATACTAGTTGGCATAAATAAAAAAATTATGAAATCAAAAATTCATGTTTGAAATTAATATTTATATTGTAATTCAAATCGTAACTTTTGTCAATGTTTCGACGTTCGAAAATTCTTTAAAACAATGCATTTGAACCTGTAAAGTCATTAGTTTTGAAAAATTTAATATATAATATAAAAACTATAAAACTATATATATAGCTCACTGCATGCATGGTGTACTGGGTACGAGGTTGGCCACTGGTCTCGCCTAATCACTGGATAGTACTGCTACCATGCTGGTACACTGAGAAATGCCACCAGTGACGAAGTTTATAAATGCATATTTCTGCAATTTATTAATTTTGTTGTTCCCATTTATATTTTTTCCTAATTTAATAACTGGAGAGAAAACAATGCAGGCCGTTATACATGAAGCTGGCGGAGCAGAAGGCCTGAGAGTTGAAAATGTTCCAAAACCAAGTGTTCAAGATGGACACATTTTAATTAGAATTCATTATTTTTCGATAAACAGAGCCGATATACTACAAAGGAAAGGTTTATATCCACCTCCAAAAGGGGAGTCAGACATTTTGGGTTTAGAAGCAGCTGGAGTTATTGATGATATTAGTCCAAAATGCAGTAAGAATTGGAGGTTAGTGTTTTAGCTTTTTATAGAGCCATTTTTTTTATTAAAGCCTGGTTTTCATTTTATAGTGGTAATTGTCGTGATACAGGTAGTGCCCGTTCTTGGGCGCCGTGTTTAATTTAATTTGGAAGCGTCATGCTTTACTTGTGCCAGAAAAAGTGATGGGCACCATGCAGTGCTGGGCCATCAGTTTGAGTGCAGCTTTACTGCCTTGCTTTGCAGGGCTGTCATTTCGGCAGTCATTTTGTCCATTAGTGAGGGGAGAGAGGTGGAGATATGAAATGGTGTAACTGTAAATTGTACTAGAATTTTATAGATGACTGGCTGTACACTGGCAGTGATAGACACTACTGTAAAGGCTCTTTTCTACTTCAACCATATCTTAGTGAAACAAAGCGTATCTCATTGTTTTAAAGTCATTATTTCTGGTTGAATGCTTCGGAAAAAAAGAAATACGCTATGTTACATTACGATATGGTTGAAGTGGAAAACGGCTTTAAGTCACCATTCTGATAATGGTCTCTGGATAATGTAACACTATGCAGAGGAGAGGATGAAATTAAGATGTACAGATGTAATCTGTGCTGACCAGAGATAATACTGGTATTTAATATATGCCCATTCACGGATTGCTCGAAATGATGAAACAATAAATTTTATACATTCATGAGATGTATGTATGTCATATATAAAAAGGATGTCAAAGATATGTAAAAAATACATCTTGAATGTATGTAGTCACCAAGAACTTTATAGGGCATCGGATTTCTTGAATAGTTCTGTAATAGACTGTATCTATGTAACATGATTGTGTTCCTCTGCACAGGAAAGGAGAAAGAGTTATGGCCCTTCTTGGAAGTAAGTTATACTGCTTATACATATGTACATAAAAGTAAAAATTTTAATAGGTGAGCACTAGATAAAAAAAATTATTGCTATGGTAGGTGGCCTGTAGTAGATGAATGATTTTGTATGTTTTTAAATTTCAATGCTGTTGGCATGCTTGAGCTGGAGTACTATCCATTGCTTAGAAATAATATTCAATTTTTTTGTTACAAATTAAGGTGGTGGTTATGCAGAATTTGTTTCTGTGAATGAAGCATTAGTTATGCCAGTTCCAGCAAACCTTCCCCTCTCTGATGCAGCTGCAATTCCAGAAGTGTGGCTCACTGCATACCAGCTCTTACATCTGTTAGCTGATGTCAAGTCAGGTGAACATGTATTAGTGCATGCTGCTGGAAGTGGAGTAGGAACAGCAGCAATACAGCTGAGTAAATTTGCAGGGGCTCATGCATTGGCCACCGCAGGGTCACAGAAAAAGTTGGATGTAGCTGAAAAAATTGGGGCAGAGCAAACAGCCAACTACAAAAGTGAGGATTTCTCAGAAATGGTGCTTAAAAAAACAAATGGTAATTCTATGTTAATTCATATAGTCCTATATGGAACATGTGGGGTTGAGCAATTTTATGAACCTCCTTTAAAAAATAGTAAATCATTTCTCTTAAATTAACCTTAGACCCTTTAATACCAAGTTCTAACCTATAGACATAGACTGAACTATTGAGAATCCATGTTAATTTTCATAATTTTCACAATGCAGCAACACTCGACATTGTAAACTATCTTGAGAACTTATGAAAAACTTTACCCTACTGAATTAAAAAAATTTGTCTCAATGCCTTTCTGACAAGAAAAAAGCCTTCACATTTGTTACGAATACTTTCACAGTAACATAACAGCAATCCTTGCCACCATGCACTTTAAATATGTACAGTATTTCTTTCTTTCTTTAAAATGAAGGTGCCGGAGTTGAGGTTATTTTGGATTGCATTGGAAGCTCGTTTGTTGATAAAAATCTTGCCAGTATTGCAATCGATGGACGATGGATATTGTACGGATTACTTGGAGGTGCAAATGTTGAAGGACGATTTCTGGCCAGTTTGCTTCGGAAACGAGTGTCATTAATCGCAACCACATTGAGAAGTAGATCGCTTGAGGTGAACCAACTTGTTCTCTTTACAAACAAAAACACAGAATTTGCACATTCTGAATGTTTTCTGTCGTATTAACTTTCCAATCCTTTGCTGTAACCCAATTTCTCAGAAATCCGTAAACAAAATTACACAAATTATATTTAATATTTACCTTGTCGATCGGTACGCAGAACCGCCAATCCTAATTATTCTCACGAGGATGCCAAGCTTTTTCCAAAAGAGATTCAAGACCTTGTTCTAAAGGGCGTGGGCGAATGTAAACAGAGTTTCAACCAGGAAGTTTTTATCTTTCAACTTCTTGCTTTCCATTTCAAAATTTTGGACATTGTATCGATATAAATGTAAATACTAGTTTATCGGTGAGACGATTTTAATTATCCTTTGCATTTTTTTCCTACAGTACAAGAAGCAGTTGGTAGAAGCTTTCAGTAAGCATGCCTTGCCTGGTTTTGAGAAGGGAACGCTTAAACCAATAGTAGACAAAATTTTCAAAATTACGGACATCCAACAAGCTCATATGATGATGGAAAGCAATATGAACATTGGGAAAATTGTTGTTGAAGTAAGAGAAGAAAATGCTAAGGAAGAACTTTAAATTATTTTACTGAAACTTTTTTAAAATTATTAGATTACTTAAAACGATTTTGCCGTTGCTGTTAACGATTGTTATCACAAATTATATTCATTTGAGCAGCCTGGCAGCGACTTCAAACAACAAACGCGTCAAATGTGGTATAACAACTGCCTAAAATAGACAAAAACACTTAGACTCGACATTTCGACATAAAATGACCTTCGTGGCTCGTACCGAGGGCCTTCGTTCGACCTATGGGCCTTCGTACTAATTCTCCTGACGAAGGCCCTTAGGTCGAAAAGAATACCAACAACATGCATTTAATGCGAATATATTCTTTATTATTGTATTACTGTTTTAACTTCCATCTCCTTTGAGTTTGGCCAAGAATAACTATTAACTACTGTAGAAACTTGTCACTTATTAAACCAGACAAATTGACAATGCAAATCACTTGGTACTTTTTTTATGGTCAGCTCTGAACTTTTCATCGTACATAGTTGTTAGATATCTCAAACCAAGAATTGTATAACAGTGCGAAAAACAATCATCTCATGCATGTGCTCCTTATTGATATTACGATGCAGGATGATTCGCTCACTGTGACATAATTTTTCAATTACCGATATAAAAGCGCCATGGTCAAGTAGACTGAAGTAATTTAAGGATTAAATTACAACAGCTGCGAAATTTAAATTGTTTAGTTCTGGCGGGTAGTTCTTGGCAAACGTTCTGTGGAAACTTGACTGAAAATCATGCAAAGACAAACGTATTGCTAGTAATGCGGAATAACTACACACATGTTGCACAAGACTAATCGTTATCATCAGAGCTGGTATTGAAATGATTATATAACTTGTCGCGTAGCATGTCTGCAGTAATTGGCGCAGATTAGGAACGCCGAGACGATATTTGTGTTCAGAAGCAACTGCGTTTTCACTTTCCATATGGTATGTGTTTATTTAAGCTGCATGGTATATGCCTTCACAAACATATCCTGGTATTGCAAATAACTGCATCTAATAGTTGATATTTTGTTTTCAATGTGTATTTGATATGTCTCGAAGTACGGGCGAATACACTTGGTTGAATACAGGGATTAGTGGTGTAAAAATGGCCGCTCTTTCATTCCACAAATACCCCTCATTCCCAGCATTTTGAACAACTGCTGGTGTCCTGAATACAAATTTATAATGATCACAGCAGGCTTTTTACGGTAGACTGTATGACTATGGTCCAAAAGTATTTGTTGGACGTTTCATGGCAGAATGTGAGGATTGAAGTGTTGTTTTCATTAGCTTTTATCCACTAATGTTTAGTTAATGTTGAGTATTATAATTTTTTGAGTACGTAATTTTTATAACTATTTCACATTTTGGCAAATTTGTCAAACCTCTAAGGTTTCATCTTTACTGCATTCAAGACATATTTCCATACTGTCAGAACCTATAGAATGTTTCCATAGTGAAATTCATTCCTTTCTATAAGAAAGTGATCGATGTGCACATACTACCAATATAAAGCAATTAATGATTATATGAACATCGTACCTTGAACTGATAGGAGTCAAAAGTCAGTGGAAAAAGGCTGAAAAGAAACGTTCATGTGCGTGCGTTGTGCGCACTGCATACCAATGACGACAACCTGCAACAATTAAGAACACAATATTCATGAAATATATATCCATTTCGAGGTATAGGCATGCATGTACGCATGTTTCAGCATGAAATCTGTGTAATGTTAAAGATGGCTTTCATACCAATACCTGCAATTTTTTATTTTTTGTACAGAAATATATATTTCGTACAGAAATTTGTATATAAGATCACTTTTTTATAGTCAGGTTTATAGTCGGTGCACATGCCTGAACTATATATATACCAATGCAATTATGTTAATATTTTCAGCAATTCACGAATATATATTAATATAGTATTTTCTTAAATATTATCAAAGTCTAATTTGTCTTGATTGCCAACATGTCTGAGGGATTACCAAGGAGATTACATATATGTCATGAGGGATATCGCTTTGTGTTTATAAGGCCATGGAAAGATTACTACGAAAGCGTATACATGCACTATAAGGACGATTCCGTAGCTGAAGTTATACATAATGTACCATGTATACCGCACAAGAATTCTAACTTAACAACAACTGTAACTGTAACACGAAGTATTCAGATGGCGAAACGTTTTATGAGGTATAGTTTTCTTTTGTTGGTCAGTTCCTGTCCACTCTCCAAGTCGTATCATTGTATATATAAAATTTTTAATTCTGAATATAGAGTTGCTTGTTGTTTAATTAACAAGGCTGCGTCATGTAGTACGCCAAACAACGAAAACTTAGTCACAATTTTGTCTTATGTTATAAAACCAATGGTTGCTTCTATAGAGGATAGCATATAATACTACGTTCCGGCGAAAAAAGTTTAAAAATCACCGTATTGGTTCCATGCCATGGAACTATATATTTATCACCATACCAACATATACAAGTTAGTAATCCCACTTAAATTGCACATTTTGGCAACAAGTGAGCTTGTGTGAAATTATATGCATGATAAAGTATAAAGTTATACGATAAAGTATAACTAGGTTGCGGAATTGCATGTATCTTGAGCGAGAGCTCTCTACCCTAGCTCTTGCTGTATTTGAAAGTATATATACGTGCTGTGACATTGAATTTTCATTCAAATTGTCCATACAAGTGTACTCATAGGTATAAAGAGTTCTCGTCGTAATTCATAACCAGGAAAGTCACTCTTTAGGTATGAATATCAAAGTTGAACAGGTTACACGTACATTCATAAATGTTGAATGTCGGTGTAAGAATGACTGTATTGGCTACAATTAATGACTGGAGCCTGTTAGGTTATATCTGGTCTTGTAAATGCTTTCATTATTAAAAAAAATTGAGGCGGGCATTTAGTTATTTCTTGCCACATGTATAGGTGATTAAATGATTTATCATTCTAGACATGTTACTACGGTATTTGCATACGCATGCTTGCTTGGGCTTCAGTTTTTTGTAAGGTCATGCATGCAGAGTGAAACAACTACAACTTCTTGATTTACATGTTGAATTTCATATTAAAATGCCCTTCATAACATTAAAAAGGTTTTGTTAGCATAAACTATCATTTGGGAAGTTAACAGTCTTAAGCTACAACAGCGTCAATTTCCTGTAAAACTTGTTCAGTCAATACCACATATTAGCCGCCGGATATAATTCGCAAACATTAAAATAGTAACAGAGATTAGCAACTTTGCATCTGAGCATGCGCATGGGTAGTTTGTTTGAGTTTAATATTATAGTGTTTGTAATGCTCTTCAGTAGCTAGGCAGATAATTAAATTTTAGGCGTTTATCAATTGGTAATGAATGGAGTGTCATAGCAAGCCATATACAAATTGAGTCAACAAATTCTGCGTGTTAATTGTATAAGTATACACAGATTGAAGGTTATATGAAGTAATTAAAACTAAAATATAATTAATGTATAGGTTTGCACACAGCGATTTTACATGGACGTTAATGATATTTAATTAAAAGAAAGCAAGAAGATTAACGCGACTTGTATTTCTTTATTAAGGTGTCGTTTCACATCTTCAATTCTTTCTGGCTTTGTTTAAATTTTTAAGGCATTGTTTTTAACATCGACGTTTATTTTTTAATAATTTGGACTTTTATGTTTTATTTTGACCAAAGACAAAGTAGGTTTGACTGATACTATGGTTATACTTATATGACTTATACTATGAGCTCGAGTCATTTATGAAAGCCCGCCGTACACGTGAGCTATTACTATATTAGCTGAGCTAAAAAAGACCACGCAAGTTACTCTCGTGTGCGGGTAGTTTTTCGTGAGGAATTCGTCTCGAGAGGCAAGTTTCTCTCGTGTACGGATGGTTTTTGGGCTGAGCTCACTGCCTCGCGAGGTCGTTAGCTGAACTTAGCTCAGCTGATAGCTCTCGTGTGCGGCGGGCTTAAGCCGATGCTATATATCAGCCATACTGATATGACGAGTGCAAGTCACTGCCTCACTGGTATAGTTGACAATTTGTTTTATAGTGTGCAGACTTCTATTAAATTCTCTTCACAAATTCTCACTGTGATGTTTTCGCTATACTCACCATAGATGAGCAGTATGTGCAGCGAGTACTGTAGGTTGCAGCTTATCCAATCAGATTGCGAAACAGCTCATATACGGCGAGGAGTGATATTATAATAGGTTTTATGTCGACTTTCAACTATTTAACCTTTCTCTCTTTATAGTTAACATGAACAGTTTCTAAGAGAGTTGATTCAAGCTGTGAGGAGAACATCACGGAACGGGTGCATTCGTCACCCCAAAATATAATGACTGAAAATTTTCAAGCAATGAATCCGCGAAGAAATAAATCGTCCATCAACGCAACGTGTCGCTCTCGAAGAGACCTTCAAAGTAGCTTTAATGCCGTAAAGGATTTCAAGGAAATAAACGAGAAATCTCCAAACAATGATGATAGCGAGAAGAATCGACATTTCGTTTATCCTCGCTGCTCGTCTTGTACAGTCGACAGAGCTCCAGGAAAGTTACGAAAGTTTGCAGCGACATTATGTGATGTGTGTAATGCATACCTCTGTACTTCTTGCACCAGGAAACATAGAATAAATTGTAACGGACATTTGTTATCACCCATCACACCTAAATTGGATGAGAAAGAACGTTTCCTCACAAAGAATGGGCATCACCAACCAGTGTGTCACAAAGGTCATCGTGATGTCCTAAAGTATTTCTGCGAAACTTGTCAGGATGTTGCTTGCTTAGAATGTATTCAAACACAACACAAGAAACATGAGTTCGTGTATGCCAAAGATGCGTATAAAAAACACAAAGCATCTTTAGAAACACATATCCAGAATTCACGTGTGGAGGCTAATCGTATTGTGAAGCAACTTGACCAAGGTAAGTTTGCTATATTATTGCACGAGGTATAATCAAATCCTATTTCAAACACTAGCTTGATAAACTATTTCTAGTTTTTGTTTTTAAAGATAGTTAATTTCACAATCCCTCTGCGAGAGTTCACAGTCGCCTCATGCGTGATTGCATGTGTTTAATTCTTATTACAGGGGAGGAAATAGTAAGAGATTTAAAGACAGAGAAAGACAACATTACGGAAAAAATCAAGGCGCAGACGAAAGTGATTATGGAGGTTCTCAGAAATCGAGAGAAAGATCTATTACAAGACGTGGATAGAATTTATTCCAATAAAGAGGATGTTTTAATTAGGAATAAGGAAAGACTTGACAATCGACTCGAATTAATCAGGAGAACATGTCGTTTTACAGAAATTGCTATAAACGACGGAGATGAAGTGCAACTGTTGATTTTCGAGAAATTCGCTCGGAAGAGATTAGACGATTTGTGTCGCACAGAATGCCTCACTCCCCCTGAGACTGAAGGACATTGTCGTTATTATGTAACAATGAATTCTCCAGAAAAGGCCGAACAGCTTCTTGGCAAGTTTATCTGTTCTGCCGTTGATCCGAGTCAATGCGAAGCCTGTGGGGAAGGGCTAAGAAGAGCAGTGGTTGGAAAGGATTCGAGTTTTATGGTGAATTTAAGAGGAAAAGATGGTATTCCGCTCAATACTGGAGGCGATGACGTGCAAGCTCAGATAACCAGCACAAGCGAGGAGGGTCCTCTCAGGGTCAGGGTAACAGATCACGACAACGGAACGTATACGGTTACATATTCCTCCATCGCCAGCGGTGTCTTGAGCATTGCAATTCATGTGTACGGTGAACCGATTAAGACTCCACGTTATCAAGTCCATGCTGTATGCCAGCGTGACTACGAAAAGATAAAAAAACCTATGTTGTCCATTAGTAAGTTCATTCTTTCAGGTAAGGAATTATCGTTGAAACTACCATGTGGGGTTGCCGTTGACGATCAAGGCAGAATTCTTGTTGCTGACTGCCATAATCATAGCATCAAGATATTTAGTCGAGATGGGAAGTTTATCAAGTCGTTTGGATGTCTCGGCTCTAAAAACGGTCAGCTGAACAACCCAACTGATATTGCGGTGAATGACAGAAGGATTTATGTTTGTGACAAAGACAACAGTCGTATTCAGTGCTTCACATCAGAAGGGGTGTTCTTGAGTACGTTCGCTTGTGGAAGCTCCCTTTTAAAAAGACCATGGGGTTTATGTATCGATGGTAAAGGGCACGTTGTCGTAACAGACACAAAGAATAATCAGATCCAAGTGTTTTCCACTGACGGTTATTATGTAACCAGTTTTGGCAAGGAAGGGAGTGGTCCGTGTGAATTTCAGCAACCATACTACGTTTCGGCACATCCGAACGGACAGATCTACATCACTGACAACGGCAATCACAGAGTGCAAGTGTTCGACGAAAGCTATTCATATCTCTTTGAGTTCAGCGGGGATAATGATGATTTGAAATTGAAGTATCCTACTGGGATTACCACAGATCATCAGGGTCACGTTATTGTAGCAGATCAATGCAACAACAGGATACAGGTATACAAAGCTGACGGAAAGAACAAAGTTGTCATCTCAAAACCACTTAATAAGTCACAAAGTCCAAGCTATCCTAAAGGTCTCGCCGTCACTCTGGATGGTTTTGTAGTGGTTGCGGATAGTGACAATGATGAAGTAGTTTTATTGTGAGAGCATATATCAAGATTTATGATATATAGTCTATTCCAATCTCAGTATAGGCTGGCTGCATGCGTTTTAATATATACAAAATGGTAAAAGCCGGGACACTTGTTCTGAAGACGTATATATATATAGTCTCTCCTGGTCTTTATATTGTGGACGAGATATACATATATATTCCATAGTCTTAAGGAAGCACTTATTTTTCCTCAGCTATATGTTGAATTTAAGAAAATCAATGTAGGATATAGCCATGTATAAATATACTAAGAAATACAAACTGTCACTGTATAAAGCCGTTATTATGTAACAGCCCAGCATGACGTAGTATTCATTCTATCTTAGATGTGATGCAATCATCTTGCAAGGGTAATAGTCCTATATATAATAACCTGCATGGTGAAATGAAAAAAATTCAGGTTTTTCTCGCTTCCCAGAAATATTGTGCATCATGACATAAGGACCGATTCTTTTCCTGAAACTTCGAACCCAACGGTGATTCATTTGTATGCATGGAGCTTGCATGTATTTTGAAAGGTTATATATTTTATGCAGTTCCAACATAAGAACAGCAAAAATGCGTTGAATAGGAGACAAAAGCAAATTAAAGTATCATGTAGATTATAGCATCATTAACAAACAAAGAAAAAGAAACTTGCATACAGCACACACAAAGGACGAAATAGACCCAAACTGTTCCGCCTATTCAAAAGAAATGATTTATCACAAATTGTCCCAATTTGAGAAGACTGCATGTAACCCCTCCGCGGCCTAGTTCCAGGATACCTTGGGGATTAGGTTGCGCAACCCGTCTCGTACACCGGCTATGGCTATATGAATTGCGGGCACACTGCATGCATGTAGCACATTCAGAACGATAACAGCTGAAATATAACTGCATGCATGCAGCGTCACTGGGACAAATGAAAGAGAACTCAAATCGTGGGAAGATTCCACAACAGCCCAAAGTATAAGGAAATGTTCTATCTGTGGAATGCGGAACAAGAACTGAAAGAACTTTCGAGTATTTATTTTCATGCTGATTTTCGATTCCCAACTTTAAAAAAATAATCAGATTTACAGAATTTGCATGCATATTTAAACCGAATATATATGGTTCGCTGGATAATGTCAGTATAACCAAGATAACCAAATTTAGAACATGTTTTAACCGATATCAGCCAAATTTCACCCTATTTGATAGTGAAGGATATGCATGGAGTTGGTTCAACGGTCTCTAGAAATTCAGTGAAGTCACAAAGATATACATTAAAATTCGTAGAAATATATCAGCGCTGTCGACTTACAGCAGCGGTCTGCGGTGAAGCCTCTTCCAATAAATAACTCAATAACACAAAAATCCAAGACGTCATTTCTGTCTGTTTTTGTTTGGGTTTCCACTTATACTAATGTATCGTTCCCTCAAAAAAAAATGAAGTTAGACCGACTTTTGCCGACAGTATTAAGACGAAATACCATTAAATATTTGCGGAACTAAACCACAAACAAGCTGCATGGGTTTGTTTTTATTAGAGTAAAATACACGGCGTATTCCTCTGATTCGATTCGACTGGAAATGATGATAGGATGAAGTGGATGATATCATAACTTATTTTAAAGCGTGATATTCTTACACATATACATCGATATTCTTATACATACAAAGTCGGCCTTGAGAGGAAATGTTAGGTTAAGCTTTTAAAACCTGCTATGTAGTTTAGCAAACTTTCAATTCAAAAATTCGTTTTCGTTATCTTATTTCTATATCGACGGGTGTGTAGATTACACTACTTGTTTGGTTAATTTGAACATCGATATATAGTTTAAAAATGTTTACTGTCAACACTTTGAAGAAACTGATGGCCGTGATTCGTGTGTAAATTGTTTTTCACGACAACGTCAACGATGATAAATATATAGCAACCGGTCATAGGTATGTTACGTATATATGAATTGAATTGAAGGTGCTTGAGAAACAACTTCGCATCATCATCAAATGCGGTATAACAACTGCTTAAAATATGCAAACTCGACTTCTCGACGTTTCGATGTGACGGCCTTCGTCAAAACAGGTAGTAATAGTTGTCTATTACTCTTGTCATACTACATTTGCTGCGAAGATGCTTCTTTTAGTTCCTTCTTATGAGAAGCAAACACAGACTCGAAGTAAAGTGATCAGATGAGACCGCAAACTGAACGTGATCACTTATCAATTACGACTGAAACTCATCAGTCATGTCTGCATGTCTTTTTTAAATTCGTGTTTCTGCGCCGAACACATTAACAACACGCGCGAGAATTGAAATAACGAGACATCACCATCTTCCTCATTTCCTTGTAGTATATGTGTGTGCCATGTATAGCTCGGTCCAATAGCAAGCGAAATGAGGTATCTGAACAGCGTTCAGGCAGTATTCTGTCCTGAGAATACGTCTCAACAAAATCACATTAAAAAAATTCAACTAATATGAGTTTCAAAGCGATAAAAAATAGGACGTTTTCGTTAGGTCAATGAACAGGTCAAGTTGTTGGCAGCAGACTGTTTTCTTATCAGTGCATGTGGCCTAGCTATAGGATGAAGAAATAATAAATTAATCAACAGAAAGCGATCAGCACCAATCTGTCAAGTAATTATAAATTAAAATGCCTTAAAAGGAGGTAAATCAATGTATTTTAATTGTCAAAAAACTATATAGTTATTTCTGTAACACTTGCCTATCAACCTACGATGTCCGTGGACGGTTCACGACCATGTGATAAACACATTCGTTCGTACATACGGCGAACACATAATTTATATGCTTGACAGTGTATTTTTCACTGACAACTTGATTCCATAGAAATACTACAATGCATGGTAATACAATATAACATTATCGTCCAGTAATTGAACAAGGCCTGGCAAGGGGCCGTGAAGATATAATTATGTTGGTGTAGAAAAGTCGCTTGAGTACCCATATGCTATTTCTATCATATAGTTTATTGTGAATAAAGGATTTGTCGGATGCAGTTTTGAAATGGCTGATTTTTTCAATCTTGAGAATTTTTTTACTGGGAATTATGAATATTCTGGCTCTGTTTACATCGAAACGAGGGCGATGCTTTTACCTAACTAGGCCTGCCTATTTCGCCCACGCACTATAGTATGGGCATATCAAAACAACCAACACAGGCGACACTTATACACTCTTCGTCAAGATAAATAAACAACACACAATATGCTCGCAAAAGACCTTTAGTGGAGGAAGGTCTTGGTCAAAAATTTCACTCGTTTGCCTCTGAAATATACTGGTAAGATCATCACATTTTTATATTATCTTTTTATCTTTGTGTATAGCGAGAAAAATTGAACTTACGGGCCATTTTTGCCCTGCGGCTGCCCTAAATGATAGTGTGCACGATTATTCCTAACTTTTATACTGACTACGCTACCGTCCCTTGTTCTCAAACAAAAATTAGGAATCTGTTTGGCCTAGTAATTCTAATATCAAACGTTCGTTGAAGATGGTTGAAGGAATCAACTTAAATATATTAGTAAATATATTATTCTATATTATTAGGGCTGCGAGACCTCTTAGAGTGGTCTAAAAGGAAATACAATGATGATACTAGTTTGGTCTTCCTAAAATTGTCTCTGCACCGCATGTGGTTCAATGAGAAATTTCATTTTTTGTATAACACTTCTTTTTACCGGGTTACTTGCACTTATACAAGCTTTAATGAAAAAAGTAAAAATTGAATAACCCGAATAACATCGCGGGCGACAATTTCATTTTATTTCATTTTCTGCTTAAGTCGGTTACGTGATAGAGTACATCACAGCGATAAGTGCTTCACCATATCTTTTTCAACCAGGCCATAGGCTCCGGGCGAATACAAACGAAATATCAAAGCAGATAAATGGTATATTCTATAAATTGACCGATTTTGATATTGTGAATTTCATATAATCATTGGTTATATCACTAAGATTGATTTGTGCCTTTCAAATATATCTTGCTTTCGGGCGTTCTATATATATTTAACTTTCCAAAAGCCCAGCATAATCATAAGAAATAAACCCTTTATATAGGCGAGGTTGATAAAAGTGATTCGAATAAAGTATTTTTGTTTCTGAATACTAATTAATCTATGCAACACACTCTTCATACTCTTGTGATCCGATTTGACTTACGCAAAGGCTTTCTTTGTGGATGACCTTAAAAAAGTTGCTGTTGCCCGGTCTCTGTTAGGATCAGAATAAGGAATGACGTCAGTCACAACTAACGCCCTTAATTTTTTAATTGATGTAGTCGACAAGCATCATAATCAGTTATGAAGTGCTTTCCGTCAAATTAAGATGGTTCACGTCGTTAATGAGTCCATAGTTATTGCCCGACATGACCGTAAGGACTAGATTTTGTATAAGATTTTGTATCTCAGGGCTGTCTTTCGCTGCATGTCTCGTTTTTCGTTCGTACCTATACGCACGTAAAAGTTTAAAATAATTTAAATGATACTTATGAAATCAACGATTGAATAGATGCAGCATATATAAGATTGGATTCTGTTGATGATTTGGTGTGTTTTTTTTCCTGTCATTAAATTAATTATACTACAACTTAACAGGCTTTAAGCTTTTACGTGCGTGTGGAAATCCAACGCGACTGTGGAAATCCGCTCGAAATGGTCACGACATCGATACACCAGGCGACCACTAAAGCTTTCTGCTTAGCAAAATGCTAATCGTGGCAGCGTGCTAAAACTTATTTCAGAGTTTTTTTTGTTACTTGTGAGCTGTCAGCACCAATATAATTGAAAATGTTAGTGAATATGCGGTTACGAGCAATTAAAGTTTCCGCTGTATGTGCGCTGAAACTGAAGGCGGTTTAAGGCTGAAACCCGATTTCGTACACCGCCAGCTGTGCCAGAAATACATAAAAACAATAGATAATGAGGCATTTCAGCAAATTATTTTTGGTTTTTAATATATGGCATTCCGGCAGTTGTAAAATACAGCATGCTCTCTTTCTCCCATACCATTTTTGTTTATCGTTCACTGCCGTTTGTTCCTTAATTTTTCCTTGAACTTTCTTTAAGTCGAGAAATTCATGCATGGTTCCGATCCTTCAAATGAGAAAGATTCTAGAATACTCTTCTTTCTTTCTCCTTTCTGTCTTTCAATTGTAGATAAGGAGCAAAGGAAAATACTTGAAAAGTTGGCAATAGCTAGCTTTATTAATTCACTCATGTCGATCACATTGTTGTAAATTTGAAACGAAATTAAATTTTTTATTACCTGGTGAACCGCAGAACTCCAGCATGTGGGCAAGATCTTCTCAACTTTGCTTGAACTTTTACTGTTTGGAGCATTCATAACTAACCGCATACAGTATGTAAGCCCTGACTCCTTTTTTTCGGTACCGTGGATCGTTAAATTGTTGCAGTTTCTATTGAATAATGTGTTTTTAAGAAAAACCATGCCCATACTTGAGGTAATTCTGTGAATCGTATGTTCTCTTCCTCTGTGTAAAAGAACTTTCTTTCTCACGCCCTTGAATTCTTTTAACCGTCCACAAATGAACATTAAGAAAACGATCATTCGCCAGTAAACTATTTTAACTATGTTCCTTGGTGGTAGAATTGTGATTCTTGGGTGGTATAATTTGTCCTTAAACACAGGTGATATCTCTTTAAATTATCTACCATGTCGAGAAAGGTCAGCTCGGAAGTGACGTCATCTTTTAATTTTGAGTATAATTAGAACGTTTATATGTTTTAAAACTTTATCTTAACCCACACATTTTGTCAATCAATGCGCAAAGAATAAATACAGAAATGGGAAACACAGTGAAGGTCTTCATTGTGTAGCGTAATGTGCTCACGACGGCAAGTTTGATTGGGGACTGTATGAAGTATAGCTGTATAAGGTATAAAACAGTATTTACCCAGGGTATAATTGTTGCAATTTGCAATGAGCCAATGACGCGCGACCAGTTACAGTCCCTGTCTCTATTCTACGTGCTCAGTGCTAAAATGTTTTGTCATACATGAAGTATTTCACTTATTGTGTACGATGTGAACTGAGAAATCAAAATTTCATTTACAAATATAATGATCCACTACTACGCTAGCCAGGTGAAATTAATAGAAAGGACGACACAACAGCCTCTAAACATTCTGTTTAGGTCCGAATATTGGGGAATAACGTGATATAATGACAGCGTTTTGAAGATACTCGATTACTGATCGCTTGAAATGGCGTCGGGAACACCACCAGTATATCGAACACGAAGCATATGGGATTCACTATCCGCTGAAGAATTCGAGCAGCTGCAAGCATACACAAAATGTAAGCCAGTTTCATCTTGTCTCGTGTCTATTTATAATTGTGCTGTTCCGAGGTCGACACTATATCGTCACAATGCGGTGTATATTTGGTTCACATATATATTAACTTTTGCTCGGGCTTTTATAAATCATCGTTGAGTCAAAAAGTCAAAATAATAGTGCAAGCATATACGTTATTTAAATACAGATTCGTAGGGAGCGTCGGTTATATTTTTGTGTTTGAATCTTTTATTTTACTTGTTATTAAATGCGCGGTGTGCGAGGAATGAAGAACAGGTTTTCAGATGTATTTCATTCATGTTATTTAACCCACTATTATTATAGGAACGGGATCGATATACGATATATGTCCTGAGATATATTGTTTACATCGCGGTAGACGGCAATGACATATTTTAGGCTATCCCACGTATTTGATAAAAAACAATTATGTCGAAAGGATGGAGATATCAATGTACAACACAATACATCGTCGTGTTGGGTTAAAATGATATCGTAATATGAATTTTTGTGATATTTTTTCGATAATTTATGCATGTGAAAAGGACCCTCTTTAGGACATGAATTAGTTATTACTTCGCTGAGCATTTTCTCACTATAAACGCCCAGTATTGTCAGCTGCCTTGCGGCTTCTCACAATATGTCTGCCCTAACATTTCACGTCGTTTCCTATTTTTTCCCTAACGCACGTGAATTGATACTTCCCGTTGAATATACCGAAAGATTTTCAGAAAAGGCATAAAAACTCGCCGTTGTTTCAAATTAAAATGCAAAGCTATCAAAACAATACGAATTACCGTAAAATCGTTGCCCCGCTCCCACAAGACGTGGGCATATATAAACTATTCTGCGTGTAATATTTTTCTCGAAATTTCTGTATAAAATCAATCAGTGAAAGTGTTTGACTGTGTCGCAAACACCCTAAAAAATTCGGGTATTACAAGTAACTGAGCAAGAGTTCAAGAGTCGTTTGGCGTGTACACATGATTATTCACGCGTATTACAGCCTGTTGCTGGGCAAACTAGAATATATATTGAATATTTGAAATAATTCAATACTCTCTGCCGCAACTTGTCGCACAATTTTAAGCACTGGTGTAAAATGTCCGAAATTGTGTATGCAATACACACAACATCATTGACACATATTGCGAAATGGATATTCTACTATAGGACCGGCTTTTGGATTTAGTTTGAAAATTTGCGTGTAACTAGAAACAGCGTAGATTAATCCGCAACGAAGTTGATAATGCTTGGAATTTTTGCACAAGGCCTACAATATATAGATTAAAAAGTGTCAATGAAATTCTACTCCAATAAATCACAATATTCAATACTTAAAAGTTATTTTTATCCAAGAAACAATTTGAAGTAATGTAAATCAAGGGTTTAACTGTATGTAACAGTAATACAAGATGCTGTAGTATTGTTGTCTGCAGAGTAAAATTGTATGAAAGTTTTAACATTTCTTAGATCTTTCATGACATTGTGCCAAACTGTAGGTGAACAAACATATTGCTGGCAGTCAAGTTTGAATTAGTCAGGCATACTGTATAAAGGTCTAACAATATTTATACTAAATTGAAAGTAGGATGCATTTTCCAGGTAAAAAGGTTATGATGCCTTTGCAGGTTATACAATGCACTGGCTGACTGGATAAATACTGAGACATTTGTTCTAAGTTACACAGGTTATTTTGTAGTATTTTTCTTTTTAGTGATAAATAATGAATGGCCAAATTTTTACTTTAATTGCACACACAACATACAGATGGCAGGTGATTTCTTAAGATATAAAAGCAGCTAGAACAAAACAAAGTACTATACAAAACAGCAATAGTTGTAGTCATTACTGAAACAAATATGATATTATGTTTGATGTTTTATCACTCAACAAATCAGTCATAATGTAGATCCTGAGAATGTTGGCCTTTACTTTAGGTCTGCAGATGCTTTTAATTTGATCAGATAGGACATAGTTTTTTGTAATTTGGAGGTTTATCTCAAAGCTGTGAGCTTTAGATTTTTACAAATGTATGTAACACTACTAATGTTTTTATACCATGATCAGAATGTTGTCAATGATTTTGTAAAATAACAATTGTATGTGTGTAGGTGTGATGGAATATCTAGACCAAAACCTTACTATTTTAGGTCATATGTCATTTTCTTTCATGCCAAATTGTTTTACTCCTCAGTGGAAATGCATTACCTATATTAAAGGGTAAATTGTAGTGCCCTACCACAAGTAAATATTTTACGCATTAAACAGCTTGGATGCATTGAAAGATATTGTCTTATGTATATTTAATATAAACATAGTCTTAAAGTATTTTTTTAGGTTTCTTAAAAGTTTGATCTACTGCTCTTAAAAACCACAAGATTTCTATATATCCATTAGGTGTCCACAAATTTACATTGAAATAAGTGTCTTGTCTTATCCAACAATGAATTAATAATTTGTCTATGTCGCCTTTAAAATTGTTTTGTGGCTCTATTGCAATTGTATCCATTCTATTGGAATTGTATCCATTCTATTGGTTATTCAAGAGCGGAAATGTAATTCTGACCCATAACATCACACAATTAAATTATTAATGTGAAACATATTCCCCTCCTATGCTATTACTGCAAGCCATTGATGATCTTTGCTGTTTGTGATCCTTTATATTTTTTCTTTTACTCTTCTTTAATTATGCAGCAGTATAATCTAGCTTGGTCAGAGTTTTGCTTCACCTGTAGGATGGCAATTTCTTCTTGGCAAGATATTCCCAGTAATTAGTACAGTATGTCATATTCTAAATGTTCTGTGAATTCACCAACCTGCATGTAGTAGTAACTATCTTTTTATTGATTTTGCCCCAGATAAAAAGAGATAAGTTAGATAGCAAACTCTTCTTTTCTGTAGTCGTTTTTTGTACTACACAGTGTCATGAGCAATATTTGTGATGAACATCGCATTTTTTTTAACCGAAGGACCTGCGAACTGAATTAAAACTATATAAACCAGGCAAGGTCCAAGAACCTATGCACAGTACTAAGAATTTTCCCGCACAAAGCCTTTCTCTTCTGTAAGCCTTTCAATATAGAAAAGTATACAGAAAAAAAAGGAGGCAGATATAGATCAGCGATGTGATTGTTATAAGTTGTTAGCTAGTCAAAGGCAAAGCGACTGAGGACAAGGTAGAGGCTGACGAATTAATACTCTTTGTTTCTTATGTATTCAATTTTTGTTTCTTATTAAACACCGGTAGGCAGTACGGTATATCACACATGTTATGACCGGTTTCGTAACATCGTCTGTCTGAAGATCTAGACATTATTGCAAATACACATAAATTATGCCGAAATTCTTTGGCTCAGCATACTAAAATGTGCCTAATATGTTTAGGGTTACAGCACACTCCTTGTGCTCTATCGAAACCAACCAAACTACTTGCAGTATTATTAGTGTTTTGGATTTTTGTTTATTTAAATAACGGAAACATACAAACCGGACAAAGCAAAAAAAACAAAGATAGGGTCGTAGGGATGACAGTTTGTCTGTGTCTGCACTGAAGACTGAAGAGTAAAATAATGATTTGAGGCCTGGTTGCTTGTATTATAATATCCATGCATTTTCTCTCCGCTCGCTTCGACGGCTCAACCTTAATTGCTTCGACCCTTATGCTGAGCAGGAGTGAGCAAATGATACGAAATTGCGTGTATTTGCTACGAAGCACAAAGCCAACACGTACAGTGAACAATAAACTCACTCCAATTCACTGTGTCTCGATTTCGAGATGACCCCCACTGGAATTATGACATCATATAAAACCCAAGTATAGTATACATCACGTTTGATGCTAAGTTGTTTGAAGACGCTGCCATGCTGCTCCCTGGTTATATTGTATTTTTTGTATGGTAACATGCTTTCTATCATCGATCATTTCGACTTTTAAAATGTAGTCAGTCATTTAAAAACTACATTTTCAGTTGAACGCTGATAGAATTTTCTGTGTTGGAATTGTAATAGTATATATTCAGCCAATAATAATAATTAGTATTAGAACAGTCATTGCAAGTATGCTCAGGCAGCTCCGGTTTTCTACATCCTACTCCTCATGTCTCAAATCCAAACAAATTATAGATTGCTTCAAATTTTCCCTATGCTGATGCCTGCGGTATTAGTATACCTGACTTCAAAATCCCAGATTGGGATAGGTTAACTTTGGCAGCCACGTCATTACTTACTATATATATCTTACTAGCGCTTCAATATTTGGTTTTTAGATTCTAAAAAACGACTAAAGGATGTGCTTAAGGAGTTTCGTGATGGCGAGTTCTCGCAGTATAAACCAGAAGAGGTAATTTTATGAGCCCAGATACCTCCAGCTGACGTTTCACAACTTCCTAACTGTCACGAAACTGAAACTTGCTCTCGTAACTCTCCTTTGTAGTTATTTTTAACATGAATTGTTTATACCACTTTTGCAGAAATGTTTTTATTGTCATGTACAAGTGTATATAATAATACAATTTTTTTTTAAATTTGTCTTTTAACAGCCAATGAACTACGATGGTTTTAAACTGTTTATTAACACGTATCTTGGCAATGAAATTAGCGATGAATTATGTCAACATCTCTTCTCGACATTTTGTAAACAAGTACCAATAAACAATGCGACCATAACAAGTTTGCAGCAAGCAGAGGCTATGATTTCTGCTGATAAACCAGGTAAATACAATACAATACAATACAATAAATTTAGAAACTTATAATTGGTTTTAAATATACCTCGAATGTTGGGTGGCCTTGCGACATGTATAGTTAGGTTCTGAAATAATGCATCTCTGATTTCAGTATCCCGAGAATAAAGATTTCAGCATGTTGATCAAAAAAGTTATTCTTTGTGCTACATACAGTAACATTCACCTCAGTTACAGTACTATATGTCGGGTTTAACCTTTTGACAAATATTTGTATTTCCAAAGCAAAGTTGTCTGTTGAGTTAACATTTTTCTCCTCGATAGATTCTTTTGACATAACAAACATTTTTAATTTGTTTTTGAAATCGGCATGCCGATATTTCTATTGTGGCGAATAATGCGCGGCGGTTTTAACAGAGCCGGGCTGTGGGAGTTAATTGTTTACAGAACCGGGCTGCAGTCTTCTGACCACGCAGAGCCCGCTGGGAGCGAGACTCTTATACTATACTAGCTGTGGCTTCAATAATCACGTGAAAGGAAGCTGGTATTAAATCGCCAAAGGTTAGATACAGACTGTCGCAGAGTTGCATGATCTTAATGAAATTATCTTCTGGAATGAGTAAATTAGCCTATATATATATATAGCATGCAGCTAGCTGCATGGCGAGGCTATAGCCCGGTTCGTATATCTGTTTTGTTAACGGTTGAATTCACCGCGATATTCCACGCGATATCAGGCCCTAGCGGTAAAATAGCCGCGACTTCTTTTAATTCCGGTCTTTCAGACTGACACGTCCTCGACTGTCTGAGAGGGATTGTCACATATATCGGATTGTGTAAGTTGCGGTTCGTGAAACATTGCATGAGATTTCCGACAATGATGCACCTATCCTGCGAAGTAGATGAAGATAAATTACATGCAAAAGGGATTCTCTTGTTGATCGATGTGAATAAACAAAGTTTTCTATTTCCTTCACGTATGTAAAATATCAAATAGAATATAGTGTACCCATGCAGTCACATTAGTATGGTGAATGGACTATATTTATATAACTTGACAAAAGGATAAGTTAATACTAATTAGGATAAGATACTCATTTCCGTTTGCATATTTTAGCATCAGTATACCCTATATTTTCCTTATAGAAAAATACACTAGCTCAGCAAGCCTTTATACTCTTTTGAATAGTTTAATTGCTCGATACATCGAGACATACACTGCATGCATGCATGTCTGGTTTTATAAAAACTCGAAATCGCTCATCAGTTTGGGTGTGTATGTTTTTGGATGAACTAATATTAAATAAAATTCAATTTAGCTGAAAGTGGTATACACACTGGTATTACATCTGCTGCGATAGTGGCCACAATTCCTATAACCTCACGAGATACAGCTGTTATTACGCATTCATCGTCACATACTCATTTAACTGGTTCACCATGCAATGAAGCTGATCGTTTACCTCGCTCTTCATCTGATGGTATAAATTGTGCATCACGTATTTTACCTGCCCGAAGATCAATTATATCTCTAAACGGTAAACTAATTCAATGTAGGTTAAACTTTAAATTTTATTAATTTAAATAGAATCACATGCAGTATAAATAAATCCGGATTAAAGAAAGCTATGTTTAACCAACCTAAATTTTGGCTAAAACAGAAGTTAAAAATAGCTAAATGTTTTTAACTGAATTTTTCCTCAACTACCTCATTTTTGGACTCATTAGACAGTCCGTTGAAGACATTGCACGCCTTAATAAATTCAGTATTAAACAATGTAATGTTATCTACACCGTTTTAAGTTATACAAATACCCATTTAATCCGTACGTAACACTTTAGAATATTCCTTTACCAACATGTATGCATGTACCTAATATAATATATTTACATTCACCATTATAATTACAAGCACATACTATGATGTGACTAACGTGCAGCTGACAATTATTATACACAAACATGAGCCGGGAGTCGTGAGCCGGTCGGCTCATGATGAGAATAATACTGTATAATGAGAAGTATTGTTTTATTTTTAAAATACTTTCAAACGACAGCTTTTTTCGGCTCTTTTAACCTGTTTTTAAAAATCCTAATAATACTCCTATTTTCAAATTATAAACATTACGAATATTTTCAATTACAAGCATAAAAAAATGGAACGTTTTTGGTTGCAGTGGACTAATAAAGTTATTTTGAAAATGTCGTGTTATATATCCGATTGTTTCCATACAAAGCTGCTTTGTTGGGTCAAGTGCTGTCAAGAATATGTTAAAAGCCTTCTTTTCCTATTATTGATGAATAATTTCAAATGGCGCAGCTGGGTGAAAAAAGTTCTTCTATTTTATAAACATTTTTGACTGGGTCACTTTTTGGGTGAAAAACATGCAGGCTCAATGTCATACCATTGCATACCTTGTTGTAGTTTTAAATTTACCCTTATGCAGTCAGTGTATAAGATTTCTAGAATATCAGAGTACGGTTTAGCTTCTTCTTAAACTTAATTTGTGCTGGAAAAAGCGCCTACTCTGACAAATACTTCTACAAATAATTCTACTGCCTTTAAGGTGAGAACCAGTAAGAACTATTGTAACAAGAGGATAATACAATATTTCAGGTCCGGCAAAAGGTTCATCCGCTGAAAATACACCCTCAAGTTCTCGAAATAATTCCACAAAGAAGAAGCAATCGGTTACAGACAATCTTGCGATATTCAGCACGAAGAATGCTTTAGAGACTGTTGCCATGGTGTCAATACGTGAGATTGCGTGTTATTTGTCGTTGCTTGAAGGAGGAGAGGTCGAGGATAAACTTGAGTGTAAGTACAGTATAGTGTATGTACCCTTTACATATTATGTGTTTTTCGTATTTATGCTTTATGCTTTTATTTGTTAATTTTCTTCTCAGTTGTTTTCCGAGTGTATGATGCGGATGGTAATGAATATCTAGATCAGCAGGTACTCGCCGATATGACAAGAGTTTTGAAATGCTTTCTGTTAACTTGTTTGGCGGTGAATCCAGCGAATCGGTGAATTCCACAATAATTGTATGTGTCTCTGTTTCACTTTATAGGAGTTAGAGTCTATCATACAACAAATGATGAGTGTTGCAAAATATTTAGGATGGGATGTCACAGAGTTAAAGCCAGTAAGTATTTCCAGTCTTTTTAAACATGTACATGCTCCTACATTATAGCATCAGTGTGCTGTGCTGTATGCTAGCACTGTCCTTTTTATTGTTCAATAACATATGCTAGTTCTCCTTAATACAGCAGTTTTTTTGCTGCATATTTCTGTCGTGAACTGCTCTGGGCGTTGTTAAAGTGTATATTATTGACTACTGGCAGTCTTTTTTAATACAAAAGTTTGGTTTTTTAAGCATTGTCTTGTTTTAAGCATTTGCCATTTTTAACAGATCTTACAGGACATGTTGTTAGAACTGGACTGTGATTCAGATGGTCGTATATCACTCGATGAGTGGATCAAAGGCGGTCTTACCACTATCCCATTACTCGTTCTATTGGGATTAGATCCAGTAAGTAGAAAACGTGTGCTAATGGTCTCTTGCACATGTATATTATTTTAAATATTAGTCGACGGTTTCTGGCTAACCGGCTAACCTTAATACTTTTTAGAAAATTCGAGATGATGGTCAGCACCAGGTTTGTAAATACTTTCTAGTTCATATATGCAGTTATTCCTCTATGATGTGTCCTTTCAAGCAGAATCCTTTATAAAATAATCTTCATTAATTCCTCAATCATTTTATATCTTACTGCCAAACTACATATAAAATTGTAATCCCCTGAAGTTGTACATTACAACGCAGTTTATAATCTGCATATTTGTGTTTTGTAGTGGAGACAGAAACATTTTAATAAACTTGCACATTGCAACATGTGCCACTGTGCTTTGACTGGGCGCGGTTTCCGGGGGAGACAGGGGCTACAATGTATATGTAAGTACTGCCTAAAATTTTTCAACGAAATACTTTAGAGTACACTGTGAAAAAACATCTTAAATGACGTTGATACTTTTCGTTGAACTGTTTCACTTGAAAATGCAGTTAAGTACAAATATTACGTTGTATCTATCTGATATAGAGAAATACAGTTTCAACTATTTACCAACTAAAGAATACGTAACTGTGTTTTTTTTAGTCTGTAAATTCACTGTGCATGAAAGATGTGTAAACAGAGTTCCTGCATCGTGCATCAACACTTACGTGAAAACCAAGAGAAATGCGAAATTGGTATGGTATCTAATAATCTTGCATGTTCAACCACTGAACCACCCAGTATTGTTACCAGCTGCTACAAACAGTTGCATGAACAAAACATCTTTTTTTATCTTTTACTTCATTCACTTTTTTAGACGATGGATCATCATTGGGTCGAGGGCAACTGTTCTGGGAAATGTCGGAAATGTGGTAAAACGATCAAAAGTACTCATTCATTGTCAGGATTACATTGTGCTTGGTGTCATATTACGGTAAATAGCGCGTTTTTGTCTTAGTATATTACCTTAATTGGAGTAATTTACATTTCTTCTTTATTCGTCGGTAAAGTTGAATTTACAATATTTCATGCATTATGCGAATGATGTTTGAAAGCATCTAGTAATTTTAGCATGCTGATAATAAATAACGTAATAATGCCAGGAGTCGATATTTCATGTTGTTCAAGTAAAAAATTAAATTTATTATTAGATCCACAATAAATGTGTTTCTCAAACTCGGTTGGAATGTGATCTTGGTGAACATCGTATTCATATTTTGCCGCCAACAAGCATTCATCCAGCTGGAATGGTGAGTAAATAACCCAACTAGTTGACCAGCAACTACGAATACGGCGAAAATGATGTCAGTCATGCATTTTGTGAACATGAATGCAATAACCGCTGTATTGCTAGTGAATGGAGATCATATTCAGTGGAACCTGAGAATCTTGCTACAATAACTACCCGTGCATGCGTGGATTATCACTTGTAGCTTGTAGCTTATATCTTGTGCTTCATTTTTTAGAATAAGTGCATAGAAAACGACAAAGATCGATCAACCAGCAACACAGTTTTAAACTTAGATGGAATGCCAATACAGGTATTTTATTATTAGGCCTTAAAAGTATATAAATCCCACTATATAAATCATGTTTAATTTACCTTTATCCACACTTGGCATAATTATTTATGCAAGAATATTACGTTCGCTCTCGGCAGCTCCCCCCGTAGTTGCCAGAGCAGTGCACCGGCATCGCACAGGACAGGTTCGACTCCTGCCGGGGGGGCCGATAAAAATGTTTCTCGATTACTCCCGGTTAGGTATTACAAGTAGCTATATAAATTCCGTTGATTTTCAATCAACCATGTATCTTAAACACTGCATGGCTGGCATTACCTTTATACCACTCTGAGAATCCACAAACATCGAATTTCAGAATATTTCTGTGTCATGAACATTTATCGTCACACTTCAGTTTTCTTTACTCTTCACTTTTTATCATAGGTAGTTTTTAACGTGGGGAACATTTCTTTTCTTAGGTAACCCCCCTTCCAAACACACATCCTCTGGCTGTGTTTATAAACCCAAAAAGTGGCGGTCGCCAAGGAACAAGGTATAGTTTTAGTGTTCAGTCATATTAACGTCGGTTGCTTGGCGAAACCGTGACTGGTGCGAGTCTCATTGTTCATCGGTTTATTATGTTGTATGTATACCTAATTCCATTTTTCTCTGCACCAGTATTAAAACTGGACCATGTAATCCCTCAAGAAACAATGCCATAGTAATAAATATATGACATGACATGGTTTCATAATATAAATATTTTTCTCGGATGTAGATTGCTGTGGAAATTTCAATATCTTTTAAATCCAAGACAAGTTTTCAATCTTGCTGATGGTGGCCCTACGCCGGGGTAAGTTTCAGCTACTTACAGATCTACCGAAATAGTGCAAGTGATGAAAAATACCTGAAGGTCTTGTATAATTCCAGGTTAAAATTCTTCTCAAGTGTTCCTAATTTCCATATTTTGTGTTGTGGCGGAGACGGCACTGCTGGTTGGGTTCTAGCCTCGTTGGGTGAGTGCCTCGGAATGAGATAGTTGAGGTCTTCTCGTGTTTGTTTTCATGTGGTTCTTTGTGTGTCTCATATTAATTAATTTACTTCTAATTAATTAATTAACGTCTATGCAACAACAGACCGTGAATGAAAAGAACTTAATCGCTTTGCAAGGATAGATTGACTTACGCTATACTTGTTGTACACATTGTTTTGGATTTCTAATAAACTATTCTCTCTACTTTATTTTGAAGATAAACTTGGCTTGTCACAGTTGCCTCCTGTCGCAATATTACCACTTGGTAAGTGTTGTTGTCAGATTTGGCACTTCTAGATTACTTGAGTTGCTTCTCGGAATTAAATAAAGAAAATCAAGGAGACAGACATGTCACCTTAGTACTTTTTCTCGTGTGAACTCTTTCGTGAAGTTCATGATTGCTATCAAGTTATCCATATCCCCGAATCTTATCAAGAGTGCTCTTATTTCGTGCAGTCTTTTATATGCCCGCCTTTTTAACCTTGACGTATTCTCAACGTTGATAAATTTCGACTAGGAACTGGAAATGATCTATCTCGTCATCTTCGGTGGGGCGGAGGTAAGAAAACCACAATGTAAAGTTTATGGAAAATACAGTCAATGCTTCCCGTTTCACCACAAACCCAGGCACTATAAAACGGGAGAGAACAGCACACAACGTCAGGTTGTAGCACTTGCATGATGTATAAAATGTGTATAAAAATGTTCACTGTTTGAAGGTCTAATTCAGTTGTATAATGTCCATGTACCAATTATTGTAAATAACATGATATATTTAGGTTATGAAGGAGAGAGAATTTCAAAAGTTTTAAGTTCAGTGGAAAATAGCACAGTGGTCACCTTGGACAGGTATATAAGTACGGCAATTTGTCGAGGGGAATATGGATATTTAGTATGTACACTTGCATGCATGCATGTGGTGGGTAGATATAGCGAGATAAGCATATAGCTCGGGCTCATATGTAGTCTATAACGCCAAGAATTTCTTTACATTGTAGTTCGTTTTGTATATTTACAGGTGGGAAATAACAGTCGAACATTTAGATAAATCAGATGTAGCAGACCGGATCCCGTTGAACATCATCAACAACTACTGCTCGATCGGGGTGGTGAGTGCTCTTATTTGGTAAAACCGAGGCTGCCTTGTCTTGGCAGCAAATGCCATGCAGCAATACTAAAAGTAATGTCAATAGGGAGAAGGTTTCTCTTGCTAAGTCACCTTACTACATGAAGAGATGGAACAAAAGATACACTGTATTCCTCCTACCTTAATAGTGCACGAAAAAGCATCCAACAAAAATTTCTAGAAATAGCTACGTATAGTCACTACTCTCAGTTATCAAGTTACATATCTTGTCTGTATACAAATTTGTGTACAGCCAAGATGTTAATCCCTCTATATGTTATTATATCACATTGCTTTTGGTGATTTCATTGGTAAAACAGTGTGTAACTTTTGTCATTTTTTTTTGGATAAGGACGCTTCAGTTTCGTTGAAATTTCACCAACAACGTGAAGCACATCCTGAAAAATTCAAAAGCAGGTAAAATGTAGTACACTTTTGAAGTTAAAGTTTAATGTACCCAATTCTATTATGATTTTTGGCACTTTACTTGATGCAGGTGAATTGAAGTGTGTATAATTCCACTCGAAATTAAGACCCTTTGAACCTCTAGTACACAATTCTAATTTAATTTTATTAACCTTCGTACATTTTTGTTTATTGCTGGGTAGGTTCATGAACAAGTTTCGATATTTTGAATGCGGTACAACGGAGAATTTTTCAGCAACGTGTAAAAATCTTCATGAAAACCTTGAACTTATTGTGAGTACAAGTATTGTCTCGGACGTGCTCCGACTTAAGATTTTTTGAGTGACAGAAGAATGATGTAATTTTTGCTTATCAGTGTGATGGTCGAAAATTGGATCTGGCATCTGGGCCAAGTCTAGAAGGTATCGCAATTGTGAATATTCCAAGTTATGCTGGTGGAACAAATCCTTGGGGAGAAGTGGATAAGAAGAAAGGGAGAAAGAGAAATAAGAAGGCGAAATGTAATGGAAAGGATGATTCTGACTGGGCAGAACAAGGTGATAATTGAATATACCTCTGTTGTGGGATATAATGTTGCTTTATGATGACGAGGACAATTTTAAGGCAATCTTGTAATTTCACGTTGTTCAAGCTGAAATCGTGGTTTGAATACCTTCTTACCGCTTGTATACTGCAGTGTTCACCCATTGTTTACATGCAGTTGGTATAAATGAATACGAAAATGATCTTTTGTTATTTCAGATATTGGTGATGGTCTTATTGAAGTTGTTGGTTTTGAAAATGCTCTCTATGTGGGACAAATCATCGCTGGCGTGAGAGCCCATGCGCTAAGAATAGCTCAATGTTCGAACATTACAATAATGTAAGTCATCCATATTGGTCATCATCGTACGCATCGAAGGATATGAATAATTGCCTGTGAAATATTCGTCCCGTCCCTTATTCTTCTTTGTTCTATGTTCCTGTAGAACTAAGAAATTGTTTCCAATACAAATTGACGGCGAACCTTGGTTGCAGGCGCCAGCGACAGTGAGTACTCCCTATTTTTTATGTCTTTTTGTTGGCTGAATCTACAGGTACTAAGAATTCTACGGTTGGTATGTCAATTTAGTATGTCAACCAGTCGGAGAAATACCTTCCAACAATGTGACCACAGATCCCAATTTGCATTCCAATTGTCAAACGATCTGAAGTTTAGATTGTAGTATGTGCAATGTTGTTTAGACAACTGTGTTTACGAGATACTGAAGATGCAGCTAATTTATAATCATTATATTATATAAACAGTAATAAGCTGCTTAATAAGCTGCTTTATTGCGAAAGACTGAAAGGGACGGAAGTTTTGCCTTCAAACGGAAGAAAAACAGTTTTTCTTACTTTTTTACGGGTGCACTCATGCATTTAGAGGAATTGAAACAGTTCACATTTAGAATCTTCAAATGGTTCAGATGTAAAATTTTATATTCGAGTAAAAAACTATTTTAGCTTGTTTGTTTGTTGATTTTATAGATCGACTTGATCTGTAATATCGACTTACTTGCCGCACAAGCTAAAACGGCCTTAAAAAAACCGGTATCTGTAATTGAAATTTGCAACTATTTTGATCTCAGATAAAGATATCGCATTTTAACCAAGTGCCGATGCTACAAGGGCCACTACCGTCCAAGAAAGGTTTCTTTTCAAGACGAAAAGGAGAAGTGTTGCAAGATTTAGAAACGGAACTGTGAAGATGCACTTATTGCTACTACGTCCTGAGACATCAGTGTTTTTAATAACCTTTCAGCGCCTGTAGTGATGGTGTGTTTTGCCCGGGATGTATATATTATATATATATATAAATATATATATAATGTGGGATATGTAGACAGTTAGGAATAGGTATCTATATATGGGGGTGTACGTATACGTTTATTGAAGTATCAAATACTGAAAAAATGAAATTAGTTCGAATGTACAGAACAGGTGTACTAGCAGGCGTATAGGGTAAATGTTTTATTCTCTTTCTCATCAAAACTGTAGTATGAATGAGTATCTAAAAGTAGCGGAAAAATGAAGATTCCTGGATACTGTAGATCAGTATTGCATGGCAGGTTCACAACACTAGTATATATTTAATTGAAGAAATTTTAGTGTATTCTATTTTAGTATATTTAACAGCTATTTTAATATAGTAGCAGCGGAAAAACCTGTGATGTATTTGCGTGGTTCATTTATATTAAGAACAGTTGAAATCACAGCTGTTGACTCGAGTAATCACAGTGAAGTGAAGAACGTGAAGTGAACAGTCTACGCAAATATAAATTCACGGTTTTAACATTCAATTAACTATTTAACATTTGCATTTTTTTCTTGAAACCAAGAACACATAGTCAGACATCTTTAATTGCATGAGATCATGCATGCTTCTTACATTTGTTCAACATATAACTTAAATATATAATATCTGGCTATGGGAACAGGGTCTGTCCCACTTTCTAACATTATTTAACAAGAAAATTTCTCAAATGAAGCAAAATCGATGATGTTCCACGTGGGAGTTAAAGTGAAGCATCGGTGTAAAGATAGGACGATCTCCATACGATAAAAATAGAGTTACTCACTAACAGGCTATACCCTATACGGTGTAGAATATTTAACGTAAACGGTCAACAAGAGTTCATTGTTTTATTTAATTTTTTCCCATTGGCACATGCACATATTCAAAGTAATCTAGACTTATTCGAAAAAGAGCAAAAGGTCTGTTGCGAGTTACATGAAAACGAGGCGAGACATAAAATCATTCATTTCATTTCAAATTTTGACTGGAGAAAATTATTGTAACTGTAACAGGTCCAGAAAAAGTAGACACATAATTTTAAAATTTTTACAACGGAAAATCCGACCATAGGCTTGTTTTTACGTAACTCGCCACAGGCCTCCTTATCTTTTTCGTAATAACTCTATATATAGTGGGCCAAGATTGACTGATTACTGAATAAAAAAGCCAAACACAGTTATAGACCTTTGATTGCTTCGTTTGAAACAAAAGAAACAAATGGTAACATTATTTGTCTTATTCAGTAATCAAGCAATCTTGATGATGGTACATATTTTATAGATAATGCACTAAAATGTAAAATAGTTGTGTAAGGAAGCCATGTTTACAATGCTGTATTTGCTGTTATCGTGTGCTTGAAATGTGGCTATTTATTTGGCTGCTCCCTTTTACACAATAGACTGTTAAATCTCGTTTGCGTCAAGATATTTAGCGGATAATTATTTCACTCGTACATCTCAAAATGAGATTTCAGTAAGAAGTCATTGTCAACTGAGCTTCCCCACAGCCGCTGAGCGGCTTCTTAAAATGCCGGCATTACAAACACTAAATGTATGATGTATACAGTTTATTAATATATCACCTCGTGGGTTAACTCGTGTCACTTGTTGATTTTTGTGAAATTTGAGCGATATTGATTGGTAGTCATTGCCAACATCGAACACAGGGTAATTTCGCTGTGTTATAGCTATGGTTATAGTAGGGCCAAGACCGCCCGCAGCGTGGGTCCTGGGGCGGAGGTAAAAAGACCCTGGGTACGAGGTTGAATCATTGCTTGCATATTTTTAGTGTGATCTAAGTTACGGGAAGAATGCTTCCAGTTTCAGCCAACCACAATGCATAATGGTCTTCTAGACCAGAAAATTGGTAATAATTCCATTGTTCAGTAAATCCTAAATACACAAATTCAATCCTTGAGATTAGGTTTAGGATTAGGTCTCGAGGAAAATTAACTCTAATCCCAACCTAATCTCATGGATTAAATTTAGATTTACTGAATATGGAATTATTACCATTACGGATTAGTTACTAGTGTGCTTAATACCGATGCCCATTCCAAGTAGTACTGTAGCGCTATTCAATCAAAACACAGCTCTGTAACAAATTAGAATTCCGTTTTCTATGATTGGATATATTAGAATATATACATCGATCCGAGAGAGAGAGTTGAGTTTACAAAATCGTTTGTAAAAGTCGCTATTCAGGATGATTGGACACCATTATTAGAGCTTAAAGCTGAAATTGTCAAAGTGATTTTGATAATACGCGTTGACAACGGTAGGGCAAGCGAATTCCAATCTAACGGTAAAGAAAAAAATGCCCGATATTGATTTCTCGAGTGAAGCCAACATTTCGATCTAGCGAGGTACATAACAGCCCTCCCAATAAGAATTAGACCTCTCAAAAAGAACTGGTGGTCAATGTTTCCATCATGAACTCTTTCAATCTGCTTCAGTAAGGACTCTGCCACCACGCCTTCGTCCAGCAGTAGTAATACTTGATCATTTATGCCACTTTAACACCTACTTGACTCGTTTAGACCAACAGGAATAGCTACATGCTTAGCCAGCTTAGGTTACGTAGAATGAATTAATTTTCAAAGTAGACTATTATATAAAAGACTATATACAGAGCATATAGTTAGTGAGTGTTAGAACATAAACTGACCATCTAATACAGACATATATAAATTCAAAAGAATTAAGGTGTGATTACTGCAGATATTAAACCATATATGAATATACTATGTTATAACCCATACAGGTATGGTTATAAAACGAATGGTAGGATGTACACAAAAGGCTTGAATAAATAAACACGATGTGCTGAACAGAATAAAGAATAATAGACAACGCGTTCGTATTCCCTGCATGCAGGGATATGATATATGCATTAGGCGTTGAAAAGTTATCGAGAAACATGTGCCTGTGGAAACGTGCCATGCATTAACACATCTCTATGACTAGTCAGAATCACCAAACTGCAGTTAATACATGCACTAGGGTTGGATTATGACTTTGGTCATACCGTTCTTTAAATATTCAGCTGCATATTACCATATAGTCGTTGAAATTTTAATATGACCAGTACTGTGTCTAGTAGACACACATGCAGTGCTTTCGGGAATCAAGATCAAACCATGATATATTGGAGATTTTTTATCAATATGTTCTTTTATTTCCAGCTAAGCTCCTTATACTATACTGTCATAAGCCGAAATGTGAATTTATTGTTTTCATACGAATGCCTATAAATTTCTAACTTGATATTCCAGTTAGCAAAGATGTGCCTAACTCTGCTAAGTACATTTGGAATAGAAACAAACAGCTTAGTTACCGATTTCTTTTAAGCAAACAACTTTATTATTGCAATTTTTATCTCTATACCTATATAATATACTTTATGATCCGATGGAAATTTTAATTTAAAGAAATATTGTTTTTGTTAAAAGAAAAGAAACGCTTATTACATAAAAGACTGATAAATCTCTTTTTGACATCTAATAAGCAACCCAGGCTTTTAAGACCAAATTTATTACAACATATATTATTACGGCAGATTTTGTCAATAAATGAAACAAACACAGCAAAATACGAGCATAATGCTATAGAGTTATCAAACAGCGGGTGTGTATATGAGTAAGTAAACATCAATTATTTCCCAAATGCCAAAGATGATATAATTTTTTGCCGCATGCAAAGCTGTGCTATATCGAAGGGCAGCGTCGAAGCAGCGTTAGTCCAACACGAATATGTAAGAGCATTTTACCTGTTAGATGACTGAAAATACCCTGCGTTCAGCTAAGTTTTAGAATATATACAAATACAGCTATCAGTATTGATCATGCGCAGTTTAGTCACAGGCAGGTGCAAATCTGAAATGTTTGACGGTACTGTAAGCAATTAAAAATTATATTAAGAATATAGTTCCATAAATATCGATCCACGAGTGCATGATATATGTGTGTATGCGAATAAGAAACTTCTAAATGTACGGAAATTCGCAGCCATACGAGAATAATATGAACTCTTACTGATTACATAACTCAAAAGTTGTGGCTCAGTTCGTATTTTCGTTCGCAGTGCCAATGTAAAATAAAGGAAACTTGAAATCATTTGCACTTGAGTTCAGATTTTTGACAAATCATATATTTAAATATACATTTGTCTTGACGCAAAATACGTTTAATCCGTGCTAAAATTGACAGCTTTATTAAGGAAAGGATGGTTAACACAGGCAACGCGTGCTTAATGGGAATGCCGTATGAAATATGGCTTTGCATTTTAGACAGAAAGATTATTTTAAAGAGAAAAATCGTTGATCACTTTTCATATGAACCACCTGCTAAATAAGAATTCCAAATAAACTGTCAACAAAGATTTATTTTCCCTTGTTCTCTTGAAATCCTGTGGCTTGACATGTCTAGATTCAAATAAAAATTGTAATAAAAATATTCATAAGAAAATAAAAGTCTAGTGAATACAAAAAGCTGCATCACGGCTGTGTGTGGGCATACGTACATAGTCTTTGTCAACAAATATATATTTGGCAATAAAATAATCTTTATTGCCAAATCAATTCTGTGGAAACATATTATATAGTCATGGTCATGGAGTCAAATCTCTTGAAAACAATTTTGACAAAAAATTAATGAAATAAAGTATTGTATATACCGTTCAAAACTGATATCACGCCAGACTCAATTGTACCAATTGTAGCGGACGTTTAGATTTGGCCGGGATTTCTTATAAAAAACTGGCAAGGAATTGAATATAGCGGTATAGAATAACCTTATTTACGATCGGGTTGAACTCTTTTTGAACATACAGTACATGTAATTTAAGTAGAGTAAATCAAATGAAACGACAACATTTGAAGCACAGTGCCATACAGACAAAATTATTTTATACGACAGTGAAGTTAAATGATTTTCTTTATTAGTGCATCAAGAAATCTAAATAGTATTGAGATAACGTGGCTGGCATTTTCGCTTCTATTAATAAGAGAGAGAGATATCTTTGAAAGCACCTGCCGCTTGGCAGCTCTATTTTCATATGATTTAATTTGTACGAGAACTATTTAGTCTATACCAAAAAAACCTTCGATCGACGAAATTTAATTTCCAGAAGTTTTAAAGGTATGTCCTAGGTTACGATTTGATAGATTCAAAGAAGTCTCAAAGGTTTATTATATTTTGGTAATAACAATGCATATTGATTTCTTTTGGACTGTTTGTCATGCCAGTCGCAATTGATATGAGCACTTAACGCAGATTCGATTAAGAAGAAATTTTCAAAGTTTACCGTACGCACAGCCTATTCTTTAACAAATAACTGTCATTTAACAACATTAGCGCGAAGACTGAAAAACTGAAATGAATGTGTTAGTTTTTTATAAGAGCAACGTTTGGAACGCGCCACGCACTTCCCACAGTGTGTCAAAAATAATTTAAAACACAAAATATGATTGACCAATGATTAGCCAGCAAAATACATGTAATTAGTTTATAGCGATCAACTACGCTATTCGTTCTTGCGAGTCTTGTCAGCACAAAGATCATGAAATTATGAAAATCTATAATCCCTATTGTTGATGCTGATATTAGAATACAGTAGAGACTGTTTTCATAAATAAACTACAGTATACCGCTTGCCAAAACAAAGCAATATTATAGAGGATATACCAAGAGAGAGTGGGAACAATTAACATAAGATGGCAGAAAATTTCAAAATAAATTAAGAGTGATGACATCAAATAAATGGCAAACTCCGTGTGCGTGTGTGTTTGTGAAGGCAGATTTCACGCCATTCATTCAAATATAGCGACAAATTATTACGTTCAATATTCTTATGATATGTTGAACGTTGGCGCTGATTTCAAATAAGATGATACCAGAAACATCTTTTGAACATTTTCCGTTTCGAAGTTTAAAGGTATGTGAAGAAATACATGTTAAATTCAAGAAATGCTGTAAGGATGACTTTTATTTTTTTTTATCCGTGCAGGAACTCGGTCGTTCCGTGCAGGAGGTCAAACTGGAAAAAACGAAAAATAGTAACGACAACGAGCAGTCAAATGATCTTACAGCGGATTCCTTGGGTATAGTCTATATATAGTGGATTATTCTCGGTATTAAAAGTTATTATATATGATTATATATAGATTAAAGCAAATAAAATTTCTTTCTAAAGAGCTTTTTCAAGATCTGTCCCAAATGCAAGAGCACTGGATGAATGAAGGTATAGACTATAGTCATTCAAAGACAGCACGTATAAGAGAAATAATGCCCCATTTTGCGCGACTTCTTGAATGACTGAAATGTTTTTTTCCTCTTGTTATTTAATAATGTGAAACAAAAACGCGCCGTTTATCAAAGTGACATGACTCTCAGTATTCAATACATTATATAGTTCGTTCTCTGGCAGTTACGACAAACGAGCGATGCCAATCTTTGGAACCTTCCTGTACTACATTCATACGTGACCATGGTCAAGGACAAGGCCAAGGTAACGCAAAATGTTTTACAATTTCAGGATGTATAGCTATCTTGATTTATTTACATAACTACCTTCGCAGTTATGAAAGTAGACCTGTATTATTGCTGCTCTTAATCGGATACATACGATTCCTTCTTGTTTATAAAATGCACATTATATACAGAGAACAATATTTCCTCAATTAATAACTTAGATGCCGATTTGACTATAGGTTTAACATATTCAATATTCTGGTGAATATGCTGCAGTGTCCCATATCACTAATAATGCCCCCCGCTTTTTATTGCATGAGAATAAACAATTTAACAGTAAATCGTGAATTACTTGACCTACACTCTAGAATTCATCACATGCAGCCGTTTTAGGCCTCGTTGACTTTCAGGAGTAACATCATTATATCTATATTTGAGCCTGCCCGCGTGTATGGACATTTTCCACTTACGTATCGACGCAAAGATACGGTATATGTATTTGTGAAAACCATTAAAATTTAATTTTTGTGTTGGTCATTTCCAAAATTGACAATGCAACAAGTATAAACCACTGCACTGATGTAACGTACGCTGCTAAACTCTAGCGCAGTTGGATTGTTACTGCGGATAACTATAACTACATTGTAGTCATATAACATTAAAGCTACACCTAATTTTAAAACTTGGGGCTTTTCTTATTCTTCCTAAGAATTGTTAATCTAGCGTCCAGTTATGTGCGTATCTTACACCATACACAGTTCAGTAAGAACTCTCCCAAGAGTTGCAAGCCATGTGTGGTCAGCACTCATAGTGTTATCTGTGTTATACTTTGATTCTCGCTTCGTATGCTTTTTATTGACAAGCCACACGTGAACATCTTCAAAAATATACCAAGGAAGAGGTCACAGTCAAAACATTATTAATATTATCTTCAAAGGTAATCGTATTTTAAAAACAGTCTAACAATGAAAAGATAGAATTAGATTATCAAATAAAAATATACAACTATGTATAAATAAGAGCACCTATTTCTCGCCTGTCCCTCAGAGCTTGGAGCGAGGGATAATTCAAGAAAAGCTCACATTTATGTCACTACCATGATAAATATTTACGGACGTATTTAATCCAGAAATTAAATAATTTTAAGGAATTGGTTTCTAAACAAAAACAGCATATAAGGTCTAGTAAGATCTTAACGAATGAAAATGATAACTATTCTATATAAAAATCTTTGTCAATGAAAATAAGGCATCCCAACATTCACGCTTTTTCTTAAACTGTAACTTTTTGACTTTTGTTAACTTGTTATACACAAGATTTCGCACGAGCGCTACTACAATACAACTGAACTTGTTATCGGCTGAGACAACTAAGTCAAGGGCTTGTTTAGCACGTCGGAATTATTTTTGAAGTCTATAATTAATAGCTTGCCGGGCAGTCGATCGAATACTTAAATGTCACGTGATGTATCATTCACGTGATATAGAACGAAATTATTTATTAATATTTATGCAAGTTATTCAGTCACAAGTGATTTTCTACGAACGGAAAATATTTAGGCCACGCAGAAGACCTGAGGATTTGAAAGTCTATATTGTGCCCCCGTGTAGCCGTCCTTGTTTTAAAATATTCAAGTGTCGGAAAGCGATGTTTTGTTTTATAAGTATTGGGAATAAGATATGTTACGCACTATACCCATATACCAGATTACTCATAGTAGACTAATTCATTCACATACAGAACCATGTCTGATATACTGCTTTGACTCAAAAACCACATAGTTCAGGGTAATCTCTCTATATTTTATATGGGAACGGTTTTTACAAAGGCTGGATATAGCGCACGTAAAAATCCATATATGGTGATTTACTCGACCGTTGTAAACACGCACTCCACGCAGTGCCTAAAAGTAACAAAATTACAGATATTGAGCTGACAGTTAATAAAGAGAAACATTACTTCAAAATATACAAACATTTGATCGGGGTTGTGCCAAACAACAGGCAATTTTTTAGTGGATATATCTATAGTGGTAGGGTAATCCGTCTTCATATACTACCGGCCGCTGGCCGTCCTCATGTGGATAAAACAGAAACTGAATGGTGTTTCAGATAAAACGAAAAACTCTTGTGTATATATTGTGCGATCTGAAAAGTCTACAGTCTAAGAAATTAAAAGGTTCCAAGTGCTGTTTTTACATTATCAGTGCAAATCTGATTGATATCTATATATATTAACACCCTAAATATAACGTTCGTGCATGATATATGCGTGTAATCAGTGATAGCAATTTCGAGACGCGCCTAGCGTCTGCCATTTAATATATTCGCATATAGTTGATCCATTAGGATGCTATTAACGTCAGCATGTATTTAGCCATTCATAGCGGTACTTAGTTAAGATTACAAAAAACGTTTTGTTCCCTATTGTTTTAACTAAATTAAGCATTCTCTGCTGTATAAATAGGAAGTTGGTCAAGTCAGAAGATTAAATTGGAAACCAGGGCGTCGCAGCAGTGTTGCACTAAGCCTACTAAGACAACATCATTCGATATGAATACTGCATCATATTTGGAGTATTATTCCAGCAGCCACACGATAAGGTCAGTCAACCAACAGTGCTCAGATCAAACGAACCGGACATCGTGCTATGAACCAAGAATGATGAACCACAGCAGAGTTTCAAACGAACCCCAAAGTCCTTGCAGAGAAATCAAGTTAGAACAACACGAAAAACTTACACATTGTGATCTCTTTCAAGGTAAGAAAAAACAAGATATTCATAAATGGTATTCATGCAGTCCAGCAGGAAGGTTTTCTATGATCCACTTAAAATGTCATCGCGTCAACACGTACTTCATCAATTTAATAGTAAACATAAAAGAGGTTACAGTTTACCAAAATATGTCGTGATTTCGAGTTTTATCAGTACAAAGAGACTCCTTTGTGACGAAGTTGATCTTTTAATACATGTTTCAACCTAACCTTAACATGTTTTATAAAAGTTTTAACCATCCTGGTTAAACCGTATACGTTTGTATAAAAGCAGTTCTTTTAATACTATTTCGCATACAGTTATATAGTAACGATAATCACACAGCATTTAAATTACCCGGCACACTTGCAGTGTAAACTGTCTATATAACTCATTTAGAAAACCGCACACACGATACAACGCATCCCATGAAGTTGTCCACTTTCTCTATTAAAATCAGTAAATAATTTTAAAAGTTTAACTAATTTCTCTGTACCGTTAATTGTACTTTCCTTAATCACGTTTGTTTTTGAAAAATGATTTAACAGCTATTGAATTAGCGGGGATCCGTTAATATTTTTTAACCTACATGCAACATAAGTGCATGTATGGTTGCCTAGAATTTCCGTTTAGCAATCACCGGAAGGCTCGTAGGAAACTAATATTTCCTGAAATGAAAATTTCCTGGTAAACGTAAGAATTTCAAGGAAATATGGTAAATGTATATATAGCCGATATATATATATAGAACATATTACATCAGAGAAGACGTTCTTTTGTAAAAAATGCCATGAATTAAAGTATACAATGAAATATGGCAAGAGAAGGCGTGCATACATGCATATCAACCAACTACAAGATCATTTATATATCTTATATGGACTATAAGACTTGTATGGATGAATTAAGAAGACATATTTATGAAGTCCTAATAAAAAGATCTTTGGATCATGTGTATTTTTATTGCGCACCCAGTTACTCTCATAATCATATTCTTGGTGCCATGGATCATTTTTGAAAGTGAATTTTATCCCAATTTAGACCGACATCATGAGTCAGTACAGTCCACATTCTCCCCACAGAAAGCCTACTCAAGTTCCAAAGTTCCTGCAGGTAGATATACTAAATCATTGAACAATGGCTTGCATAACACGTACGGTAGTGTTAATATCATATGTTTACATTGCTTTTCAGTTGGAGGGCTTCAGGTGGCCCAACTCTCATCTAATTTTATGATGTTTTCCATACGAAACAAAAGCCTGACACATTTTGAATATTAACCAATGATTAAAGCTAAGATAGGAAAGCAAAATAAACTTTAATTGCATGAAGACATCGCGCTATGATTTAATATAATTACTGTTCGTTCACACTGACGCGACAGATGTTTTTTGAGTTCAAATTTTCATTTTTTCTTCCTCAAAGTCTATTAGTAATTAAAGGCGCAAAACATTACTTTTCCCCGTCGGAGAATATAAAAAGTTATTAATTTCAACAATATATATATTAAAATAGACTTCGAAGCCATTATAGGACGTTTACAAAAAACATAATTTTAGGAAAATGATGAGCAGTTCATTATAACAGTCATGAATATATTAGTTTCAATCTTACACGAAGGAAAGGGTATTAAAAAATGATTGATGTCCCGACGCCAAAGATTTATCATCACTCTTCCTTTGATTTTACAATTCGTGTAAAGGCTAAAGTGATTTAAGAGACTGCAATCTCACTTAGGTTTTTCAATCTATATGCATGCAGTTTGGCGATCGATCCTCCATTTAATTTCCAAACACAATCTATTGAAACTCGTTATTTCATTCAAAAAGTACGATAGTTTCATAACTTCAAACTTCAGATTTTCACTTATACAAATACAGCGGTGAGACAGTAATATTAGTTTATACATATAGAGTATAATTTTGTTTTGACAAGAGTTAGTTTGCGTCATGCATGGCTAATTGCCTAGTGTAAAACTTGATCCCCTGTAGCGCCAGACGTCGGATTTTAACCGTTTTGGTCAACTCAACTATAAGATTAAAGAATCCATTCAAACTGTGTTTGTAACAAGTCTATTCTCTGATAAAATTGAGTTCATCCTGTGCATAAAAATATAGCTCAAAATCAATATATATATATATATACAATGGAATACATGCATGCATGAAGCTACATATCATGAAACATATATATATCCCATATATATAATTGAATTAACTATCATATTCTGTGATACGTAACTCATAGATTGATCTTTAAAAAATATTATCGATTCTTTGTTTTTTGAACGTAATATGTACACGGAAGGTATATATAGATTTTTATGTAATTCATGCAAACATGACGCATCAAATTGAACTATAAAAAAATTCTGAACCGATGCATGAAGTCAAGCATTGCGTTTTTTCACTTTCTCTATACCAAATATTTATGGTAAACCTATACCATATACATGCACACCTATACTGTCGGCCGTTTCTGGGCGATGCGGTCAAACCCAAAATGGACCTCAAACTTTCATTATCTGATAATTAAGCCGCATGCGTCACCTGCCTGGAAAATTATACTCAATCGACGTGTTTTTCTAATTGTTTCTAAGGGTTCTAGAGGCCATAATCCGCCATATAGTATATAAAAAATTCATAACTAAACTAAATTCGTTTATTCTAGATGAAATAATATAAATGCACTATCCACATTGATTTATACCTACACAGTACCGCGCATGCAACACATAAATTCACAAAATATACCATGCGTTTTCATGCATGTATTGCATGTGTTTTCACTTCATAGTATATTCTTTCAAACGCATTTCCTAATCGAGTCTTGGTGTTTAGGTACTTATGGATATGAAACAAAATCAAACTCATTTTACGAAGACCCTATGTCATGTTATTTCGAGCGTTATCAACGTGAATATATGGAATACAATGAACGTAAGTTGATAAGCTTCTAAATACCACAAGTTTCTATATCAGTGAGTAGAATGTGGGCGTTTGAAACTAGGCGAATTTAAAAAACAAACAAACCAAAAAGGCATGAATATAAGATATCGATTGGCTGAAAGAGCTACAGGTCATGTGCACGAGGTGATGTGTCCTACGTCAAGAAATATATTCACGATTTTTCTACCATTTCAGGCCATTCAGCACACGAGTTTAAATATCATCCCCAAGAGCTAGCATACCCCGAGCCTCGACCATTCCAAAGACGTGGTTCTCTGCAATTATGGCAGTTCTTAGTAATTCTCCTCGAGGAACCAGATTGTTCAAATTACATTTCCTGGACAGGAAGAGGAATGGAGTTCAAATTGATTGATCCGGAAGAAGTAGCTCGAAGATGGGGGATCCAGAAGAACAGACCCGCCATGAACTACGACAAACTAAGTCGTTCCTTACGCTACTACTATGAAAAAGGAATCATGCAAAAGGTGGCTGGGGAACGGTATGTCTACAAATTTGTGTGTAGCCCTGAAGCGTTATTTGGAATGGCATTTCCAGATTCTCAAAAGCCGTACATTAAACCAGAATGTCGAAGTGCTAAACCGCTGTTAAATCACACCCAAGCTATGCTTTCACTACCACCTGAATATCACAATAAAAATTACTATCAACATGGCGTGCCTACCAGGTATTTAAACAATGCAAGTTGTTTTCAACCTTCTTGGGAAACCTATCAAGCCGAAGGACAAACATGCGTGTACTGAAAATTCTGTTCGTTTTTATCACCGGTGACGATTGATTCGGTATAAACATTTGATAGGCTGTTATATGTTGCACCTTTGTAGTTAAAATATTACATTTAGAAATGCAGCTTGGGCGGTTATAAAATATACCTCATTAGGATTGTTTGGGATATAATTCATACTATCGCTACCTCTTGGTTATAAAGAACGAAATAAATTGACACGCTTTTAGCAAACAAAATATTGTTGGCGCTGCATTGTCATTTTCATGTGATTACTTGCGATGATAGATCTAAGATCTGCACCTTTCCAAGTATGCGCGAAATGTATATAATTATGTAAAATATATTCTTCAATGTGTGTACATTGTGTGCTTGTTAAGAAAGGATTCTGCATGAAAGAAATTTGTCGTTTTCTCAAATACAAATAACGAGATAACTATTCGGGCCTTCCACTGGAAACACACATGCATGCCAGCGACAAAAGCAGGGCGTCAAATTTTGCAATCTTGGCTCACTCTGAGAGAGAAAGTTTTTAAACCATGCAGATACAAATGAACAGGACCGGATTACGTTTCGCGGTGCCCGTGGCATATGTCGCTTCTGCAATAATCCAATATGGTTAATCCGGCCCTGAAAACGGAGTTTAATGTGACATGTCGCCCGCTTAATAAATAAATAAAGCAGTATAAAATATGTCCTCTTTCTAAACTTAAATATATAGATCACGATAATTAGTATAAGTACGTCCAAAATCTGGTCACCTTTTCTCTACAGTATTTATGGTACGATGTCTATTCTAAGTCTAGAACGGTGAATACTTGACCATTAAAACGTAGCGATGTTTCCATGGCAACATTAACTATCATGTTAGCAAAACGTGCTATTTTCCCCCGCGATGTTCTCTAAAAAAACAGTTATTTTAACTACAACTTTGGCAACATCTTGTGAAAAAAGAATATTCGTGTGAGTGGTAGCTCTCCTGTCCTGTTTTTTTAACAGCAGTTAACACCAACCTGAGCAAGTGCCGGAGAGAAATCCTTGCACCACACTCCACAGCAAATCACCCTTTCTATTCTGCTTTTCCGAGAAATACTTTCTGTTGCTTTCTATAACGCAAAGCAAGCATATTTGAGAGTTGGAAGGCCGAGAGAAGATGTGGAAGAAGCAGTTCGTCTGTATTGGGATATCCATGCAATAAAAAAGTCCGAATATGTGGATTCACGTATAGTTTTCAACAAATAATAAGAATAGAACATTATCTAACTATAATATAAATAGACACATCTCACCCTAAGTTCAGCTAGTTTTTCTTCGTTTCCTCCGTCGATAATTACCAAGACACCATTTCTCTCAATTCGCACTAAGCTTTTCAATATGCTATTTCTTTTCAAATCATTGCCTACCTAATGAAAGAAATATGACGTCAAATAGAAATATATTTATTATAATAATTTATTATGGAGGGTATATGTATGGTAACGTACATATCTGGCAAATAAAGGCAACATACACATGAATCCTGTTGAAGTAACGAGGAATTGATCAGAATGTTTACTTTACACAAATCATCCGTCTCGTCATTTTGGCTCTACGAAGAGAAATAAGTCAGTAAACTATATTACATTCTTCCAATCTATACAAATACTTTAGCTTTAGCAGTATTCGCATCCATCACTGAATGGCACGTACAAAACCTGGCTAAAATATTAACATCATCAATAACATGATATTATCAAAACCTGCAATTAAAACCCTAAACCTGGTATTTTCATTTTCACATTTTCAATAAATATACGTTGCATATATAGCTTGTATTTACTGATCCTTACTTCGACACCATTTGTCTCAAACTCTTTTTTCAAAAGATCAAAAAGCTCTTTTCCAATTTCATTCGAAAATACTGCGCGTCGTCGAAGTTGCTCAGCAATGATCCCTTTAGCAGCAAGGATATCCTTCTTGTACGTTACCTGTTTTGAAACGAAGTTGTACAATTTAAAATTGTTAATAAAAACGAACTATATATCGAAATTAATAATTTATGGAAATCTATAGGTATTAGTGCGTTTATATAACTGCATGTACCTTCCAAAGATAATCGGGTCCATCAATTAAAAATGCTTGTACATTGCTGTATTTCAAAGCTAGATTTAAACACTCAGTACCAAACTGAAAATCATCTGGAGTACACTACAATGAAGTTGAAGTTTTCATTAAAATTAGTACACTAGATGTATAATTAGAACAGTGAAATCATTCAGTATTGGAATGTTGGTAATGCGAAAAGATAATCAAAAGTAATTATTAAATTTGCCATCATTGACTTTTTATGCAGGCAGCTAACGAACAATGCATGTAAAAAGCCAAACAGTTTCTAATGAAATTTTCCGCAAAGCTATACCTTTTGATATGCATTGAAAATAACATCATACTTGAATGCTTGAGGCATTTCACTAGCAACGAATTGCGACCTAAATATTATTGTAAATACTCATGTATTAGAAATAAAGAAATACATTTCCTAAATTAAAGACCGCTCCTGAAGTTAACATACTACACTATAGTGAAAAAAACAAGAAAAGATTGCTCCTGCGCCACTAATCTTGCATGTATGCTATGCCAATGCTTTAGTTGTATTAATCATACTCTTCGTCGTAACCTAAAAAACCGAAGCTAAATCGTTTTTACCTATCCAAAGAATGATCAAGAAATCCACACGCATTCTTAGCTAGTACAGTTGATACTAACGGTCGGACAACTCCGCATGCCTAAAAAATTAGACTTTCATGTAAAAAACTGTAAAGTAGAGTAAAAATTTTTTGAGTTACATGTTCTTTGAAGTAATACAGTACTATATCTAGAAAGTAATTCTAACTATAGTTACCTAACCGTGAACCTAACTAGCAATGGCTGGTTTTCATTATGAATTACGAATTTTCAACGAATTACGACATGTGAAGTACGGCAAATTATGTCATATATGAAAACCAGCCTTGCAAAATGAACCTGATGATGGTACTACAATCACAAGGTACACGACAGGGTTATTAGATTAGTGCAATAAGTATAGGCTTCGTTTCCTTTGTCTCGTCCGTTTGTTTTCTTTGTTTGTTGACGACGTTAATTACGATTTTGGCTAATCATTTACTAGACGCCTACCATAAGTCGTGGTGCATATGAATCTTATAATTAATCCAAAGATAGAGCTACAGTATAAACTATAGAGCTGAATGATTAGTATAATTCGGGATTTATGCCGGTGAAAAAACGAGAGTAAGAAATCAAGGTATCAGGTATGATGCTGTTTGGTCTAGTTTTACCGATCCTATTACCAACGTCAGGGTCGGCTGCTTCATCGGACAAACACAGTTATGCATAGTTTTTTGTCCTTTTTGTTTTGTCCTTTTAAGATTTGTTCATCCGATAAAGTGCTGGGCTAATTTATTCAGGGTTCTGCCAAGTGGTATTTGATCGAAGGCAGGATCAATGGATAGATTTGAGCGGCTAGCAAAGATGTTCCGATGAGCCGAGAGGTGGTGGCCAGGTGATCCTAAACAGTTCATATTTAATTTCTGATACAAGCAAGGAGTTTACCACTTGCCAATGCAAAGACTCTGTGTTACGCGAGGTTGAGAAGTATATACATGCAGAAATAGCAATGAAAACAGGCGAGCTACACGATGATCGAGGGGAACAAGTAAGGTGAGATTATATGGTGTCATACGTGACAGCAAATGAACTATCCTATCTTTTTTAATGGAATGCTTTAATGAAGAGCGGTATCAAGATGCATAAAATCCTACTTCAAGAAATGAAACTCCTTTTTCAAGTCAGTTCATAATGTACCATCGAAGAAAGGATAACAAAAAGTTCGACTAAATACAAAGCAACTAGTGCCTCAGATCTAATGCACAAATCTTTATTTATAACAGGATTATAGGCATTTCACAGCACGTCTAAAAGGGAGTCGCATCTGAAGGGATAGCGTACTGCTCAGGCATTCAACTTAAACCGAGTTGGATATACGAAGACAATTATTGGGGTCACCATTTTGTCTTGGTTGCATTCCTGCCCGTATGTGCATCTAGTTCAATTGGCCGAAACAGTGGTTAACGCGATTTACTTAATAATTTACAAGTATGATTCATTATTAAGTCCTGATTGCTTACACTGTGCTTTTGCGCAGCAATTACAATTTCTTTAAGTAGAACTTCCTCGATGAATGGTCGGACAGCATCGTGTATTATAACCTTAGATTAAAAAAACGTATTTAGAAGTTAATACAGAGCATTCTCAATTTAGGAATACTAGATAATCAAAGTTATTCCTAATTACCGGGCGATTTTAAAGCGATTGAAAAAAACTACCATCTGGTAGATACCATTATTTGGCTTTCATACAAGCAGTACAATTATCACGTGTGTTGTGGGTAATATCATACATGCATGAATGTTCTGTGTAATCATTTCAAAGTTAACTTACAATATCAGGCTTTCTTTCATTGGTATTCAAGCAACAGACTCCGTTATATATTGATCCATGTCTAACAAAAAAGCGGGGATTTCCAAAAATCATTTAACACAAATTGGTGCAAATTTGGTGGCTAATTTAGTTGGGATAGATAATAAGGTGAATAGATATACCTAGTCGACTCTCCACATGTTGTGATTACCTTTTTATGGTTAAAATCTGAAATAATCTATATTAGAAAACATCAATTCATGGGCCACATGTAAAAAAAATTATATCAATACAGGATTTGACCACAAAAATTCCTTAATGAATTGCAGTACCTACGTTTTCCAGAATTTCTTTCTGATTTACCCTGGCAGGAGCAACAACCACAACAGTTTCTATCCATGGGATACTATTAAAGTATCAAAACACTCTCATAAAAATATATAATTTTATATGTTATTTTAAATTGATTGTTTTGTGGTTTATAAATTATAGACTAACCAAAAAAACAAGAGATACATGCAAAAATTTTGTGTATATTATTTGAGTATAATAAAGCTATATTATTTTTAGTGTGAACTACAAAATGTGCTGGGCAAAAAAGGTTCATAAAGCATATACCGTTCAAATGCTTCTATTGTATAACTGATCAGAGGTTTGTCCAATATCTTGAGATACTAGTGGAACAAAAGATGAAAAGATCAACTGATGTATATATGTTTGTAAGATGTTTTTGTAAAAAGGGTTTATTATTAAGTTACCACCCAACATGTTTGATCATGTCTGATCATTACCAAACATGTCTGGCTATATAATTTTCCATCTGCACTGTTTTTATTTCTCTAAAACATTCTTGAGTTCTAATGATGTAACATGGCTCGTACCGAGAAAAATTCCTCCCTAGTTATATTGGAACTTATCTTTCGTACACATATAGTTTTCAAAAAAAATTTGTCAGGCAGAACAGAATATGTAAATATGAACCCCCCTCAAATATTGTGTGGATGGTTAAAACGCTGCCAAAGTGCAAAGGAAATAAACAGAATGGCCAGGCACTTAATCTTAAAATTTGTCTGCTATAACTAAGCAATGGTTGACAAGCCAGTTTAGCATATTTCTATTAGCCAGAAAGTTAACTAACAATATGTCATGCTTGGCCCACAGTAGTGATAACCCATGAGAACACAAACTTAAAGTAAATTTTTTATTACCATTGTCAATTACCAAAATCTAAATAGGTGAATGATTTCTAAACCGTTAAGTCCAGAGACCAGATTATCTATGTACTCTCGCATTCATCATGTTTTTTGATGGACAATATTACTGTTCAATGCCCACTTTTGCTAGTAAGATGTACTCTTTGGAATGCGATTAGAAGTCTGTTTTAGATTATTGTACAAATTGCGACAAAATTGTTTATATTGTGACATGTAGAAGACAGTAGAACGATAATGCACACATTGATTTACTATTCTACTATGTACTATATACTTGTTTTGGTATATCACCACCCATTCTTGAACCAGTCCCAGCGGCTGGTAAGACAACAGATACCCGAAAATCAACCATTATTACAGTATTTTGAAGTCGAATTGTTAATACGAATTCCAATATTCCAATTGCATATAAAATTGTACACTTATTTATAAGTGAGCATATTATATCCGTGATTATTTATAGAACTCGCTGACTTAGGCTTTAGGATCACAGATTAGGTGGATTAGATTTTAGGATTTTGGGATTTACATGCCTGGGGCCTGTTGTTCGAAAAGCGTTTAGCTTAAACGTCGAACGGTGGATAAGGCCGATAAGCCAAATTCTAAAACTGCTCTCACACATCTTGCGAATGACTGAAGCTTCATCTTATGCATTTAATATCTACTTCCATTACCATTAAACTATTTACATCGAAATATTTCAGCTCAGTTTTTCAATAAATAGATAATTTTTAACTTATCCACCGTTTAAGCTAAACGCCTTTCGAACAACCGGCCCCTGGGTCCGGTTGTATGAAAGCCGGATTGCGCTATCCACCGGATAGTGGTTTTTACAATCGCTTTAAAATCGCCTAGTATTCCTTAATCGCAGAACCTGTTGGTTACAAAGATGGAATTTTATCGCTTTTCAAGCATTTGTAGAAAGTTTAAAACGTTTTGAATGCGGTTTGCAATCAAATGTTAGTTGATAGCGCTAAATGAAACTACAACATGAAGCTGCAATTCTACTGCAAGACTCTGGGCTATGTCAGTCAACAGCCTCTTATACAGCTGTCTTGATCGAGGCTTACAATTTCGACCTTATGGTAATATTCACCGATTGACGACAGTTTTCAATTATAATAAGAATGTTCTCATATTTCTGAATGTTTACTTATTTAATTCGCAAAATTGCCAAATGTTTAGTGCGTTTTATCATGCAGTTCACCCCGTCATGTCAATTCTAATTCACATGACATACCATACCATACCATACCATACCATACCATACCATACCATACCATACCATACCATACCATACCATACCATACCATACCATACCATACCATACCATACCATAATACCATACCATACCATACCCATACCATACCATACCATACCATACCATACCATCCCATACCATACCATACCATACCATACCATACCATACCATACCATACCATACCATACCATACCATACCATACCATACCATACCATACCATACCATACCATCCATACCATACCAACCATACCATACCATACCATACCATACCATCATACCATACCATACCATACATACCATACCATACCATACCATACCATACCATACCATACCATACCATACCATACCATACCTACCATACCATACCATACATACCATACCATACCATACCATACCATACCATACCATACCATACCATACCACCATACCATACCATACCATACCATACCATACCATACCATACCATACCATACCATACCATACCATACCATACCATACCATACCATACCATACCATACAGGACCGCTTAAGCCAACTGATAAATTTGAGCAAATGAATTACTCGATATTTTTCGGAACGCTTCTATCGTCGCGACTGACTGTACCGGGGCTAAAACTGATCACATGCCGACGGTTTCTTCGATCACAATCATCGTCCAATATCGAATTACATCGCCGTATATTGTATTCCTTTGTAAACCGCACAACGAAAGAGCCCAATTTGAACAAACTGTGAATTAGCGAGTAACGCGAGAGAGAAATGGCAGACAGAATTACTGTGGACGAGGCTCTTGCAAAACTGGGAGGTTTCGGCCTATTCCAATGGCTAATCTACCTAGGCGCAAGTATTGCAGAAATGGCTGTTACCCATCAAATATTTCTGTTGACATTTATTGCCGCAGAGCCAAAATGGGTTTGTAAGAATGAGAGTGTAATATGCAATTTCACCAAGTCTATAGGATTGAATGATGATGATTATGAGGCTAGATGTGATATGCCCAGATCGGAGTGGAAATTTGCTGATGATTTTACGTCCATCGTAACGGAGGTTGGTTCAACGCATCTTTTCGAGTCGACATCCCGCCGTACAATAGAGGCAACCTGCAGTAGTTGGTCACGCAAAATATACTGTACTGTGGACGTAAATTTACGTTTTCAACTGTCGAAATATCACACAACCTCGTTCCTCGGGAACGAGGTTGAATATCACAACGTGATAAAATCTTCACGATTAAGGCTAGGTTAAAAATAGCTGTATGAGATTTAAAACCGCAAATATTTTTTAGAAATAAGCGACTTCAGTACTGCATGAATAACAAATGTTTATTCTTATACGGTGACATTCTTACCCAGCATTTTAGCTGACTGATACGATGTTTTGAACCTCGCTTTGAACCATACCACATTCCGATATATTCGACCATATCAAGGCTGAGTATACCAAATTCGAATCGAGCATACAATATTCCAGTATATTCGACCATGGTTGAGTATATCATATTCCGGTTTACTCGACCATGGTCGAATATACCGAAAATGACACATAAAAACTAACATGACAGATATAAATTTTGAGCTAATATTATATGAGGCCTCCGTCGACGCTAAACCAATTTATTAGTTTGATTTAGTGTGTGATGACTCGATCCTCGCCACAGTTGCCAGTATGTTTATTTTCGCGGGATGGATTATCGGTAGCGTACTGTTTGGTTTTCTCTCGGATAGATTTGGGCGTAAAGTAGCGTTTTTGTCTTGTGTCATAAACATCAGCGTCGTCGCCCTTATTGGCGCTTTTGTTAACGCCCTATGGCAGTTCATCATAATCAGATTTTTTGTTGGAGTTGGCATTGGTAAGAGTCATTGTTTAATATTATAACTAAGTTGGGGGGGAGGTACTAGATTGCGCAATGCGCAAGCGAGTTCTTAAAATGGGAAGCGTTCTTAATATTTTTAGGGTCGAGAATTTCGCGACCCGCAAGGTGCGATAAGGTGCGCTGACCTGCAAGCCATGAGCTACGCAGGCGTGGTTGCTAAGCTAACGTGCATGCTGCACGGTGCAGCCCATAGAGATTATAGCACAGCCTGCACTGCTGAGTGCATTCGTTCATGACGTTCATCGTTTTCTTGTGGACAAAAGACGATAAAAATTCAAGATATTTCGAAATGTGGCAACAGAGTGAACAGACAACATCTCAATCTCGTAATCAATCAAGTTACGAAGATCACAAAGCTAACCCGCGTTCTGAAATCCAAAGTTATATTTGAATTGGGATGCAGGCGATCACAGGGCAATTAAATTTATCCAATGCTCTCCCCATTTTCACGCCCGTTCCGTTGCATAGCTGAACAACTATGGCAAGCCCAAACACACGCCTGAGTAAGCGTCTTTTTTGTCATAGCCCTAGCTCGACTCAAGCAATGCGAGTTTAATGCCTAGCCGGCATCTTGTTCTTTATGAAATGGATTGTTTTTACGGTCTACTGACATTAACATATGAATATTAGCCCAGCACTTAACGATCTTCCGGCGCCACTGAAGTAGTCATAATTACTGGTGCTTTTTCAACTATAATCGAAATAAAATATAAACGCAAAAATCGAATAGAGATTAAACGCAATATTCTTGAATGGCTAGTGCATGTTGCATTTTTTTTATACACCCTGTAGATTCATGAGACAAAATAATTAATAAGCAACGGATAAAAACTTTTAAGATATACCATCATATAGCTATATTAGTGAAATAAAAAAAGTCCTTTCTTACTTTCCATTCCGTTTCACAGGTTGTTCCGCATCGCTGTTCATTATTCTCAGTGAATTCTCAGGCGTTAAGCACCGAGGCACCATGGGAGTTATTTTCTGGTTTTCGTTTATATTTGGATTATGTATACTACCGTTGTATGCGCACATCATCCGAGATTGGCGGAAGTTGACAATCCTCACAAGTTGCCTTGGATTCCCTGCTTTTATTGTTTGGTGGTAAGATATTCGTCATCGTTCACTGGATCACACAAAGAACCACCTTTGCATCATCAGTCAATATTTTAGCGCTGTTCCTACGTTTTAATGTAAACGTCCTACGACACTGATAAAATACGAGAGATTCCTGAAATTATCCATATACTAAAGTTGATTTTAATCAATACATATTATAGGATATTTCCGGAATCAGTGCGTTACTATTTGATCAGAGGGAAGGAGGATGAAGCACACGAGGTGTTGGAGAGAGTTGCAAAATACAACAAAAAACCCATCATTAAGGACAAGCTGGAACAAGTTGAGGAAGAACAGAAATCTTCACTGAAAGATTTGTTTGCCACTCCAACGATCAGGAAACATACATTGTTGTCCTGTTTTATATGGTTTGTAACGAAATTATCGCGATTTAACCGTTGGTTTAAAACTCTGCACTTCCTTTCCATGCATATAATAGATAAGCGTTTTCTACGTTTGGCCAACCATGCATGCATCTCTTCATTTCAGCACATGTCGATCTGTGATTATGATCTTGAATAACACAACTCTATAAAATCTTCGGGCTTTGCTACACTTTGTCTTATATGTTTATGATCTGTTTTTTTAGGTGTGTTGAGGCAATTGTATACTATGGCGTGTCATTTGCTTCCGTTTTACTTGGTGGCAATATCTATCTAAGTTTTTTTATCATCAACTCAATGGAGATCCCATCAACTATATTTGCAATTTGGACAGTTGAAAGGTGCATATTCTTCAATCCTCGGGATTTTTTTAATATTTTGTGGATTTAGAGTTTCTGTATCCAGCTGCAATCTATCGATTGCATACCTGTTTGGATGTTTTCCTTTTGTTTAGATTCGGTCGAAAGAAGACGACATTATGGGGCATGGTTGTGGCTTGCGTTGCCTCAATCCTTGGCGTCGTGTTCAGGATGCATCAGGACAATCTCTATGATGGTGATTATTATATTAAATTTATTTTGAACTTCAACTTATATATACTATTGTGCATGTTCGATAAAGACAGTAAGGTAAACCAAATTGCATGTGGAGCGGTTATGCGTTTAGTTAGCAGTAAAGATAAAAATTGATGCCCTCATTACATGTTACTTAGGTTACTGGATCATGACGGTGATTATGGCTATGCTTTCTAAGGGATTTATCAATCTTTCCTTCATTGGTGTTTGGGTGTGGTCAAACGAGCTTTTCCCGACAGTTGTAAGGTAAGTATCACTCACTTACGTTTTAGTTAATTTATTTCAAATTTCAAATCATTTTTCCTATTAGTAACCCGAGGTGCATTATTGAGGTCATTGCTTTAGAGAATGGGATTATACTTTTGATATGGACTTTATTTACGTTTAATTATCATCCCCTGATGAAATGTAATCGTGATAAAAAAGATTGCTAATTTTAAACTTGCATTCCATTCTCTCTCCAGAAACACTGGAATGGGAACAACAAACGGTTTAGCCAGAGTTGGATCATTCCTATCTGGATATGTGATTTGGTTGGTGAGTAGATATATTGCATAATCCGAGCGATTATAAAAAGATTATAACTAATACTAGCACAGCTTATGAATTCAAAGCTAATTACATTATGGCCGGTTGACCAAAAGCCGATTAGTGTAATCCTGGGTTAATTTACGTATGTCTATGAGTCTATCAACTCTTTGTATGCATCAAAAGTAAAAAAATGCCAGCATTCTTTCATAGCCAACATCTTTGAAAACCGAAAAAGCTTTGCTAGAGCTTATCAGCCTATCTGGTACCTGGCTATATTTGCATTATAGTGCCTTCTCCACTATTGACCAAAAGCCGATTAGTGTAATCCTGCCTGGGTTAATTTACGTATGTTTATCTGCTCTTTGGTTGAGAATTATGAAAAAGGAATAATATCTTCTTTCTCTTTCAGACTCGTATTCATCCGCTCATTCCTTATTCTATTTTTGCAACCATGGCGTTCTTTGCAAGTTGTGCTTGCTTAATGTTGCCAGAAACAACTGGGCAGCCAACACAGGAAGTCATATCGGAGGATCAAGTTCCAGCTCAAGAAATTAAACTGATAGATAATATCGATAAAAGCTCGCCCACTCTTCTTCATAAGAATAAAATGTCTGTTTAAAATCTGTACAGACGATCAACGTAACTTTATGATTGAAAAAATAAATTACATATTTTTTCAATAAACTCAATTGATTTTTTGTACAAGAATGCACTTTTGCTATTTTTGCAGCCATGACGCTCTTTGGAAGTTGTGCTTCCAACACAGGAAGTCATATCGGAGGTTCAAGTGACAGATTTAATTCACTCTGTTCGGGCAAGTTTAGTTTTTCAGTCTTTTAGTTATTTTGCCTACCCTCATTTCCTTGCCGCCGCTTGTATGAAGCTTCATTTCCACCTAATCGTTATATAGAGGAAATAAAGACAAATTCGCATCCGAACTATTTCTCATCGGTGGAAATCACTTGTTCACGACAATTTGCTCTGTTACTTTCAATGGTATTTGGTCATTGCGCCTCGAAATATTGGAACATTTATCATTTCTCGGGAATGCTTCAAAAAACGCGGTGCCTATCATCTACGACAAGGAAGAAGTGGTACTTAGCTTTGCAGCTGCTACTGCTGCTGTAATTTTCAGTCTTTAAAATAGCCATTTAACAAAAGTATGTCGTAGCCGTACTAATGGTCGAACTTTTCATGTGCCGAAATAAAACGTTTAGTGTTTCATTTCTTGAAGTAGAATTTTATGCATCTTGATATCGCTCCGTTAAAACATTTCATTAAAAAAGATTGGATAGTTCATTTGCTGTCACGTATGACACCATATAATCTCCGGCACCTTACTTGTTCCCCTCGATCATCGTGTAGCTTGCCTGTTTGCTATTTCTGCATGTATTATGTATATACTTCTCATACGACTCTTCGTGGTGTTGGCAAGTGGTAAAGTCCTTCCTTGTATAGTTGTATTAGAAACTAAATATGAACTGTTCAGGATCACCTGGCCAGTCCATCGTGTCAATTCTAATCAATCTCAGTACCACACCGAACCTCTTCTTTTGCAAATTGCCCTCACTTTAATAATGCGCCTAGTGATTAATCTATAATTCTATATGTACGTAATTGTTTTTCTATTTTCATAACTGATTTTTAGGCTATAGGTGTTCTTTTAAATGTGTTTTGAATTTCCCTGGCTAGCTTCATTGCCGATTGCAAATTGCAATGCAATTATATAAATGAGAAAATGATTGAAGTTTTCTTTTCACAGAGGATTGGCCTCAAAATCACTAATTCATTATTCAACGCCTGTCACTACTTTTTCCTTTGCTGGATCGAATTACATTCTTTGCATTGCGCATGCGCCTTATTTATTAACATACATGCCATCGTGGCCTTTTTACTTTAGTTTTTAGCCTACGGTGCAGAAACTTCAAATTACATGCATGTGTTCCTTTGTAATTCGAAGCGTCTGCAAAAAGTAGAAACGCTTTCTACTTTTTATCTATTCGCGCGAATAAATTGCATGGCCTTGTGGAAAACGGGCTTAAGGGTCTAATTCCACGGGCGCTTTTTCTCAGGCGCTTTTTCTGTTTCTTTTAAAATTTGAACACTTGAATTGATTAATTCTACTTCGTTGCTTACAATTCAAAAGAAGTAGGCGAAATATTTCGACGAAAATTTAGCCCGTGGAATTAGAGCTTAAGCCAACTGATAAATTTGAGCAAATGAGTTGCTTGATATTTTTCGGAACGCTTCTATTACCGCGACTGTGCCGACAGTTTCTTCGATCACGATCATCGTCCAATATCGAATTACATCGCCGTATATTGTATTCCTTTGTAAACCGCACAACGAAAGAGCCCAATTTGAACAGACTGTGAATTAGCGAGTAACGCGAGAGAGAAATGGCAGACAGAATTACTGTGGACGAGGCTCTTGCAAAACTGGGAGGTTTCGGCCTATTCCAATGGCTAATCTACCTAGGCGCAAGTATTGCAGAAATGGCTGTTACGTATCAAATATTTCTGTTGACATTTATTGCCGCAGAGCCAAAATGGGTTTGTAAGAATGAGAGTATAATATGCAATTTCACCAAGTCTATAGGATTGAATGATGATGATTATGAAGCTAGATGCGATATGCCCAGATCGGAGTGGAAATTTGCTGATGATTTTACGTCCATCGTAACTGAGGTTGGTTGAACGCATCTTCTCGAGTCGACATCCCGTCGTACAATAGAGGCAACCTGCAGTAGTAGGTCACGCAAAATATACTGTACTGTAGACGTGAATTTACGTTTTCAACTGTCGAAATATCACACAACTTCGTTCCTTGTACACAGAAGGCCCTGGGAACAAGGTTGAATATCACAAAAATCTTCACCGACTTCAAGGTTAACGCTAGGTTAAAAATAGCTGTATGAGATTTAAAACCGCAAATATATTTTAGAAATAAGCGACCTCAGTACTACATGAATAACAAATGTTTATTCTTATACGGTGACATTCTTACTCAGCATTTTAGTTGACTGATGCGTGGTTTGGACCTCGGTTTGAACCATACTTCAACATCTCTATGGCCCTGGGGCCGGTTGTTCGAAAGACGTTTAGCTTTCAAACGGTCAGTGGATAAGCCAAAAACGCCTTTTGAACAACCGGCCCCTTGGGTCTATATTTCGGTATATTCAACCATGTAAAAACCGATTATACCATATTCCGGTATATTGAACCTTATCAAGATGGAATATACTAGATTCCGGTATATTAGACCATACCAAGGTCGAATATACCACATTCCGGTATATTCGACCATATCAAGGCCGAATATACCATATTCGAATCGAGTATACCTATATCGACCATGGTCGAATACACCGAAAATGACAGAAAAAAACTAACATGACAGAAATAAGTGTTTGAACTAATATTATATGAGGCCTCCGTCGACGCTGAACCAATTTAATAGTTTGATTTAGTGTGTGATGACTCGATCCTCGCCACAGTTGCCAGTATGTTTATTTTCGCGGGATGGATTATCGGTAGCGTACTGTTTGGTTTTCTCTCGGATAGATTTGGGCGTAAAGTAGCGTTTTTGTCTTGTGTCATAAACATCAGCGTCGTCGCCCTTATTGGCGCTTTTGTTAACGCCCTATGGCAGTTCATCATAATCAGATTTTTTGTTGGAGTTGGCATTGGTAAGAGTCATTGTTTAACTTAATATTATAATTAAGTTGCCTGCATTGTTGCAGAGAATTAGTGGCGTCGGAAGAATACACTGACGGGGGAGATCGTTAACTAAGTGGGAGGGGGGGGAGGCTGTTCTGCTGACATGAACATATAAATATTAGCCCCGCACAACGATCTTTCGCCGCCACTGAAATAGTCATCACTATACTGGTATTTTTTTAAATCCCAATAAGATATAAACGCAAAAATCGAATAGAGATTAAACGCAATATTCATGACTGGCTAGTGCATGTTGCATTTTTTATACACCCTGTAGATTCATAAGACAGAATGATCAATATGTAACGGATAAAAATTTTAAGATATCATATAGCTGTATTATTGAAATAAAAAAAGTCCTTTCTTACTTTCCATTCCGTTTCACAGGTTGTTCCGCATCGCTGTTCATTATTCTCAGTGAATTCTCAGGCGTTAAGCACCGAGGCACTATGGGAGTTATTTTCTGGTTTTCGTTTATATTTGGATTATGTATACTACCGTTGTATGCGCACCTCATCCGAGATTGGCGGAAGTTGACAATCCTCACAAGTTGCCTTGGATTCCCTGCTTTTATTGTTTGGTGGTAAGATATTCGTCATCGTTTACTGTGCATACATGCATGTGGCACGTGACGGTGCATGGTACATTTCGCAGAATTTCTTTCACAGATCTGTTCGGAGAAACGCATTAGGCTGCAGAATAATCTACATAAGGGGGGAGTGCTACTATTTTTGTCGGCTCTATAACATTCTTCACGTGTAAAAAAGAAGGGCGATGTTTTTTACGGTTGTTTGGTTGTGTCATCTTTTTCAGTTTATTTTTGCGGGAGTAGTGGAGTTTGGAAATACATTCAACAATTAAACCTTCAATTGCATAATCAGTGAGACGTGTTGCTTTGCGGCTATGGTCCCCTGATATTGGCTTCCTACACGCTTTTTTAACCTAAACTTCGTGATCACAGTTTTGTATGAAAACCATTAGCGTGATATCTATAATTCCTGCAATGTCCACACAACTAAAGTTGGGGTTCATTCCCAACTGTTTTCCCCTCCTCCCTACGTCCATGAAGAATTGAAATTTCGCAATTGGCCTATAGAAACATGCCCTCCCAAAAGAATATCTATGAACCGACATTCTTAAAACGGCATTTCCCGACGGTATCTTTACAGTATCTTGACGGTATCTTGCAGTTGAATGAGTTGGAAATGTTCCTTAAATAAATCTCGTGGAGAAATCAACCCGCCGAGCGGAACAACAAGGACCACCTTTGCATCATCAGTCAATATTTTAGCGCTGTTCCTACGTTTTAATGTCAAACGTCCTACGACACTGACATAAAATACGAGAGATTCTTGAAATTATCCATGTAATCAAGTTGACTTTAATCAATACACATTATAGGATATTTCCGGAATCAGTGCGTTACTATTTGATCAAAGGGAAGGAGGATGAAGCACACGAGGTGTTGGAGAGAGTTGCAAAATACAACAGAAAACCCATCATTAAGGACAAGCTGGAACAAGTTGAGGAAGAACAAAAATCTTCACTGAAAGATTTGTTTGCCACTCCAACGATCAGGAAATATACATTGTTGTCCTGTTTTATATGGTTTGTAACGAAGTTATCGCGATTTAACCGTTGGTTTAAATCTTTGCACTTCCAGCTTTCCATGTATATAATAGATGAACGCGCATGCATGCATTTTAGCGGATACATTTTAGCGTTTTAAATCTCTTTTAATTCTACGTTTGGCCAACCATGCATCTCTTCATTTCCCCACATGTCGATCTGTAATTATGATTTTGAATAACATATTATTTATCTTTCATCAAAGTTTATTTCTCTTTTATAGTCTATATATCCTTTATAACTCTTTATAAAAACTTCGGTCTTTGCAACACTTTGTCTTATATGTTTACAATCTGTTTTTTCAGGTGTGTTGAATCAATTGTATACTATGGTGTGTCATTTGCTTCCGTTTTACTTGGTGGCAATATCTATCTAAGTTTTTTTATCATCAACTCAATGGAGATCCCAGCAACTATACTTGCAATTTGGACAGTTGAAAGGTGCATATTCTTCAATCCGCAAGTATTTGCGGAATTTTTTTAATATTTTGTGGATTTACAGTTTCTGTATCCAGCTGCAATCTATCGATTGCATACCTGTTTGGATGTTTTCCTTTTCTTTAGATTCGGTCGAAAGAAGACGACATTGTGGGGCATGGTTGTGGCTTGCGTTGCCTCAATCCTTGGCGTCGTGTTCAGGATGCATCAGGACAATCTCTATGATGGTGATTATTATATTAAATTTATTTTGAACTTCAACTTATATATACTATTGTGCATGTTCGATAAAGACGGTAAGGTAGACCAAATTAGTTTTATTTTGATTTTAAATGCTTGATTCAATTATAGACAGTGCCCGTGTTAAGTGGAAGGATTCAGTGCACGTGGAGCGGTTAAGCGTTTAGTCAGCAGTAAAGATAAAAATTAATGCTCTCATTATACTATTACTTGTTACTTAGGTTACTGGATCATGACGGTGATTATGGCTATGCTTTCTAAGGGATTTATCAATCTTTCCTTCACTGGTGTTTGGGTGTGGTCAAACGAGCTTTTCCCGACAGTTGTAAGGTAATTATCACTTATATGTTTCAGTTAATTTATTTCAAATTTCAAATAAAATTTCCTATTAGTAACCGGCCGAAGTGCATTATTGAGGTCATTGCTTTAGAGAATGGGATTATACTTTGGATATGGACTTTATTTACGTTTAATTATTATCCCCTGATGAAATGTAATCACGATAAAAAAGATTGCTAATTTTAAACTTGCATTCCGTTCTCTCTCCAGAAACACTGGAATGGGAACAACAAACGGTTTAGCCAGAGTTGGATCATTCCTATCTGGATATGTGATTTGGTTGGTGAGTAGCTATATGGCATAATCCGAGCGATTATTAAAAGATTATAACTAATACTAGCACAGCTTACATATTCAAAGCTAATTACACAATGGCCGGTTGACCAAAAGCCGATTAGCGTAATCCTGGGTTAATTTACGTATGTTTATCAACTCTTTGTATGCATCAAAAGTAAAAAAATGCCAGCATTCTTTCATAGATGCCAACATCTTTGAAAACCGAGGAAGCTTTGCTAGAGCTTATCAGCCTTTCTGGTACCTGGCTATATTGCACGTGCTACTGCACGGGAAAAACGACGTTTTGAGCTGTACCGGCCGGGTGAAGGGGATTTCCGTTGACTTGCGTAGATGACAAGTAGTCTAAGTAGTACCTCCAAAAATGGTGGATTTACAAAACATCGTTATTTTAAATAGCTTTGGTTGAGAATTATGAAAAAGGAATAATATCTTCTTTCTCTTTCAGACTCGTATTCATCCCCTCATTCCTTATTCTATTTTTGCAACCATGGCGTTCTTTGCAAGTTGTGCTTGCTTGCTGTTGCCAGAAACAACTGGGCGGCCAACACAGGAAGTCATATCGGAGGGTCAAGTTCCAGCTCAAGAAATCAAACTGAGTAATACCGATAAAAGCTCGCCCACTCTTTATAAAAATAAAATGTCTGTTTAAAATCTGTACAGACGATCAACGTAACTTTATGATTGAAAAATTTTCTCAATAAACTCAATTGATTTTTTGTACAAGAAAGCACTTCCTTATGCTATTTTTGAAACCATGCGGGCGTTCTTTGCAAGCTGTGCTTGCTTGTTGTTGCCAGAAACCACTCAGGCAACCAACACAGGAAGTCATATCGGAGGCTCAATAAATCGAATGCAAGTGAACTTAAATAAAGACTGAAACAGGCCTTAGGCTTAGTGAATCTAAAAATGATGATTATTGGTCTACATGGCGGATAGCGTGGATAGCGCCAGCCTGGTTCCCGGCGCGGGTTTTACCACTCACTGGAAACACTCCGACCTGCCGAGAGTGCGAGACGTTATCGCGGGAAATTCGAAGAACGTGCGTGACTGCGCGAAGTAAATGTGAAGTATGCTGCGGCCGGTTGTTCGAAAGGCGTTTAGCTTAAACGGCAGAGTTTAAACGGTGGATAAAAATAGAAAACCAAGTTATCTATTGATTGAACAACTGAGCTGAAATATTTCGATGTAAATAGTTTAATTGTCAATGGAAGTACATAGTCAAAGGCATAAGATGCAGGTTCAGTCATATGGAAGTACATAGTTAAGAGCATAAGATGCAGGTTCAGTCATTCACAAGATGTATGAGAGTATTTTTAATCTTTGGCTTATCCACCGTTTAAGCTAAACGCCTTTCGAACAACCGGCCCCTGGTAACAAAGTCAAGGATTTGCTTCTTCACTGCCAGCGTTGCTAAGTTCGGGATTTTATCCCGAGATCTCGGCATTTTTTAAAGCAGTTGGGATTCTTTTGGGATTTTTTTTTTAAATGCAAATCTCGGGATTCAGTTTTTTCGGGAATTTCAATTAGAACTTAATAGTCTATGTTTCGGTAAACCTGACCAAAAGATATGTATCACAAATCTAGTTTTCGTCAAATCATATTTATTTTGAAGTTCTTTTCAGCTGTATAATTTGATTTCTTCATTTACTTGTCGCATTTTTTATATCTTGTCGCACAAGATTTCATATAATCCCTGGAACTATGACTCTATGAGCAGGGAATATCGGGATTTTTTCAATGAACTCCATATATGCTGCCTCCTCCCTGCAAAATATCACCGCCCGCCATATTTGCCCGAAAAGGGCTTGCGGATGAGGAGGAACATAGGAGGTAGGATATCGAGATTGATGGGGTTCACTCTTCGCTCACTTCACCGGACCCAGTGACTGCACCCAAGAACGTTTTTGAGTATCGGGGAATCAAGAATCATTGGAAAATATATCTGTATCATTTGTGGTCATGGTAAGCTTGATAATATTGTGGTTTATTGGAAGGATTTAGAGAATCCTGTCATTTCACAGCATAGTTTATACGGTATTATTACTATACTCCTCAGTCCCTAACTACAGCCAAATACATATAGAATTATCAATTAATTCAAAGGCAAAGAGTGCCCCAAGGAAACTGCCAGCATGCTTTCAACAAGGAATGGGTGAATCTGGTCTTCAAGTAATGAAATTTCATGGCAAAGTGTATTATTGTTCTCAAAAAGATGATTGTAATTTTATATGTAATCAAATGAGGTAAGACTGAAAAGTGTGATTGGATTATCTATGCAGTAGGAATTAGTAGTCTTGGAGCTGTAATATACTCTATGTATCAATCAATTTAAATGCTACAGGCAATATATACCTTAGGACAGGATATTCAACAACAATTATTTGCAAAACATTTGCAAAATTTGTTTAAACTGTAAATCTAGTTTCTAAAGTTAGATCCACTTGATGAGTACTCAAGTGTATTTATAATGTTCACCAAAATATAGGGTGCCAGACTGCCAGTCAGTCAAAGTCAGGATAATTTAATTATCTGATTAAATGTATAATTAGATGATTAAGTTTAATTCACTGAAATAATATGTTTCCTTAATATCTCCAGGTTTTCTATCTATACTTACTGTGAAACCTTTGTAATTCTGTGATAGTTAATCTGGATGATCACTTATACTGTAGAACAGAAAGTACTGAAGTTGTTGGTTTTGACATCGAATGGAAAGTCACTTTTACCAATGAAGTGAGAAGAACAGCATTAATTCAACTTTGTCCATCAAGAGATATTTGTTATCTTTTTCATATATCAATGATGAATGGTATGATATAGTCTAATGTTAGAAATAATTGCTATATTTTTTATGTATAATGACTATTTGCTTCTTTGACCTGCAGTTATTAATTGACTTTTCTAAAACATTTAACTAAGGTTTTCCATCCGAGCTAAAGCTACTACTAGAAAGCGAGGCGATCACAAAAGTTGGTGTTGGAATACACAAGTCAGTTAATTACTTAAATTGAAATAGTCTTAGTGAAATTGAATGGCATTTCCAAGATTTTCACAACTTTCCTAGAATGTTAGATCATTTGGTATTGTCTTCTATAGTGACATGCAAAAATTAACGAGTGATTTTGGTGTGAAAGCAAAAGGTTATTCAGAACTTTCGGATTTGGCAAATCTAAAGCTCAAAACATCGGAAAAATGGAGTCTTAAAGGTTTAACAATGAATTTAGTAAGTATATCAATGTAATTCAGTAAGGTTTAGGCTATCGTTTTATGCGTTTTTAAAAAGGTTATCACCTCGACTTATATTGTTTTGATACACAGCCGATTCAAACGGGAAAATAATCAAAATGTTCCCAATTGATTAAATTCGTTCCAACTTCTGTCACTGTCATTAATTAATAATGATTAATGTTTAATTACACACATTTTTGCCTAACCACAAAAGTGAGTACTGGCTTCCCGTCTCTCATTAGAGTTGTACTTTTGGTAGTAAGTAGTACGATGATGCCCATTTCTTATAAAGTGTAGGAGTTCTCTCGCATGCTATAGGTTTTGATATCAATATGACTGTGTTACCATTAATTGACATATCGCACTATGCCTGCAGTTAGTCAGATATACCGCCAACATTTTAGCTTGTTTCCTGGTTTGAATTATATCACTTTATGCACGGTGTATTGTGTTGCCGCCAGGGCTGGAAATGTTCCATCGGCCAGCTGTTTTTTTACTGATACTGTTCAAGTGCTCATCGTTTCCGGAAATCGTATTCCTTTTCACACGCATATCCATGAACGCAGATTCTAATTTCGTTTTAAGGGCTGCTTTCGTATACGCACGTTCTCGTAGGTACTCGCACGTACACGCACGTAAAAGTCTAAATCCTTATGTATATGTCATATTTGAAAAAGCTAGGCAAATAAATCGAAAGAACTTAGCTTTCTGCATATTTTAGTATGCGTTTGTTGACACATTTGTGTCATTTGTTGCATTGCCATTAGTAAATGCACTTTGTTGACCAAAGCATCTAAACTTTTCCGCGCGCAAAAAACGTGTTGGTGGAAAGCAGCCCTAAGAAAGTGCTCTTCCGTGTCGTAGACATTATCTCAAAAACGACTACTGAATTTTTAAAGATAACTTTAATCTTGTGGCTCTCATTCTTGTTGGTTTTTTTGAGATGAATCATTCAGTTATACATGCATGCACTATTATCATCTATATTACGATGCACTATACACTACTAATATATTAACAAAAAATAACGTGTCGATTGATGGAAGAATCGGTGTTTTATCAAAGAAACTAAAGAAAATAACTTGAGTAAAATAGTATAAATACAGTTTTCAACCACAGATAATTACATGACTATATATGTTGCGTGACTGATTTGATTGAATTGATATGCATGTACTTTTTCACTCTTACCAGTTATATTGTTATATGGTTTAAAAATTGAATATGTTTTAATAAAATTGGCTCTTTCAAATCAGATACCGCGTTGACTTTTTTTTATTTCATTTGTTTTTCATGTAAGAATTTTCGATTTAGACAATAAATGTGCAACACAACCAAGGCATATATATTCATTTTATTTATCGTATAACTTTGGCACAGGCCACAGCGTAATTCTTCTATCAACCGTCTGCATTATTTCGAGTTGCTAAAGTCACTTGGGCGTGCTATTTATCATGCTGAAATTTTTATTTATCTGCAACAATGTAATCTTGATCTCGTTTATCAAGCGGGTGGAGTATGGCATTTATTAAGTGTAATGCACTTATCTCAAATTTACGATTTATAACTGTCAAAAAATTTTCCCCAAGTGGTTCACATGTTTTATATGTCATACTATATGAATAACATTCTTAAATTTTCGATTCGAGAGTAATTGTTTGTTATATACATCCGAATATTTTGGCTGTTTCACTGTAAAAAGTAACCACATTAACCGCCTACTTATAATATTTGATATCAAATATGATCTCTTTGATTAAAGAATTTACCTTACATTTTACCTTACATAATTTATCTTTTTTGAAACTTTACTGAAAACAATACTTTTACTCTCGTGTATTAAGCGAATACTCCGTATATGCATACATGAAGGCTAAAATATGTGAGATAAGTTAGAGTAGAAAGTATAGTCCACAAGTTGTTAATATATTAACTAGTTTCATATCTGAGAAGATGTATCAACGTTAATGTCAGTTCAAAAGGATTCCTGACGCATGAAGTTATAGACAGCGTGGTAAATTAATAATGAACTAACTTGAACTGTTTGGACTTACTATGGGTATTTGTTTACAGTCACTTGACTGTCTCATTAATCGAACAGACCGAATGGCGACCTGCCTTATTTTGTGGTGCACAGGTATAGGTCCTATCTTACTCATCTATTTACGTTTTGACGTTTTGTTCCTTGTTTGCTTAAAAAAATGAGTTTTTTCAAGATATGGCCGGATTACTGCTGGTATAAACAACCAACCTACATCATACAGCTGTGCATGTCATTTTAAAGGTCGGAACTTTTCGTTCGAACGGTTAGTGCAGATCTAGTCTGTAATCCAGAGTCTGTAATAGAGTATTTAGAATTTAAACTGAGTTTATCTATCAAGTTCGCTACGTTAGAGCAATTTCTTCTAATATCATTTTAACGAGTGATTTATACTAATTACATACTATCATATATAAGCTGTATATTTTCCATTTGCGGTTTTTTCGCACGAACTAATATGTGTCTTCGCGGCCCATGGACCAAAACACGTTTACATTAATGCAACCCTTGCATGACGGTATAGATTAAGGTGTGACGCAAGATTTAGGAAAATATCACGGTTAGATCAAACTTTGATACATGAACAGAATTACGTCAAATTGTATCAAAGTTTGTTTTTACTAATGCTGGGTACGTCACCGTATCTGGGAGCAGATGTATGTACGCACGTTTGCATTGAGTTAACTCCAAAATCCTCGACTATAATTGGTTAACTCTCATGCAGACTTATAAAAAATAAGTGATTTAGCTTGTAGGGTTTACGGACCGAAAGCTTTGCAGTATTAAATACTTACGTGGTGTACCTACAAGCTAAATTACTCATCGACTGTCACCATGCAAACATACAAGAATATTATAAAAAATAATTAAATTTACCAAATTTTCAGTATACAATTAATCCCATGCTTTTAGCTGTTAAATGACGGGTTTGTGGTGTCTCATGAGCATGCATTAATAATAGAATGTCACACATCGTTTAATAAAGCCTATTTTGAGAAATTAAATTATATTCGTGGCTCCCTTTCGTTTAGCATTGTGCATGCATGCAGACGGTAAAAAGTGGGTTTTCACCGCGAGATTTTTTATGGAACTCATATTTAGAATATTCAATCTCCATAATATTACTGCGAAATACCTGTCGTTCACCAGCTTTTTTGTCTATTATAATTCCCCAAAGCATTATATAGACTCTAGGTAGATAGTCAGAGAAAAAGAATCACTGACTTACAAGGTATATATAAGCCTGAAATTATACCCGTGCTTTCGTAAATGAAGGTAATCAATGACAAAATTGTAGGATGACAAGATTGCTGACCATAACATTTTTTGATAAATATAATAAATATTAACATGTAAAAAAATGTATATCCCCTGTAAGCCTCTCTTAAACCTCTGTTTTTTATATTACACCCTTTTGTACTCCCTATACCGTATACCATCCTCCAATACTCCTAATTACCTACTACCCCTTATACCCTCTACACCTATCCAGGACCGTAGCTAGAAGCTTAATTGGCCAGGGGTGGGATGCATATTCGTCTTATGCCTGACTGATTTCTTTTATAATTACGAAAGCTCTATATCTGCCACCCCAACCCTTTTTCTGAAGTTCATCAATTCACACGTGTAAATGAAATTGGCACGTTTTAACATGTGGTTTTGCATGACTTTTCCCAAAGAGTGGTTTGCTAAACAAATAATTTAAAAGAGAAATTCCCCCTCAATGCAATAGCAAGGCCGCATGATACCCTTCATGGTGGAAAAGTAATGTCATAAAATATCTTGTATGTCTTTTTTTGTGTTTTCTTGAGCTAACGTTCTGTTCACATGACCTAGCGCACAATTTATGTTATTTTATCTTTTCATTAACATTGTTTTCATACGACGAATCGTAACAACATCGACGCCAATTCTGCTGTTTTCCACGAGTATAAGTGATATATATCCTAATTGAAATTGGCAACGATGACAGATGCCTTTCCTAATCCACTGTATAAAGCCCCCCGACTTATAAGCATGTAGTTTATCTCAGGTTATCTGAGGTTTTGATGGAAAGATGTCTCACTAATTTCCCTAACTATTTATGACGTAAACATTAACTAGCTAGCAACAATAGCAAGAATTTTCAAACTAGACATCAAAATTTCATTGGAACTTTGAGGTCACAGAGTCGGAATAAGGAAGTGACACGTCTGTTACCTTTGTCAGTAGAAATATAATAAGTGCTTGGATAATCAGGTCTATCTTGGGGTGTATATCCAAGGTATTTTCCACGTCTATATTCTATTTTACCGTTGTATTAATTAACTAACTGTGGTAGTTTACGAGCCTGTATCATTGATGTCTAATTTTCATGACTGTATGTGTAAGAAGACTAAAGGTAATATCATATAGCTAGCTATACGTACAATCATCTGGAACGAAACGGTTGAATCTGATGTTGAATCCTGGCCTTGTGTCTTTTTCACTTCCCACTATGCCTGCATGCATCTCACCTCGTCACAACATACTCCTTACGGAAACGTTTATACACAGTGAATGGGGCCGTTTAACATCTTTCAACGAACTTTTGAAACGGATCAACACCCTCGCGTCGTCTAAGGTCACGAATGAGTTTTAATTCATTATCAACTTCTGAATTTTGCAGTTTAAACAAAGGATACCAAAGGATAATAAAGTCCGATGTAGTGATTGGGAGAAGTATCCACTTTCAAGAACACAAGAAAGTTACGCCGCCCTCGATGCTTATGTACGTACGAAAATTATATAATTAGTATATAATGTATATATATAGGTAGCTACGTCACGTTTAGCTATACCTTTTTCAACTGCGATTGTATAGGTAGGAATGGCGTGGTAGAAAAACGTGAAATTGTATTCTCGCGGCTATTCCTGGTTAGATCTATCATTCTATAGAAATTTTCGTTCGAATATTCTGCAAGGAGATTACAAACACCAAAAGCATTAATTCTACCGATCAAATTGGCCTAAAAATATAGCATGACTACGAGATCACGAGCTTAAGTTAAGTCGTGTGCGCAATTAACATAGCGAAATTCTAACATCCTTTCATTAAAAATTTGGCAGATATTTAGTTTGATTCTCAATATTTTTATTGCTTTTTAATGTACACTGTTTCTTGTCATTTTACAACTATATATTTATTTTCGATATCTTCATGCAGTTATTTGTTTTGTATTTATGCATGGTCAAATTTCCAGGTTTTATTAAACACTGCCTTTTTCTGATCAGTCATCAGTATATAGTGTCTTCGGTCGAGTTTTGTTTTTACTGCTCGCCATTTTAAGCTGATATAAGGTGGGGATCGAGCTTAACCAATCACATAGCACCACAGGCTATATTAATGCCTATATAGCTACATTTTATAACCACTGCCTAAAATAGACGAAAAACTCTCGTGACAAAGACCCTGTAGGTAGAAACGTCGAGGCGTTTTCTTGTATATATAGTTGCTATGACGCACGAATGGGAGTTATGTATGATGGATGAGAGTTATTCGAAGCCACAGACAAACTATTCCTTATATTTTGGAATGTATAGCCATAGCTCTAGTATTTATATATATTGTCGAGAATTTGTGGAAAAGCACAGTGTGCGAAACATCTTTTACGATTTCCCTATATTTATGATCACATATGTAATATGTGATAAGCTCCAAAATCGCAACATATGGAGCATTATATCCACAGTTAAATAGCCTCTGTATCGCGACTGTCATGCACTAACGGCCTCACTGCATGCGGACTGCATTCTTACCGCGGGCATTCGCCAGCCAGTCGCCGAGCACATTTGCATATTTGCCAATTTTTTTCACATTTTCATGTGAAATCTAATTCTATATGTCGACCTAAGCTCGTATATTTGTGACATCACATTACATACATTATAGATGGGAATTGTCAATTCTTTGCTAACTGCGAACTTTAGACTTAAAGGCATTTATAAAATATTTAGCTTGCTTGGACTGTAATTAAATGTAAAGCTAAAAAATTGCCTTTCGTCTGGAAGGAGAATAGGAATTAATCGGGAAAAGGAAACTTTTCACGCTTCAATATTGTGTTGCATGTCTCAATATAATTTCTTGTTTAATTACTTCAAATTATGTTTATCATAGAATTGCCAGCGAGTAATTCGCTAACGCTTATACTGAGTATAGATTCCACAAAACACCTGCATTTGGTGAATTCAATTGTAGATAAAATCATGTCAGCAGATAGAATTAATAATTTGTTAATTGAGAAATCAACACTTTCCTCTATTAAAAATTGAACATTTTAAAAAACCCTTTATTTATTATGCTATCGAACTTATATATACATGCACGCACCCTTCGGGGTCCCGATGCCATCTGGTATGCCATAAGCATGGGGCAACCGCAAGTTAACAATTGTAACAGTAATATATCTCGCTCTAATCGGAACACGTACGTATATAGCTACATATACCGTATATAAGATAAATTATATAGTTGCTCCATTTTTTGTGTTCGTCTTAAGCGCATTCAGCCGTTCGTCTACCAGCTATGGCTGGAACTGATCACCAAAAGGCGTACTTCGCTATATATTGGGTAAAAGAGTAAAATACAATATTTACAATTCTGACCATGAAGTTCAACTGCATGGGCTATGTAAACACATGCATATATATGTATATTTAAACACATGCAGATGCGTGACATTTCCGTTTTATCGTATATTAAATGTTCATGCAGACATAATTTCCTCTATATGAGACATGCAGTCATTTTTTTAAAAAATTCCTCAGTTCGTAAATGGTTGTTGAAACATATAATGCTATATACTGTACGATTGACATGAATATACGTTTCAATCCGTTACGCCGTGACGGGGAGGTTTAGTACGTGCCAAAGTTGACTAGTTCTATAGAAAATAAACCTTATTCCTTCATCTTCACTCCATTCAGAAATCTATCTGTAATCTTTATAATCTCAAATATTTAGTGCTGCCCATGGGGTAGTCATTTTGTGTATTGATTGAGATTACTAGTAATTGTATAGGGAATGCAGAGTCGCTGTAAAAGTTTTAATGCTTATATATATCATTATTATTATAATTCTCGCATATTTCTTTGTCTTAGTTTGTTTTTCTTCTTATATATTCTTTGATGTTTTATGTGCATCCCCTTGGCCTAGATACTATAGTTCCTTACGTGTGTGATTCGATGGAATGCGCGCGCAGACTGTTGAGAATATAGGTATACGTATGTCAAACAAACAAGCAAGCAAGCAAGCGATAAAAAAGTACTTTTTGTGTGGGATTACGTTTCTATTTATCCACCTGGATAGGATGTAAACAAGCAGTGGGAGAATATTTTTCGATCAGTATTTTAGACGTAGAAACAGCAACCTTAAGTTTGGCAAAACATTCGCTTTGTCAGACACGGCCGGAAAACGATAAGAGGATTATAGCTAAACGTTGTTATAAGTGGTTGGGACCAAAGTCATGCAACAAAGACTGAATTCAAATATCTTATTCCAAGACATTATAAAGTGTGTGGATAAATGAAATTTCAATTGGCAGAATTTTTTTCCAAGACAACAGTTTCCGACTATTTTTTTCATCATACACCCAAGCATGCCGTATCATGCATATTTATTTATATTAATTGCATCTTCACCACAAACGGATTACCGGATTTTTTTTCAGATCTATACATACTTTGTGGTTTATCTTTGTACAAGTTTTTTTCCTGAAGATAATCCCTCTGTTTGAACATTGCCAAATTTGCAAGTGTTATTATCTGAACGAATTAAACCTTGGCTCCAAAATGGCGTGCATTGCTCTACGTATCAAGATCGTAAAGATTTTTTTCTAAATAACATCATTTCGACAAACTGGGAATCGGCATAAATATAAATGTGCCCTATCGTATCTGTGATTTTTTTTCTTATGTCCTGTCAAGATCAAAACGTGGGGTCGTGTTTTTTGACTTATAACCTTAGTAAACTCCGAAGGTGTGACTTTGCTAACCGGTTAAAAATGTATGATTATTAGCTTCAAGGTAGACCACGTGTATTGTACTGCAAAAAAGTTTAAAAAATGAATAAAAAGAAGATATGTTTATACTGCTGTTCGCTATATTAGTATATACATGCAAAACTGCAGGAATGAAGAATATGTTAGAAAATTCGCACGAAATTTGGATGCTATATAATAACATATTAGGCGTTGCATTGTGTAGTGTTGTAAATTTCAGGAAATTTACCGGCTTAATTGGAAACCCTCAAAAACGTTATTTTCGTACAATCCCCGTATGTATTTCATTTGTAACAAAATGCAAATTGTCTATAATCGCATTAATTATGCGGTTTTGCGCGACGTTTTGAAGGGCTTATAAACTTAGGAAAGTTTCATTTAATTTCGATCAGCTTATTTGCACTGCCATCATTTTTGGAACGACAGACTATAATAATTATATATAACCAGGAAGCAGCGTGACAGCGTCTTCAAACAACTTAGCATCAAATGTGGTATAACAACTGCCTAAAATAGACAAAACACTTCTTGACGTTTCGACCTGAGGACCTTCGTCAAGAGAGTTGTATACTAACTCTCCCGACGAAGGCCCTCAGGTCGAAAGGTCGAGAAGTGTTTTGTCTATTTTAGGCAGTTGTTATACCACATTTGATGATAAGTTATAATAATTATGTATATATGTATATAGTAATTATTCAAATATTTTAGCGGGGACTCGCGTCGAAAGACGACTCGCATATAAACAGCTCATTTTTTTGCAAGCTGTTGCTGGTAGAATATGCCTATTGCCTATATATGATTGAAGACTCGATATATATCTTAATTGTGAGGAAGTCGGGTCTTTCAGGAAATAGTCAGTCTTTTGACATATACCCTTTTCCCTGTAAACATTTACATATTTTGCGCCCAATGTTCTAAATTAATTTAACCTTGACAGCATGTACGTATGGATCTCGTGAACTAATTCTTTCGTCAATGTTTTTCTAATTGCACATGCAGGTTTGTTTACGTCATAGATGTCTTTTTTTGGAATTATTATTTTTTTTCATTTAAAAATATCATTGTCGCCCACAATAAGAATGGATAAGTAGTTATAAATAAATCTTTCTCAGGAGGAACTGGGAGTTAATCAGATATGCATGCATGATGTTTTCCAACTTGGTCATATGAGGAATACCAGGGCGTGTTTCTTATTTCCTGACCATGACCTGCGCATGCGCATTCAATTTAGATAGCCTACTGAAATATGCTATCTAATTAAAAGAATTCAAAAATTTAATTTAATCTGGTCTTTGGTTTTCTCATTATTTTTGTTTGGCTATCGTATAGAGGTGAAATAAAAATACACCGCTGACAAGTATACGTTTTTTTGCCACAATTAAGTTTCGGAGACGATCGTGATAGTTTTAAAAAATCTTTAACCTGCTTTTTAAGCTATACATCATTTGTCAGCCAGCTATTTCTAATCAATGTTTGATAATAAATGTTTAGCAATCTTGACCGGACAGTTAAAAATATATACTACAATCAGTTTATATTTTACGGAGGAGAATGATCGTATGGCTACTAATGTCGGCAATCAAATAGAGTTGAACTGTGCTGTTTTGCATTAATTCGTGAGATCATTTCGCAAAAGAACCAATACTATATATGCAGATATACAGACTTTAATTAATTCATAGGTGCAACGACTTTACCAAGAATAGTTGGTCAGTATAGAAGAAAGTCTCTTCTATACATGTATATGCATTTACTTGGTTTCAAACCCTTTGTTAATTTTTCATATAATTAAGATAACGATCTATATTTTACAACTTCTCAGTTAGTATAGTAATCTGGCCTATACTTTAGTTTATAATTAAACTTTTTCAAGCTTTATCGTATATCTTAAAAAAATGCGTTTACAAATGCATGTTATTGCTATGGTAATATATATATATATACTGGGTGTCCCAGAAAAAAGTACTCCGGTTTGATTCATAATAGCTTCTAAACTAGCTAAGCTATTAACTAGATAGAGGGAAGACTAACTTAGATTTTGATATATTACAGTTGTATTTTACTTTAAAATTTACGGAGATATCAATGTTCAAAATTGGTAGCATATTTCTGGATGTGTCTAAATTATATTGATTAACATTTGATACGGCGTTTTTTGCATAATTTAGACACCTCCAGAAATATGCTACCAATTTTGAACATTGATATCTCCGTAAATTTTAAAGTAAAATACAACTGTAATATATCAAAATCTAAGTTAGTCTTCCCTCTATCTAGTGAAAGTTATTTCAGTTTAATAGCTTAGCTAGTTTAGAAGCTATTAATAATCAAACCGGAGTACTTTTTTCTGGGACACCCGGTACAGAGACAAATCTTCCAGGCAAAAGGAAAAAAAAAAGGATTGGTTTATAAGCCTTTGACGATGAGCTTTTTAATTTAAGTTCATTATATGCATGCAATCGTCAATGTATAACTCCGAAACTTATGATGCAGAAAGTACAATTATATAATACAATCGAAGAACGTTTACGCATACGTCAAAATATGCCTCCTTGCACTGACACTGCGATAGCTTTACTCAGACTACCAAAATTTAGCTAGATTTTATATTTGTCATTCTATATATATTCTATAAAATCTTGTTTAAATTGTCACATTTTCAAGAATGAATCAGTTTTTTATAGTCCGTTCAAAATTTCTAAAGCAAGTCCTTCAAAACTTAGGAATATACCCATGCCAAATTTCATTTCATACCGAAATTTTAAACCGAGTGTAAACCCAGTAACCATCGGTTTTTATATGGCAAAAAGCTCAACATTGATTGTGATCAACATTTATATTGCAACCTTTTTCTGTACACGTCACATATGCCTATTGTCCTGCGTATGAATATATAATATATTTCAGTGTCTGAAGTATTTGTGGAAAGACACCTTCCTCCATAACTCTACCTAATCTGACTTGGCGCCAGACGATCTTCGTAATAAACGCTACAAGTCAGCTGGTAGCCGTTTTATAGAACAGAACGTTTATTTTTATACTTTTTATGGACCTCCTTGACAGTCATTAAATATGATGTTTGTATGTCTAGGTTGGTTACGCAATATATATGAAGCTGGTTGAGATGGAATAGCGTCAAGACAAAATTAATATTACCTATATCTAGCAAGATTGTGAAATATGATTGTTAACGTTATCAACACTCAACAGAAAATTTAAGATAACTCGAAAGACGCACATAAACAACGTTCTCAGTTGTAGTGGAAACAAACTAAGCAAAACGCCTTCTCACTATCAAGGAAAAGGTGCCTGTGGACTTCTATATCAGGTGCGTCCGTCGCTAAATTTGTATATATATACTGTATATATATAGCTATATAGATGTATGGTATAGTACATGCTTCAACGTTGCATATGGTATGACGTCTAATGATTAAATATACAGAATGCCGCACGTTTTGTAAATATTCAAGTAATTTCATACTTTGTAGAGATATTTTTGCTATACTGTATGAAAGTATATATATATATACAAATAATATTTATATGCTGTAGTTAAAGGGAGGGGGGAGGTTACAGCAGCGTCTGCACAACCTCGGTTCTGCTAATAACAATAAAAAACCCAATAATGTTCACTGATTCAGATATTGCCCGCATTTTGCATACACGCTTCAAATTTTTCTGAACATAAACTCTTTCTCAATATTGTTTAAAAGCATATATAGCGAACTATAAAATTGTGTTAAATATTCAATACATATATTATTTAAGGAAATATAGCTATATAAAATTGTCCCTTAAACGGCTGGGCAAATGACCGAAAATCTCAAATGAGGGCACGAACTAGCGAGTTAGTCACGCATGTATCTTAATACTTTACGCAAAATTGGTTACAAGTACAGGGGGATCAAGCGTTTGCGGAACTGGCACGAAAACATTATCTCCTCAACGCATATACATGCAATATAATAGCCAGGAGGCTTCACAGTTCTACAATAGGAGGGTGCCTGCATGGTGGGTGGAGATATGCCGTAAACTAGAATTATAAAGTTGTTCCCTGCTTATCAGGCACATATGAGCATGCATGCATGAGTGGCATATTTATAATTGCTTTCGTCCCGATAAAGTCGACCTGCATCTGTTGTTATTCAACTCGCCCTCGATCAGCTCCCAGCAAGATATAATAAGAATATCCTCTGATGTTGAGTATATTTAGCATGGAGCAATTCTAAACACATTATTGTGTTATTTCTAAAGTTATCACGTTAAGAACACCATAACATAGCATAACCATAATAATATACAGCAATAATTTTCTGAACTCGCTCTTCACTGCCCCACTGCATGCATGCACAGTACATAACATTCCACAATTTGTTTTTAGCTGTACGCAATAAATTTTGCAAATCATCAACTTTCAGTTGCCTTATCCTTTGATCAAATTTGATTCAGTCATATCGTATTGCTAGCTGTTAACAACAAGTGTTGCGTAACCATGCGAAACATTTATTTCGCTGTCTCTGCTAGCATGCATGCATGTGATCTTCCGTTCACCGATCTGTTAATGATGCAAGTAAAAGAGGTTACAACTTTGGAGTAAAACCAACAAACAAATCACTGGCAGTTTTTCTCACGACCTATACGTTCTTCATTTTAAGTTCTTCTTTTTGCACGTTTGACTCTCCATCCTAAAACCGATCTCAAAACTGACCTTTGCAAAATAAAGAGGATGATTATTGCGAATATTTCACTGTAATTGCTAATTCATGTCATTATTGATTCTAAGAATTTTATCACTCGTATACTCCTATTCTGTTGGCTAGGAAAGTCGAACTATTTTTGTATATTCGTGGATTGATAGAAATCTTCTAACATGTTCTACGAAATAATTAAAACGTATTTTTGCTCTAGGCCATATTATTAAAAAAAGATTGGCATTGTTATTCACATAAAACATTTTTCGGGTAACTCATTTACAACTTTTGGCCTATTCGCTGTCTACTCGTTCGCTCATTTTCGATCTTCTTTTGAGAGCGCCATGGCGCTATAGATTGCGTACTTGTGTGGACAATATAGACAACTCGTCCACGCATGGTGTCAAGTGCAGATTATGCGTGGGCAAGAATGATAATAGCAACAGATGGCAGGAAAATGCCAGGAATAGTATAAGGAATTTTTAATAAAAAAAAACGGAATAAAACTTTTTTCCTGAATTTTTCCGTTTCGTATGCATTGCCGCTTTCCCCGCTAATTCGCGCTTAGTTCATAGGTCCGAGAAGTGGATGTTATTGTTGTGGTAAATGTGTATACGATACTCGCCCACGTTACGTCTTAAAGCCCATATTAAATATTAACAGATGTGTCGAGGTTTGCTACCTTAATAGTATCCAGATGAATGATGCGAACGTCATGCATTTATAGAAAGTGTCAGATTTAAAAAAGAAAGAACTGATAGTCCATAGAATTCGTTATCTTGTTATTTCATTTACGGAAATGTTCATGATTACCATTTGAAGATGTACATATGCTATTATATCGACAGGAGGCATTAAGATGTTGAGAAACGCTTCGTAATAATTCTGGCACTACTGGGTGGGCAGAAGCTGTAAAATATTCTATATGTACCTAGGAAAATGGGTCCTAGACGTTTTCATGTTCCAATGAGATTCGGTGAGGATTATTCAAGAAGTTCTATGTTTTTGTATTGCCGTAGAATGCAGCAAATCACGTTTAATTATGAGAGTTCAAATTCTCAAAATTTTCGAGGCCATGCGCTATCTACGCTATTTCTTTATATAGTGATAAGTGAAAAGTGGTTCATGCCAAGAAATCTACTCGAAGTTGTAAATAACACAGCTGGGCTACATAGTTTCAAAACTCTATGACGATAATATAAATTCTTCATCACCGAGACGCATATTTTGTCAGTGGTGTGCTGTAACAATGCAATGATATTTATTTCAGCAGAATTTATCGTAGGCCTAAAATTTGTGAGGGGCCTGCAGGCGTCTCCCACGCCCCGTACATCGGTCTGTTTCAAAATAAAGGGAATGCGTGGCATCATACAGTGATTTAACTTTAAATTTCTTATTCTGAAGGGGCTACGCGTCGTCTCTAAAAAAAAGCATTTAAATTTTAAACTGAATTTACAGGTTCTATGCCCACTAAGTGTAATAAGGAAATAACTGAAGGTGCAGGCGTTGGATTTTCTACTCAATATTCCTGAAAAGCCTAGAGGTTGTCACATAATTATGTAAAAATAGACCTGAGCCTCTCCTCACAGCAAAACTATCAAAGATTTAGGATGTGCATTTTTCCAATCGTGAAGCCTCTGAAGAAATGAATTTCCCCCCAGGTTTTTCGAAGTGCTTTTTTTGTTGACCTTGCATGCAGCTTTGACAAAAACACATTTCCTGTACACATTTCAACTGCCCTTTTTATTACCAAGAAGTACACATGGAGCTTGTGCACCGAAATTTGAGATGCTTCCTACGCCTCTGACTAAAAAAGGAATAATGAATGCATCATCCAGTTTCAGGGAAGTGTAAAACAGCGTGCAAAAATCGCATTAGCCGGAATAGCTTTATTTTACTTAATGTCATATTGTTTTTTAAATATAGAACAATGCACAGCTGAAAGTAACTATTGAGTTAAGGCTGTGGTGAACTAAGGTGGCGGAATGTATTTCGTGCAAATATGCCGCCATAGCAACGACTATATGTATAATAGTCTTATTCGTAAACTGGCACAATCCTGGTAAAAGTCATGTTAAACATTTTTTTTTCGATAGAATATATTAACGTTAAAACGTTTTTTGATACTAATATTTTTTATACGTAATTTTTTATATGTAATATTTTATATTACGTTTTTTCTTCGCAATTAAAAGTATATCTGGTTGAATCGCTTACATTACGTTTGAGGTGCGTAATGCGGAGGATAAACGTTTTCAGGCGTAATTTTGTAGAAGAAATCTCATTTTATTTTACGTTTGAGACGCCCACGATAATTATTGATCGATTTTATCATCTAACACCAGACTTGAAATTAACTTTATCGGGCTTAATTTAGCCTAGGCCAGCATCTGAAGGATTTGATGATAATCTCATTTATCACTGTGCAAAGCTCATGCGCAAATGGGAACCTGCACTACCTTCTGCTATGTTTGAGTACGAAGGTTAAATTGCTCACACTCATATCAATGCTTGCTTGCTTTGCATTGTATATATAGTAAATACGAAGTATGATTTCAAGTTTAAAATAGTAACTCCGGAACTATATATAAGGCTTGCAAACAGAAAATATGTAGATGATCTCCCTTGATGATCTAAGCGGCTGCTCGTTCGAAATTCTGTGAATGAATTTCTCAACTCTGTAGTCCATGCAGGTGCTACTTAATGCGTTCAAAATATCTCGAGTAGAGAATTAATTTGAACGACTCGTTACATGCATGCTATATACTGAGGAATATATATTACACCTGCAGGAATAAAAGAAAAGACTGGTTGCTAGCTCACTCAGACTGAGTATATTGATTTGACAGTGCAAAGAGAGAGTAAAAAATTTCGTACGTTTGAGAGTAAGTTATACCTATTTTTGCTCTTTATTGATTTGCTGGTGTATTCCAGAAACGATCTTGATTCATTTTCTAAACTACGAATTATATATCAGCTGTTTTAATTTCAGTGTTAGTCAAGTCAGCATGTAAATGAAGTCTAGATATGTCGTTACTTGTTATTTTTTTGAGAGAATAAACAAGAATTTTAGACGTAGGCTATATATATATATATATATATAACGTATACGAGCCTGGCAAGAGGTGAAAGTCCGAAGAATTCTTGAATTTTCGACTCTCGGAAACCACATTGGCTTAAATTTATATGCTATTGAACATGTGCGGCTGGCTGCCTATATTGCCAAAAATTGCAAAAAGTTCAGTTAAAAGCAAATGGGTACATCGATATTTGATTGAAAAATATTTATAGCCGGGCTGAAGACTCTTCACTAATTTACATTTCTTAAAAGTAGAATTGCAATAAAAATTGCACCGTGTAACATGGCCTTAAGATAGAGGAGAGTAAATACCATATAAATATTAAATCTATAAAATTATATTTCTATTATAGCTGTCAGCCTCTGCTAATAATTAGGTCATTAGATGTGATTTCGAATGTCAGGCTGGCTAACGTCCGCGTTTTAAGAGGCTGTAGCATTCGATGACGAATTTGGGCCAGGATAAAAATTACATATTGGGTATGTGTGTTACATAATCTTTTTATCGATACCAGTTTCGTTGAATGTGGAGCCGTTTTTGGGTGCTTACTTTGCTCGTATTTTACGCACATTTTCAATGTCAGGCTGGCAGACGTCCGCATTTTAGGAGCTGTAACATTCGACGACGAATTTGGGCCAGGGGAAAAATTACATATTCGGCATCTGTGTTATGTAAGCTTGTCGGAACGAAAACGACTTACTGTTTCTGTTTCTGTTTTTCAAGCATTACATTAAGTAACTATATAAATAAACGTTCCTCCAATACATAACTCGCGCGCAGTTTCAGACGATAAATATATACTCAGACACATTTGTACTAAAGTACATAAGGGTGTTCTTTGTACAAACATATATAACAAGAGAGAAAAAAAAAGACATTTTCAATTATAGGAATTGTCTGGCTATAATTGCATTTACTCCTTGGCAGTTTGATTATTGTTATTATCATCACCGCGTGCATTTTTTAGAAAGCACTTTTTTCCTGTTGAAGAATCTGTTCTATATTATTACGTCTAAAAGCACGTTTTTCTATATGTGCATGTATGGTATACAGTATGGATTATTCTCACGTAAAGGTATACTGCATGAAACTGTCAACTAGTACTGTACTGAAACATATATATCTCCTCAATTCGAGTTGTCCTCGCAAACTTGTGTGTGTGTGTCAGTAATTTTTACTATAATCCGACAAATTAAAAAACGTAAATTTGTAGTTGAACATATAAGTTGGCGGAGAAGTGTGATCAGATTCGCGTCACATTAGGCATACGAAAAAAAAGGTGCAACATAGTTAATGACTTTGATATTGATCATCATGCCTTCGTGGTGATCGTTCCAGGCTGAATTTGATGCTGATTGATCGCAGCGTCAAGGGAATTTTAGACAAAGGGAGAATTTCGGACAGGTTCTCTAATTACAAATATATATATGAGCGGTTTGAATAGTAGTAGCCTTGATATGCCGTTTAATTTTGATCGACTTTCATACAGCTTTGCTGTATTAATTTCCTAATATCGCTGTGAGGAGCATGTTTTTAAATAATAATTGAATTGTTGTTAAGGAAACTAAAATTTAATTCTTATTTAATTTTGTATTAAAATGCAACCAGTTCATAGTGCGAGACAATACTAGAATTGATGAATTTGAAATTCTAATTTACATCAGGAATATGTGCGCAATTTCATTTCCTGTGCAGCTATAACTGAATTGACAAGTCAAAGCAGTATTGCTTGGTTTGTGTTAGATGTAAATTGCGCACAAAGGGTGAAGGCGGGCGAAATATTTGAGAACTGTATACACAGTCGTACATCTTTTCAAGCGTATATTAATTAGTGATTTCCAGAGAAGTAAAATGATTGATGATAAAAATATTCATTGCCAATACCAATGGGCCCACCTTCATCACACGGGAAATGTACCTTGAAAATTAAGAATAATTCAACGTATGGTCTTATATAGCGGTGGATACAAGCATATCTCTTTTATTCTGATGTTTTTCATCTTGTCAATAATAAAGTTGTCATTTTTCACTAAGCCAATTTTTTCATTATAGACTAAGTACCTGACGCTAACAAGAGGCTTCTATTAAAAGATTACATTTGTCGAAGATGCTTTCGATCTTTCTTGCTTTGTTGTTGCAGGTACGTTATATATATTATATTAATTTAAATAATGGCGAGAAAAGAATATGTTGGCAAAAATTCAATGAATTGCTCAACAATTTATTGCTTAAAACGTTATATTGGACGTGCATGGGATTTAAAATATGAAATTTACGAAACGAGTGCAATTTGGCATGGATCATTTTCGAAGTCATTTTATGCAGTCATTTTCGAAGAAAAAAATGTTTTACCCAATTGAAAAATAGCATAAACTGCATGTATGTCGAAGCGCTTGTTACAAATTCGATTTCTTGTAATGAAAGAGAATGATTTCAATCTGTATCTAAAGAGTTGTATGTTCTATTTTCATTATATCCCTCATGCAATTATTGATTTGAAGCGATTTAAAACTAAGTGCATGAAAATAAATTTCAGGTGAATTTATTGATAGTAGGCTAGCAAGTCATGTTGCCAATATTCATATGTATATTTATAGGCCACTGCAACACTATAGATACATTGTATCAATTGGACTATATAACTATGTTGAATCGAAAGTCTTTTGGTTAATTTAACTTTACTGATTTATTCATTGAATCTATAACAGCTGACTTCACATATTATAGATCTGATAACTCTCTTACATCAGGTGGTCAGTGAAGAAAAAAAATTATATAGTACACTCATGGCGACTGAACGTTTGTGGAAAATTGCATATACATGTACCACAACGAGTATATAGGAGTGTGACCGGAAGGTTTTCTATGCCCTGCATGCATGCATGCGTCAATGCAGTGAATATTTTCATGCTTATTTTAATTCATTAGTGATCATTGTTGCTAACAACGTGTAGGCAAGAATATTTAAATATGCGCTTCAACGAATCAAAAGAATAAAGGTTAAACAAGCAAATATTCTATATCTTTTTATAAATATATGCGCATATTTAAACAAGGAGTATAATTGTTCTTAATGATTCGGCTTGGGCTCTCTTTGCGAGCACCTGTCACTAACAATCACTAGCGGTTCGGTTCAAAAGGCTTCATGTTATTCGAAGGCTCACCAGAGGTTTACTCACCTAATAATTTCAATTTGGTATATGAAATTACAAGTAGATAATATTTGTGCCCAGCAAGCTCACTCTGTGGCCAAACCATTCGCGTTTTATAAGCATCCAAGCAAGAATAAAATGGGATTCATTGGGTTTATTGGATTTAAAATTTCCGGCTGTCAGGAAATTTTTTCAGCAAACAAGTTTATGTAAATTTGCGGGCAAAGCCTTGATTTTTTCCCGCTTTTTGTTCACTGCGGGGGAAAATACCATGTGTCTTTTTTATAATATAGTATTTCTATATAAACACGATACAGGAAGCAATAAAATGTCTATTGGTATGCTGATAATTTTTTGTACTTTTGCCTTTTTATTTCCTTTGTAAAAATACAAAAAAACAATTTGAAAATATGAGTGATTGATCACTTCATATATTTTGATCTTTTATTATGGCTTTAAAAAATCATTAATGATTCATTAGAAATTAGAAAGAAATCAATGTTTAACTTTAACTTCGATTTTCTCTGCTTTCACAATTTTTTTTAAATTTTTCTCTTCATTACACCACACATAGCTAGGATCAGTAGGATGGGACGGTTCGTTTCTTATTTTTTGTACTTTACTATAAATCTTACACATTATTTCGCCAATGTATATCTTAATTAGTGACTCAATGGGAGTGTATAAAGCGATGCATTATACCTTTATATTCCGTTTCCAAAGTTAATGCATCATACATGAGTTACATGAGTGATGTATGATTTATTTGTGGGATCTGTCGTGCTCCTATCCCCAGTTTCCGTAACTTATTTTCTACCGATAAACCTTAATTGATTATAGGGGCGTAGCGAGGAGTGGGGACGGAGTTGTTGGAATTGATAAAGATAGCGTACACTGTACACTGTAACCCCCCCCATTTTGTCGACAAAACGTAGACTTGCACCCCCCTGGGTGCTTAAAACTTATGTTTCCTAAAACTTATATTTGTTTGAATCTGTAAATAACTACTAAGTCGCTTTTCTCATTCTCCCGCAAGATAAATATATTAATCCATGTCGAGGCACAAGAAGATTTTGCCAAAGAACTCAAGAAACAAGAATTGGAGTGTTACAATAACCCAAAGAATCGGTTAATCAAAGACGGATATCCTGGTGAGCAGAATTTTTTAAACATTTGCTTATTTATGAACTTCTTGTGTGTTGACGAATATAAAAAGAGCATTTATCGGCATGTCTCCTATAAAGCTAGGGTGAACAATGAAATACTGCCTATTGTAATACATATTGTATGAGATGTATTGTACAAAGAATGAAAAGATATATACAAATTTAATTTTGAGAGAAAGTGACTTCGTGACTGGAATTCAAATCGACTTGTGCGAACGAATTCAGAGATGCACGCTAAAACTAGTTAAATAACGTACAGTGTTTTTTTTAAAATTTAAGTTTGGTGCATCTTAAGCTCGTTAATATTCAAGGAAACTATATTATGAGAGAATGGTATATGCATATACTTCAGTACTTGTATTGTACACTAATATTTTGCAGGATGCGTCCAACCATGTGCAATCATTTTTTTAAACTTAAAACTATAAAAAACCTGTTTTTTCCCCTCCATTTTAGTTAAATTTACATGTGGTGTAAGCTTTTATGGCGCTTGTTGGCCAACAACTCGTGCTAACAGCACAGTTTATCTTCAATGCCCTTCAATTTTCTTTGACCTCCTTACTTCGGGTAAGTCATCATGTTAGAAAATGCATCATTTTTTAATTCCTCGTCCATTTTCCTGTTTACGAATGCTATAATATACCTTTATACATATAATGCTATATAATGTTAGATGTTACTTGTTTTAGGGAATATCTCAAGACGGTGTAATGAATCTGGTTTTTGGGGAAAACCAGATATTTCCTTCTGCAAGAAAATTAGTTCTGTTCCTTTGGTATGATATAGACTTTTCTTATAATGACGTCAAACGCGGAAAGTCTCAAAGTAAAAAAAATAGCCATTAAGCCAATCTCACATACATGCATTCCCAAATTTTTGAAATGAAAAATGACTTAAACTGAATAATTAAAATTCAAAATAACCGCAAACGAAGAGTTTTATGTACATGCATTTTTCGGTATTCCCAATACTATCTTGCCATTTGTAGCAAATATACTTCATATTGATAAGTATAGTTAAATCTATAGAGAATTATATAACATTATTCATTTTAAAGATTGTTTACAATCGTGAATCCATTTTGTTTATTTAGCCGAATGAAGAGGAAGATGAAAAACAACGTATCTATGTTGTTTTAAGTTGGTTTTCTTTTTCAATTATGATCCCATCGTTAGTGGTCACACTCTATCTCTTGTAAGTTTGAAATTATATTAATTGTTAACAAACGATAATTACGCTGGATAACCTTTTATAAGGATTGAGATTTGAATCAAAATGTGATTAGAGGTTAGGCAGAAGTGGTATATAGCTGGACCGTTTGTGTGCCATATTGACCCTGATGTTAGGCGAAGACTATGTTAAAAACACGTGCAGCAGCGAATTTTTTGATAATGTAGTCATGATCAACAGTATATTTCTTTCTTATCCAATGTGGTATAATTGTAAAACGAAAATTGTTAATTTGTAATAAAATTTTTCGAAACGTGTTTGTAGCTATATTATGATGTATATCGCTTAATTGAATGAATTTCCATATTGTTGTTTTTCAGGAAGGGCAAAAACGAACGGTTCAACGTTCATACAAATCTTATCCTGGCGTTTACATTTCGAATAAGTACGTTCTTTATCCACCACTATGGTAACCTTGGTAACCAAGATAGCTCACGGGTAAGTTGTAAATTATATGGAATATGGATATAAGTTTATATGTTTACTTCTCCTTTCAATTCTGATTAATGTTTTTAGGTTTCTTGTAATCTCGTTTGGATTTTGAATCGTTACTTTGCATCAGCAGAAATCATGTGGATGTTGAATGAAGCTTTGCTTTTACTTAGAAAAGTTGTCGTAATATTTGATAAGAAAAGTTACTTCAAATATTATTTGCTGATTGGATGGGGTACTTTATATTACTATTATTGCATGGTATAACGTGAACAGCAAAAGGTTATAGGCAATTTGTTTTCCACATAACACTGTAAATTCTTTTTTGAGTGTTGAAAATTCTTTATCTGAGACAACTTTATTTTACGCAGACATGCGATAATAATTCACAACACAAACTAAAGCATCATTGTGATCAACACGTGCACATTATCTTTATCATTCGTTTGATCAAGGATGCCTACATCGACATTAACTTTTATTCTTTCATATAGGATCCCCTTTACTGTTGTTGACAGCGTATATTCCAATTATTGTATATTTTGTTGATCATTCACCAAAAAAGTATGTATCATGTCCTCAATCCCTATTAATTTTTTTAAATTTCCATTAACTTTACATCGATCGATACATAACTGCAGCGACCATTCACTGCGAATTCGTGTTTGTTTAGGTGTTGGGTACATTACAAGGATTCAATTTATATGTTAGTGTTGTACGTGCCACTGGTTTTCTTTTTAATTGTAAGTTCAGAGTAAATAAATTCATTAATTCATGTTCTTATATATTTTGTTGTTATAGATCAATCTATGTACGAAATATTCACATCTAACAGTTTATTATGTTTATCGTGTTTTACCAGGTTGATTTCTTTGCATTGATATACACCGTCTCAATTTTTGTAAAAAGGCAGCAAAGGCAACAAAAAGGGGACTTCGTGAAAGTCAGGTAATGACTTTTTAACGCTGCGACTGCGAGGCATGAAGCATGTGCAGTGCACGTGAATTTTATTTTTTTCACTGACACTATAGCCTAGCCATATAGAATCGTTCTCTACTTCTCCTATATATACATACTAATATAGCACCACCATAGCCATATACAGGCATCGACCCATATAGAACATTAATGTGAAATGCATGTAAGCGTTTCAGATTTTAGGTGGGTTTACATGTGACGCCTATCACGCAATGATGGATTGCATATATATACTACCTAAACAAAATTTGGTTTTACTGACTATTTCGAAAATGAGTATTATAATTTTAAATTTCAGGAAAGCCATCAAAGGGACACTTGTGCTATCACCCTTGCTTGGTGTAATTTATCTGTTAATATTCTTTGTACCAAAAAACCCACCAGTCTGGTATCAATATTTCCTACGAATTGTTTACCCAATGCAGGTAAGAAAAAGTTTATAAACAAAGCAAAATCAAAAAAAAACTTTAAGTAAAGCAGCCACCATATACTGACTTACTGCATGTACTTTACGGAGTATTTTTAAAATGTTGAAATATATGAGACGAAATAACGAACGCATAAAAGCAATTTCATGCAAGTGTTTTCAGCTAAATATAAATTGTTATCAATATTTTAGGGGACGTTGGCTTGTCTGGTTTACATCACATTCAGTGGTGAACTGCTAAACAAAGCGAAATCAAAATGTAGATCATCCTTACAGGGGACGCGCATTTTGGAAAATGTAAGTAAGTTCCTTGTATTTTTTTATAAATCGTTATTGCTGCATTTTGATATGCCAGGAAAAAATGAAATGGACACAATAGGATATTATCTTCCAATATAACCATGCAGGGAACAGCGTGGCAGCGTCTTTAAATTTCGACCTCATGTCGAAACGTCGAGAAGTGTTTTTGTCTATTTCAGGCAGTTGTTATACCATATTTGATGCCAGGATATTATATAGTGAATGATTATCTCAGTGAATGAGAATATAGGTCCCGTTTTATAAATATATATAAATGCGGAAAGTGTTTTTAATACCACATAACTCAGTTAAATTTCCTTATTTTCCCAAGTTACTGCTATACATGCATGCAGCTCTAAGCTAATCAGCGTCTATAGAATTTAACAAATGCGTCATTTATAGGTTGAAATAATTTAATGCTTTACCTCACGATATTTTTATCAAAAATGTTTCAGGGATACTCGTGGAGTTTTAGTTCCCGTTCAAGACATACAGAGAGACCAATAAGAGGAACTACATCATGTCCCTCTCCAGACCCATCCATTGATCAAAGCGGGCTGTCGCATTCTTCCCCACCATGTGACAATGGTCCAAAATGTGGATGTGGCCTGACGCGGCAGTTATCAGGAGTTCTGGGCTGATTAGTAATGACGAGCAGGAAGAAAGCAGTGTTTAATTTGAAATGTATGATATTTGTGTGGATTCACGCTTAACGTGATGATGGGTAATGCCGAATTACTCTTATAAATATACCTTGTAAAACATGAGTGCATGTAAACATCTTATATTTTAAATATGATTAATAAATATATGTAGCCTAGAACATGTGTGGATTACAGCTAAATAAATTGTTAACGGGAGGTTACAACACGCTGTGTAAAGCTTGACCAGCATGTGCGATAATTATTCAGTTTTTTTGCCCGGTCGCCTGGAAAATTTGTGTTCATAATAACCCCACCTATTTGCTGTTACGTGAAGCTGTAAGTCGACGACGCCAAATAGTTCAAGCTTTGCATCCATTTTTTAATCTGTGAAGCCATAGAAAGAGGGAATAGAGAGCGCTTGTGGCGCTTGGGGAAGGTTCTACCCAGCCCCAGGGCGTTCTGGTTCTACCTGGGTTATACGGACAAGGGAAGTATTTTAAAAGTGGAATTATTATTTACGGTTATGGAAGCACTGATCAAGCGGGAAATTTTAAAACCGCCCACAAAATGTCGAAAAATACAATGCATCTAATATCGATTTTATTTTACTAGTATTTGCTGTAAAATTCTTTTTGTTTTTCACTTTTTCTTGCGATGTCTTTTCGTAAACTGCATGAACGAAACTCTAAGCACTAAGGATATTTCCAACAGAAACAATGAGCGGAATAAGATTCGTTGATGCACTAAAGAGGATAGGTTATGGCAGCAAATTGTCTGCAGAAAGTTTTGACTGGATGTTTGAAAGCGAAGATACTTTACCATTTCTTGAGTGGTTTTGTGACAGTGTTCACGCACAGAATGTAATTACAGATGAAGAATTAAAAGGGTAATCTTAAGTAATATACTGACTCGAACTGAGAGATCACGTACCAGAAATACAATAGTAAATAAATAAATAATAATTAACAATTTTAAGATCAATTATTGAATGAGAAAGAAGACTAATGTAGCCTGTCGTCTTATATAGACTATAATATATTATGAAGAATATCAAGCTAGAGTTTTCAACATTACTATCTGAGTTGAAAATCCCTGCCTAATTTATATTAAATATCATATACATGTATATTTCCCCAGCAGAAAAATCAGTGCAATCCCACTTATCCCAGTTCCCATTTTACCCATGAAGGTTAATGATTGTCCTTGAAATATAAATATTACAAATTTTTTTTGTAGCTTTGAGGAATTGACAATTTCTGGGAAAGGGATACTGGAAGTAAGTTTCACTAACTGCTAAACTGAACAATAAATTCATTATGCATTAAAAATGTACTGAATTAATTTTCACAATGATTCATTGATATTTTCTAAGGGAGAAAACCTTATGGAAGCTTTGAAGAACTTACAAGCTTTAGAAACAAATGAAAGCAGTGAAGAAGAAGTGAGGTATGTGCTGTACATACTGCATTATGATTTTAATTATGAATGTCTATATACAGTATGTTATAGTATATGTTTTAGTATATATACTTTTCACTCAGGCCTTGAGGTCTTTTAGTTTTGACATTTTTAGAGAATTGAATCATTATACATTACAAGAGTAGGTATACTGCAACTATTGTAATATGTGCAGAATGGAGAAAAGTTGGGAACAAAAAACTGTTAACGTCCATGAATGTGTACATCATTTTAGGGTAATAAAAGCTAGTTCAATTTTCCTTTTTCACATATTGCTCGATCAACTTTCAGAGAAGAAACTCAGTTCTTAATGGAAGAAAAACAGATCTTAGAAGAACGACTGGATGCACTAATCAAGCAAAGAAACAAAATGAAGTAGGTTCAATTAGCCTACATAATTGGCTTTAAAATGTACCACATTCAGGACATTTCGCCTATAATATATTTGCCTATGCAACCTATGCGCAGATTTACAATATTCGGTTATAAAAATACATTAACATGCAAAAATAATTTGAATTTTATGAGAATAGATGATATGTCTGTATGTTTATATAGTGCAAATATATTGTACTTTTGAATAGTAACAATCTTTTTATGAGTAACACCTGCATGAATACCCATATGCACTAGGTATAAAGCAATATTACCATCCAGAAATGTATAATTATATCTGAACTGTGATTAGAGAGTTTCACTGGTCCAAGACAATTAGTGAAAGGTAATTTGTTGGTGAACTTTACATCTGTTCATTCATTAACTTTCAGCATTATGAGCACTGCATTTAACCATAAACTGACAAAAATGAACGCATTAGAGAATGATGCAAAAGCCAAATACAAGACGTCTTTGGAGCAAGCCTATTCAGACAATGCAATGGTAGGGAATAGACAGGCCTTTTCAGCTTGTATGCAAATTCACCCATTTAAAGTCACATGCTCTAAAATGGTTAAGTTTTATTGGCTATTATATGGTCACAACATCTGAAATGGGTTAATTTGCATTCAAGCTGAAAAGGTCTATTAAGAAATACAGTACTTATAAAATGCTCATAGTTTTCCATGATATAATAACAAATATGCACTAAGCAATGACATCCAATCTTTTTTATGTTCTCAAATTCTCATTTAAAATCTGTGTTTGTCATTTAAATTAAAGCTTAATAAAAGTATGGAAGATCTTACAAAAACTGTGACAGAATTTACTCAAATGTATGATCTGCCTGCAGCACCAATGGGTAAGTAATGTACATGTACAGTTCGTTTTTCATGTGCAATGACTGTGTTGTAAACCAATACATGTTATTCGTGTCATTTTGTAGAAAAAGAGACAGCGACATTCGTCTCACAGCTTTCCCTGGATGATTACCACAAAGCTGAAGAAGGTTTTACAAGTGAGTTGACAAAGTACACAAAGAAACAATTTTTTGAGGTACGAAAAACAATCAGTGTTTGAGTGTAAAGATTAAAGGGTTATTAGAGTTATTGATCATATATATGGTATGTTTGTTCACAAATTTTTTCACGAACATTCCCAATCTGCAAAATATTTCATCAGCAAATCCTTATACAATGTGAAGTCGGCTGTAATCGCAACCATTATGTAGTCGTGGTTGCATTAAGACCTCTGCATGTATACACGTGGTATGTAATGTTTTAATAGCAAAAGACTATAGATTCAAGCCCACGGGGCTCACACGTGAGCACAATTCCTTGAAGCATGCATGAACTTAAATTCGAAAAAGGGGTATTTTATGACAAATGTTTGATCCGGGTATGTAGGTTTTTGAAGCTAATTTCGATTTGCAATTTTAGGGAATTGCCGAACTGGCAAATGGCAGTGAAAAATCACGGTACACTTTCCTAGAAATCAGCGATCCTGCAACATTGTTAATCAAAGGTACATCCTGCATTCATTGTTATACAGCTCTAAAAATTAGGTAATTTGCTCACCAATACACTAGGGTCTACGACGTAGGCTACCAAAACACGTGTGCTGTTTAAAAAAAGATCGCGCCGTACAACATTAGTGAAAATAAAATAATCATTTTTAGGTGAAGCGGAAGATGTTACGACTGGTGATATTAAAGAGTTAAAAAGACTGAAGGCAATGTAAGTCTTGCATGAATTCTGCTGTTTTGCACTTAGGCTATAGATAAGCAGAATTGGATTGAAAATTTGAATACGTTCTGTATGTATGTTTTCAGCTATCCAATGAGCGAAATCAAGAGAATACAGGCGCAAGCAAAGAATCATGGGCTAAACGCAGCTATTACACATTCGCGAGGAAAACTCTACCGTCTTACAAACCAACCGCATACGTCAGATATCAGTACTTTAAGGTTAGTGTTCTTTTTGAAATTTATACTCACGGGAATACATCTGCTGGCTTGAATTATCGATCAACACTAGGTCAATGTACATCTCAATATAATTAGTCATAAAAATTGTTATAGGTTGAAGTAACCCCCGCCCTCACGACTGGTGAGTTACCAACTTGCCACAGAGTTCATTAAAACATTCTGTTATATAATAGCGTTTCATATGATATATAGCTATATACAGTACCTACTATATGGCTCCTCCACTCCATCTGGTGTAAATGTAGTAATATGAATTTATGACATACATGCATTACATCCATGCACTGTGTGACGCATGGTCAAAAATTTTCCAACATCCTCGTTATGGTTTCAGGCAACTTCTTCAAGAATATCAACATAAACTTACACAGACCCGAGATCGTACAGCAGAATTAACATCCCGATATTTGTCACCGCTTGTCCAAGAACTGGGGAAACTGCAAGCAAATAAAATTTTGCGAGGAGATTACGATTTGAAAATCGCTCGCCAAGACTATTTTGTTTCAAAACAAGATCAGGTTAGTCTGTAGTTGGTCTGGGTCTCGAGTAAATGTTCAATTTTATGTGCAAACTACTGTAAGAGTACTAGCTTGTACACAGTAAATGAGCATTTTGTTCACGTGTCAAAAAAGACCCATATGATGTGTTGATGATAGGCTAACACGATTTCACCATTGGCATTTTTGTATGACCAATCGTTGACGTTATCTGTACAGGTGATTAACCAGCTGATGCTTCAAAGATCACGCTATGAATTTTTATCAATGCTTTTGGAAGTTGAAGCTCGTAAACACCGCGACTCTCATCATTTGCTTGGCGCTGTTCGAACATTACTCGAGGGAGACGCTGATATGGTGGGGAGAAGATATGTATCCTTACTCTATTGATATATCAGGAAGATATTCATGCGCATGTGATACTGTAGTGTATGTATACTTACGATATCTTATAGCTACATACATACATGGCAAATGATTTTGATTATTCAGTTTGTGCGCGACATATGTACCCACATGCTCAAAACCAATTTCTGAAAAAACAATTCCTACTGCTGCTGGCAATGCGACGGTGGTAAAACCAGTGGCTTTAAAGCTACAACATTTGTCCTGTGCCAAAACTAGTAATGCTTACACTATGTAACACTTCCATAGGCCTGGGCTGGTAGTCCCTCTCGAGCATGCTGGAATTTGACTGTTCCATGAGATTATTACGGCAGTCCAAAATATCGATCTTGACCTTGTAGCTCCTCAGAAAAGTTGAACTATTTGCCACATGCACTAAAGGCTTGATTCGATTGCCTCGATTGTAACTTTCCTTAATGCATATATTCGCACAGGAAGTTATGTCAAATCCATTATTACGAGATGATAAAAAGAGGGATACTATTGATGTTCGTGATTTATTTTTGACTCGTCTGTATAAATTGCTTGGTGAGTACTTAAGTATAGTCCTAATAGGCTCGTACACCAAGGGGAGTGGTTGACATTATGAAGCTTATAAATTGTTCAATCATTGTCTTTCCTCTTGGAGAAAAATCACTCCCTCTGCTGCATTGAACAAAAGCAATTAAAGCTTTTCGTGAGTTTAAACGGCTTCGGTTTCATATTCAATATAAATAGCTATAGCTATTGTAGTTTTTGACTTAGATGAGCCGGATGAACTGACGAAAAGATCATCAATATTCATCACGTATGACGGTTTGCGAAAGAAAGCTGAAGATTTGAAAAATAACGAAGTAAACATGAAGAATGAATTGGCTGCTGTGGATTCATCTCAGAACGAAAGCATTGAGCATTTGTAAGTGTAACGATAATTCGTCGCAACAAACTAAGTTTAAAATAGTAGCAAGAGAGTTAGAACAAACGTCCGGTGGAACATTAATGCGTCAGCCCACGTGAGCATAAGCGCAAGTATCATACCGCTATTTTCTAGAGAAAGAAGTTTACGTGAATATAAACAAATGGTTTACGGAAATTCTGCCACGTCTGGTGGGCTGCCACAACTACAAACACAAGTTAGTATTGTAAATGGATTTAGCGTTAGTTTTAAAGCTTTGTGTGATGTTAGACTGTAGAGTGTTTTCAAGGAAGGAACTAGGTTGCAGTTTCCATTAAATGATTTAAAGATTTATTCTAGATCTTATCTGGATTGTACTTGATTGATCATTTGCATAGGTCTTGTCTGATGGAATTAATCAATTAAGTGAAGTGTTGGCCACACTTGAAAATTCTATCATGGATGTAAAGAAAGATTGCGAATCAAAGAAAAGAGTACGTTTGTCATGTATCATAAAGATTATGTTTGCAACCCTCATGCATGTTCATATAATTTTATGTTTTCTAACTAGTCGCCACAATGTTTCAATGTATGAGTGGCATACTGTAATTTCATCATATATAATTGGTATTTTGACTGCGAGGAGTATTCTAACAGATATACCTGTCACCTGCATGCATGTGTCACTTTACATATATTATTGCATGTCAATAATAATGATGTCCCGACTTTCATCCGTGCAGGTACTCAGTGCTGATTCGTTGAATTTAATGGAGCGGGAACTATTTGTGCTTTTCTTCACTGATCCTCAGCGACTGAAACGAACTATGTCAGACCTGGCAGCAAGAGTAGAAGCTCAGATAGTATCTGCAGATTAAAGATATAATAAAGAGATATAATTCAAGTAAGTATACATAATAAATTGACTTAAAAACCGGATACACCGGCCGCAAAAGATGCTACAGATCTGCAATACCATAATTTATACTGGCGACATTCAACTAACTCAGCAGTATTTGCAATATTCCTTCGCTATTTTTAGTGGGCCCGACATGCAATACACTAACTAGAATTGGTGACAGTACAATATAGCTATAGGAACTCTCTGCCATTAAACAAATCGGGCTTATTACATGCGCATTACCTTTGCCTAAATTCTTCTTCAAGTCACAGTCCCGAAAAGGGCGCATTCGTTCTCCACAGAGGTTCATTCGCTAGATATATATTGTTTATTCTCTTTCCATGAATCAATCTTTGTTTTCTATTTATGAGCTTCGTGCAATGGTTATGAAAAATAAACAGAACTGTACACGGATTTCTTACGGTAAATTTTCCATGTACTCTTAAGATAAAAATGATGAATTTCTCCACTCCAACAATATCCTGACGAACCATCATTGTATCTAAGAAGTTGCTAGGCAACGGAGTAACAAGATGTATGACAAAAGCATCGTGGGAACCGATATATTTCGCTTGTGGTGAACAAAAGTCCTTCACTCCGCACTTTTTGATAGCATCAGGTGTTTCGTGCCTAGTAAGAGCATATACTGTACCTTTTCTGAGAATATCAACATTGAGTTTTTGGAAACCTTCTCCAAGGTAACAGTCTGCATTCATAATAATGGCGGTTTTGTTGAGAAGAAATTCCGAGACGTAACGAAACGCATCACCATAAAACATCCTTCTATTCAAAGAGTGGTACTTTATCTTCTCACGTTGTGCTGTTGAGTTTTCTAAGAATTTGATGTCCTCATGACGCTCCAAAAGAAGATGTATTTTTTCAACCTGCAGCAGAAAAGCCCAAAGTCTAATATCGGTAATAAAACAGCGCCATACTGATATCATATATATGTATAATAATGGTGATAACACACCACGTATCTTTAACTTTTGCAATAATATTGGCTTGACGGACCTGTGGATGTTGGTGATTTAATTCCAATGCCTTGATGTATTCATGCTGTCTTTGACGTATCAACGTCACTTGAGAACCATTTGACATTACTGGAAATTGTGTTACAATGTGAAGTTTCTTGGATGTGTCTGCTTGAATGTTCGACTCCTCATAATTGTGTAATAACTTTTTATAAAGTCTTCGAGCGTTTCTCGTCGAATGGTTAATTAATAGCGTGTGGATGATAATAAGACTAACCAGAATTATTGGAATGAACAGTTTTGAAACATGTCTCGGTTTTGGCACGATTGTCCGACCTAAAATTAAAATAAGTCTTTTCATGAAGTATAAATATTAACGTTTTTACAACACAAATTTTTTTATCTGCAAACATTTTAAATTTCTGCTGAAAATTCCAGGTAACAGGACGACCAAATTCCATGTAACGTTATTTTATTTGGATTTCGTTTATCGTTATTTCTCCATCCACTTTGGATGTCGAAAGAGGCTATTTTCGGAATAATACCCGACCTATCATGATTACTTTTAAAAATCTTATATTGCTTGATTATGTGTGATTATGTGTCGATATTATCGACTGTGTAAGTAGATAAGAATCGTGGATAACGTGTCATTTTGGATCAATTTAACATACCTGCACACATAAAAACAGTCTGATAGAAACCGTCAAACACTGAACACAACATAAGCATCTGTATCCAATTTCTTATTTGCTTTTATATATCGATTTATCAACAACTGAACTGTTTGGCCAATCGCGATTCGCGGCGTTTTTTAATTGCGACCAGTTTAATGTTTTCCAGTTCATTGAAGCGCTAAAACAACAACAGGTTTATCAGCGATTTTTGAATACGCAACTAGACTAATTCAAATCGATTACTGTCGGCAAATGGAAAGAAGTGTTTAGCAATGAAAGGGAAAGGTGAAATACGCCACGGATTACATGGACTGCTCTAGGTCCTCTGATACTATGGCCCCACGTTCACATTAAACTCAATTTATTGAGACCATGCACAGTGGCGTAACTATAGAGCGATGATTGGGGGGGGGGTGAATATTCATATATCCAGTTCTGCCCTACGGATTTCTTATGTAAGTGCAATACCTTAAGTACAATTGAAATCCGTCGGGCAGAACTGAATATATGATTATTCAACCTCCCCCAATTATCGCGATAGTTACGCCCCTGACTATGCACCGATTAGCTTGTAGAAATGGAGATTGTAAGCAGTAATTTCGGAACTTCACAAACCAATAACTCCATCGAAAATTGAAATCGCTTCAACGATGATTACGGTACAAAAACAAAGAAACATTTAAACATGATGCGGGAGTTTTCACTTACCTATATCTTTCCCCTGACGATAAAAGCAAATTACGAGATTGTTTTAAAAATGATAACCGACTTCGTTTTACACAACAGAAAACTCCTTCTATATTCAATAGCAATAGATAGATAACATCTAAATATTCACAGAGTATTATACATATTTAGATAACATCTAAATATTCATTCATTCAGAAGCACCAAAAATAATCATGTGTAATGACAAATAATTAAATCTTTTACCTAATCTGAAAAATAAACTAATCAGTCAGCATATTCCGTCTTCAACAATAATTCATTGTATGATAATATTGTTAATTCCCTGAGTCACTATAATTCCTTCACCACGCAACCGTTTATATGATCTCTCTGTCCTCGTGTCTTTACCCAAGTACAGTAACCTATGAAGTGGTTCCATTCTTGTTAGTTTACTTCGCCTTAACGTGACTCTCCTCCGCGACTTTCTTAATATATTTTTACGATAATTAGACGATAAAGAAGTCAATTTGTGAAGTCTGTCAAGACGATGTTGTCGAGGGCGACATGCTGCAGGCGCGCTCTGAAACACGACCGTGCTAGATTGCAAGCGAGTTGGTAATGGAGGGAAATGAAATGTTTCTGGAATTGACCAAGAGGTTGCAGGTTCGCTTGAATCTGATCGACCGAGTGCTGGGGAGTGAACCAAGCGATAGAACTCCCGATTCACAGGTGTTTGAAGTGTTTCTAATCTTTCAGGGCTGGAATCTGATGGTTGTGGACTGGAATAACTAATAGGCGGGCTTTCCATCGTAACCGAGTTGAATGTCTCGGGGTATGATTCTGGTGTTTCTTCAGGAAAATCATGATGTCGTTTTCTGTTGTTACTAAGAATAGATATTGGTTAAGTTAAGTTATGTTTTGGAAGTTTTGTAGTGGTTTTTGCGGTGAAACAAGGGAGCGGTCTTGCATGCTTCAATATATCGTGATATGCGAGAATAAAGCACCACGGCTGTTCTTTACAAATCACGTCACTGGTCACTAACTTTGGTAATTCCTGTTGGTCTGAAGGTTCATCGCTCTCTGCGTATTCGTATTTCTGTATGATTAGAAATGGATCCCACTGCAGTGACTCGTGACGCCCTCGTAGTATTCCTTGATATAAACCATCATGAACTGCACGACTCAACTTGTGCCAAAGTATCTGAGGATGTTGTTTGACCTATAATAGAAAATGAATAAAGGATCCAGGATCGTCTCAATTAAGGTGTAATAAGATCATTACTTCATAATTACTGAAAACTGTTATCGTCATTAAACACGCAGTAAGTAATGCAAAATACATTAGCAACAAATGGTTGGTTATTTGGCCTGCTTCACCTTTGCATCCTTTCTTACTCGTCTCAATACACGACTGTCTTCGGAGCCAGCGGTAGTCGAATATCCCGGTTTTCTAGTGTCAGCCTACCGGAGCAAACATCATTATGGTACACAAAAGTATTAAAAAAATCTCAACCAGCTAGTATCAGTCATATCCTGTCCAACTGCAGCATAGAACTGTCTTGCATGGAGAGGAAAGAGCAGAGAGTTTAGATTGAAATCAACTTTGATAACGTTTGGAGAAAAATCCAATATTTAGTAAATTCATCTTTAATATTCTTTCATACCTTTATATTCTTCTGGGGAATAATGTCTCTTGTAAAGAATGTCTCATGGCTAATATCTACGCCCAGTTCTGCCAGAGGGACCGTGACGTCACCAATATCATACTTTTTTGAGTATCGATCAAAACGACTGATCTCAAAGAGTATCGTATATGAAGCAAGGTCGCCCGGGGATAGAGGAAATTTATATAATCTTTGATAAGTTGGGCTGATGGTGTTTCTTTTGTTTTTTGTTGTGGCATCTTTCTTGTCGGATATAACTTGAACGCTTACGAACGCCTTCGTCTCGTCTTTGGTTATCAATGGTAGATTTTCCCCTTTGATGAGTTTTATGGTAATGATAGAGCTGGAAATATATCAGATAACATAAAGTCAGTGCTCACCGGTGGCATATTTTACGTTTTTTGAACTAGAATTTCAGCCAATCTGATCCCAGCCATTTTTCTATCATATATTCTCTTGTTAACAATTGCACGCATGTCGTAATGAATTTCCTGATGCTTTAGAATTCTCTGCAAGATGGTGCAGTTTACCTTATTTTTAAAATTTTTTCTTATAAAGTTTACCTTATAAAAGCTTCAAGTTCGATTTGTGAAGAGGATTGCGGGTAAATGAATGTATAGGCTGGTTCAATTATGGACGGAGTCATGCAGTTGTGCATGGTTTTCGTAGGAGGTTTTTAGACAGCGAGTGCTGCGAGTTTTAGACAGTTTGTAAGCTTTATAATCGGTTAAAGCCATAGTGAGTGAGAAAGTGGGTGAGTCTATTTCTATGCCCATCTATGTCCATCTATACCTAAGCTTAGTTCATAAGCACGAGGGAAGTAAACATGAGAAAAGACAAACATTTGCAGTAAACTGTCCATTATAAACCTATAAGAAAATAAAATTCCGAAGGAAGGTTTCTACTTTGTCTTCCTGGCAAATTAGACAAATCTTTATATAATTATGTAATGATAATAAGATAGCGATTTTCAATTTTTTTCAAGGTTGCGTATTTGCGTCGCTAAGCTAATGCTTGAGTCGGGCAATCGTAGGGTGGTTATGCAACTAACTCAATATCCATGAAATAATTTAGAATCCCTTGATTAATTTGAAAAATTGTATACAAAGGCGTGAATCAAGCTTCTATTTTCTACCTTTTTTCATCATATTTAAGAGAAAAATACAGCCGGCCAGCTTCAGTTCTGTCACCAAGCAGTGGATGATCTGCACTTTCATCATCTCCTACATTGTTTACCTATAATAGAATTGCACAAAAGTAATAGATCCCTGGATACCTTGATGTGTTGATTGATGTAATACAATGTACGATAGCGTAGCTACAACAGCTTTCAAACAAGAATTATCCATTTTTGGAAATTTGAAATTTGTTTTTTTTTATGTATGGCTTTATCGAGTGAAAAGCTTCAGACTTCCTATATCTATGACGAGAATACAGTTTACACTTCTAAGCTTCTTACCAGTTTGACATTTCTCTCAACTGGAACAGGTTCTGCGCTGGTATGCGGTAGAACAATGTACTTTCTATTCCCAGAATCGTTTGGTCTATTTGTGTTACGAGATGCCGTATTTCTCAATCTGTACAAGAGAAGTGTGCCAACCATCAAGAGAAGAAAGAGTACCAATAGACTGCATTCCAGTGATAAAATAATCTCAGTGGTACTCATTGGCCATCTTAAAACAGAAGAAAATATTGAAACTGTGTTAGAACTATAAAATTTTTAAGAATACAAGTCGTATAGTAAAATACGGAAACTGTGTGGTTCAGTGGAAACTCATTTCAATCGAGAAAAATTATTTGATTCACAACTCTATCTAATCACCGAGATATTTTTTCCGATACCCTACAAAAGTGGGGTTAGATTTCGTATATACATAGCGTTAACCAACTAGCGTATTGTATACCCATGACAGCACTACTTTACTTTTTGAAACATGGTTGGTTCAAAGAACACTAAAATATAGTTGATATATATAGCAACAACAACCGTTGGCTTTGGCTTGGGAAGCCAACTTACACGGTACACCAGCGTCGGGGGTTTCTGCTCAGTTTGCTATACATTTCCCATATCTCCGTGTGTTAATAACTAAACTATTAATCCCATGAAATAGCAATCTAAAAACGCATCTTTATAATAAAAAAACGTAACACACAATTATCCTAGGTTTAGGATATTTATCAAATACTGCGTGCGCATAAACTCCAACGAGATATTTGCGCAAATGTGCAAATAGCTATGATGACGCGCAAATGTACAAATAGCTATGCTGACGCAGCCGCAGGCCGTGTACAAAACACATAGTACGAGATTCCGTTTTAATGGTCGAGTATTCAGAATAATAGACTGTATATACCGTTGTAAAACTGGGCGCATTTATGAATGTGCTGTATGTATAACACGCGTGCTTACAAACCGACCATAAGATAGGAACAATTCAGCTTTTGTATGTGGCAAATAATTGGCAATATGGTTTTATTTACAGCTTCAGTTGCTACACTTGCATTTTGCTATCGCATTTTAAAATGTTTCATCGTTCTTTAATACAATTTTGCCATCTAACAGTCACAGTAAAATACAGAAGTAAATACTATTAAAAATTTGATCAGTGCGTGAAGGTCATCACGAGGTTATGTTTACTAGATGAAAAACATTCTTACAAATTACACTGAACCTTTACGATCCAAATAGTTTATTTCATACCTGCCAATTGATTGTTGTGTATCTTTATTCCACTATCGATTTTATTCTTCGGCTATACCAATAATTTTAACCACTATTTTTTTAATCAGATCACGCAAGACCGACAAGACGTTACTGGAAGGCTGTAGACTGCGCATTTGGACAGTTATTCGGTGAGTGGCAGTGCCATATAGTAATACTACACCGGATTCAAGGTCACTGTACTCTAGTCCCAGCCTAAAATTAGGCTATGGCACTGTACATTGAAATGTATAGGAAAATTCCTAGACGCGTTATCCATCAACTAAGCAAAGCAGACGCGAAGCCTACTGTCTATTGCTCTCAGCTTGCGTTTTTCGAACCCAAACCCTGACAACATGCGGTGAAACTTCAACTTTTATCAATGCACGACGAAAGTTGAAAATTTATAATATAATCATGCATAAGAAATTAGAATTCCGGTTTTTGTTTAAATTCATCCAAGATATTAATCTTGGATGCTATTGTTTGCTAAGTTATCGGAAATAATCGGCTGCATCGGGCGATTACCGATGCATGCATGCCGCGACGGTTGAGATTAGGTTACACGCCAGTTTTTCACACTTTCCGGCATAAAATCAATCAACTTTGCTAGTGCCTGTTGGTTGTAGTTTTTCTTTGATACGCAATGACTAGTTTGCATCAATTTTCCCGGCTCGGAATTCATCAATGTTCCTTATCATTCAGTAATAACCAAATCTGGCACAGCGACACATGACGTAAACAATATTCGAGGGTGAATCGTTTGTTCCCACTCGCACTTGCCCCGTACGTACCCCTAGTTTTTTTCTGACGTGGTGTTTTGCTTATTGCAAGGCAGATACATTTAATTCGAAATGTCGCCAAATTATATTAAAACCTGACGGGATTATCTCATTATTAATGTATAGTATATTTGCCCTTGCTATTTATGCTTTTATATGCATGCGTGGGGTCGAATAATCTATAAGGAAATGAAACTTAGTCTCGTATTTCGAAGCCTTCTTCGCACACACGACCAAATTTCACCTGCGCCGGACACAAAACATCTATTCTCGAAAAATAAAGATTTTCATTTCTCGAAACGTCAAAGAGTAGATCTTATTATGCATAGAACGATTCCACAAAACGCTTGCCCTGATTCACGACGATACATTGATCTACCAATGGTCATTAAAAAAATCTGGTATAGCCAACTTACGTAGCTAGTTACGCCCCACAATCTAGGTTATAAAAACGAGTGTATAATCAAGTACTAATCAAGTACTATGGAACTTCGAAGGTTCTGAGCTAAATTGGGATAGACTGCAGAAAATACCAATGAAGGTTTTTGAGTCATTTTCTTGCATAAAAGTTTTACAATTAAAGTTAATACTATATAAATGCATGGTGTTCGCGTGACGTCAGGCTGGCCATGGTGGTGCATCCCTCACAGACCCCTGCATGTGTTCAAACAATAATATTCTAGTGGTAACCTTTTCTAATAGAACTGTGAGTCAGGAACAGACTTAATAAACTGCAATTGAGAATAATTCTCGCATTGATACTCGTATATAGTCATCAAATAGAAGGGGAAAAAGCATCAGTCATAAAAATTGTATGATTCCTGTCGACTAATTATATATAATAAAATTTGTTTGAGATAAATGTTTGTATGGCCGAAAACATGCATCCTTATATGGTTAAAGGCAAAGTGATTTTCATCTTTTCAGCCGTATATATATTAATTCAGCAAATATTCTGTGAGTATATTCCGTGAAGCACGACAACGCCGCTTGTTGACAACTGTTGCATGGATTGTCCATTATTTTAAGAGTTAAAAGTTTTTTGAAGGATTTCATATAGTATATAAAACGTTATTTGTAAACATGCACTTACCCAATTTTTGTAATAGGCATGCAGTGAATTTGACTTCGTCAATTTTGATGTATAATACTCTTGGGTTCAATTTAAAACATATTTTTCTGGAATTGTATTACTGGAGACTGGAGTTGAAATATGTAGTGCTTTCTGGCAATGACGACTAAGTTGTCGATTCTGCCAGTTTTCAACATTTTGGTTGTATGCACTCAAGCAAATCCGAAGTGTCTAACGTATGAATTTTAACGACAAATGTGGGGTTTAATATGTTTGTTTAGAGGATTAACAACAAAGTCAGTAGCTACATGATTAAGCTGAATGTTTTGCCTTGCAACGGATATTTTGTACAGCCGTTGAATTTCACTATATCACTATAACTATAACTATAAGTTCATATACAGGAAAACTAATAATCAAACGGCAAGTTCAGTCTATAGAACACATGCATATGCATGGCAGACTGAATGATATAATATTCGCGAATTGTGCATTCATTCATGTGTGTATTCATAAAGTTGATTCAAATTTCAAATTACAGCTGCAGTCAAATGTAACGTTTAAATATAGGCAGGTTTTCAAGTGTGATCCGATAAGTGCACTGTCGATATTTTCCGCAAAGTATTTAGCTGAAAAGATATCTTTCATGCACCTATACTGTACTTCTATCAGTTGAAAATGCTTTCCCGGTTTATATAGGTCTTCAAAGTGATTTTCTCCCAATGTCTTACTCTTAGCATGCATGTGTCTAAGCCTGTATGTAAAAAGGAAAATTGCTTTAAAATAAAATTTATAGGGCGCTAATATAGAAAATATAAGCGCCCTGATTTAAATGGATGCCAAGCGTGAGCCGTGCCTGCATGTGTATTGGGATCTTGAATTAACCGCAGTTCAGTACATCATTGTTTCTATTGCGCCTGCTGATTTGAATTGTGTTACTTCACGTGATGTTATCGTCTCTTCTTCAGACCATTTAACTAATAACTTGCATGAATAACGTTTTACTAGATTTTTCTCCGCATGGTATGTAGCTTTTAGACGATATATATACTCTCAGTTTTGGATGCTCGCATGCATGGAAAACAACCGCACGGGATAAAAGGCCCTATACCTGTGCCTGTGGTGGCCGTTATAAAGATATTTCAAATTCAAGTAACTTTTAGTAAATTTATCATCATAATTCGCAGAATGGGGCACTTAATTTGAACATAAACATGTGAATATCTCGATGTGACTGAATGTCCGCGCCACATTTTCATGTATAGATTCTTTCTGTAATATCGCCTGATCGTTTTTAAAATGCCATTCAACAGTCGCGTTAATAATTACAAGTTTCTCTACTCAATATATATTGCGGAAGTGTATTCGAAAAAGCTAGTTTATACCTACTTGGGAAGAAACGTCCTTTTTTCGATAACTTTGTCCTACTTTAACGCCATGAGTCTGTTATGAGAACGATCGTGTGTGCATGGACCTCCGCTTCATGTTACTTGGCGTTCAATGAGTTGACTTAAGACAAATTTTGGGACTGAGCGAAATTGCCTGAATTAATTAACGCAACTCATTATTATCCTTTGTGTTCAACGGATTTTGAGCTGATCGGCTGATGAAAATTCAAAGTAATATTAATTTTCTACATATACAGATATTGTTTTGAACAAATATCTCAATAAAACCCACGCATGGTCTGAAATAATTGTACATGCAGGCGTCTTCGCAATTGGTTCGGGTGATTATTGCATGTTTCATAAAGAGATTTTCGTGGGACAGCTGCTGTTGCATGCATGAGGAATATGCAGATTTCAAACACAACAAAATCAGACACCGTGAAATTGTCTCAACTTGGGCTATGTAATCTTGCCATGGAATATGAATCGTATATATGCTATATCATTCGTTTTTTTATTCACTTGTTGTGCACATGCCTGCATGCAAAATTCGAATCTACACATCAGGTGATAACAAAAATCCTTATTGTGACAGTGTTGCATTTAAATCCGTAAATAGTTTAGGTAGAATGGATAAGAAATCTTTTAAGAAACCCGTTTTATTACCCCATGCAGTTTCTCTCGTCATGATATTTTCGTTTTTATGCGGTGGCTATTTGCAAATGCTTCAGTATTAGTTTAAAAGATTTTGTAACTTCTACAATATTGCAATGCCTATAAAACAACAATGCCTACGAAATATGACCCTCGCTGATAGCAGTATTGTATATGAGTATGTTTGTTTCTAATACTCGGAAACTACTTATTCACCCTCCACGCATTGTGGGTGCGTTGTCTTCGTTACTTTTCTCTGAAAATAACAGCGCGAGTTTTGTTGTTTGCGGTTTATCAACCTCCAACTTGCAGGTTAAAAACACCCATATTAAAACTGTCATTTTAAAACATGATCGCGAAAGGTGAGTTCACAACAGGGTAGCGGATGGATGCTAAACCATAAAAATTATCAATGTTTCTTCGTAAAAGGAATTTTTATCCGGTCAAATACGAAGTTGATAATTTTTTTGAATATCTGATTTTCACGCGACAATTATGTGCAACACTGAGTATTACCATATAACATTGTCTCGCTATAAAACACGACTGCAATAAATTCCGTTTCACTGTATAACATCATTCACATGCATGCTTTTTTTCTAATCCACGAAGAATCATTCATTCACAACAAAACGTATGGACATGCAATAATTATTTATTTGCTTTCTAAACATACAGCTAACTTGCACGTATTCCAATAGCAATTGTTATCGTTGTTGTTTACATAATTTTTTCACGAGAAGATTTTGGAGAACTTCCGGGTTGAGAAGGCCATAAACTACAGCATTCAAAATACTCTTGGAGAAATGTAGGAACTTTGAGCTTACAATTAGTCTTTCAGATATCTGACAGTAATTAGAAAGCTCGCAGATGCATGTTATTATGCTTGGTATATAACAGAATAGAAATATAAACACCATTAATATAACTATGAAATATGAGCGGTGTTTTCTTCTTGATGTGTTAGTTTTCGTACTGTTGAATTCACTACCACGAGGAGCACTTCCAGTTATTGCTTGAATAATAATCACTGTGCTGAATACCAGAATCAATGCGGGAACGCCAAAGATAGGAATTAAAAATCCGGACACAAAAGGAAGCTTTTCCATTTTAAACCAACAAAGATGTTGCTTAGGAAAATAGACGACCTCGAAGTTGATCAGGATTAAAAATGGCATGGTCAGCGATAAAGTTATTGCAATGACGACACATGGCCATACTGATGATGGTGAGAACAACTTACGATATTTTATGGGATATTTAAACATGAATAAACGCTCAATACATAGAAGTGACAAGGAGTTAAGCGAATACAACATTGTAAACGTTTTTAGTAAAGCAGTGAAGTAACACATTAGTAAATTGTGTGGATTTTCATTTGCAATCAAGTTGACTAAGTAAATTGGCATAACGGTGATACCAACCACTGTGTCTGAAACAAAGAGATTCAATAAGAGGCCATGGGATGATGCGCGTCGATATTTCTTTATCTTGAATATTGCCTGGATGACGAGCAGATCTGCGAATGTTGTAAGCAGTATTAGTGTTGCCATCGCTGCCACTCTCAAGCAGTATTCCCAGAATGGAACCATATTACATACGGAGTTTGAGTTGTTTTGCTATCAGAAGTCAGAACTAAAAAGGAACATCCCGATTAAGAAAATTGTCTTTTCGTTTAATTATTGAAATAAGACGATAGCTGACTCATATCCCGTACCTGCATGTACAGTATTTATTGTACGATAATATTTTAACATATACGTACCAGGTTAGATGATCAAAATTGCTATAATATAGATTGCATTCGATCCATGCATGAAGAGATTTGACTAAATGTCAGACGAAACCTGTACAAATCTGGGCACATGATATATGAAGTATATATTCACATAATTTTGTATTGTATCCAGCTGGAAGTTCATTTCAAGTGGTTGTCATTTTAATTATTAATATATACGTTTTCATTTGCAATTAAACTGATCAAATAAAAATTGTAATAGCAATCATTGTATCTGGAATTAAGAAATTCAATCAGAATCTATCTTGTATGCACGTTTTGAATATTGTACGGTTGACACGAGCAGATTCCCAACTGTTGTAAGCAGTATATACCGCAATCGAGGCCACTCACAAGCAGTATAGCCTCTTCCCAGCATGGAACCATATTCTTGCTGTAAAACGTTACTGAGCATGAGTTGTCAGTCTGCTATGAGAACTAAATATAAGAACATCCCAATGAAGTAAATTGTCTGACCCATAGCTGCGGCCCGAACCTAAAGCATTTATTGTACGACTCTGATTTTCTTTTATATATATATATGACTTGATCAAAATTACTATAGATTGAATTAAATCCATGCAGAGATCTGATAAATGAATGTCATGCAGGGTATATAAGGTCCAATATTACCAAGGAGCAGCGTGGCAACGAAGGCCCTCGGGTCGAAACGTCGAGAAGTGTTTTGTCTATTTAGGCAGTTGTTATACCACAATTTGATGCTAGGGTATGTAAGGGCAAATAAAACTGGGTGTGATGCAAACTGTATTAATTTATATATGCACTAGGGCGTCGATCCAGCTGCATGCATGGAAGTTATTTAAAGTAAATTATATGATGTATTATTGATGATGTATAAATGTATTTTCATTTTAATTATATTTTAGTATAATTACAAATTGATTATCGGAGATTTTTCGCACTGATTGGTCGAGGGACCATGGAAAATTAATAATGTTTATAGAACGCGAGGTCGGTACAAAGAAATATCAGACATTTGAATCGCTTATTTCGTAAGAGAAGGAGTGGTAGAATTACATTCTGTATTTTTTTCCGTGTACGCCACAGCAATTTTTTTGTTTGATCATAAGGATTATCATAGAATTACCTGATAAATACTTATATGACAGTGGCATAAACATCCAACGTGTAGATGATCATTTAAAGTATAGATAATATGGCTACGTGTACTGCATTTTTAAAGATAACTCGACGGGTATTAATATTATAGCTACCTTACCTGCTTTCAGCATGTTATAAATTTCCACGTGTGGCAATGCCTGACAAAAATACGTTATAACGCTTGGCGTGTTTGTGAGGTGAAGGAAACCCGACAACATTCCCACACATTGTTTCCCGACATTTTATATTATTGCTTGGAAAATACCAATAATAAATATGGTCGATTGAGAATTAAAGAAACTGCATGCGCCGGATAACTATTGAAATTTGACATACAACGGGGGCATATATAATGATAGAAAACTTTGGTCTGAGAGCTGGGAAATGCGATCAAATTCATCTATAGTTGAAAAGTTTTTGGGGGGTTAGTTGGGCACGCTAAAAATTCAAATTTTGGGGTTGTGCATGCATGCTTGGAAAAAGAGATATTGCCAACTAGTTAAAGTTAAAGTTAAAGTTAATGAAATTTGCATGGAATATTATAATTGATTAAGTTATTCAAATATTATTCATTATAGTTATTCATTATAATTGATGAAGTTATTCAAATAACTGCGACCTTCGTTTTGCAAATTGAAACGATCGAAGTTCTCTCGTCCTTATCGTTGTGATGTTTTTCATTTTCCTCTCTTGTCTGCACGGCGCTAGCTCATGCCATTGTGCAATAGGTTTTGCCGCAGTTAGTGCTTCAAGCCAATGAGATTCTTCGCTCCCTCCTACTTCTTTTCCCATTAGGACCTTTCCAAGCGGGACATCATTTGCCCCTATTGCTACTTTCTGGTAGACAATAATTTGCAACTTGACAGTACTGATAACAAAGTCTTCCAAATCAAACAATAGAGTTTCATTGTAAACAGGGTTCTCTGTCCCAGTTTTAAATATAGTGACCTTACGATGGCGTGAACTCCGATAAAGTATAGTAACCTCTACGTACACTCCTGTTGGAATAAAAAAGGAAAACGTTATTGTTTTCATTTTGGCATACTCCAGATGTCCCATGCAGCCAGCACGAGTCGGTTATATTTGAGCTTCACTGCATAACTATATAATTGACACATGCACACAATCACTTTGTAGTTTGTTCGCTAAATGTCCTATCGAGTTCACATAAATTTCACTGCGTGCATATGCATATGGTATAAACGCCACCGTTTTTACGACAAAATGTTCGCTTTTAATTCTCATTTCTTGTATAAGAGCAATGGAGTCAATATTACTATTTACTAACTATAACTGGTATTTCTCTGTTTTACTGGATATCTATAAAGCACTGCATGCATGAAAGACAGTTATAAGTGAAATCCAAAGTGCGTATGAAATCGTTACCGAAATGAATCAGGGACTGGTCAGGATGTCGTTACCTTGATTATCTTGTGTTGTTTTTATATTCTTAGCTTTAAGAACAAATACACCCAGTCGATTGGTCGCTGGGAGGTAGGTTAGTGAAAATAAAATTTTGCTTGAATCTTCCGCTACGCTTTTTCTTGAAGAATCCTGGTAAAACATAAAACAAGTTGTTTCTGAATAACGTTTTAAGGAAAATAGACATTATGCAAGATAGAATTTTTCCCTAGTCAGTGACCAAAGCCACGGAACACCTCGTGTACCACGGAACTTACAACATGATCCTGTGGACACGAATAATATTAGTTTTTTACGCGATAACAAAGATAAAAACAAAATAACTTTTGCTAAATAAATTCCGGCAAAAAATGAATGTGTATCACTATTCCTGTATTATTATAAAGATATATCGAAAATTACCTTAGTCTGATGAAGTAGAACAATCTCTTTGGAGAAAAGCATGGCAGTTTGTGATATATCCAATCCTTCAATATCCAGTTGACTGAGGGAATATATAACCTCTCCCAAACTTGTTAGGTGAAAGTAAGCATCAACATACCACACCACTAGATGAAGCTTTTTCTTCCATAGTTCTCCGAAATCAACTTTGTATTCAAAAAGTTCTTCAAAAATTGGCGAAAATGTGTTTTCTTGCACTGCAGTTGCAGAAGGTTTCTCGGAAATCTCTCTAGGTATCAAAGCACATTCTACTAAAACATTTGGAGCTTCGCCATCATGATCTGGGATACCTTTAATTGAAATTCGATAAATAACCATATATAAATTTAATGCTTCATATAGTTTAATGTAATTTTTTTTTAGAGAGGAAAGGTAAATATTTTTATCAGGAAACGGTAAATACCTTCAGCTTTCATTATTCGTACAAGAAGTTTTGACCTAATTGAAATATAGTGTGAATATTTATATCAAATTCGAACATGAACAAGCAAACATTTTTTAAAAAAAAGGTATATAGCTAATATCGCTATTCTTTTTATATAACCGGTCAAATAATATAGCCGGTCAAATACATTTCCAGACACGTCCTTTCAAAAATGAAATTGAAAGAGAATAATCATAATGCACGTGTGTGCAGTGAATAAAAGTATACATGGTATCGAGGGTTTTTTCTCGTAACGAGAAACCACGAAGTTATACGAAGATATACGAAGTTGAAAATACTTAAGGTGGCTCTATACCTCTTGTCTTCGTATTTTAATGAAAAAAATAAATTTCCCAGTTGTCCATCGTGTTTTATGCTCTTTGTTCTTTCCCGATGGCTTGTCTCATCGAGCTTCTCCAACTCCCTTTGTTCATTAGAAAAAAATAAATTAAATGGAATGCTATGGTTAAGTGTTGCTCCTGTCTCTTGCACCGAAAGCATTAAAAACATACAAATTAAGGAATCTGAAATATACCATGTAATTGATTTTACCTGGTTTCTTCCTCCTTAGAATCACCAACGTTCCATTCCACAGATTCCATAAATGACTTTTTTTTCATCTCAGGACGTAACTTTCCTTCGTGAAGTGCAGTTCTTATTTTCTCCCATAGATAGTATGGGCTTTTTGGCTCTGTTATACTGACCTAATAAAATACATGTTATTTCATGGCATATTAATTCGTTTATTACGCGGTAAAGAAAGAGCTTTCCGTTAATTTAGCTAGATAAAACTATTGGAATTGCCTGACCAGAACAGGTAATCTACAATTACTTCTATGCCGTATATAAAAAACGATTTATGCTGTATATTAGTTGTAAAAACCATGGGATCGTAGCAGGTCGATGTTAGTTTAGCTACTGCATGAATACCTCAATATTTGGTTCGATTAAATTTCGTATGAATATTTCCTGACTCAGATCTACTCCTTCTGCTGTCAGCTCTGCCAGAGACAGAAAAACATCACCAATTGTATTCTTTCTCGAGTATGTATCATAACGGCAAACGCAAAAATGGACCGTTTGTCGTAAAAGCTCCTCGTGGGGAATCTCAAACTCGATACCGTCTTGACCATGCGCTGGTTCAGCTCTCGCGGGAAGTATTTGAATTTCAACGCTCGGTTTGCTCGGGAATAAATTCTGAGTTGGGATGTTTTCACCCTTAACCAATCTTACCACGAGGGTCGATCTGGGGAAAACAAATATGCACCAATATTTTTTGTTTCTTGATGAATTTTTGTGTTTTAAAAAAATGCATTAGCCATACTTTTGTTCACCTGCAGTGATAACTATATAGTTTTCATTTGATCGTTATTCTGTCGCTACATGCATTGTCAATTAAGACGTGAAATGTGGTCGATGTGAAATATTATCTGCTTTTTAGAAGAAAAGACTATATGTATCTCTGGACTCCATCAATTCAAGTATTAATGAATAATAATTTCCAACAGAAAACGACTCACACACACACATTTTACCTGTCTCCGTCATATTTTATGGAAAAATACAAATATCCATTTGAATCTTCGCCTCTCTCATCAGTTGTATCACCAGTTTTCTATATAATGATACACAACATTATTATGGTTAATAATAATAAATGCAGTGTACGCTTAAGTCGTTAGATGATTCTTTGCAACTGTGAAGCATTTGTGAGCTAGCTGCATATTTCTTTCATCTTCAATGCTAAACAGTCAATGATAATTGTCTCCCAGGTAATAATTCCCATCAGATTTGGGTTGTAAAAGCAACACATCATACCATTATTTATATTTGCACGTAGGTAATTAAATAGTTTTGTTTCAACAAACTGTCGTAATGCAAGCTGTAAGCTATGTTGAAGCTAGGCCCTGGCTGTTCATTATCCATATTATCATTGTTAATCGTATATTCTTTCCTTTCCAAAAACGTCGAAGAAAATGTTAATGAAAATGAAACCACGTATATTTGTTTAAGCAATCCGGTTTAAGATACTGCGCAGAGCTTGTTAAAAAACAAACAGTTGTTGCATGTGGTTACAGACTATAGAGACTCATTTGCATATGACGTGATATTTTGACAGTATTTTGACCGTGTATTTCACATTACCGACGTTCAGATTTGACAACTGTCAACCGACACCTCTCACTGAACTATTGTGCTCCTGATTGGTTAATCTGACAGACTTATCGTATTTAATGGTTCTTGTACCCTTTGTATTAGCGGTAGTGGTATACTGGAGGTAAAAAAAAGACCTTAACAATAACAGGTACTTTCCAATATAGCTAATAATCACGGTTGAAAAATGAAAACCTTAATAATGTATGCATGGTAACGTTGCTTATTCAGTGCCAAATCATGGCTCTTGATGTACGAGCTTACAATTTTTTTCAATGTTGTTATTAGTACCATTATGGTTAAGAACCTTGTACATCTCTTTTGAATTCACTGCTTCAGACTCATTATTTTATGTAAATTAACATGTATAACTGCAAAATCTCTTCAGCGAATCTCTTACCTCGCGTGTTATAGCAGGATATGGTTTATATACAGGCTGAACTGAAGTAGTCTTTGTAACCACGGCTGGATCGTTCTCTAGACTGATTTGTTCACTAAGAAACTCTTCCTCAGATTCAGATATTGCACGCTTTTTTCTTCGACTTTTCCAGAATGCTACCCAAATTGCCAACACCAACAAGGTTGCGATCCATAGCGAAATCACAATGGCTAAAACTAGTTCTTTCATTTCGGCTTAAGAAAAATGGTATTTTTTTCTAATAGGATCACACGATTTTAATCTTTTTGAGAAAAAAGTTTTATGTGTAAATCAACCTAATTTATTTTTTATGTTTATTTAATTCTGCCTCTCTTAACCCAGTGATACATGAATGATATAGTTCGAGCAATTACGATGTCTTGGACATAGTCTGTGTTATTTTGTTGAACACTTCATTGCAATCTTTGTAGCTATTTCTTTGTTTTGGTTTTGTCATGTGAGAGCAAGTCAGTGCATGACAATGAAATCATAATTCTTATAAGGAAGCTCGACTATATTATCGACTGTATAAGGATAATTTATGTAATTATATTCACGAACTCATATATTTAATACTGTCATTTGTTTGAATGAAAATATAAATAATATAATATAATATAATGTAATAATTATGATTCACATCTATAGTTTTGCATACTTGTTGTGCCGATGAGGCATGACAGGCAATCGAAATAATTTAAAGTCTAATTTCAATATTCCTATAAACCACATTAAGGCTGATATTAAGGCTGCACGTTTATTCCTACGGTCATCAATTTCGAAATCATTGAGTCCTAAAAGGATTCCTAGCTCATAATTACTAGTTTACTTTTAAAAACAATAAATGACCAAGCACACCAGTTTTATGTATGTATTTTCTTAAAACTGACAGTTAAAGCACTTCAATTCATGACGCCCTGATACAGAATGAGCATTTTCGACACAGTATTCATACAACATGCACATATAACTATATATTTATAATCCTACCTTCAAGTATACATCGCTTCAAAGTAAATCAATAGCATCAGATCTTCGTCGGTCTTCAGTTATGCTCAAAATAAAAGGATTTTTAATGAAAAATCGCTCCAGTTTAGTGCCATAGTTCGTCGTTGTCAAATCGTCTAGATATTACAGCATGCAGGTTGATTAATAATTCGTTGCCGTTGAAGGCGCTGTTCTAGACGTATAAGAACTCAAATATTGGCACGGTCTGTCGCCTTAGCCGTTGGTTTACGCAAGTGAGGAATGATACAAACTGCCAAACACAAGTCTTGCATGTCTCATTTCATTTACTCTATATAATTACACGGCGCTTGAACACGCTATGGATCGAATGATTCCATGGGGCGTTACGAAAGATCGGGAAAGAATATTTAAGTGTTGTGACAAACGACAGTAGAAAAGATCTTTAAAGAACTCGCAGATTTGGGAAATCATTGATAAAGTTATTGTGACATGACATATATGTCCGTTATACATACGAAATTAGTAAGTACTCGAGAAATGTCAATGATATATCGGTAACTTGCTCAGGGTTAACCTTATGCAGATGAGGTCACCAACGATTTCTAGAGAACAAAACAGGTAACGCATGCATAGGAATGATACAATAAACAGAGATAAGCGAAGTTGATCTACATATTTTTTTTCCTGTGTAGCATTATTGGCCTGCACTGATGGTCACAACATCCTGATTGTAGGCAAGTGATAAAATTTTTGGTGGAAATTATCGAAAGAAAACAATTCTTTGAAAAAAATTTTTGAATAAGAAACTTTGGTAAATATTAAAGTCTGAGTACGTCTGACCACCCATCCCCCCCCCTAAAAAATAAGGCGTCAACATAGCAAATATTGCATGTCAAAAATGCTTTCCTTCAGGGGAAAAAATTTCATGAAGATTCCAAAACATATATTTAGTCCTCAAAGAACTGCCATATCCAGTTCTATGCTTGATAGACATGAACATTGTGTGGACTAGATCTGTGAATATTGAGGACACGGCAGATCAGATGTTCGTTCCACTTAATCCATGGTATTATTAATCCTTATTATTACGGCTATTTCTTCGATGCAAATGGTACTAAAAGTTGCAGACAACGCATCACTGAATATGAGTCAACTACTGATGAAGATGAACTAAAATTTTGTCTTATTCAAGGATCCAAAGTACACGCGACGTCAATAAATACCTGGCAAGATACGGCCTGGCAGTAAAAGCCATGCTTTACTATTCCACCTTGCATCAGACAGGAGACAAAAATCTATCCCTGTCTGCAATGATATATGACTTGATTAAGAGGATCGTTTGTGAACCATAAGGAGGGTATTTCGAAGTTATTCTCATACCTGGTAGAGACCGTACGGAGACCATAAATGATAACATAAGTCATCCTAACCTCAGTAGCTAAATACGAGCGCTCAGGGCATAACAAAAAACCTCCTACTATGCGCTTAGGTGGAATCCACACGTTTATCATGCAGACCAGTTTTTTGCTACGCTTGTCTCGTCAGTTTTTATTTTTATCGAATAAGACATAGAATGTGGCACAGTTCGAGGCAGAGCCTATCTCAAAAGAGAATTGTCATCTTATAAAGTTGAGCCGAGTCTCCATATTCGAAGCTAATTGTGGTCACAAGACTGATAGCTAAATAATTTTAGAGCAAGTGAATAATGCATCCTGAGTCGTCATGATGGAGGAAAACCGGACCTAGGTCATTAAATGTTAAAAAAATTATCTTCCCAAGATGAATGCGAACATGCAAATTAATTCATGTATTACTTGTCGCTCTATATACGCGTACAGCCACAGATGCAGACAAGTGCCTTTATAGCTAGGGATAATCTTTCATGACTCTGATATTGCGAAGTAAAAATATTATCTTACTTTAAAAATTATACTGCTATTTTACTAACATCATCCCTTAATTAATTTTCTTCTGCCGTTTGAAATATTTCCTACAAATTTGTGGGGGGGGGGGCATCCTTGCTCCGCGCTCCCTCAAAAGCCCTCTCATCGTGCACATAATCCCCTATGATGGTAGATCAGGATATAAATAACAACAATTATTTTTAATTGTTTTTAAATAATTGTTTTTTTAAGTGTAGAACGGAGATCACTTTCAAAAATTCTTTCAAATCCTGTTAAATTGTTTCTAAAAGTTTGTTTATTGAAAACTGGACATGCGCAATCACATTCTAAAAAGCGCAATTATTGAAATTGGCAATCATGATCATTCATGCAATTAGCGATTGTCTCCACACTTTTACGCATGCAGGCAGGCATTTATTATTGAGAATGCTTGGATGATTAATCATCAGAAGAACTAGAGTCAGTTGGCACTTCATTTTCACTACAGCTCAACCGATTGCGGAGTCGTCGCCTGTTATTGTAATTGTAAGACTGACATTGTCGTAAATTGTGCCACTCTGCAACTGCCCTATTTGCGTTCATTGCGCTATTCCAATGAAGTTTTGCGTCACTGTTATAAACATCGCTGCCCAGGAGGACTCGTCCTAGCGCTATATCAGGTTTATCAGTCCGTTTCTGCTTTAAAGTTATCTGAAGTTTCATATCTTGAGTTTCAAGGTCGCTGAGATCAAACAAAATAGCTTCGTTGTAAACTGGATTGTTCGTACCAGGCATAGATTGCGTCACTTTCCGTTTTCGTCTGTTCTTTTTCACGTAAATTATTGTAACCTCTGCGTAAATACCTGCAAAAGATAGACATTTCAATGGGTTGAAATGCTGCAAAACAAGACAGTTGGGCTTTATTGCTGGCCGTTTTGTGTTCGATAAACGCTGATAAATTTGCTGATTTTGCTCATGTGAAGAGAGTATAAATAAACGCCGAGGTCGTCGATTTTCCTGGATATCGCCTTGTTGTAAAGATATATAAGCTTCTTTATTAACCACTACCAGAAGTCATTCTAGTGCATTGGAAAAAGGTATTGCTAATGTACAAAACATACCTTGATTGTCATCTGAAATGAGGTTGAGATTCTGTGCTTTGAATAAGACAACTGTCAGTAGTTTGGTTGTTTGTGCATAAGTGAGTGAAAATAATACAGCTCCGTAGTGACCGTACACGCCGTTTTCATCTTGAAAGTCCTTAATAAAATGCAAAAAATGTTTAGATTCTTTTTTAAGGGGTGATAAACCTCACGTTCTTCGCCAATCGTCAATTAAATGCCTCATTGCAATAAGTATTAGTGTTCGATTCCAAATGATGGTTTTATCGGGGTTGGAGGCTCTCGAAGAAGAATTTTTGTGCAAATTCCTTGTTTGAATGCAGGCGTATTGTTATACAATTATGTGGTTGGTAGGTGTTGACCGTCCAGCTTAGCGTAGGTGTGATCATGAGAAGGATTGTTGGCGGTGTTGACGTTTCGAGCCCCTTAACGTTGGGACTAAATGGTTCGGCACACTTTGGTGTGTCTGTGGCGTACCCGACACTTCCTCTTCTCTTAACTTTGACAATGACTACTGGTAAAGAACTCGAAACGTCAGTTAACAACAACATTCCTAACTAGGGTTATTTTAAACAAATTTGAAGATGAGAAACAGTGGAACGATTATAGCCCTATAAACCTGTTTATTTTATATGTATATCTATTTAAAAGAATTGACTAAATTTATTAGCTTTACCCGTGCTATTCGTTGGATATCTTTACAAACAATTGTTTGTTCATTAGTGCCTTCTTCTGACACCGTCAATTTGTCCAGATTATGCTCCACCATACCAAGACATTCGCCTTGTGAAAAACTATCCACATACCAGACAACTAATCGTAGAAATAACATCTCATCAACGTTTAATTTTTTTATATCAAACTCGAATCTCTCGTTAAAATGAGGAGAATATGTTCCTTGTTGAACTTTGGATTTTAATTCTTGGTTTGTGTTGGTAATGTTATTATTGTGTAAGAGACTGATTGTGACATAAACTCTTGGATAGTCGTTCTTTGCCTCAGGTAGTTCATCTGCTCTTAGGAGATTTATAACAAGTTTGGAACTGAAAGGGAAAGATAACAGTGCATGAGTAGGATTGTTACTGCAGAAGTTTAATATTATCTTATCTTTTCACACTACCATTCACACAGTAGCTAATGATCGTTTTTGTCATGACAATGTGGTAAAAATCGCTCCAACCTGTCATAGCGCGAATGCAGTTCCCATGTGCACTGACGTCATGAAACTAGGACTGGTATAGAGCTTTATAGTTGACAACACGTACGCGATCAATCGAGTACATTTTAGCCAATCACAACAATTGCTTTTGTTCAACTTTAGGCATGAATTTTGAATGTTATTTTGTGGTCGCTCGCTTCCTGTTCTTATCGCATTGGCCAACTGGCTGCGAGGATTTTCATCAATGAAAATACTTCAACAGTCTCTTTAGTGTTATTCATGTCAGATTGTAAAAATGCATGCATGGTGTTCAAATGCATCAAATGACCATGCAGTTGTTTTACTTTTTCATACGATAAGCTGCCGCGTGGAAAATAAATATGTTAAATTGCAAATAGTCAAAACATGCTCATGCATACAAGTTACAAACCTGGGGAGAATTTTTAATGAATAGTATAACTTCCCAAGATTCTCCTTGCTGTTTAGTAATCTCTGTATCGGGTAAATATACTACAATAAAGACAATTAGAAATAAAGATATGAAAGAGCTAAAGGTATATACTTCCGTTACTAAAATAACAGAATTATGCAACGGTTGTGTATATAGCTACATATATGTCACTCAATTTGATCGAGAATAAAACAATTACTTCTTCTGTATATAGCAAAACGTAACATTAACGATTGCATAATAAAGTGTATTGCCTTATTGGCCTTGGATGAATATATGTATTAATAGTAATTTACATCTCAATAGAATAAATGACTCGTGTATAGTGCTTCAATGATGGCCCATCAGATGTCCTCATCTTTATTGACTTCAGCTAAAGCGGGACACTCATGCACGAGTACTTCATCTTCGTTAAGAAATATTTGTTCTTGAAATTCCAATAATAATGTACATGAACTAGCCTATTTAAATCATGTATCAACAACCATATACCTGGAACATAATCGCGATTATACTTACCTCAATTTCCATGTCACTATCTTCAGTATAAGGCACGTCACTCTCTTCTTCTCTCATTATTTCCCCGTACGGTTGAATTGTGTGAATAGTGATAGCTCCGTGTGGATGTTTGGGCTTCTCACCTGTACCAGCTTCAGTGTCAACTCTCCGATAATTTCCATTGAGAATATGAGTCGCGTAGTCTCCCTGTTTATCTCCCCAGTCCAAAATTCCATTCATAAATCGTAAGCATAACAAGGACACCATAATGATGACCGCGAGAATTATACATCCAAATATTAACCAAGCATAGTAGGCCTAATAAAAAATTGAATAAATTTCCTTATACACAAAAGGCCTTAAAAATTAAATTTCTTTTATTGAAAGGATTGTTTCAACTCTTTCGAAACATATCAATGTCTTTTAAAACTCGAAAAAGCGGCTAAGGAAATGTATATTTCATATCAATTTAATAGAAATATTGCCTTGCAGGAAATTGTTATATTGCACGAGAGTTCTCGTTTACTTGTCTTTGTAATTGTAAAGGTATTGTTGCTACTCTTAATCCATATCACATAAAGATATTTTTCTTTCTACCAGACGTTGGATTCGTTGCCCAGCGATTAACATTCCACGCATTTAAAAAACCTACAAACGCCTTGCATGACGAACGCAGAGAAAAATGCACGAGTACATTTAGGACATTTAAAAAGAACCCGTTATTTACGTAACCTGTTACGCTGTTTCACACGTCTGACATGGTTTTCTGACTTTTCTCAACATTTCTCCAATTAAATATGAAATTAAAAGTTTGCTGACATGAATGTACCCGTGCCTCACGCGAAACCATGGCATGCAGTAAGGTAAAAATTCTTCTCAAGGTTCACATTTTCTATAATATGCATTTTCATGTATAACTGCCATTTTTTGCTCCTGATTTCCTATAAGTCGGTAGTATAGCTACCCATGCAACCGTGTGTTTTCAGAATGCTATCTTTAATCAGTATTTGATATTGTGGGTATCATTATCACCTGTTGGCAGACCGAAACTAAGGTAAACTGAATATTCCTACTGACTGCATGGGATTATCAAAATTCGCCGATATACCGACAAGTTGTTTGGGTGCATTTCAGTGGTATGCTTCATGAAAAGACATTTAATGGGCTGTATAGTCAAACGTAACTATAATCTCTTTGTTCCTATATATTCTCCATGTACAAATAGCTATCTATTGCGCGACGTTATATATAGTCTTAATTTATTAAACGTTTGTAAAGCAGAATTGTTGGTAGAGATATGACCAAGCGGAAGAAATCAAATCAAATACTGAAATAGTTAACTATGGCTCCTTTCGAAAGCACTTCGCTGAAGCTTAAATATATTTATACTTGAGTTCTATAAGCACTATATTTCACTGATATTCGGCAAAGATTATATAACCTCCTATACGCTACACTAGCAAGCGTGCTTTATAATTGTTAATTTTTTCCTCCAACTCATTCATATCTCATGCTCTATGACCACGTAGTTAAGCCTCATAAGTCACAAACAAGACTATTATAAAATAGAATATTCGATCAGTTTAAGCTCTTTGTAATTGCATAGTGTGACAAAAGCACGTTTGTAAAAGTGAAAAAGTTTATCGAAACTTTGATCAGTCTCAAATTGCTATGTATATACTATATATAGCTATATACACTCGTTCTACTTAACATCCTGTATATATATGTCTATTGTCTTCGCACAACCACAACAAACGCTACCAATTAGCAAAGCTAATGCATGGTCTATATACCAGACTCGATTGACGGTCATATCAAACACGATGAAACAATGACATTGTCTCAGTCTCAGTCTGAAATCAGTTAAAATCGATCATATGTATAAACCGTGTAGTGAATTTCCTATATATAGAGATGAAAATTGCAGGATTCTCCCGTGGAAATTTAAGACACGCGGCTATGGACAAATATACGCCCATGCATTAAGAAACTTTCTATATATATGGATGCTTGATAATAAAAAACTTCCTTTAGATGAATTTTTGTCTACCAACTAAACAAACAATGATAAAGTATTGCATGCATCTGACAGCTTTTCACCCTATAGTCGACTCTCCTGACAAAGGCCTTTATTGTCAGGCTGATCATAAGCATGCTAATGGACGAACTGATTTGACTGAGTATATATTTATATGCATATATTGCAGTTTATGATTTGCATTTGTTTACTTCAAAACAGTTTGTGTGAATCTCTTGTTCAGGGGAACAAACCGATTTGTTTATCGTCATATTTATAATTTGATTTCTATATGTATCTCGATCTGAGTACATTCATATATCTGGGTAATTTGACAGACTGCAGTAAATGCATGTAATTTGGCTAATATAATTATTTACCAAGCTATTGAGAAGCTACCTGGTGCATATAGTTGCATAACCTATGCTGTAATTCCTCGATTTATATATAAAATACAACGCATGCAGATATAACAGTCACGATGCAGACCAATAGAAGTATACATGCACCATTTATATGTTGCTTGATCTGTAAATTGCTTTCATTTACAGCGCATTGCATATTATTAAAAATGTGAATCAGTGCAAATCTGCTAGAGAAAAACCTGAATGAGTGATTCGGATCCAGTGCATGTTTATATATATACATACAAAGCAGGTAAATTAAACATACATACAGCAATGTATACTTTACCACTCAAGAAATTCTCTAACTTTTTTACTCTTTACTAGCTTACATTCGACCCACCTGCATATTTTATTTATGCTTCGCCAACTTAGTCGCTTCTTTCAGTTTTTCTGTTCAGCCTTTTCTTATTTGCCGGAACCCATATTTTTATATATCCCACGAACCAATATATCTATATACTTTTGAATCCGTCTAAACTAGTTTTTTATTCTATCTTTTGATCATGCAGATTGCAGACTTAAACCAAAGTTTATATGTGCATGACACAGCGCATCATTATGTTTATTAAGCTGCTCATAAGTAAAATCTTCCGCTTTATTGCTTTTTATAATAAGTTCGTTCTGGTTGACATATCATCATCAGAGTTAATAGACCGGATGAACGAATTTTCTTCTCTTCTGGGGATTCACACAACACAATATTTTTGTGTATACTGTTCTAAATTTTGTATCTCACACATGTTGGTTATATTCGTAACCGACTATTTATGCAGAGGCGCGGGAACAGGGCGGGAGCAGCTGCCTCCGTTGCCTTTTACCCGCGGCAGGGGCAAGGGGGAATAAGATGTCCTTTTTAGGATTAAATTTAAAAAGTTATGTAATTATAGGAGTTCGACAAACGAGCATGAAGAATTAAGAATAGCACAATCGTCTGGTCGAAAAGACACCGAAATAATTTAATTGGAAAAAAAAATCACGGTGAGATAAAGTTCAACAGACGCATAAAACATTTAGTTTATGTGCCGCTAGAGAAGTGTCCTTTCATGAAAACTGTCCCCCCTCCCTTTGCCCCCGTATCGTTCCTGCGCCCCTGCATATTTATCTGTGGTCGTGAAAACCCTTCTTTTTCTAAGTTAAGTAACTAAAGTAAGTCATCAGTAAGACAAATACGTTTTCTCAGTAGCTATATATATGTTTAGCGCATTTTTCATTTAACATGTATGCATAAAAAAATCACTGTAGTTTTAATATATTGTTCTAATAGTAATTCTGTATTGACATTGTATTCATGACCTAGATACGACTTTTGCCAAACTATAACCCAGACAGTGCATGGAATTGAAGGTTCTTATATTAAATGCATGCATATGCAATGCATTTATATATATATGCATGTAGTAATGTGGGCCTATTTATATTATACTTGCAGCCGGTGCGTGCATATCCATGGATGCGTATTTGTATAGCCGATCGTGCTATATGGTATAATTGTTCACAGCAATCAGGTTTTGCCCCGACCTGTCCCCTCATTAAAGTCTACATGCATGGACAAGCAGCAAATTTATATTAACTAACTATAGCATTGTGAAGTTTCAATACTATACGAGTTCTCGCGGTAGTATCTTATTACTATGCATGCATATTCAAAATATATTTACACGGAAAAAGCTTATATATACATTTCTTTGGTTTACTTTACCTATATGTAGGTCGACTTCACAAAAAATTGCCAGGCTTTTCTTATATTCTCAGAAATATATATTTTTATGATATTGAATTGCATATCAAATTCACCTAATGGCTTTCAATTGCTTTTATGTCAAAAATGTTTCGAAAGCCACAACCAGACAACGATGTATGTTACATGCATATATGGCTTCAAGCTAACACTCGAGATTTGTTTGATGTTTTGAAATTCGTTGTAGTTACCTTTCGAGATAGTCCATTGTTTCGAAATATCGTTTTCCCTTACTGTTTCTTCCTGAGCTGTTCTTCCTTTGTATTTGTATTTGTCGTCGGTAGATGCAGTGAATAGAAAATGACAAGCGCGAATTCTTCCTGTGGCTGTATGTTTATTCAAAGTTGAGCTATTGCTGTAATTAATACGTTATTGTCGGCTGTATTCCTGTCGAATGTGTGGCTAGGGCAAAAATTAAAAGAAGGCAAAACAATAGACCCTGCGTGGGATGTTCGCGGCAAATTGTCATATGAATTGGTTTATGCATATCGGTTTTATATTATAGAGATTCAAGAATCGACTTCATTATATTAAATATTAAAAACAACGCAACTTTGCATTTGATCAATAAATAATACTCGGAAAAGCCGACGATTACTAAAATACATAGAGATGGATTCTTTCACGTCGTTCACTTCAAAATGTATGGAAAATGTAAATAAGTAAGAGTCTGATGGAAATTGGGAACGAGGAAATAATTACTTAACCTAAATTGAATGCGTGAATTGTATTAAGGTTCGCAACGACACCGACGTATTCATATGACAGCCGTGATTGAGACGAGTGAGCGAGCGAGATGAAAAATTAAAATTTAAAGTGGTGGGCTGGATTTAATCCTGTAAAATCCTACTTTCCAACATATATTTTTCTAAATCAGTCTATAGATGATATTAACAAGGTATTAACCAACGATGAAGGCTGAAAATCTTGTAAAAAAGAATTTTCGCAAAGCAGATGTTATCTTCGACTGATTAGAAGCTGAATGTTTTCATAAAAAGTAAGGATGAAATGAAATGAGGTCGCTGCTTGAACTCATTTATTTAATTTGGATCATAAAAAAATCTTACGGCAAAAAGAAACATTTTGAGGCGAACGTCGCTTATCATATCCCGCCATATATCATGAAAAACATCTGCATGTCTTCTTTGCCTCGACACCATATCCGGCTTAGCTGGTAGATCGTCGGTGCATATATTATGATTTATGAGTTTGCTCTCGAAATATATCTGTAATTTACAACGTATAAATAACATGCATACAGAGTAACTCTCTTTAGTGACTTCATGGTTGTCAGGTTTTCTAGGGTTATAGGACAAGGATTAATATATCACATCAATATTGAGCTGATGTCTGTAGTCAATACCCAACTCGCAGAGTCGGCAGCATGTGTACAATGTGTGGACGTGTGGTATATAGCCCACTTTTGCAGAAACCGATATATTTAAATGATTATATTTTCAAATAAAGTTTGCTATAGATTATATTAATCTTTGTTTTAACAGAGGTACAGAAGCACTCGATATCTGACAATGTTGTATAGGCATCACTCACCCGCCTCCACATAGCCAGACAACCACAAGTCAGAGTATATTTTTCGGTATAAAAGGCATCAAATGTGGTATAACAACTGCCTAAAATAGACAAAACACTTCTCGACGTTTCGAATTGAGGGCCTTCGTCAGTAAGTAACTCTCCTGACAAAGGCCTCAGGTCGAAACGTCGGGAAGTATTTTGTCTATTTATAGGTATAGTTGTTATACCACATTTGATGCCAACTTATTTGAAGACGCTCGGCTGCCACGCTGCTCCCTGGTTATATTGGAACTTTTCGGTATAAAGGCTGCATTTGAGGACGAACTAAACAGGCCGTTGCTATCAGAATAATCAGATTGAAAATCTACAATCTATAATTGTATATAGCTGCATAAGATAACATAGCCGTTTATGTAGTTGTGGTTCGGAGTCCCGAAAGCAGTCGAGTCAAATTGGGATTTTTATCACATGTACTAATGCTAATATTCGATTGTTGAATCCAAACTAATGAGAAAAGAACATCTGTTTAGAAAATACCCATAAAAACGTGGATGTGCTAATTGCATCAACATTTAAAATATTGATTGTCCGACGTGAAATTAAGGAATATGATAAATTTCCACACGCCTACGTTTCAATTCTAATTTGCAATCTCATTAATTGTTGTATTCATTATGTAGTGCCGCTGTTTGTACAGTAACACATTTACACTCCGATGACTGTTAGCTGTTGGATCAGACTTACTTAAAACCTATATACATCCTTTTCGGAGGGCAGATGCAGAGAAATTGAGATAGGCTTGAAGCTAGTCTAACGTTATGATAATGATGAATGGAAAAACTAAGATTTATACGGTATATCACACTGAAATGAGACACCTAGTCATTTTTTCATCAGCATTTACACCTGAATAATTTTTACTTTTACATCAATTCCTGCAGTTCTTCTTGCATTATAAATTTAAATTAAAAAACGATATTTAGATTAATTCGATTCATATCCATGCACATATTTTTGTAGTCAGAGTAAAACGTGCCACTTAGCTATTGGTTTGTTAGTTTTCATAGCCGCTATCCAATGTTCCCAACAGGAACCAGTAGATCTAGCACCAACCTCCAACTTGTGCAGGGGCACAGGCCAATACTGGGGTTCATCCAAGCTGGGACAGTAATTTGCTATCGTCAGACGTATTCTTACATCTTGTATATCCTCGTTCGACACAGAGACTTCCATCTTTTGGTTGAAAACTGGATTAAGTTCTTGTTTAACCACAACTGTTTTCTTTTTAAGTATGACCATGTCTTTTATCCAAACATCAACTCTCACAAATGGATCTATATACGGAATGAAATGCAATATTTACCAGCAGAATTTCATTTAAAACTTTTGCTTGTTTGACATATTATATTACGCATGCAATTGTACTGTTGGTATATAGTAATATTATAGTACACTACCAATTATTTCATTGGTAATAGGCTTTAAATTTGCTATTTTTATTACAGCCATCACCAAAATCTCCCCATCTTTTATATAATTTAATGACAGCAATATCATTGGTTCATTTCCAGGTACATTGTCCAAGTACTTGGCAAAACGCGTGGTAATAGCTTTTGTTCTTTTCTCTTGATCAGTCTTAAAAAAATTCAAAGACATTTCGTCATTAAACTAAATAATCAGCTTGAAAAAAAATTGCAATCAATTATTGTTGCAAAATATATTATCAAATATTGTATTATTTAATACCTCTGTTTCGCTATACACATCATAAATGAAAGACATTTCATCTGCGCTGTCTACTGCACCATTCAAAATACTTTGAAACATTCGGTTATGACGTTTCGGTTGTTCTGTGTATGATCTGTAACGATATCTGGATTAACACGGTCACACAATTATTTATGCATTGGCGCAGCAGTCTAAATCCATACTCGGACACAAAATTGTTTCAAACTGCGGAAGTAATAGGGTAAGTTTGCATTTCAACTAAATTCTAAATATCATACGATATTTAGACTGTATGTATTAATTAAGTACGATATTTGAATGATATAATTTAACCAGGAAATTTGGAAGTGTTGACTATATCGCAAATTATTTATACTAGGATCATAAACATACTTATAGTTAGGGAATGGATCTGCATTGCTTTGTTTCACCATCTCTGGTTGTACAACTTCGAAGGAATACTGCACATGAGCTTCGTTATCCATGTTTATTATCTTTCTGTTTTTCTTTGAATCATCTTTGGCCCAATTGAGACATTTATTTATTCCAAACCTACGTAAAATACTTGTTCCAACTAACCAAAGCAAAATGAGAATAACTAAAAAGAGGAGTATTAAAAGCAGTACATCGTTCGTGACCATTGTAATTCTTTTTTCTAAAAGCAATGAAAACGTACCGTAAGGGACAAAAATATTAAAATCCTATAATCAATCATGAGACCAATGAATCTTGCTTCGCTGTGTACAAGACGACTCTGAGCATTCTGGCACTCTAGAACTCTAGTTTATTGCTTAAACGAGGCAATTTGGTATCCCTTTGGTGCTAAAAAACTGTATATTCTGACGGCCAAATAAGTGACAACCCATCATCCCTTGCGCGCTTAGAGTTTTTGAAGACAAATTGTCTTAGACAATCGTGATTGAATCAGTTGTATATATATAAACATTATTGCCTTCATGTACACCGCAAACTTGACGCCTACCAAGATACTTGCATGTTTGAAACAATGAAGTATATAGGATCATAAATATGCTATGATATATAATTATGCTACATATAAGAGAAATTTTCAAACGATTACTTACATTCTATACAGTTAGCATATCGCCTTTTGTCCTTGCAAGAGCATTAAGACTTAAGTGACTCTTTATACTATCGTTCAAATCTTTGGCTGAATTAAAGCTTGTTTTGTCGTTTTAATTTTCATGTTCGACCGAGATTTCCAATTTATCTCGCTATATGTACAATTTAAGGCAGTCTTTGTTAAATCGCACACAATTGATGGCTCTTGTTTTTGATATATTGCTTCTCGAATTTTTATGCAAATACATTAGCCAATGTTGCCATAATTATAGCTATATTTAGCTACTTAGAGGAAAATTTTGTATTTGAAATTTGTTCCCACTTTCAAATGTAGCGCTAGATGGCTTGGATGGTTTTAGGTACGTAGGCAGGGAGTGTTGGTAATGATAGGGCTAATCTTTACAAGGACATCTTTATTGACAAGAGAAATGTAAATTTACTCTCTTTATTTGCTTTCCAGCGTAAGTTGTATACATCTCTCATTAGCTTTTTTCTCATGGACTGTATATATAGACGACATAGAAGCAGGATCGTCTTCTGTATATAAGCATGCAGGTCACGAGCTCTTGTTTAAATTCCAGTTCTGTCAACAAGACTGATGAAGCATAAGTTGTATACATCTCTCATTAGCTTTTTTCTCATGGACTGTATATAGACGACATAGAAGCAGGATCGTCTTCTGTATATAAGCATGCAGGTCACGAGCTCTTGTTTAAATTCCAGTTCTGTCAACAAGACTGATGAAGCATAAATAATAAGAGTTGCCAACCATTTCCAATTTTAATATCTATGTTCTATTTCTCTGCCGTCGTTTGCACAGACATGAAAAATCGCGGATATTAAGACACTTCAGACACTTCAGACAATATACCAGTATACCAACAGTATTATCAAATAGTTTAATGCAATTGAACACAACTCATTAACACGATATATGGTAAACACATTTATACTATAGTATTTATTAATAACTATTGAAAGTTTTTGACAAAATCTCCTTACTTTCCCATAACTGTCACCAACAGTTGCTTAATTAAACAGTCGTGATAGATAAAACATAGATTGCTAATTTAATCTTTTCTCACCCTTGCATAGCATGAGAAACTTTTACACTGAACTAACATCTACACGATATTCAATAATTTTAAACAGAAATATATTTTGTCCCTTATATATACTAACAAAGTAAAGAATATGAGACAGTTATTAGCCAAGAACGTGCCACTTAGCTATTGGTTTGTTGGCTGTGATGGCGGACTTCCAGTGTTCCAAGAAGGAACCAGTAGCTTGTTCACCAAACTCAACTTGATGAAGAGAAGCAGGTCGCCCTCGAATAGTGCCACCTCTTGTTGGAACATGATTCTTAATAGCGAGGATCAATTTGACACTCTCTAGATCCTTAGCTAACACATGAAACTCCAGTTTTTGGTTGTAAACTGGATTCAGCTCTTGCTTCATTACGGCCGTCTTCTTTTTCAATTTAGTTTTGTTTCGAATCAGAATATGAACTTTCACGTACGGATCTTAAATTGAAAGAAATGCCATTTTCTATATACTCTCTAGACAGTTGGCAATCATGAACAACCATGCATGCAGGTACTTACCTGGCATCTTATCATTGGGGAGAGCCTTGAGATTTGCAACTTTAATAATTGCCAACACAAGATTTTGTTTAGTTTTATCATAATGCAGTGACACTAGTATCATTGGTTCCATGCCAGCTACATATTCCCAATCCTTTGCCAAACGAACGGTTCCCCTTGATTTTTTTTCTGGCTCGCCCTAGGAGAAAAAACGAGGATGTTTAATGCACAGCAATCCTGAGAAGTATCTTCTCTACAATTTCGCAACTTTCAAGCAAATTTGATATTTTCTTAAATTTCTTAACATTTCTCCAAATTTTCGTATATCCGAAAACAGACAGGGATGTCCAGAATAATAAATGCATGGAGCTTATTTCTGAAGTAGAATATACCTCTACACCGCTCGATCCATCATAAATAGAAGGCATTTCATCTCCACTGTCAACCATGCTACTCATGCTCGTTGTAGAAGAACTTTTTTGAATTCTTGGTTTACCAATATTCAATACGGAATGAACCTCCTTCTCTGCCATCAAGTCATTCTGATTCAAATCTCCAATCTTACACATGGCGAAACCGATGTACCTTTAGGCAGCGACGACATTTAATAAATAAGGAAAAAAATTGTGAGGAGTTACAGTTTTACGAATGTTTTAGTCGAAGGTGTCCGTATAATTAACAATTAGTTGCCGAAGGCGAGGTGTTTACAAGCCTATTTTCACTTGAGCCGAAATAATTATCGTCCGACTATTCGTAATTGTGGGATGTCTATATTTATATATAGGCTATATTCGTATTTAGAAAAGTTGTACTAGTGCCTTTTTTTCCTATAAGTGAGATGAGCTTGTGTCACAACACAGAGATGATGTACCACCACAGGGAATTTTCGTATTAAAAAGACATCTGTTTTAGAGAGGCATTTAACTCCATGGGTAGAACTAAGAAGTAATTACGATCGTATGGTGATTACCTATTTGAGTATTCCCTGGAATCCATGACAACAATTTCAAGTTTTTGCTGAGCTAATTCATCTCGATCTACTTCGAATTCAAACGTTTCCTCCAGTTTCGGTGAACTTGTGTTGCAGTAGACATCCGTTTGGATTGGATTTTGGCCGAAGTTAGGGAGAAGACGAATTTCAAGGAACGAATTAACCTCAGTGTTGTCATTGCGGGTAGGAAGATCAAACATGCTCAAAAGCTTCAGCAACAGATAGTTTCTGTGAAAATAATTATACAATATTTCTATACAATGCAAGAATATTTGGTGAAATAACCATGCACAGCTTTTATACTTGAAAGAATTTGACAATTCAAATTATCATTATGTTCACTTTTTAAAAAAAAAATTTAGTGACAACTTTTATTATATGTTTATATATACACTTACCTTTGACGGTCATAGCGTAGTAGAATGCTTAGTGTTGGAGTTACATCAGGATCAGTCTGTGTTTCAATCAAAGAGTTTCTTAGTTTTTATCATATACAAATACAAATAAGTATATATTCGATAAACAACATATAATTGATGCGAATTAAATAAAAGGCATCCACTATTATCAGCTTTATATCGTAGTCAGAACTATACTCAGTGACTACTGAGATGGCAAGTGATTTATAGTGCATGATGAATGTCTCAAGTTTGCTGACTGGTTGACAGCCGAATTAATAGTCTAATTACCATAAAATCCGCCGACTCTTCCTCCTACATAGCGACAAAAAATAGATTATTCAGTTATTTTTTGCTTACATGTTGCCATTTCAGAAAAATAGAAGGAAAACAATGTATTAACCCTTTCTCTGAGATTTTCATGTGAATACGGTCAAAGTGTTAGCAATTATTCATGTTTTACTGACCTACTCTTCACCAACTATGCGTAAATTTTATTTTATCCGACTAACTTTTTTAAGGAATAAGTATACTTTTCAAAAACACCTTTTATACCCCAGCCCTACCGGTGCACCTGCTCTAAATTCTCTCCTACCTGTGCATGTGGATATCCGCTGATGGGAGTCTTGCACTCAGGTTGGATTGTTTCTGTGGTGTATTCGACTTGTGCTTCTTCCGCCGGCATGGGCGTCAACCTCTGTGTCTCTGAAACATCACCGTCGGCAAGTTTCTCCCGCAAATGTTTCGTCCCCAACTCACGGTGGAAAATAGCCACGAAAATTGCAACCAGGAGAAAGAATGCCAGGCAACCAACAATAAATGATATAATAATAACGTTGTCAACGAGCATTCTCGTATTTGTTCACTGCAAAAATTTAAATGAAGTTATATCGTTGTTCCAGCTGATCTGAGATCATGACGTCACGAGGCGCCTCAACAAACCTGAGCTATGCGCCTGGAGGCATTTGTTCCCATTTATCCTACTAATGGTATAAAGGTCAAAATTTTTGAATGCCGAAGTCATAAGAAATGAAGGAAATGATAACTTTGTTTTGTCGAGGATCTGGTTTCTGATTGGTTGATTTTTGTACCCAGGTTGGAGATTAAGTTATCATTTTACCACCCTAGTCGATGATTCGATGTACTAGGTATGGAGATTCCAAAGATGCGTTGCCATGGACAATTAAAGGGGTCCCCCCTATTGAAATGAATCCTTTGTTGATTTGAATGCATGATCAACGCAGTAGTGTGTAAATAGCATAGTTATTAGGTTGAGGCATTCTAATAAAGCGTCTTGCTTTCAATTTGGTTTATCATAATATTAAGGCAATCAGATTCTAACAAAGGCTTGATTTCAATAGAGGGGACTTTTTTTTGGGACACCCTTCGGCCTATTAAACATGACGCATAAAACGTTCATTATGCATAAAGAGGGCCGGGGGGTGAGGAGAAGGAAGAGTCGAAGTCTACCCTATGGTAAGCTTGCACGTAACCTACTACCAGATAGTATTGATTGCATGCAGATTGGTGCGAATAGAGTTTGAAACTTATTACCAAGCCATAACAAAACGAAATTTATGTAATAATAATAATAATGGACCTAACTCTGGCTTTTTCATAATCAATTATTGGGATTAATGCAATCATTAACATTGTTGTCTTGTTATGATAATGACATGATAAAAATTTAAAATAGACTCGATTTTGTAAAACGTCCGACACAATCAATGTTTTTATATAAGAAAGAAAGTATGGAACGAGGAATCTGAATAGAAATTCTGCCAAGAAAGTTCTGCCTTCCGGAAACACGAAGCGCTCTATATTGCCTTGTTATAACCGGCGCCTATATTCTATATATCATAATAAGGATACTTCATAACTCATTTTGATATTGTCCACAAGAACTGAAGTGTGACATGAAATCATTGTAAACCTCTTAAAAATATCATGAAGCGTGGAAGACAACACCTTAGTCAGTTAGTCTTCGCCTGCATTCATAACGGCATATACCAACACATAACTTATAGTATATATATATTGTCAATAATATTAGTACGCGAAGACAGCGAAAAGATTCAAAGTTGACTTACACAGCAAGGGTAAAATCATGCAATCACGCCCAAACGTCCTAGGCCGGCAGCAGCTGCATTAGCAGTAAAATCGGCGAAAGCCAAATCAAAGCCGGAATGAATGGCCAACTGTATAATACATATGTACATGCCTATGATATATCTTGGTAGTGGCATATATATATATACTTGGTATATCCAAAATGGTATATATATATATATATATATATATATATATATATATATATATATATATATATATATATATATATATATATAGTCTATATATAATAGGTATACGTGCCACGAGGATGAGAAATAACTTTCGGTGCCATTTATTGTATGTGTTGACCCAGTGTGTACATTATTAATTGTGAAATGTCTACAATTATAAAGTTAGAGACAAAGTATAGACTTTGCTGGAAGGCAAAGTATAACTATATCGCTTTTTGGAAGGCACAATTGACACGGCATGTATACGCGGGCGATGAAAACGTATAAGTATAATCATATACGAAAGTATGGACTAACCATGGAAGTCCTCGAAATTGACTGTGGAGGCTGTAAGTTTCAAACACATTATTACCGTAACGTTGGAATTCTTTTTTTTTCGCTTTATATTACCAGATTAAACATCAAGCACTGTTTGTTTGCTTTTGGCTTACAATTTTGACTGATAAGTTTTTTCCCCATTACGTTTTACCGCACATCATGTAGTGTCATCAATAGCCCGAATTGAATTTTTGCTAGCCTAGCTGTTTGTCTCAGACATAAATGTCAACAGAGGCTATAGGGGAAAATTTCCAAAACTAATACTTTGACTAATATAAATCAAGTTAAATTTTATCAAACATGCGCCTTGTTGAACGCAGGTCGTATATACTTGAGCTCGGTCGCAAGGACATATGTCGGATCACATGCAGAGATCGAGTTATTAAATGCATCCGGTTTTCGGCAGTTGAAGTTCGGCTACATTTTCGCTTCTGCATGACTCCCGACATGTCCCGGCCTACGGCTTTCTGTTCGTGATCGTTCCCCTTATCAAGAATGAACGCCAAAATTATTCAGTGACAATGTTCCATAATTATTCATGGTATCTATACTGCCTACAATGGCATTAATTAATGTTTTATTTTATGTTCGATATATACCACCACAACGCTCTCCCCCAACGCTTATAATCTACACGGTGTGATTTTACTATAGGTATAAAGTAGCCTTACATGGTGAAATAATCTGCATTGACAAAGTCGACTACCAAAAATGCAGATCTCGGTGTCAGTACAGGAAACGTAGGTCTCATTAGGTCACTAATGCGTATATATATACATGAAATCTATAACCCGCTATAAACCCCAAGCGCCCAGATTACAATGGACTTTGCCGTTTGTGTTATGCTATAGAGATAGATCCACGCTAGGTTTAGCGATAAATACGATTTTATTTCGGTATTTTAGCCAAGATATTGATCATATTTAAAACTAGAAAGGGAGTATGCGAACATGCCTAGGTATGTGATGATAATTACTTAAAAACATGTGCAGATAAAACATTTATGATTACACCGAGGATATTTTAGGGATATCCACAAGTTATATGTGCCTCACGGCTCTTACCTATAAACTATCCAGCTTGAATATCCCGTTGCCTCCTCTTAGTACGTTATATTCCGCTACTCAAACGACAAAGTATATACATTCCATTGGTAATAGAACTGTGTACCAACTGTCTCACGCTTTAATGCTTCACTGCTCATGGTGAAAACCTTTGTAGCCACATAGTAACCATCACATGCGGTGTCCCCCCTTTTTGCCTAGTCGTAGTAAAACCAACTCTTAAAATTTACCATAAATACATGGTAACTATCAAATTATTTGATTTTATCGGGTGTCATTACGTTGGCAGCAAAGCAAAAATAGTGAGTGTGCGATGAACTTTTACAATATTTATACATTCTACGCCCTATACATGCGCTTCGTGAAGAATTTGTAATTCAAATTATGGCTGTTTTCGCTGTTTTCAATACAAACTATTCACTTGGAACGAATTGATAATTAGCAAATCTCGTTAAAAGATTATTATAGCCATATACAGTAGGTGTTTCGAATTTAGACAACTGTTTATGTTCGTATATGTAGGTGATTTTTTACCACTCGACGGAAAATTTTGAAATTCACCAAAGTATGACTTTTTGTGTTCAAATGTTTTTGTTTCGTAAAAGAATGAAATTCTACTTATTTCTCAACCATTTAAAGGTATTTTGAACCGAATTTTGAAATTTAAAAAAAATAAACGAAAATCAGGATTTTTCTTTTGGTTCCCGTTACCGATTTGCCTAAAATTTTGAAATTCACCAAAGTATGATTTTTTGTGTTTAAATGACTTTGTTTTATGAAGGAATGCAATTCTACTTATTTGTCAACCATTTCGAGGTATTTTGAACCGAATTTTAAAATTTTAAAAAATTGACGAAAATGATAATTTTTCCTTTGGTCCCCCCTTACCGATTTGCCTAAAATTTTGAAATTCACCAAAGTATGCTTTTTTGTGTTCAAATGTTTTTGTTTCATGAAAGAATGCAGTTCTACTTATTTCTCAACCATGCATTTAAAGGTATTTTGAACCGAATTTGAAATTTCAAAAAATTAACGAAAATCAGGATTTTTCCTTTGGTCCCCCGTTACCGATTTGCCTAAAATTTTGAAATTCACCAAAGTACGATTTAGATTTTTTGTGTTCAAATGTTTTTGTTTCATGAAAGAATGCAATTTTACTTAGTTCTCAACCATTTCGACTTTCGAGGTATTTTGATCCGAACTTTGAAATTTCAAAAAATTCACAAAAATGATAATTTCTCCTTTGGTCCCCCGTTACCGATTTGCCTAAAATTTTGAAATTCACCGAAGTATGATTTTTTGTGTTCAAATGTTTTTGTTTCATGAAAGAATGAAATTCTACTTATTTCTCAACCATTTAAAGGTATTTTGAACCAAATTTTGAAATTTAAAAAAAAATTGACGAAAATCAGGATTTTTCTTTTGGTTCCCTCTTACCGATTGCCTAAAATTTTGAAATTCACCAAAGTATGATTTTTTGTGTTCAAACGTTTTTGTTTCAAGCAAGAATGCAATTTGAGGTATTTTGAACCGAATTTTAAAATTTCAAAAAATTCACGAAAATCAGTATTTTTCCTTTGGTCCCCCGTTACCGATTTGCCCAAAATTTTGAAATTCATCAAAGTATGATTTTATGTGTTCAAATGTTCTCGTTTCATGAAAGAATGCAATTTTACTTAGTTCTCAACTCTTTCGAGGTATTTTGAACCAAATTTTGAAATTTCAAAAAATTGACGAAAGTTAGGATTTTACCTTTTGGTCCCCCGTTACCGATTTGCCTAAAATTTTGAAATTCATCAAAGTATGATTTTTGTGTTCAAATGTTCTCGTTTCATGAAAGAATGCAATTTTACTTAAATCTCAACCATTTCGAGGTATTTTGAACCGAATTTTGAAATTTCAAAAATTGACGAAAGTTAGAATTTTCCCTTTGGTTCCCCGTTACCGATTTGCCTAAAATTTTGAAATTCATCAAAGTATGATTTTATGTGTTCAAATGTTCTCGTTTCATGAAAGAATGCAATTTTACTTAAATCTCAACTCTTTCGAGGTATTTTGAACCAAATTTTGAAATTTCAAAAAATTGACGAAAGTTAGGATTTTACCTTTTGGTCCCCCGTTACCGATTTGCCTAAAATTTTGAAATTCATCAAAGTATGATTTTATGTGTTCAAATGTTCTCGTTTCATGAAAGAATGCAATTTTACTTAAATCTCAACCATTTCGAGGTATTTTGAACCGAATTTGAAATTTCAAAAATTGACGAAAGTTAGGATTTTCCCTTTGGTTCCCCGTTACCGATTTGCCTAAAATTTTGAAATTCATCAAAGTATGATTTTATGTGTTCAAATGCTCTCGTTTCATGAAAGAATGCAATTTTACTTAGTTCTCAACTCTTTCGAGGTATTTTGAACCAAATTTTAAAATTTCAAAAAATTTGACGAAAGTTAGGATTTTACCTTTTGGTCCCCGTTACCGATTTGCCTAAAATTTTGAAATTCATCAAAGTATGATTTTATGTGTTCAAATGTTCTCGTTTCATGAAAGAATGCAATTTTACTTAAATCTCAACCATTTCGAGGTATTTTGAACCGAATTTTGAAATTTCAAAAATTGACGAAAGTTAGGATTTTCCCTTTGGTTCCCCGTTACCGATTTGCCTAAAATTTTGAAATTCATCAAAGTATGATTTTATGTGTTCAAATGCTCTCGTTTCATGAAAGAATGCAATTTTACTTAGTTCTCAACTCTTTCGAGGTATTTTGAACCAAATTTTGAAATTTCAAAAATTTGACGAAAGTTAGGATTTTACCTTTTGGTCCCCCGTTACCGATTTGCCTAAAATTTTGAAATTCATCAAAGTATGATTTTATGTGTTCAAATGTTCTCGTTTCATGAAAGAATGCAATTTTACTTATTTCTCAACCATGCATTTAAAGGTATTTTGAACCGAATTTGAAATTTCAAAAAATTAACGAAAATCAGGATTTTTCCTTTGGTCCCCCGTTACCGATTTGCCTAAAATTTTGAAATTCACCAAAGTACGATTTAGATTTTTTGTGTTCAAATGTTTTTGTTTCATGAAAGAATGCAATTACTTACTTTTCTCAACCATTTCGACTTTCGAGGTATTTTGATCCGAACTTTGAAATTTCAAAAAATTCACAAAAATGATAATTTCTCCTTTGGTCCCCCGTTACCGATTTGCCTAAAATTTTGAAATTCACCGAAGTATGATTTTTTGTGTTCAAATGTTTTTGTTTCATGAAAGAATGAAATTCTACTTATTTCTCAACCATTTAAAGGTATTTTGAACCAAATTTTGAAATTTAAAAAAAAATTGACGAAAATCAGGATTTTTCTTTGGTTCCCTCTTACCGATTGCCTAAAATTTTGAAATTCACCAAAGTATGATTTTTTGTGTTCAAACGTTTTTGTTTCAAGCAAGAATGCAATTTGAGGTATTTTGAACCGAATTTTAAAATTTCAAAAAATTCACGAAAATCAGTATTTTTCCTTTGGTCCCCCGTTACCGATTTGCCCAAAATTTTGAAATTCATCAAAGTATGATTTTATGTGTTCAAATGTTCTCGTTTCATGAAAGAATGCAATTTTACTTAGTTCTCAACTCTTTCGAGGTATTTTGAACCAAATTTTGAAATTTCAAAAAATTGACGAAAGTTAGGATTTTACCTTTTGGTCCCCCGTTACCGATTTGCCTAAAATTTTGAAATTCATCAAAGTATGATTTTATGTGTTCAAATGTTCTCGTTTCATGAAAGAATGCAATTTTACTTAAATCTCAACCATTTCGAGGTATTTTGAACCGAATTTTGAAATTTCAAAAATTGACGAAAGTTAGGATTTTCCCTTTGGTTCCCCGTTACCGATTTGCCTAAAATTTTGAAATTCATCAAAGTATGATTTTATGTGTTCAAATGCTCTCGTTTCATGAAAGAATGCAATTTTACTTAGTTCTCAACTCTTTCGAGGTATTTTGAACCAAATTTTGAAATTTCAAAAATTTGACGAAAGTTAGGATTTTACCTTTTGGTCCCCCTTACCGATTTGCCTAAAATTTTGAAATTCATCAAAGTATGATTTTATGTGTTCAAATGTTCTCGTTTCATGAAAGAATGCAATTTTACTTAAATCTCAACCATTTCGAGGTATTTTGAACCGAATTTTGAAATTTCAAAAATTGACGAAAGTTAGGATTTTCCCTTTGGTTCCCCGTTACCGATTTGCCTAAAATTTTGAAATTCATCAAAGTATGATTTTATGTGTTCAAATGTTCTCGTTTCATGAAAGAATGCAATTTTACTTAAATCTCAACTCTTTCGAGGTATTTTGAACCAAATTTTGAAATTTCAAAAAATTGACGAAAGTTAGGATTTTACCTTTTGGTCCCCGTTACCGATTTGCCTAAAATTTTGAAATTCATCAAAGTATGATTTTATGTGTTCAAATGTTCTCGTTTCATGAAAGAATGCAATTTTACTTAAATCTCAACCATTTCGAGGTATTTTGAACCGAATTTTGAAATTTCAAAAATTGACGAAAGTTAGGATTTTCCCTTTGGTTCCCCGTTACCGATTTGCCTAAAATTTTGAAATTCATCAAAGTATGATTTTATGTGTTCAAATGCTCTCGTTTCATGAAAGAATGCAATTTTACTTAGTTCTCAACTCTTTCGAGGTATTTTGAACCAAATTTTAAAATTTCAAAAATTTGACGAAAGTTAGGATTTTACCTTTTGGTCCCCGTTACCGATTTGCCTAAAATTTTGAAATTCATCAAAGTATGATTTTATGTGTTCAAATGTTCTCGTTTCATGAAAGAATGCAATTTTACTTAAATCTCAACCATTTCGAGGTATTTTGAACCGAATTTTGAAATTTCAAAAATTGACGAAAGTTAGGATTTTCCCTTTGGTTCCCCGTTACCGATTTGCCTAAAATTTTGAAATTCATCAAAGTATGATTTTATGTGTTCAAATGCTCTCGTTTCATGAAAGAATGCAATTTTACTTAGTTCTCAACTCTTTCGAGGTATTTTGAACCAAATTTTGAAATTTCAAAAATTTGACGAAAGTTAGGATTTTACCTTTTGGTCCCCCGTTACCGATTTGCCTAAAATTTTGAAATTCATCAAAGTATGATTTTATGTGTTCAAATGTTCTCGTTTCATGAAAGAATGCAATTTTACTTAAATCTCAAGCATTTCGAGGTATTTTGAACCGAATTTTGAAATTTCGAAAAATTGACGAAAGTTAGGATTT